AAATTTAAAACTACCCTTTAACTATTATAAAAATAATTAGCCTTAATATATTTACTATATTTTAAAAAATAATACTTAACTATTTAATAATATAACCCTTTATTAAAACAATAAAAATAAAATATTATATTAAAACCTTAAAATATAATAAGATTTATAAAACAATAGTAACGTAAAGTTAATTTAAAAGATAATAATTTATTAAGTATTATAAAATATAAATAAAAAAAAAAAATACTAGATTTACAAAAAGAGATTAAACTAAAATATATAAAACTTTAAGGATAAGGCCTTTGGAGAGAGGATATTATATTATAACTTAATATCTTATAGTTATTTAAACAGACCTATAGGGTAAAACAAATAGATTAATAAAGGACTACAGTATTAATTAAAAGGAAACGCTTATTATATTATTAATAATTATACTTACGCTTACTAAAAAAAAATTAATAATTACCTTAGTAATTACCACTAAATATAATAATTACTAATATTATAACTAAATATATAAGTTTACTTTATTATAATTATTTAAATAGTTTAAATAGCTAATTGTTAATAAAATATTAAAACTAAATATAAGTTATACCTTTTATTTTACTCTTATACACTTATAATTATAACCGCTTAAAAGCTACTCCCTGTCCTCTCTGCTAATATAAACCTATAACTTAGGCTTATTACCTTAGGAACCCTTACCCTATACTAGGAATAGGGATTAGGACGTTATATAGACCTTTATAATCTCAGCCTTATTTATTTTTATTAGAGACTGTTATATTACCTTTACCCTCAGTTACTGTAAAATAAAGTATATATAGGGAGCGGAGTTTACGTTTATAAATTATTTATTAATAATGTTTTTTTACTACTTAAAATATATCGCTAATATTAGTAGGCGGGGTTTAAAGATAAATATTTTTACGATATATATAACCTGTAGGTAATATACAGTAATTATTTTTAAAGATATAAAATATATAATATTTTTTATTTATAGAATAAAATAAATTGGCTGTATAAAGTTTACTGTTTAACTTTAAAAAAGCTGCAACATCTCTCTCTTTTAACTAACCTAACTAAACTCTTTCTAATATAGTAATTATATTAGGCCAGTTGAGCACCCAGCCTGCTAATAGGTGCTTTATATTTAATTAGGTTATGCTAAAGGTAATTAACAGCCTTTTATAAATAGCGCCAGTGACTGCAGTACTAGCGATTATTATAGAATTAGCTTTAGTAAACCTAAAGCCTGTTTACTTTAATTTATTATAATATCTATAGGCGGAATATCTAAAGGATATTATATTAATATAATTAACCTCCTTTAAGATTTAAATAAAATAATATTAAGACTTTATTTCTATTTTATTTAGGGATTTAATAATATTAGTAATTGCTGTAGTTTACGGGATGCTAGTGGGGGAATGATAAATAATAGAAGCGGCGGCGCTAAATAAGTTATATAACCGATCTTTTTTACTGGATGATATTTAGGTTGTGCGGTGGATAGTTAAGTGATTCTGTAATAGCTTAACTGCAGAGGATGATGTAGATTAAGCCGGTTGGGGTCGTAAGGCGGCTCCCCGGCTATAGGACTTACTGATATTACTAGACTGAGTAAAAGGTTATAATTACTGCAGTAACTTTAGGCTGTATTCCAGCTGGGATAGTATATATAAAGATATGGACTGAGGTTTTTAATATACCTTATACTTAAACCGATGGGTATTTAGCTTTCGCTGGGATGTATATGAACTGTGTTATGGCTACGATTGGTGGAGTAAATTATATAATGTGGATAGGCTGGTATTTAGCTCCCTTAGATGTATATAATAGTCTAACGTTTGACTTAAGGCTCCTCTGGAAGACTATTGTTGTAACCTACGGTATTGGGAAGCTGAATATTAATGATTTACGAGGACCGACTGGGATTGTTATATATATAATGGGCTTTAATAGGGGATGTAGTTGTTTAGAATAAACTATTGTTGTATATTTAAGGTAGATATTCTGGCTTTAGATATTTTGGTTATAATGATTTTATTATATGTTAGTTTACTGGAGTAGTTGGTGATTGGCTATGGTAAGGAGATGGTTTTATAAAATATTGTATTTGGTATTCTGTTGTCCTCTGGGTTGGATGGATGTAGATGGTTTTAATCCTTAAATAATGAGATATGGAGAAGGCTGATGTTTAGCCTGGATGTATAGATTGATATTCTCCGATAGAGATTTTAACGTAACTGCGGAGCTATTATAATAGAAGTAGATAAGTTGTAATATTTCTTTAATAAAGAAAAGGTGCTGCTTCTGCAGGAGTATATTAATAGGAAGTTATTGTTATATAATGAAGTGGGTGAGATAGATGAGGATATAAAGGCCTGGCGGCTTATTTTAGGAGTAGATCTAATACTGGTAAAGCTTATAGACGTTAACTGGCGTTAGGTTACCGTAGACGAGGTTAAAGCCTAGCTTACGGTAAGGGAATAGGCCGTTAGATGGGACTGAAATATACGTTGGGACGACGCCTATTAGAATTGTATGTAATTGCAAGAAATATAAACTGTGATTAGGGAACTATAAGTATATAATAGTAGACTTTAGTAATAGATGTATAGGGAGAACTGCTATTGCGATGGGTTTTGTGGGGAAAATAGGATATGGGAACCTGCGGACTGTAATGCTCCTTAGATGTAGGAGGAGGATTAAATATAACGCTGGGATTAACGATAGGGGTATGTTAATAGGGACGCTGGCTTTACGCTACTATTTAGAATAGATAACCTAAGATGTTTCCTGTAATAGGATTAGTAGAACGGTCGATAAGATAAAAGACCCTTAAACTTTAGATAGTGGAGTAAAACTTTAAATTTTGGGAGATATAATGATAATATGTAGGCCGCTACTTTAGTGAAAGCATACGTTATATTTAAATAAGATAGGAATAATAAGATAGATTTAGATGATTAAGATGGGTACGCTAGCGAAAGTATATGCTTAGCTATAGTGGAACCTCTCTTTTATTTATTACACTTAAAAAACTAAATAGGCGACGGCTAACCGGGGTTGCCTTACCCAGCAATAGTATACCCCTTAGTTCTATAATTAATATTCCTATAATAGTTTTTAATAACTTAGATGCTTTTTATAAACTATGCAACGACAGTATAGTGGATTTTATTAAGATATTTATAACTATAGTTAATAATAAGCCTAAGATATTATATATTGCTTTTAAGTCCTAGCTATTAAAATATTTTAATATTAAACTATAGAATGCAGACGTTGTGGGATAATTATAGACTTATATCTAGCTCTGTATAATATATTTCGCTGTATAGGTATATACTAAAGTATTGTTAAATACTGGCTTGCCTATATTAATTATTAAATAGATATATTTTAAATGTTATTTCCCCGCCTTAAACCTAATTATACTATAGAGGCTGATCTCTATTAGCGGAGTGGGGGAGGGGGGTCCTAAGACTACTAAAGCAGCTATTATTAAACTTTATTTATAAATTACTAACGGTGAGATTACTACGTTTACAGCAATGTATACAGTAGTTAATAAACTTTCCTATAGACTGTTATTAAGGACCTCCTTTTTATGTTTAAATAAGTTAAATATTATATAGGGAGAGAAAGCGGAAGTAGATTACCTAGATGCTGGGCAGGGGTGTATAATACTGATGACCTATTTAACGGAATAGGTTTGAAACCTTTAATAACACTTATATCCTTTATAGGCCGGCCAGGATCTTTTACTGCTACTAAGTAAAGGCTATAATATTTATATACGCTTTAGGAGACTAATCCTAGTTATAGTTAATAGGTATATTTTAGAACTATGGGTCTTAATGGATCCTACAAAGCTAGTATTTACTTTACTACCTAATGTAATTGTAAATAGTTAGGACGTATATTTATTAATAGTAAACCTAGGAGATTCCCTTATTTATATATATTAAAGGTTATACCTTAGCTAGTTAAGGCCAGTTTAGCTTATTAAAGATCTAAAGATATATACTACCGATAATAAGATAGGTATTACTTTAATAAATTTATTAAAAGATAAGTAACTGGAAGATAAAAAAGATTAAAGATATAAAGATAAATACCCCTTTTACGTTATACTATATAATAAAAAAGATATTAATCTAATAGACGCAGATATCTTTAATACGTAGGATCTAGACTAGCGTTAATGTATTATAGCGGTGCTCTGTAAATATTAATGGTTATTTTACCTAGGCCTAGGGAGGTTTAAGGACGGAGTGAAGATACCTATTCCCTTTAAACTTAGAGTGGACATCTCTAACTTACAACAACGCCCATTTAGCCTTTCCCATTGAGATTAGACTGCAATAGATAGTATTCTAGACTTATTAAAGAAGATCGGGGTAGTAAAAGACGTCCCCTTTAGGAAACTATCGCCGGCAGTATCCCCAGCCTTTATAGTCTAAAAAAGGGGTAAACCCCGTCTTATCGTTAATCTACGCTAGGTAAATATAAAGTTAAAACTCAACGCCTACCCCCTACTGAAATAAAAGGATATCCTTTCTTTATTATAAAAGAGCGCTATCTTTACAGTAATAGACCTTACTAAAAGATTCTTTTAATAGCCTGTTGTTAAAGAAGATTAATAAAAGATATTATTTATAATACCTTATTAAAGTTAAGAGAGATTTACTATTAGTACTATAGGGTTAGTAACTAGCCCTGTATTCTTTTAATATTATATAAAGTCTTTATTAAGATAATACTTATAGTAATTTATTTTAGTGTATATTAATAATGTAATTATTTACTTTAAAGACTTAGATTAATATTTATTATACTTTAACGATGTTTTAAGTATTTTAGCGGACTTTAGGTATATAATAGCGTTTTTTAAATATTATTTTGTGTAACTGGGACTAAAAGCGCTGGGCTACTTTATGTTAAAGCTTAGTTTTAGTATATTAGCGGAGAAGACGGAAGTTATATGATAATTAGATATACCTAAGACGCTAAAAGACTTAAAGATAGGTCTTAGTTTTATAGGTTATTATAGGAACTTTATAGCTTTATATTTAGCGATTGCAGAACTACTGCAGAAGATTAAGGCCATTGGTTTTAAATATATATTAATTAAGAACCTAGAACGGGCAATATATGCAGCGAAGGTTATATTGCCACTAATAGGGCTAGAGGAGCTGGACGCACCTACGATAGGATGAATTCGGGGTGGTAGGCGTTAGAAGAAGGCGGAATAGGTTAGAATCGATCGGCAGAAGCTCCACTAATGGGGCCGGAGGAGCCGGACGCACCCACAACAGGACGAATTTGGGGTGGTAGGCGTTAGAAGAAGGCGGAACAGGTTAGAATTGATCGGCAGAAGCTCTGGGAGGATGCGTAATGTGCGTAGGAAATCCTGAAGGAGAAATTATATACTGTAGTGGAATTAGCCTTTCCTAACTACTTATTGCCGTTTAAATTATATGTAGACGGTAGTAAGGAATAAGGGTTTAGGGTGGGACTATATTAAATATAGAATGGTAAAATATAACTTATACTGTTCCTATTTTAGTGTTTAACGTTAGTAAAGTATAATTATAGCTTGATAGAACTGGAGACAGTAGCTTTTGTTTAGGTACTGCAGAAGTTATTTTATATCTTAGACTATTTTAAAATATATATTATTATAGATTATATAGCTATTTAGGATATATTCTAGAGTGTTAGATTTTAAAAATTAAAAGGGAAGTATTGCTTTATTAACTGGTGTTTATATTTAAAACGATAGAAGACTTAGATTACTATTGGCTACTGAGAAGGAAAAAAATATATTAACGTAGATACTTTGTTGCGTTTATCTACGATAGATGTAGACTGCAATTTGTTTATTGTTACCTATAGATAAATTAGGGAGCTAGTATAATAAGTAGAGGATGTAGAGGGATAGTTAACGTCTGTAGATAAATATTAGGATTTAGGTAAGGGGGGTAGAGATATACTGAGGCTAGCGGTGGATGAGATGTAATTGATAAACCTAATTGGACTTATGCCCCCAGCCTTAGGAGATGCGGAGGTAATTGAACTAATGACAGCCGTATTGGCGGAGATAATTAATTTATTGCTGTAATAGCTAAATACAGCCCTTAGACTAAAACCCGTAGATTAACAGTAGGAAGGGGAGGATTATAGACTGCTGTTGTTTTTAAGCGAAGACTTCCGGAGGTAATTAATAGCGGTATTACCTTAAGATAGGATATTCTAATGTATTTATAATATTTTGTAAAGTTAGATAGAGCAGGGAGGCTTTAACTCCTTACTTAATTTCTATATATATCCACTAACTGTACTTCTATATTATAATATAGATAATAGCCTCTATCTTTACCTTTTAGAAGAGATAGTAGATGAAATCTGTAGACTTATATATAACCAGTGAGTGTATTTTAGTTTATATAAGTTTTATAATACCCTCTGGGATATGGTCTTTTTTTATAATATAAGACAATGGATAACTAAATATATGTTAAATTGCCCAGAATGCCGTAAAGCTAAGCTATAAAGGGGCCTCCTGTATAGAGATATATAACCAGTACTAACACTATAGATATCACTTTTAACGTTATACTTAAACTTTATTATCAGTCTTCTGCTTACATTAAACAGCTACAACGCTATCCTACTTATAATTAATAAATTTATTAAATTTATTAAGTATTTTATCGGAGATATAATGTAGACGGCGGAGTAATAGGCGTTAGTATATATTAAATGAATATACTTAGATTAAGGATTCCTATATGTGTTTATATATAATATAGACTTAAAATTAATATTATATCTCTGGGAGTTATTATGTTAAATAGCTGGAATTTATATTTACACTAGTGCTGTATATTATTAATAAATTAATAGATAGAGTAAAAGAGTAATATAGACAGTGGTTTACAGTTTATAAGCTTTAATAGAAAGTAAATATAATTAGGGATATTAGCTGTTATTATTATTGTATATTATATATACCCTAAATGCATTAGTATATATTATAATAATATATTTAGCCTTTAAACTTTTATATAGAAGAAAGGTAGTATATTTTCTGTTAGTACTGACTGTTACTAAAGGTATTTATAACTATACTAAAAGTTATTAGTAAATATATAAAAATATATAGGATGTAGTATAATTAGCTATAGTATGGATGAAGATATACTATAACCGATAATATATTAACCTATTTGACATTATAGAAAGAGACTTAGTATATATTAAACTAGCTAAGCCTGGATAACCTAAATATTATTTATAGAATTAAACTAAGTTATTTTATTGCTGGGTAGGATTATTTAAAGTCCTAAAAAGAATAAACTTATTGAGATATTAACTGAGTTTATTAAAATATTTTAGATAGAAAGATAAGTTTAGTATTGAATATTTTAAGATGTATTTATGTTTAATTTAACCGGCGGAACTGCTGGGACTATTAAATATAAATAGAATATATAAATTTATTATTTAAGAGATTGTTGTAGAGAGAATAAATGGTAATAGGAAGGAATATAAAGTTAGATAGCTGGGATATTTAGATATTATATAGGAACTGGAGGTAACTTTATAACTGGATGTACTTTAGATATTATAGGACTTCTTTAGCTAACGATAAGTATAGTGGAGCTATAGTGGTATTAGCTTTATAAGGCTGGTATTAGTATAGTACTGCGGTGTACGCCAGCCGCTAACCTATAAGTAAATCTTAATACTAGCTGATTAATAACCGTTAGTTAGCAGACTTTACTTCTTAATTATATTATTTATTTTTCCCTACTTACGTTTTAGATTTTTATACTATAACCCTTTTTTATATTTTCTTTTCTTCCTTTTCTTTATTTTTCCTTTTTAAAACCTCTTTTATTATTAAACCTTAATAAACACTATAGTGTTAGAGTAGACGTTGCCTAAGGAGCCACCTTAATACCTTACTATTGCGGATATTATAATCTTAAAGAAGTAAAAAACGGAGATAAACCTTTCCTTAGATTTACTAGACTATAAAGATATTATAAACATCCTATAAATGTACTATAAGTAAATAATATAGCTTTTAGTAGATGACTACTAGACTTTTATAGATATTATTATTTAGGGAAAATTCTTTTAAATGGTTAGTTTAAAAGCTTTACTGGTATTTTATAGCTTTTATAAAGCGGTATAAAAGAAAGGTTTTAAGCTAAAATATATCCACTGGGTTATATATATTATTCTATATGTATTATTTGGAAATAAAATGCCTGCGGTGTTTTTAAATACTGTATAAGTAAAGTATAGTATAATAGTTATTAAAGACTATATATATAAGTATTATAAAATCTATATTTAAGAGATAATTGTAAAGGTTTTAAAGATAATTACCCTAACGTTGACTGCTTTGAAGTTAAATGCCTTAAAAACGATTGCCTTAAATATAATACTTTAGAAGAGCGCTATTATAAGTAAACTAGTGTAGACTTTAAAGGAAGTTACTGCTGTAAATAAGGAAGAATCTTTAGTTAAGTTTATTAAGGAGTCTGTTATATGTAAATAATAAAAGATAATAATATAATAGCTGAAGGTTATTAATTTAGTGCCTGTAACTTTAACAGTGGCCATACTTTCTTAAATATCTTTAATTTTTAACCTACTGAATATATTTTTTATATAATTGTTAAATATATCTGTTAAATAGGAGTCCTTTAGTCTTTTATACAGTTAAATATTATAAACTAATAAGATTAACTAAATAGTAAAAAAATAGGATTAATTTGCAGAAGACATTTATAAAAAGCGTAAAAATATATATATATACTAAATGCTCTGGGATAATTTTAAAAATTATGCAGTAAAGGACTAATAAAAGGCTATAGTAAACTGTCGCTAGGTAGCAGAGGACTGTCGCTGAGTAGCGGAGGACTGTCGCCAGGCAGCGGAGGACCGCTAGCTGGCTGCAGCAGATCAATAGAAATCAGCTTAGACGATCGAGGAAATTAAGACCTTTATAGAGACGATTGTAAGCTCCCACCAGAAGATTAACGCATACCTTAGCTTCTAAGAACCTTTTTTCTACTATTATACTTAGACGTTTATATTAGTTTTACGCAGAGGGACCTGCGCTATTTTTATCGGGGGGATGTAAGGTTATATAACCTCCGGTACCTAATATATAGGTATATATATTAGGTAGTTACCTCCACAGAGGTTAGATAGCAGTAAGTTATCTTTTATATATCTCTTGGTCCCTTACTACAGTGACCTGGATGTCCGACTTCTACACACCTCTCCCAACGTTAACATCTCATAGGCAGTAAGCAATATTTTTTTTTCTGTTTAATAAAAGGTGTGGCTGGTGATGTTGAATATATAGCACTCTCCAACTGACATAGAGATATATGTTACAGCGATCCCAATATTGGATATCTATGCCCGCTGATGCATGATAGGCCTCCAGGGCAGACACTTATAGAGCTATCATAAATTGAATCGTTAATCATTTAAAAGACATATTGAAAGAAAGAGAGTTTACACTGAGGCCCATAAGAACAAGAAATGTCACTGATAATATTTATTTCATTGATGCCACCCCTACATTGCAGGTAGGAATTGACGTGATTGACATATGGCTTGACATACAAGAAGAAAGAAAACAACTTACGCGGGGACCGACAGAAAGTGAATGCTGGGAAGAAGTGACCTAACATAGGTTTAATTCTTGTGAGAAAGGATAGACATCCAGGTTTCTCCCCAAAAACTGGGTCAAAATCGTCATTTCATCCTCGCTTGCCCCTTTTGCAAGCACGGCATGTCGATACTGACGGCCGTTTGCCGTATTCTCAGGATCGGCTTTAAATACTGCGTTAAACACATCGGCAGCATAAACAAGCGAGCTGGCACAAAACGAGGAGAGGATTTCCATTAGCAAGTTTGTTGGATTATCGAATGACATTGAACGAATAATGACAGAAAGAGGAGCGAAGCCACTCACAATAAATAGCTGTAATAACCAGCATTGTAATCGTTGACAAAGTGCCCGAAGTTGGCGTAACCATGTCCCCAAGCCCAATCACCATTCACGGCTTCACCTCCATCCAAAGGGAGAACGTTGCGCCGTAGCTGGTTCCACTTGATGGCTAGTTCCCACTTCTCGGCTTCAGTGTTGTTGTTGAGCTGATGAACCAACATGTCGAACATGCCGATGGACGCTTGACGTAGGTAAAACAACGCGTTGTTGCAGTGCTTGCTACGAGCTAGATTGGCAATCGCCGAATCGGACAACCTCTCTGTCGGTCTGGGCCTGCCATTTGCCGCTTCGCTCCATGCTTGCAAGTGCTCCGCGGATAGGTATGAATAATGTCTACCTAAGCGCTTCAGCTGTGATGGTGTCCAGCACCAGTTCTCCAATACCTGGCTAGGCATCTCTGCAAAATCAATAGGCGACGCAGTTCCGTGAAAGCATGCAAACTTGGTTTGGGCCACGAGCTCATGGATACCATGCCCTAATTCGTGGAACAGTAAGATAACGTCACGGTGCTGGAGGAGAGTTGGATTGGTGACACTTGGTTTCTCAAAGTCGAACAGCAGTGCAGTCGCGGGATATTGACGTGATCCGTCCGGTAGAATGCAGCCCTAAATATGGCTAATTAGCTCAACTGGCACATCTACCACCATCTTTGTTCTTTACCGTCACTTCTGGGCGGGATTGAACGTATTTTGCGCTTAATACTTACTGGCCGGATTGGCACATTGCATGCATTTGAGCGCTTGCCTTTCCTGTCGTAGAGGTCAAGGTAAAGATAGCCAACAAAGTCACCGCCTTCTTGCTTGTCATTCCATACACTGAAAACTCGCACGTCATCATGCCAAAGTATCTCGGCGCTGCTGTTTTGCCCAAAAGTGACACCGGAATCTTGGTTTGGCTTGATGATCTCAACAAAAACCAAGCCAAAAAGATGCTGGTTGATTTCCAGCATGGACTCTATAGTTGGCAGGAGTGGGAAATATTCTGCCAGCTGCTGCTGATCCAAGTCGTATTCTCTCTCCAGCATGAGTCGATTATAGAAAGCATGGTCCCAGATGTAATAATGCCCATCAAATGACTCTCCGCGAGACTCGACATCCCTCTTTTTAATAGCTTTCAACTTCTCAACCTCAGCTTCTGCAGTCTCGGAGAGCTTTGAGACCAATTCAGCTAGGAAATTGTTGACAACATCTGGCGTTTTGGCCATTCTATCCTCAAGTCTCAATGCAGCATGGCTGGAGTAACCAAGTTGGCGAGCACTTTCGGCACGGAGCAGAATAAGCTCTTTGAACACATGTTCATTTCCGCGACATTGGTTCTCACTAGCCATGTAGCAAAGCTTTCGTGTATCGGTATTTGTGGCAAACATCATAACCTGAAGTATCGTTCCAGAATCGCATAGGAACAAGTGCTCGTCCCCAGTGGTGTCGGTCTTAAATCTGGATAAAACTTCGTCTGGCACCCCTTGCAAGGCCTGGCGGCTAAGCCAGACTTCTAGACGTGAGTCTGCCAAGTTCTTTGCAAAATCGGCCTCTAGAGCGGCTATGCGGGTTTGTATTGCTTGGAAGCGCTGGCGGGAAGTCTCTTCTGAGAGCAAGAGTCCATTGCGGAGATGGCTCTTGTGCTTCCTTTCTAAATATCGCCGCGATTCACAATCCAGCAGCTCACCCTTGCACCGCACGGCGTTTATCAGGTTGAATAGATCAATGCGGAATGAGGTTTCAAGTTCGAAGTCCTCAAACATGGTGGCCGCGACGTTGGCAGCGTCTTGCAGAGCTGCATCTGGCGAGAAGTTTCTGTAGCTGGTGACGAGCCACCTTTCTGCCGAAACGGCATTTTCAGCCTGTGCCAGTGGCAGAAGGACATTGGAAAAGGTCGCATCTTCTGTCAGCACTGTGTCTATAATCTGCGTCTGCGCCTGGCGAAGCCTTTGTATCAGCTGCTGAGCGCGCTCGGTGATAGATGATGGTGTTGCTTCGAAGAGCGGAGGTGGCTCTGGAGGATGAGACATGGCTATGGGAGCGATTTATTTGGGTAACAAGTTGTTACAGTTCATTGACAATTTTGTTTAAAAGGCTCATACCACTTCGACTGAAGGAACTTGGGTTCACATGCTCATAAGTACTATTACCCATGCCTATATATATCTAACAAAATACTTGAGCAGGATCAGGAATCACATTCCCTTTCAAGTTGGTCAATAGGGTGTTGGGCCAAAAGTTCCGTGAAGGTGGAGTGCAAAAGAGGAGAGAAGGCTCAGCAACCCCCAAAACTTGAAACCCCCGCCAACTTGTTAGATGAGGCTGCGACGACAGGGCTATTGTTATTCTTGCGGCTCAGAACCGCTATCTGTGCCGCTTTTAGATTCGAACTCGAACCTGCTTCACACCCTATAATATAGCTATACATGTATTGCCCTGGCAAGGCTGAGCACCAACAAAATTTGCATGCATAGTGGCAACACCATTAGGCTGTGTCTTGCGGCACCAGCAGCCTCTTTTTCCTTTTTCTTTCTTTTTTTGTCGAATGCAACAACGACATCAGGATCAATAACTGTATGGAGCAGCAGGAATAGCAACCAGCCTTAAGGCCGCATGAGATGCCCAACCAACTGCAAAGCGTCACATGCAGAATCTTGAAGAACACACGTCCAACAGGATGGGGGCCGAAATCCACAATTGTTCAAGGGCGCCAGCTTTTCTGTGACAAGTAGCCCAACAACTTGTCCTTCCGCACAGAAAACCTGGAATACGTATGCATTCTGTACAACAGGAGATAGCTAGATGTAATTTCATGCCCTAATACGTTATCTCCAATACGGATGAGCTCCTAGTTCCTGGTTAGCTTCTAATACAGCCAGCCAAATTAAAAACTTAAGTAATAAGATAAGGTAGATAATTGCTCGGCAAATGCTATGCAGGGATATGTATACGTAGCTATGTAAAATGAGGAGTAAGTTTAATGAACTATTGGGAGTTTTGAGCTATGGATTGCCTTCTTTTCTCCCGAAGCGCAGCCTTTACACTGGCAACCTCTTCAGGAGGAAGAATACTTTCCATGGCAAAATGATAAAAATGTGGCATATACCACTCTCCATTCGCCATCCATTCGGTCGTCGCTCCCCATGTCAATCCCAGGAGATACATCCTCCATTGATCCCAAAAGGCAAGGCCCAGTGGACGAAAAGAGTCAAATTTAACCCCTTCGAGGGCCGAAATCCTCCTTGCCCTACCAACTGTAAGTTCTTTGAAGGCTCTCACGCCAGGACTTGGATGGAAAAAGGAGCTTTCAGATTGACCCCATTTACCAATGGAGCTGATCATTGGTTGGCCATCTTTAGGCACAGGAGAGCCTCTATTCAAAATATGGATCTCGTTATCACGGCGAAATCCATACACAGCTGGTGCATCTTCGTATGGCTTTGGAGAAGTTATGGTTCGCCTGGCACAAACAGCAGCCGAAGGCGCCCGGGGCAGTTGATAATGCTCATTCTTTATCGTATCCCCAAGAGTTCTTACATACAGCATCGCAGTGTTCACCTCTTCTAACCGAGTGATAGTGCAGCGTTTCACAAAGCCAGCTGCGTCCATGCTGCTGAGTGTCGTAACGTCTTCTTCTGACCAGCCTGTTGTTCCAGCTCTGTCTCCGACTAGGCATTGAACTTCACCTATCAACTGTATAATCCACATGGCACGTAAAGCTCTCATTTCTTCGATCCAGGTGGGCTCTCCTGCATCAACCACTTTGACCGGGGTGCCAACAAAAAGGCGATCTTCGGGTTTAATTGACTCATATTCAGCTGGCAGGTCATAAGCGTGCATCGGCCTGAAGCCAGGATCTCTTATTCGTACTAAGCACGATTCTAAGCATGCCTGTGCAAGAGCAGAGAGATGGTACGCAGTTGCAACGACGGATCGGAGCGTGGCCACTGGCACAATGGAGGCCGCGAGTAACTCAGGGCTGATAGAAGTCTGGGATCCTTGAAGAATCTCGGGAGAAAATTGACTTTGCATGAATCTCAGTTGGAAATCTCGGAGGTCTCGAAACGGAAGAATTCCAGAGCGCACGAGGATGACTCCCCTCATGAGTTCTGGGAGAAGCGAGGGTAGTATGGAATACGGCCCAGAAAGGATGCTCTCGGTAATGATCAGAGCATATTCATCGAATAAGTGCCACGTTTGAGGCGATGCCCTCATGAGGTTCCAGAGCGTGTCAAGGCCGGGAAGTTTGGTGACGATTTGCAGCAGTAACTCGGGCGCCAGCAGCTCGAATGATGCTGAGCAATTAGGCGTGTTAAGCGTTTCTCTAGCTGAATCGTCCATTTCTCCCATATAATTAGATTCCGGTGCAATAACAAAAGAAACATAAGAAGAGGCAGGATATTCCGAAAGCGCCGATGGGAAGACGAAGATATGAGGGGGGTTGACGTCAGGCTAACTTCGTGCATTCTGTAAATTCCACTACTGGAATATGAGGGGTTCTATCAATACCACCTATATGAGGTACCTACATGTACTTGGCACCTCTTGTATCTTGCATTTTCTAGAGGCAAACTTCGAAGTTAGCAGAATAGAGTCGCTGTGGTGCTGGAAATGCAGCCACTCAATTCAACTCATTTTGTGCGTTGGGAGTATGATGACTGTCACTTGGCGACGCACTATGTACATGCGCGCTTATGAAGACACCCTATTAACTTGATAGAGCAGAGCCGCCTATGCAATTTGCCCCTGCATCTGATACTTCGCTTTCATCAATGCCATCCGCCGTCGGCATTGATTTCCCCATCCATAATTGGATCCAATGGGCTGCAACCCATCGGATTAAGCCTTGGATGTAGTTTATGATATATTTCTTGTGAATATAAACAGTTTATAACATTATTAGCAGGATAAGTAATTCTTGCTATTTCGAACGATTGGCATCCGCCCACTTGAAATCGTTGTTGCCAAAATTAACCTTGATTTGGCATGATAAATCTTGATGTGAAACAACAGGGTACAGCTTACGGTATATAATGTCGCTGCTTTGAGAATCTGGTGAATAATTAGAAGCTGTGTCACGTCCGCCACCGAACAGGCTGATCTTAGAGCATTAATCTCGGCAAACTCACAAACAGAGACTCCATCAAGAGTGAAGAAGTATTCTCCCGAATCATAATTGATACCGCATTCAACTGTGTTCCCGGGACAATATTTGTATTCAATGCGGTCATCAGCGTTGTAAACCTCATGGTAAATACCGCCGTTGTCTCCATGATAGCCTACCGACCATGTTTCCCACCCTACATGTCCCTGTGATAGATTACAAAATTCGCCACAGAAGCCGATTCCAAGTGAAAATGGATTAAAGCTATTGGTATTTTTATCAGATTCTTCGAAAGAATCATCATATTTCTGATTCTGGATTGTAACCTCGAAGTACGCTTGGCCCAGCTCTCTTGGGGGAAAGGGAAAGTTTGATCGCAAAGCGATTGGTTTCCGTCCATCTAAAAATTGGCACATAAGCGATGCTTTAGCTTTGAAATGAGTTACGATGGTATATACATACACGGAAATAGAATTTCAAGTGTATCGGATCCAATGACCATTCGTGTTGAATAATCTGTATCCGGAAGCTGCCACGATGTTGGTAAAATCAGGGGTATTAGAGATCTTAGTCCGTTGTTTAATAACATCCTCATCCCATTTATCTAGTTGTATTCTTGGATGATATTGATACAGAAAATGATCAATAGTCCAGTCATCCTCGTCTTTTTCTTCTCTGGCGATATTTTCTCGAGTTGATTGAAGTGCTTGCCAGGCAGTTAAAAAGTCCAACTCTATTACAGAGCGTAGCTCTTTGAACCCTACATCATAAACACGCGCCTGATCCATATTTTTTATGCACGCGAGTAGAAAAACTTCGGATGTGCTGCCGGGAGACATAATAGGTAGATCGAATATAGATCTCTTATTCTGATCGGATCTTTGGAAGGGATTGAAGCCAAATTCCATCATGTTTTTGACAAACAGTTGCATGACATATTCTGGTTGAACGTTGTTCACGAAGGTCTCTAGTTCATGGAGACTTCCTTGAGAGATTCCTTGTGGCAGCCCACAGTGATGTTTTACCAGCACTCTAACACAATCCACTTCGAATTTTGAAATGGCTAGCCAGTAGGTGTTAGATATGTCATTATCATCCCAGATTGGGTTATCTCCGAAGAAATCCCCGTGATCAAGGAGTACAGACAAATTATCTGCTCTCCTACTCTCCACGGCGATTTCAAGACATGACTTCATAAATACCGTCTTTGTTTTCGCTTGCAAATTTGCTCCTTTATCAATGAGCATCTTCAGAGTCTAGGGAGAGCTTACTGAGGCGGCTCTATGAATAGGAGTCATTCCATGATAATCATAAATACTCGGATCAACACGAATAAGTCCTTGATGTTGTATGAAAATGTCATCCAGACCTGCAGCCCAAGACAGGTGAAATGGGGTTTGCTCCTTATTGTCAAGAATGTTGGGGTCAGCCCCATTCGCAAGTAAGAATTGAGCGATTTCCTTTTCCCCCCATTCAATTGATAGATGCAACGGTGTCCATTGATCTAGTTTCTGAACATTTATATTTGCATGTTTGCTAATGAGGAGTTTGGTCATCTCTATGTTGTCTGCAGCATCATGAAGAGGAAACCATCCGGAGTCTGTCGGAAGTTCTGGATCGGCACCACGATTAAGGAGTTCTGCGACGATACCAACACTGCCAGTATAACAAGATGCTTTAAAAAGTGGGGTTTGATTGCCATTTCCTTTTCTGTTAATGTCTGACCCAACATCAAGGAGGAACGATACTGCTTCCAAGTGGCTGCCCGCTACTGCGAGATGTAACGGCGTATTACTATCCTTGTCTGCCTTGTCCACCTCTGTGTTTTCTGCTTTCAGCAGTGCTTTCATGTTGGCCACGAACCCCCTTACGAGGAAATCCAAAGGGCCGAGGAAATCGCCCGCAGTAAGCGCGGGATGAAAGGAATATTCGAGCGGTTGACTCAAGGCGATTCCGTCCATCAGACGATGAACACTTACGTTCGGCCCTATCTTACTTTTGGGCGGAAAGCTGATGATTTTCATAACTCGGAGAGTGGTAAAAGAGATACTCTAAGGAAGATTGTCCATGACTTTCTACTACGAGATGTGGAAGGATTTTCTGGTTAGGTGACTCAGTCTATGTACTCCGTCCTTATGATGAGCTAAAAGATGTATGTAAAAAAATGAACTGGGTGGTCGTATCAATTTCACGTTGACGTCTACTCGTTTGTATGAATTCAAGCCCAGCTGAAAAGATCATAGTTGTAATAGTAGTTAATACATCAATGTAAAGCAGTTGGTGGCGAAATGGCGACCACTGACAGTTTTCTCACCAAGCTTATTCACATGGCCATCCACTCATCCACTGTTGTTCACCTAATATCACTTTCCCCACAACTGTATTTGACATCACCACTTAGAAAAAAATTGTAGCAACCTTAAGTTTGTATAAGCCGTCGTCATCGTCGTCCCGCTCAAAGTCTAATTGACCTCTTGACAAGTCCCCAGAGTGGATGGCCACGCAACCCGCCCACAGTAAATCCAGTAAATCCAGGGCGGTTTGAGGCGGTGCAGGGGCACGACGCGAGTCTTAGCTTCGATGCACGATTCTAATAGTTACTGCAAAGGGAGGCGTGTGGCTGAGTGACAGACAGGGGGGGGGCCGCTGCTACTGTGAATACGAAGGATTGTGGACATAGGACGATGGACGCCAAGAGGGGGAAATTTGCAGAGATGAGGTGCATTTACGGGGTGAGATGAACAAAAAGCACCAGTTGATGTTATTCCGTGTTGAATCCACAACCTATACAATTACAAGTGACATCAGCCTCATTCTTTTATGACGTCCTCTTATTTCTCACGTTGAAGCCATCGTCGCACCGTTTCCAGACTTTCTGCCCACACTGTGACCAATGATGCCACTAATTGGCCTAAAAGGGCATCGATAGCACGATGTGGAGCTCGAGGGGCGCTAGAAATACAGTGCCGACTGTCGGCTCTAATGCAGCAACCCGTCCAGGCGTCCAGGGGGAGACAAAATAGAGCAGCAGTTGCGCGGCAAATGGTTGGAGCCAAGCCGGGGCAGTGAAACCAAAAGGATTCAACGTTATCTAACAGTTAGTTGCTAAGGCTTGATGAAACAGTTTTAGTGCAAGCCATTGTTCTCCATATAATTTTACATCTGCCGATGTTTTGGATGCTGAATGCTACCAATGAATGACAACCTTCTTGCAGCAATTCCTCAACTCTTCCTCACCGTCTTCCTTATTTTGTCACAACCCGGGCTGCCTCTTTTGGCGTCCCAGCTAAGCGAGTAGCAGCTGCTACAGCAAGCGCCCGCCCCCACTTAGCTGAACAGGTCCCCTACCTTTCACCTGTAGCTCTTAATCGAGCTGAGGCTGGGCATTTCGAAAGGCAACTTTCCGGGCGACGTGAACATTGAATACCCAACCCTTGATGCCTTTGTTCTGCTGCTTCCTCTTCCTTGCAACATCCCACACCAACAGAGTCGAAATCAAGCGCAACCTCATGTCCAGCTGGAGCTGCAGCTTGCTCCATTGAGCATCGCGCGCATTCCTGGCTGCGACAAAAGACCGCAGCTGATTCGACCGTTTTCCCACCACCAAATGCCAGCGCCACAGGCCTAGCACTCGTAGATCATGCCTTCATTCACCCCCGACGAGCGCCAGCGCAGAATCGTTCAATTGTCGCAGCAATGGGGCATCGAGCTTCCGCAGATTCCTCCTCCCCTATCGCGGCCCATGCGACCGCCCTCGTTCCGCACTCCCGCAGATGACCAGGTGGCCGAAGGTCTCATCCAGCAGCAGGCGGCTGAATCAGCAAGAACACGCCCCAAGAGCGGGCTGAGTCGCGCATTTTCCTCGAGCAACTTGAAAAAGGGCAAGGGCTGGGATGCAAAGGATGTTGTCGATGTCTTGGGGCAGTGGATCGCCAACTCCGGCTCTCCGGGCGTGGCCGAGGCCCTCATCTCAAAGCTGACGGCGGCTGGCGTCGATTTGTCTGGCGCGGCGCAGCAGAAGAGTGGTATTCTGAACAGGAGGAAGAGCCTGGATAGCTTCGATGGCCGCACCCAGCTGCTGAGGTCTGCCGTGGAAAGAAACCTAATGGACATGGTCCGCGTCCTGCTTCCCCATGCTGACACTCTCGCGCTCGATGCCTCGCTTCCCATTGCCATCCGAAACGGCAATGCACAGATTGTGGAGAATCTGCTGAGATACGGCGCCAATACCTCGCGATTGACTGAAGCGCAAACCGCCTTTCGCCATGCGTGCTCGCTCCATGGAATGTCGGCCATCGTCAGCCTGGTGCTTCAGTCAGAAGGCCGACCTCCCGATGAGCTAATCTCGGACGCCATGATTGACGCCGCGAGGGCGGGCAACCTGCAGAGCGTTCTCTATCTTAGCCGCTCCACAGCAGATGGAAATCACAAGCAAGCCGAAGCCTTGAGGCAGGCAGTCGAATTGGGACGCAAGGACATTGCAGTAGCCATCATCATGGGAAACCGGCCACCGCAGCGACCAGGGCTGGACAACGCCTTCCAAGCCGCCTTTGAACATCCATCGATGAACCCGGACTCCAAGCTGGAGCTGTCAGAGCTCTTGCTTTGTGCAGGTGCCGGAGGAGACTTTCTATCTCAGGCACTCGAGCTATCTTGCGAAACCCAGTTCTACGATATGGCTAACCTGCTAGCCATGTATGGCGCTTCTATCGAGTATAACGATGCTTCGATGCTCAAAGGCGCTATTGCTCGCGGACAGCTTGACCTAGTGAATTCACTTCTTCATGACAGAACAGCCCTTAGCACACCGGCTGCGTCGAGCTGTGTCTCGGCCATTCCAAAGCAAGCCGCCCCCGAAGTTCGTTACACCTTGCTGAGCCTTTTGCTCAGAAAAGGAGCCAACGGTGATGCGCTCAGCCATGTTCTCATCGACGCTGTTGAAGCTGGTGATGTGAACTCGGTTGAGCTTCTTCTCAACCCTTACTTCCCAACGTCGCAAGCCAACGGACATAAGCCCTTGAATGGTGGGCGCCATGCCGTGGCATCAATTGATTACCAAAATGGAAGAGCCCTTTCCGTCGCCGTTATTCAGTCAAATATCGAGATGGCAAGGAAACTCTTGACCGCACGGCCTTCGGCTAACACACTAACAGCCGTATTTCCGCTTACCATGAGGTTGTCTGGCACAGATCGTTATCAAATGGTTGAGCTGTTCATAAAGAAATCGGTACCTGCGACAAGTTTACATGCTGCCTTTCAGGATGCTATTGGCGAAGACATCACCAAGAGAGATAGAGCGCTCATCAACTTGCTCCTACAAAAGGACGCAGACGTAAACTTCAACAATGGCGCCGGACTAGCTCCTCTCATTTTACAAAAAGACGTCGGTCTTCTTTCTCCTTTACTAAAGAAGTCAACTCCACAAACAGCAGCAGCAAGAACACACGACGCTATGCGAGTTGATGATCATAGGGTGAGATTCGACATCATGACGTTATTGTTCCAAGCGGGTGCCGCCACTGGTGTGGCTGAAATCGCAACGGCATTATCGGAAACATTGAGTGAGAAGCCTGTCGACATGTCATTACTTCAGTTATTGCTTCAGCACGGCAATGCGGATGTCAATGCTCTGGATGGCGCAGCGATGAACAAGGCGACTGTTAATCCCGATCCCAAGGTCCTTGGACTGCTCATCAGCATGGGAAAGCCCACGAGCCAATCGATTTCAAAAGCACTACAAAGCCTTGCCTCAACACCGCCATCTGATGGGAAGACGTTGAAGCTCCGAGTCTTATTACCAAAATCTGATCGAAAAGAGGATTTGGATAGCATCCTTGCTCAAGAGGTGCAATTCCTCTCACGAGACCAAGGCCAGTCGCAGTCAGCACTCAATACGCTCAAACTGTTGCTGGAATCGGGCGCCGATCCGAATGCGTATCAGGCTGCCTCTTTGTGTCACGCAGTAAGGGGAGGCAAGATACAGATTGTTGATTTGTTATTCGGACCTCAATGCCGTCTCAGCCAAGGTTCTTTGGGCTACGCGCTTCCTCATGCCTTAAGGCTGCAAGATCCCATGAACAGACAGACGTTGACCACGAAGCTTGTGGAGGCTGGAGTATCGCCGCAGGAGGTCAATCGAGCTCTGATACATGCAATCAAGACATACCCCGAAGACTTTGGCCTAATACGGACTTTAGCAAGCAAAGCTGATACTTCAGACGGCGAAGCATTGTCTCTCGCCATATCGAGGGAAGCTGCGGATGTGACTGACATTTTGCTGCAGAGCTCCAACCACTCAGTTGGCAACCGTAGCTTGGCGCTTACCAGAGCGATGGAAATTAAGAATCGAACAACCAGAAATGCCCTGTGCCAACGCTTATTAGCATATGAGATATCGCCGACGGCGGCGTCAAATGCTCTACTGGTTGCTGCTCGCGAAGGCGATGTCAAGCTAGGAGATATCCTCATGTCCCATGGCGCAAGCATGTCGGAAAATAATGGCCAAGCCGTTATAGAAGCATGCCGTGGAGGTTCTGTGGAGGTGCTAAAGGTTCTCCTGGGAACAGACATGGCAGTGAACAATACTACTCTAGAGGAAGGCTTCCAAGCAGCCACCGAAGTCCGCGACTTGAGCAAGCGAGCGATGATCTTTGAGCAACTTCTAGGCAAGGGGCTTAGAGGAGAGCTTGTGGATGCGCAGCTGGAATCAGCAGCAAGATATGGAGATGATGGTCAGGCCATTCTAAGAGTGTTGCTAGTCGCCGGGGCGGACCCGAATTATACCAATGGTGAGGCTGTTGTTGCGGCTACAAGAAGCGCCTTTATCAAGAACCTAGAGCTCCTCCTTGGACTCTGGGATGAAGGCGATAGCCAGGTGGGTAAAAAGGCAGACCCTTTTGTTGCTTGTATGAAGCTAAACCAGTGGACTCTACAGAAGAAAGTCTCTCCTCCTACATTGAATCGGGCACTCAAAGCATGCTGGAACCTGAACCGCGATGATCGATATCTGATAATTGGCGACCTCATGAAAGCGGGCTTACCCGTAGCGGAAGATTTGCATATTGCATTGAACGATGCAGTTAATGAAGAAGATTCTGAAGAGAGACTGGTGAAACTCCTTCTGGGGTACGGTGCTTCGCCTTTAGCCAACGGATGCAAAACATTGGTCGATGCTGCACAAAAGGCACTGTCCTCGACATTGGCTCTCCTATTGGACATTGAAATCCCCCAGCAAGACATAAACATGGCGTTTAATAACTCGTTCAAGGCCGACAAGTTCGAAGCTTGGTTTACACAATCTGGTTTAGAAACGGCGCAGATGCTCCTGGATAAGGGAGCAAAGGGCGACGCTCTGAGTGAGGCGCTCATCCAAGTTATGAAACATGTCAATGACAATATGGAACTCGCCGAAGTGTTTTTCGACGTCCTCACCGCTCATGGTCCAGATGTCAATTATCAGAACGGAGAACCGCTGCGAGAGGCTGCATCCCAAGCGAATATTGAGTGGACTCACAGACTCCTCGCCTGTCATCCATCCACAGAAACACTCACCTTTGCTTTTCATTCTATATTCGATACTGCACTTACTCAGGACGTGGTTTTGGATCTTTTCCAGATGTTTGCGGATTATCATGAAGGAGACGTCCGGGTTGATGTCATGGCGACTCGTGCTGGCTCCATGCCAGTGCTGGGGAGAGCCATCTCACAGTATCCTCGCTCCTCGACTATTTTGACGACGCTGTTGGATGCTGGTTACTACCATGATCAGTCCATGCTATACAAACTCCACCCAGAGATTGAGGAGGAAGAGGAGATGACGCTTCTCACATGGGCCATTGCCCAGCCGCAAAAGAAAGTCAGTTCTAATCTGATTCAGATTCTACTAGAGCGGGGAGGTAAGTGAATCACGCACCGTCTATTCGTAATTGGTCGAGCATTGCTAACATTCAGAGCAGCCAAGGTCAACATTGGAACCAAGGTATCAGGGACCACTCCGCTGATGCTAGCAGTTCGGGAGCGTCGCCCAGACATTGTAAAGCTGCTTTTGCTAGAGGGGGCTGACGTTGATGCTATGGACTTTCTTGGAAGAACCCCGATGGCAATGGTCACTCATCTCAGCGGCGACGTCGCTATTCAAATGATGGCCAGTCTTCTTGCTGCAGAACCGTCGAAGGATGATGGTTCACTGCATAATGCTGCTAGAGATCTCAACCTTGCAGCTGTCAAAGTTCTTATGGAAGCAGGACATGATCCCGACTTCCCCAGCCCGCTTCACCATGGTCGCAGCGCTCTTGGAGAAGTTTGTCTGCACGGATCCGATGCTGGGGAGATGACACCCGAGAGAGAGCGAAAGATGCAGAAAGTCATGACGTTTCTTGTGGATTCTGGATCCGATCTGACCATCAAGCTGAACGACAAATCTATACTGTATCTTTGCTTTGACGCGACAGATCCAGTATCTACAACTCGGGCCTTGCTCAAGAGCGGAATGTGGAAGCACATCAACAAACCCTTCAATCAGTACGCGGACGAAACATTTATATACTCACCAACGATGTATGTAGACAAGGTTCTGGCGTCACTCGACGCCCACGACGAACTCCTTTCTGTCCTTCGCGCAAGTCGTGCGACGGACGTGTATTATGCTAAAGAAGGCAACCAGCCTGAAGGGGCCGTCGGTTTGCCGGAAGATATTGAAGTTCGAGAACGAATCCGAAAGGCTCGCTCAGAGCGACTGGCGGAAGAGTCTCAGGACTTTGCCCTTGCGCTGGCCAGGAAGCGAGAGATTGCTTCTGTGGAACAGCAGATACAGTCACAGAAGGCGGAGATGGAGGATGCTCGCCGCAGGAGGCTGCAGTCCGAAGATCTCGCTACTATTCGCTCCAAGGCCCAGCTTGAAGAGAGTCTCGCGAACGACGCCTTTAGGCGACGTCTTTCGGAGCAGAGAGCCGTGACGGAAGCTACACTGGCGAGCTCGAGAGCGCTTGCTGCTTCCGATCTCGAGGCCGAGGAGGCTAGACAGCGCAAGGCCCTCGAGTGGGAGAACAAGCTCAACTCTGAGCGGGCGGGTAATGCGCGCGCGCTGATTGAGATGCGCATCGGCGAGAGGGAGGAGCTCGACCGTATCGAGGTGACGGCTGAGCAACGCATCCAGAGGCGTCTGGAGGCGCAGAGGAGACTGGTTGAGAGTCAGGAGAAGTTGGCGGGGAGATTGGCGGGTTCTGCGGGGGATCCTAGGAGGCAGATTGGGTATGTTACTGAGTTGAATTAATGGAGCGAGTTTGGGTGATTTTGGCGTAGGGGGGTTTGAGCGATTGGATTGTACTTTTACGATTTATGAAGTGTATACAACTTTATTTCCTGATATTTCTTTAATGATGTGACTAGTGTATACGAGTTAAGAGCTCTACTTGTGTAGTTAGTTACATGATCTTGACGCTTTTTTGAAATCAAGATGTGAGCATACAAGGTGATGCATTATTCCCATCCGGTTCGATGTGATGCACCTATGCGAATTCTCTAAAAAAGAGCCTTGCTAGTCATTATACAAGAAATTGGGTACGTCGATTTAGTTTTCCTTGGCCTTGGGAGAGATTGGAATTGCTGTGAAGAAAAACCCTTTCTGACGTGCATTCTGGCTACATATAATACTCCGCCGCTAATCTATCAAGACCTTGCGAGAGATTATTGCACAGTTCCTAAAGTATCTGCTACTATGGCTAGTATCTGCTACTATGGCTAGTATCTGCTACTATCGCTACTATCTGCTACTATCCATATATTCCTCTAATATCTGCCATTATTACCCAGGCTGCTTTACGTTTAAAAATGGGATGCTGAATAGCAAACTTGGGGTGTTGAATAGTTACTCCCATCTAATGTGATGGTAAATCGACGGATAGTGCACTGGTCTTGTCTGATTTTGAATCTTTCAATGCTTTGAGGGAGGTTAAAATTGCTGTGAAGACGCCAGACATATGCAGGTAATCCATCCTTCTGTTAGAAGCTGGAGCCAAGTTAACCCAATCAGCCTCTCCAGGTCTTGGGGGAGGTTAAAATTGCTGTGCACACTAGGCTGGTGTGATATCGGGCTACAGTGGAGCTGTTCAGTCTTTCTTTCTCTTATCTTTTAGATGGAACAAAGAAAGGATCCCTTTACCACTGTAATAACAAATCAAGCAGCAACATCTTCCTTCATTGGATTGCTTTTGTACTGATATGAGAGGGGCATTTGCAGGTTCTTCCTTTCTAGAAATTGCCGCCAAGTCGATTCAATCTTTTAGTCAGTGCCCTGAAGGAGATTTTCCGCAGAACCTCTACACATTAGTACTGACTGAGCAGGCAGTAGTGTGTGCACTCTGCAGAGGCAGTAATAGCATCCCTCTTCTTCAAAAAAATTTTTTCTTATCTCGAGAGAAGCGGTAACTTATTGGCAATCAATTCCTCAGTAATCTGTCATGACAAAATGATATCTCACAAGAGTACGGGGCCCAACGTATCCCAACCTCTTACGGTCTTGTTCGGTGCTAAAAATGCTGTGAAGAATCGATCGAAATTTTGCTGCCCAAAGTTATGCAATGGAGTCGCCTGCAATCCTCCATTAGGCAGCCTTTTGTGGGGTTAAAGATGCTGTGAAGAGCAATGGCTGCAGTCATCAGAGATATCACTGGTCCATCCTGCTAGAATCAGAGCCAAGTCGACCCATTTCATTTAAATTGCTGGCCCGGGGAGCATACAAGTGCATTCACGTGAAGCGAATCATGTTCACAGCAATTTTAACCTCCCCCGGAGCTTGAGAGGCTAACTTACATACACAGTCGACTTGGTTCCAGTTCCAGCAGGATGGATCAGTGACATCTCTAATGGCTACAACACCTTTACTCTGCTCCCTATTTCAAATGCAGGATGGACCAGTTATGCTCCGTTGTGATACAAAGCAGCGTTGAGTCATATCCAGGAGGTATTGACTTTCTTACAGTAGTCTTGATGGCTTATATCATACCTCTAGTTGCGATAAACACTCTCTTACCTTATTCTTTCAGGGTAGTTTTGGGATGCTGAAAGCCGTTCCCTTGAAAACTGGTACCTTGGGCTACGGAGGGATGACGCGCATATGACTGAATTGCTGCCCAAAATGCCCTCAAGTTTCCCACTTGAATCTATAGTATACCAGGTCTTGAGCGGGGATAAAAAATGCTGTGAAGTGATTGAGGCTCAGATGTTTTCCCTATAACGTGCTTATTTTCCAGCAGCCTCGGAGGAGATTAAAAATGCTGTGAAGAATGGGGCGGCCCCAGTCCCATCCTGCAGGAATCAGACCCAAATCGAGCCACTTCTCTAAGTAGGCTTCGAGGGGAGTTAAAACTGCTGTGAAAAGGCCGACATGGGAGGGGTCTTGGGAGTTGCACGGCAGGGGGGGGGGAGGGGGTTAGAGTTAGCCAAGCCGACTCGCTTCTCCAGGCCTCGAGGCCTTAGTGACCGTGGACATAGGTAGACAACCATAGCAGTTCCCAGCAATACGTCACGCACCAAAGCCCGGGATCCTATCTGCCCTAATCATGTACATCACGTCTATGCATAAAAAACTCTTCAGTAGTCGTAATTGTACAGTTATCACCCAACGAATCTCTTTTCTTCCGTCCTTGTCGTTAGCTTAAGAGAAGTGCCGTAGTATGTAATAGATCATACAATCACCCCCATATCCATCTCGATACATATTTTCTACTTCCGGTTATAGGCCCACACACAGCCGCTGGGCTTTCTTATGAGCCACGCACTATAGATAGAATACTCTCGTCTAGGTAGGAAACATAAGGGAATACAGGGCACTTACAGGGCAGTCAATAATAAACTCAAGGATCCAATACCGAGTCCGGTTCCTCTCTTGGATTCGTTTAACGTTCAAATATGAGAAATCCATAGCGTTCAACAAGTCATCACGGCAGCCTATCATCCTACCCAGATACCCTAAACGACTGGTATAATGGGACAGGCCCTCCATCACGGCAACTGCATAAAAGTTCTACAACCCACAAACCACTAAGTATGTAGTGAACAGATAGGGAGGCTGGTTCAGTAAGGACTTTCTGAGTTGAGCGTCTTTGTAAATCAGTACTTGTTAGATTCCTTCATTTGTTTTGCTGGAGGAGGCAGATGTTCACCTTCCGATAAGGGTGTCCGGCGTAACTTTTAGTAAGGGAGTGACTATTCAGCATCGTATTCTTAAAGTTATAGCGGTCTGGGCAGTAATGGTAGCAGATATTAAAGGAATATATGGATAGTAGCAGATAGTAGCGATAGTAGCAGATAGTAGCGATAGTAGCAGATAGTAGCGATAGTAGCAGATAGTAGCGATAGTAGCAGATAGTAGCGATAGTAGCAGATAGTAGCGATAGTAGCAGAAACTAGCAATAGTAGCAGATGCTTTAGGAACTGTCGAATATCTGTTTAAGCAATGGTGATAAAAAATCTTCATTTTACGTTGTTACGCCATTCGGAACTCCCCTTGGTCGCTGCGGTGCTGGATAGCCCTTCCCTTTAGTAAGGATACTTACTTCTATCTCCGTACCTACATACCCGGCTAAAACCTGGGACCAGATCGATGTAGTTCTCTACCAACGTGCAATTGCTACCAATTGTCACGATTTCAACAACAAAGGTGGATGAAAGAAGAAAACTTGCTCTTTTTTGATCAACTGGAACTAACTACCTATCATCAACTATTGATGATGAGCATGTCAAGCGAAATAAGAGAGACAATTGCCCCCGGGAAGGAAAAGACACTGCCCTAGTGTCATCAAAACAAATCAAACGCATAAGAATAAGGTCTTAAGCAAGTGATTGTAGTTGAATGAAGTTGTCTTCAATCGAAGTCGTCATCAATTGACAAAGTCAACTGTTGATGCCGTCCTCTGCCTCATCAACATTCAGCGGGACTCGGTCATGTGCGGGGTTAAAATTGCTGTGAAGGCGCGAATTGTCGCCATACGCAGTAATGGCCTGTTCTGGTAAATCGGGAGTAAATTCCATGATTCAGCTCTCTAGGTCTCGCGGAAGATTTAAACTGCATCGTATCCTCACTCAGTTCTCTTTCACTCCTATTCATCAACTTGAGAGAGATGTCTTGACAAATCAGTCAATCAACCAGTCCCTTATCTATCTTCATAAATATTTCTCATCCAGCAATACATTATTGTCCTTATTTGAAGCCATTATATCCATCGTTCAGCAAATCGATCAACTCTTCCTAGCCATCTTGATCGAGTCTGCACCCGTCTCAACGACTCTAAATGCATCCGCATCGCCATCTCCCCTGGCAGCCCTCTCAAAGGCCTCCTCACTCCTATCACATATCGTTTCCAGATCCTGATCGCTCAGAATGTCGTCCCCCCCTGATACTTCGTACACTTGGCCATCCTTGAGCAGCAAAGCTCGTAACGTTTCGGGATCCAAGTCCTCTTCCTTTTCATTGAGCTTTTGGCCCATTGTCTTGAACCCACCCTTGCGAATGACGAGCTTTTCCAGTCGTCGCTTAGCATCTGCAGAGAGCAATAGGGATTCCTCCACCGTTCCCTTCGTGGCGAGACGATACACCAGAACTGGACGAGTTTGACCAATACGGTGGGCGCGATCTTGAGCCTGCAGATCCTGTTGTGGGTTAAAGTCACTGTCAAAGAGGATGACAGTGTCTGCAGAGGCCAGATTGATTCCCTGGCCACCTGCACGTGTGGATAGCAAAAAGATTTTGTATTCGGGATCTTCGTTGAAAAGTTTGATGCTCTCGCGTCTGTCCGCCTGAGCAATGCTGCCATCAATGCGGCAGACTTTCCAACCACGTAGCTCTCTGCAGTAATCCTCCAAAATGTCGAGCTGTGTAGTGAATTGTGAAAATATGAGCACTTTATGGTCATCAATGAAGAGATGCTTCAACAGTCGATCGAGGAGAAGCATTTTCCCCGAAGCAGTGACGATCGTCTCGTCTACTGGGATATCGGTAGCGATATTCCACGGGTTGTAGAAATTGTGTGGAGTATTGCAAACCAACCGGAGCTGGGCTAGGGGATTGCCCAGCTTCTTGCGTGAAATCTGCTTTTCTGCGGACCCATTAGCACCTGTAAAATACGTGTGTGAAGATAACCGGGAGGAAACATACTGGCCATATCAAGAGTCTGGGCGCGTTCCATATCTTCAGCAGACATTGGCTCTGCATCCTTATCTTTTTCTTCTTCGTTGGCCATTTCGCTCGCCAGCTTTGCCTCAAATTCATCGTCGGACATCCTTTCCTCGTCGGAATCAGCCTCCTTGTATGAACGAGCATGGCGACGGCTGCGAACGCTCAACGGCGTCGATTGTCGACTGGACTTTGCGCTTTTAGTTTCAGAGGCAATAGATGTCGGGGGACTCTTTCGCTTCGGTGTCTTGTTCGTGGGCGTTGAGACGGGGTCGGGCTTAGCATTCTTAGGCGGCCGCCCTGGGCCCCGCTTGCCCATCATGAGGCTGAAAGCATTTGGCGCTGGTGATGCTGATCGTTCTTCGGCCTTTTTGCCTCTAGCACTTTGTCGAACAGGTAGCGAAACAGCCTTGTCGTCCTTTTCCTCCTTTTTGGCCGGTCTTGCCCTAGAAGAAGACCTGGTGGAAGCCTGAGAAGTTGTCTTGCTGCGAATGATCTCCACGGCTTTGTCCTCGAGGTATGATCGAGTGTCGATGTTTTTATTAGAAATGACATTGTACAGGTCTGTTTGCTCTTTTGTCATTGGAGCAAATAGAACATACTCTCGCTTCTTGGGCAGATAAGCGGCGACGTCTTGTTTAATACGGCGAAGCAGCAATGGCTGTAAGATAAGATGAATTTTCTTGACCAAATCTTGCTTCATTTGGTCTTCGATGAATTGTTGCGTCCCCTTCTCGTCTTCCAATTCCGAAAAGTCGAACCAAGATTCGAATGCCTCCCAATCAGTAAAGATATTTGGTAGAAGAAAGTGAAGCAGTGACCAGAGTTCTTTGAGATTGTTCTGGAGAGGGGTACCAGTGATGAGAAGACGGGTTGCAGATGAGAACTGCCTCAGTTGCTGGAACAATTTCGCGTCGGCATTCTTCATTCGATGACCTTCGTCCTGTTTGAGAGCTCATTAGCAAGCACTTCAAGGAATGAAGAAATGAAGATACGTACAATGATGATAAATTCCCACTTGATTCGGGAGAGGTTATGGTGGTCATTGATCACCATCTCGTAAGACGTGCAAACGACAGGAAACTTTGCAGTAGGTCGGCCAGATTTAAGATGGGTCATAATCTTCTTATGAAAGATTTCTTCTCGCTGGGCTTTGTTGCCATGGTACATCTCAATGGGAATAGATGGTACCCATTTGTGGAACTCGTCGATCCAATTCGACAACGTGCTGAGAGGGGCTACAATGAGATGAGGACCGAGGTACTGCTCCTGTTCACGAAGAAGTGCTATCAATGAAATCGTCTGAATCGTCTTGCCTATAGAAGGTTAGAACGTCAGTAGATGAGAAGATGGGAAGAGAGAAGGTTCACTCACCAAGACCCATTTCATCAGCCAAGATGCCGCTCATACCCTGTGAGCAAATCTCATACATCCAAGTAAGTCCTTCAAGCTGGTACTCGCGCATCGTACCACCAACCATGCACTTTGGCTGTGTAGCCATCTGCAGATTGTGCTCACCAAGCTTCTTGCCATCTAAACTGCTTCCAACACGACCGAGTACTTGTGTCTTCTTTGTTAGAATGTCGCTGAAAGCAGCGCTCTTCTGTAGCAGCTCATCCAGCTCTCGTGCCTTGGCTTCGCGCTCAGCTTTGGTCTCAGCCTTCTTCTTTCTTCGCTGTTTTAGAAGGGTAGCACGTCGTTTTTCTTCCACGGCAGTATTCGCAAGACGTGCCTTGGCCTCCTCTTTGATGATGTCTTCGTCCACAAGGCCAACATCCTCCTGGTCGTCGAAGGGGTCCGTAGGCGGAGAGCTGGGTGCAGTCGTGGGCGGTGTCCGTGAATTCGACATGATTGATTCAACCTCCGAAGCCGAGGTATTGGCCATGATGATAATCTTAACAGTAAATAACCTTCAAAACAAGAAACATGTAAACAAAACCAGTCGTCCAGTAAATCAAGGCCAATATTCTCCGATGCAGCCGAGTAGCCAAGAATTCACGGGTCACACAAGAGAAGCGCGTGAAAAAATCCAAAGAAACGCAAGGAAGTGCGCTAATGCAGGAACCAAGCGCAAAGTGATGCAAAAGTGAAGCGTCACACCGTGAAAAAGAGCCAATTGCAGCAAAATCCCAGCTGCATTCACCTTTTCCTCGGGTCCAAGGGAAGCAAATCGTGAAGAGAGCTGAGATGCATCGTGGCGTAGGGAAACGCGAAAGAGCAACGCGGTCACGTGTCTCTCCTTTCTTCCTTTGTGTTGCGCGTAAAGTGCCTGTAGCGCTATTAGTGTTTTCGCGTCAAGCCACGCTACCCCAAATCAACGGTGGCTGGTGAGGCGCCTTCGCCACAGACTCGAAAATCTGCCCCTCCATCCCACCATGATTCGACCCCGCCACCAAAAAATTGTCCATCTCAAGAGTCATTCACTCTAAAGCTCACCCTCACATAGAAAATACAGAAGCCAGCAACCAGGGCTTCATTCTCACCAATAGCAAAGCTGTTTCTGCGTCGAGTTCTGCGCTCATTCCCGAGCATCTCAGCCCATTCTTCACATCTCTCCCCTGTCTTGTACCTCTCCGTCAGAATGGCAGCCCTCAGCTCGCAAAAGTACTCTCCCACTGAGGAGGCCGAGATCCAGCAATGGCTCACCACCTCGGAGCGCCTCAAGTCCGCCGACAACAAGTCTGAGATTCTCGAGACTCTCAACGGCCACCTGTCCAGCCGCACGACTCTTCTCGGCAGCAAGCCCAGCAAGGCCGATGTCGCCATCTACGAGACTCTTGCTCCTCTTGTCGCCAAGTGGACTCCCGAGGAGCGCACCGGCGAGAAGGGCCTCCCTCACATTGTCCGCCACATTGACTTTGTCCAAAACGCCGCCGTCTTTGGTCTGGATCTGAAGGACGAGCAAAAGGTCAAGGTCGACCAGGAGGAGGTCCTGTATGTCAAGCCCCCCGTTGACGCCAAGGCCGAGAAGGAGCGCCTCAAGAAGGAGAAGGCTGCCGCCGCCGCCGGAGGTGAGGCCACCCTCGTCAACCGCACCAAGGAGAAGGCAAAGGAGGTCAAGGAGAAGGCCAAGGAGGTTGTTGCTGAGGCCAAGGGCGCCGCCGCTGCCGCTGCTGGAGGTGACAAGCCTAAGAAGGAGAAGAAGGAGAAGGCCCCCAAGCCCCAGAAGGCTCCCGCCGCCGCCGCTCCTCTTTCTCCCTGCCTGATCGACCTGCGTGTTGGCCACATCCTCAAGGCCATCAACCACCCCGATGCCGACTCTCTCTTCGTTTCCACCATTGCCATGGGCGATGCTGCTGGTGAGGACACCACCGAGTACGAGGGCCAGATCTGCCGTACCGTCTGCTCCGGCCTCAACGGCCTCGTTCCCCTCGAGGAAATGCAGGGCCGCAAGGTCGTCGTCGTTTGCAATCTCAAGCCCGTCAAGATGCGTGGCATCAAGTCTTCCGCCATGGTCCTCGCTGCTTCCCCCAAGGTCAAGGAGGGCGAAGTCGATGACCACAAGGGCCCCGTCGAGTTGGTTACTCCTCCCGAGGGTGCCAAGGCTGGTGAGCGTGTCTTCTTTGAGGGATGGAAGGGTGAGCCTGAGGGTGTTTTGAACCCCAAGAAGAAGATTTGGGAGACTTTCCAGCCTGGCTTCACCACCACCGACAACCTTGAGGCCGCCTTTGATGCCAGTGCCGTTGAGGTCCTGGGCAAGACTGGCGTTGGTAAGCTGGTGACTGAGAGCGGTGGTGTTTGCACGGTCAAGTCTCTGCAGGGCGCTACCGTTAGGTAAATAGATATATATTATACATAGACCAAGTGAAAAGACTCTTGATACATTAAACTGCTGCACATTATTAAGATTGCTCTACAAGAAATCGCCTCACTTTTTTTGATAGTTTGATTGTTTTTTTTTTATATATTCTTTATCATAGCTTGGCCATGACTATGGAGTGTTACATTGATGTACACCTGACCAGCCACCGTTTGAGTGGTGTCAATCAACTCCTTCATCCTGAATCCTAATATACATTGCTTGTATACAAAAATCGCTTAAAATGCCCCCCATGTTCTTCAAACTCCAGTACTGAATAAAAAACGCCATGTAGATGCATAAGTTTTCAACGCCATTCCACCTCCATTTTCCGTTTCTCCTTTTTAAATATCCGTCCTTCATTATACATAGTCGCAGCAGTAGACGCAAGATATACGCCACTTCGTAATTGCCTCCTTCATGAGAAGAAATACTTGCTCTCTCTCAAGCGCTTCACATCGAAATCACCCTTCTCAGGAACATTCGGGATAGTGAGCGGCAGCCAAACGGGAAGCGGCACCTTCTTCTGCTTTTTGGCAGGAGCCGTCTTCTTCGGCTTCGTAATCTGGGTCTCGAAGAAGGACGATTCCATGTCTTTCATGAGTTTCTTAGCCAGGTCGGCAGCTTGGGAGGAGTCTTCGGTTTGAGCCTCAATCTCCTCTGCATCAACACTGGGAGCCTCGTCTTCCGGAATGGCACCAAGTCCAATATCCTTGGCGTCCTCTTGGATATCCATGTCGACTTCGGCAGCCATCATGTCCTCGTACACTGATGCGGGGGTGACAATTTGCTTCGCAGCTTCAAGGTCCCAGGGGTTCCCGGAGAGCTTTAACTGGTTACGCTTATGTTCAAGGAGAAGCTCCTCCTTGGGAGACAGCTTGCTCTTTTTGCGCAATTCCTTGATCTTTTGAGCGACGGGGGTATCAGGATCAATCTTTGCAAGATAGATAGATCCTTGATGACGTGCCTCGAATTCGGCGCCCAAGCGGCCAACAACATCCTCTTCATGAATTCGGATAAAGGCTTCTCGCAAGACCTCATTCATAACATCGAGATCTCCAGCATGTGTCCAGAATGAATCGTGGACGGCAGCAAAGTCGAGTCCTCGCGCATCACATTCCAGCGCCGACAGTAACATGTGACTAGCGTCCAGAGAGTGGATGAAGTTGGGAGGGAATCCTTGAAGCTGCTTCCTCCTGTTGACGGGATCCGTTTGGTCACTCAAAGGGTAAATGACAGCTTGAAGGCACGTCTTGATTTCTCGTGCAGTTGTCTTGCGATACGGTTGAACGACGGGCATTCGAAGTGGCGTCGTCCAAACAACGGATGAACGGAACTGCTGAACAAGATCATCGAATTCGACCTTCTTTCCGGTAGGTGCCTTTTTCCTGGTTTTGCTGGCGCGAGAAGCACCGTCCTCGCCCTCGCCATACGAGTCTACAATTTGCTGTAGCTGGGCTGGAGTCAGCGCTCGGCACACACGTCCACCAATCTCTCCAAGCCAGTACTGGATGTCGTGGGCACCTCTGAACATGGTGGCAAGAGCTTGGAAGACTTGCTTCGCAATATAAGTAGACAATAGGATATTGGGAATGCCGCATTCTTTGCCCAGGTTGGGATATAAGGCGTCGATTTGTTTGCAAATTTGCTTCTTCGCTCCGGCAAAGGTAACACCGTACACATTCGTCATGACGGTCTGCTTGACCACTTTGCGGGTTATCTTTCCGTTGAGTGCTTGTGCAAACGCATTTCCCTTCTCCATATCTTTGGCGATGGCCTCCTTAACCAGGCTAGCGACTGCTGAGTACACATCTGCAGGCCTCTCTCCGGGCTCCAAGTTGACTTGCTTTGCTCCCCAGGTGTCACCACCGAGAGCTGCGTAGTGTTGAAGTCCGTTACAAGTACCATCCTGGTGGACTGGTAGGTGTGATATAAATTTGGTGGGGTCAGGGAGCTCAAGAGCAGCTTTGAGTTCAAAACACGCAGAGAGGCACTGCCATGGGTCTTCGCCTTTGAGCCACCATCTGCTGCCTCCCAAGGGGTTGGTGGCAGAGTCGATAATGTTGGCCACATTCTCATCCGAAAAGGCTTCACGTTCGTCGAAGCTAGCCTTGTCCAGGCCGTACACGTTAGCCAGATGGATTTTCAGCCACCGCAGACCTCGGACTCCCAGCTCTTTGCCTTTGGCGAATTTCAGAATGGCTCGCGCATGATCGGCACCCATGTGGTTGAGATATGTTGGCATCGGATAGGCTCTTCCTCGGTAGTCGACGTTGTGTGGGAAATATATCGTCTGATTACGGAAGGCTCGTGCAATCTCCAGCTGTAGGTTCATGAAACATCGCTGAGAGTGTAAACCAGACCGCTCGTTCTCAATCGCCTTCACTGCTCGAATCCAGTTCTTCCGTACAAGGGGATCTGCTGAAGAATCTGGTTCTGTAGGGGCCTCCAACTTTGGGTTGAGAGGTGGAATGTCGGCAATCTCTTCGCCACTGTTCCATGCCTCCATCATAACATTCAAGGTATCCTTATTAATGATCCATGCTGTTTTACCCAAGATGTCCAGACCTTTGAACACCTGCGTCATATCTCCGCGCTTGATCGCCGCGTTGCTGTACAACTTTTGCTCGACGTCACCGGGCTTGACTCTGACAAGGCTGGTCTTGCTGTCCAAAAATCCACCTTCGCTGAAGGACGTCCAAGGTTTGGGTTCCACAACCATGGGGAGATGTTTGGCAATGAAATCGCCCATTGGTTCCCGCTTTAGCTGCTCAACCAAGTGGGTGTTGAAAAAGAGGGCGCCAACTTTTTTGCCCTTTCGAAGTAGCGTCTGGTGATTAAAGGCGGGTTGGTATTGGCTAATCAGCTCTTTGGATGTTGAGCCCTCTGCCACAACGTTGACTTTGGCTGACTCGATCAACATTTGTAGCAAAATTGAGCCAACTTGAGCTTTGATTTGTATGGACCAAGGTTCTCGGCTGTTTTCTTCCATAGTTTTCTGCTGTTCAGTCGCATCGAGTAAAGCGGGGTTGGCATCTTGGCCGTTGGCCTCTTTGCCTGATTTGTCTGGTTTGCCCACAAAGCGAAGTTTTCGCTGTCGTCGAGCCTTTCTCTCGGCCAATTCCTTCTGATACATCTCGGTGTCGTCCTGCACAGCTTTTGCAATATGCGTGATCAATCTGCTGATTGGGATGCCTTTTTCAACACCAAGGACAGTCCCAAGGTTGATAACCGATAGAATCGTTACAGCTGCAAGACGTGCCGGTTCGCCCTGTTGAACAAAGGGACCGTAGATACATCTTGTCAAATCCTTGTCTGATTTCGATTTTTTCGCCTCTGATTGCTCAATTAATCTCAGCTCTTGGTGGATGCGGCTCTCCATAGCGCTCATCCACGATGCCATGTTCTGCGACATGGAACCTTCTCTCGAAGATGGCGACAAAACCGTAGTGACGCCTCGTTTTTGCAGATTCTTATTATCGAGACGCCATTTCTCAATTGCAGAACCAATTGAGTCCCTTTCCAGCTGCAGTTGAATATCCACTCGGTCGGAATATGGTAGCTTGGAGATGTCGACATCCTGTAGCCCCAATAAGAGCCCGAGACCTTTCTTCAAGGTGTTGAGGCCCTCTCCTCGCTGCGGGGTTGGAATGAGCTCCGGAACACTCTCAAAAGTTTTTGATTCGCTCAGCTTAGTATCAACAGCCGGAGAAGCCTGCGCATCTTCATACTTCTCTGGCGTAAAAGTTGAGTCTTCCATATCACCTTCATCGACCGCGAAATTGTATGTAGGACAGATTTCGGTAATAACGGCAAGGTCTTGGTCGCTTAAGATTTCGTCCATACTTAGAACTCGCAGTCCAGCTTCGTCCGGTGCCATTCCCATGTATCGCTTCACCAGACGTTCCAATCTGGCGCCTCGCTCGGAAAGCAGCGATGCTTTGAGCATGCAGGCAATCGTTTCGGCCGTGTGTGGCAGATTTTTGCTTCTGATTTGTAGCTCGTACCATTGGTGGAGCTGCTCGGCTTGTGTTCGATCGGGTTTGGTGCGCATTTGGTTGAGAGATGCCCTGAGATATTTGTTGTTGAGAATGATTCGCTCTTCGTCTGATGCAGTTCCCTGGGTGCCGAGACGCTTCAACACCAGTGCTGCTCTTTCCAGCTTTCCGACTTTGATGCATGCATCAAACACCGTAATCATATCTTCAGGTTCGCCGGGGATACCGTAGGTGTTCAATTTTGTTGCAGGTCTTGCAGGTCCCGGCTCAGGTATAGTCAAGGGTGACGATGGGTTGAAGGCGTGAATCTCGAATGGGGATTTCGGAGCTTGGAAGGGTGGGATTGATGAGTTTGAGAGGTGGTTATACGGCATTCCCTCCACTTTGAAGTCATCCACAGCGGTAGCAAGCGTTCGCTCGTGCGAGCTGAAGCCAAGGTCTAGCCCACGACGCCATGGCCGCAGGTTCTTTGTGCCGTCATTGCGAGGGCTTAATGTAGATATACAAGCCTGGAGAGGGGGGAGCCGGGAAGAAGTTCTAATTGACTTGAAAGCAGCCGCATGGTGAATAGAGGCGCTGCGGCCCGCATGCCTCGGCAGCATTTTGAGATGCAGATATCAATCGAACCGCCAGTGAAGACGTTCGAGATATACACAAGCAAAACGAGGAATTGGTACAGAAACAGGAAATACAAGGTATAAAAAGAAAAAAAGAGAAGAGTGGTGCTGGTCAGGAACAAAAAGTTCCGCCAGTATCGAGACTACTGGTGGTGGAAGATAGAACTTTCATCATGCGGGACCGCACACAGAAGCTCGTCCAAAAGTTTTTCTCTCGTACCATTGACGCCGGACGTGATTGGTTGGATTGGGCAAAGTGTCACGTGGAGGCCGCAATTGATAGCGGCAGCCCCACCAACGCCACCACGGGAGCTTTTCTGTAGAGCCAAAGGCCTGCCATATCTGGAAATTTCACCTGTGCAGCATCATCGTCCGCCACAGCGCTGGCAAAAGGCAGCAGCGATGATTTCTCGCCCGGTGGCTGCGACTCTTGGGTGCTGCGGATGCCGAGGTGCGATTCTGAGGGCCGTTGCGTCCAGGCCACTGGCGGGCATTGGACAATCGGCGTCGCGGGGAATACGGCCGGTTGCCAGCTCGGGCCTACGAAGTTTTCCGCCAAGCCAGCAGTATGGAACTGTTGCGCAAAAAGACGCAGAGGCAAAGCCGGGGATTGAGCAACGAAAAGACGAGGATGAGATTGAGATTGAGGATGAGATTCTCGACAGCGACGAGCCCGCGGATTCACCATGGTTTCTCGATGTTGAACCGCCACGACATGCGCCGCTGCAGCATATTGCGTCGCTACCCAAAGTACCCGAAGATGCGCCTTATCTCCTCGAGCCGATGATGAAATACATATACGAAGACATGGGCCTGGATGAGCTGTCCATGTTGGATCTCCGCGACCTGGATCCACCGGCGGCACTCGGTCCCAACCTCATCATGATTTTCGGAACGGCGCGAAGTGAGAGGCACTTGCACATTTCCGCAGGTCGCTTTGTACGATGGCTGCGACGAAACCACCAAGTTGGTGCTCGAGCGGATGGGCTAATTGGGCCGGGAGAACTCAAGACGAAGCTGCGCAGACTGAGGAAGAAGGCGAAGATGCTGGGGAGCAACACTATGATTTTGCCTGGTTCAGATAATGGAATTTCGACAGGCTGGGTCTGCGTCAATTTCACGGCGCATAACAGCGGAGCGCAAGAAGCTTCCAGCTACGATGAAAGCGGCCGGTTTTCAGGGTTCGGCACTCCCCTGACGGGAACTACTGTTGTTGTGCAATGCATGACGGAATCGAGGCGAAACGAGCTTGATTTGGAAACCCTCTGGAGAGGCATCCTCAAACGAAACCTTGAAGAGATGCAAAAAGTGAAGGGAAAGGTGGCGCTGAATCCATCTGAGCTGGAATCTCTAGTCACATCAAAAATCCAGATGCCTGACAGCCCTTCTGCTCATCAGTGGCAAGCCCTTAAACTGGCTTCTCAACAGCAGCGCCACTTTTCGACCATGGCTCGACGCCTTCAGGCTCGTACTCAGAGTAGTGAGTCTAGAGTGACTTCAATTGATGATGAAGCTCTAGTAACAGAAGATCAGTCGGATAGTCCTTCGTTTGATCTGAGTGCGCTGCGGCGGCATATCCATGATTTCCAAGTGGCCGGAACCGCCGTGAGCCGCGAGACTTTACAAAGCCTCATCTCCGCAGTATTTCGGGCTGAGGTAACGGAGGAAAACACTGCATCAGAACGACTTGCTCTGGTTGATCAGCTCAATCTCGTGGCGGAGGAGCGTGGACTGCCCATCATGTCCAAAGACTGGCTAATCACCCTCATTGAATCCATCGTCATGTCCCCAGCATATGGGCCAGAGCTACAGCGTGCACAGAAGAATGTGGAATTTCTTCTCTCCACCAAACAGAAGTCTGCGTTGAAAACTAGCGAAGTCCTGCGACTCATGGCGGCATATGCGCACCGGTCAGACTGGGAGAAGTTTTGGGACGCTTTTCGCTCGCCGGCTCGGTTTCAGTTGCCTCGGTCGCCAGAGCTGTATGAGTTTGCATATCGCGTCATGGCAGCTACTGGAGATCGGAAGCTATGCACCGATGCTCTGCGTTGGGTGTATCCCGAGATGCTCAAGGAGGAGCCCAAGATATGGCCTGTTGGGTCAATGTATGTGTCCTTGAAGGCATGTATCCTGGTTGCCGATCCTGCTGCTGAGGGTCTGTTGCATCATCCTCCGCCTCAAGATTCGCTGGACCTATTTGGCCAGCGGCAATTGGTGCACAGGGAATTTTTGCGTGTGCTAAGGGAAGTTGAAAATCTGCGACATCATCATGCTGGAGAACAGGCAAGAGAACAGAGGGCACAGACACTTCGCAAGTTATCGGGACAGATGCCGTCCAATTAAAGTCAGCATGTTCACAGTCTATGAAATGATGTAGATGTATGTATTTGACAGGGGGCATTGGTAAATCTGGGACTAGGAAAAGGTATGAGATCATGTACAAAAAACGCCGCTCCAAAGGGACTGATGACTGTATTCTTCTACGTTCCCATTAAGGCCACTCATATTTTATGTATCATAGAATTCGTTTGTATAAAATAGACAAAATATATATGGTGTAAATAATCAACCTCTTTTTCTCTTCTTATATTGCTCCATAATAGTGGCAATTCTACAGCTGTGACTGAGACGTCCCATCAACCGTCTTCAGGGCATCTCGAAGTAAAGGCGCAACCTGCTTCCTGCTCGCAGATAGATCCTTCTGCCTCCACGTCTTTCTCTTACCATCATCGCCATCCAACAACCCGTCCTTCCACTGCTCCAGCTTCAAGCTCTTTGCAACACTGGGGAAATTCTTCGCGGCCACCACTCCCCTGTCAGTAATCCCCCACACAAGGAGATGACGCTGGAATTCGCCGCCTGGATCCGACGTGGTCATGACACTTGCGACATCGAGCTTCCTTTCCTTGGCAAATGAAGCCAATTCGTCGATGAAGACGTGAGGGTTTTTGGCCTTGTCAAGCAAGTAATCGAAGTTTTGGACAATGCAGCTTATGCCCAGCTTGAGGCCCGCTTCTTCCCACTCCTTGTAATCCTTGCGGAAAATATCATAGAAGCTAAGTTTCGAGATATCCTCCTTGACAGCAGTGATTTCCTTGAAGAATTTATTTTGGTGGAAATGGTGATGACAGAGTTTTGTGTGCAGATATTGGGCTGCAAGGATGTCCTTTTCCTTGACCTTGTGCTCTTCCTTGAGGTCAAGCGTGTCGATGAGAATAGGCGCTAGGGCAAGTTTCGCCAGATTGTCGTCCTCGTCAGCGACGTCTTCGGTTTCTAGCGGGGCAAAGGAATCCCATGCTGCACGAGATTCTTCAATGATGAGACTCATGCAACTTCCGCAGGGCTCGACGATGCGTGGCTTGATGTCAGTGCTGGTGACGTTCTCATCGACGTGGTGGTCGATGCAACCGATGACTCGGGACTGGAATTTCCGCAAGTCGCCCGTCAAGGCGTTGTGATCTACCAAGAACCACTCTGTATCTTCGGGCTTGAGATCGGGCAGTTCAGATAACGTGAGGATGTCTGTGGGTGCGAGTCCAGCTCGCTGCAGGACATCGGTCATCTCAGTTCGGAGAACAAGATCAGACCGGGGAATGTTTGAGAGGGGAATGTGCAGAGTGTGGGGGGATGTGTTGGACCGGATATACGCCAGCACCACGGCTGAGCAGAGAGAATCAAGATCTTGACATATGTTAACCAGAGGCTATACTTGAAGCAATGGTAGTGATGTGAGATTTACCTGCAGACTCATTGCCAATCACCAGGGTCAGAGGCCCTGATCTCTGGGCTGGAGGAGCTGCCAAAGCAGACCGGGCAGCAGCCAAGAAGCCCTTCAGAGGTAGTCTAGGTGGCATCTTCATGGTGTAGGTATAGGTAGTTTAATATAGTAAACGCTGAGATCAATTCTATGCAATGCCTCTTCTTGAGATGAACTGAAGTCTGCAATTGCAAGGCTGAGCGTATAGCGGGGCTTTTGCCTGGAGCTCTTATCGCGATATCAAGCACTCCATTTTTCCATGTCGTGCAGCAGCAATTAAACGGTTAAGAATTTGCCCCTCACGACGTCATTCAATTACATTATGCAGTCAGCAGCAGATCATGTCTTGGTGGTTATTGAGAAACCATGATGGAAGTGGGATTCTCGCAATGTTTCGCCATTCATAGGTACCAGACTATAGTGAGATGTAACACACATGATGCAGTCTCAACCAAGAATATAGCAAAAGTGAACCCCAGCAACTTTTATAAGAGCTTACAAAGGCCTCCGTTTACACCTCCGAGACCTCCACTGGAAAGGCGCTCTCATTAAAGCCGGGCGGCCGTATCCAGCATACAAACGGGGCCCCATCCCGCAATTTCCCTTGCCGATTATGCGCCCTACATGTCAACCGCAGCTTTCGCTCACTTACTGGGCGTACCGCGGAGGCATTACTAATACCGCGCGTGATCCCGTTTCTAGCCGTATCACTTATACGACAGCTCGAGCTCCGAGTCAGGCAATTGAACAGGGCGAATCGAATCAAAGATGCAAATGTCGAGGCCAATTGCCGTTGCGTCTCGCTCGCTGCATAGCCTCTATATTAGACAATCACCCTCAATTGTCAGACGCGCCTATTGCCAATCCTCTGTTGCCCCTCATCGGCTTCGTTTGCCCCTCTGCCCCTCATCATCTTTATTAAGCCACCGATTACCCTCAGCAACAACACCAGCAACAACACCAAACACTCACTTCCGTAGAGAATTTTCTAGTACCAAAATGGCTCCAATCCCAGCAACCATGAAGGCCGTCCAGATCGCCAAAAACGGCGGCCCCGAGGTCCTCGAGTACAAGGACGTCCCCGTGCCCACGCTCTCCGCGGGCCAGATCCTGGTCAAGAACAAGTTCGCCGGCATCAACTTCATCGACACCTACTTCCGCTCAGGCCTGTACCCCGCGCCCTCCTTCCCCCTGACCATGGGCCGCGAGGCCTCGGGCGAGGTCGTCGCTGTCCACGATTCCGTCACCAGATTCGCGCCCGGAACCCGCGTCGCCTTCATGGCCGGCGGAGACTCCGCGACTTACGCCGAGTATACCGCCGTGGACGCCGAAAAGGTCGTGGCCATCCCCGAGGGTTTGTCCAGCGAGGAGGCCGCGGCGATTTATCTGCAGGGCCTGACGGCCTGGACGTTTATTCGCGAGGCGGGCGAGGTCAAGGCCGGCCAGTGGACGCTGGTGCATGCTGCGGCCGGCGGCGTGGGCACGCTGTTGGTGCAGATGCTCAAGAGCGTTGGGGCCAAGATCATTGCGACGGCGAGCACGGAGGAGAAGCTTGCGCTGGCCAAGAAGAACGGCGCGGATTATCTCGTCAACTCCCACGACGACATTGTCAGCAAGGTCAAGGAGATTACGGGCGGCCACGGCATTGACGCCATCTTTGATGGTGTTGGCAAGGCGACGTTTGATGCCGATCTGCAGATGATTGCCCTCAAGGGCCACCTCATCTCATTCGGCAACGCTGTAAGTTTTTCCCATATTATTGAAACAGAAAAATGAAAGAAAAACAATGAAACGATGAGACAAAGATGAACTAACAAATGAATCCCCACCAGTCCGGAGCTGTGCCCCCTGTCAACATCCTGCAGCTTGGTGCCAAAAACGTCAAGCTCATGAGACCCGTCGTCAACGGCTATGTCACTGAAAGGGCAGACCTTGAAAGATACACCTCCGAGCTCTTTGACCTCGTCATCTCCAAAAAGGTAGAGGTCAAGATCCACCACATTTACCCTCTCAAGGATGCCGCTCAGGCGCACATTGATCTGGAGGGCAGAAAGACAACGGGCAAGCTTCTGCTCAAGTTTGACTAGACGTCTTTCACGTAATGTATAAAATAAAAAATCATTTTAATTTATTTTTTGTTTGGTATTTCTTTTCTTCTATCGCCAAGAACAAAGGATTCATTGTCCAAACATCCAATTTGTAGATGACGCTCATTATGTTGAGAATACTAAATCGGTCATTCATGTCTATTTTTAGATATCACATCCAACTCTCCTCTTTTCTTTTCAATTGTATTTCCAATATATCCTGTTTTACGCCTTCTTGATGGCAGCCAGCAGCTCTGCTGGAGGCTCCTGTCGGTATCCCTGGGGGTTGTTGCTGACCCACCGCCACAGGTCCTCGCAAGCCTTCTCCATGGTGAATTCAGTCTTCCACTTTAGCTCCTCGTTGGCCAGCTTAGGGTTGGCAGTCAGGTCCAAGACGTCACCAGCTCTGCGGGCAACGACCTCGTACTTCAAGTCTCGGCCAACGACGGCGCTGAAAGCATTGATGATCTCAAAGACAGTGCTGCCACGGCCGGAGCCCAGGTTCCAAGCCTTGACGCCGGGCTGGTTGGAGCGGAGGTAGTTCAGGGCCTCCAAGTGGCCTCGGGCGAGATCCACGACGTGGATGTAGTCTCGGATGGCGGTTCCGTCGCGGGAGGGGTAATCTGTAGAATCATTAGAATTGATCAAGGGGATCACCGTAAAAACCACTACATACCCTCGCCGTAGACCAGCAACTTCTCGCGCTGGCCAGTGGCAACCTGTCCCAGCAGGGGGAGCAGGTTGAAAGGAACGCCCTGGGGATCCTCGCCCATGATGCCGCTGGGGTGCGCACCGCAGGGGTTGAAGTAGCGCAGCAGAGCGCCGTTCCACTGCTGATAGGGCTTGCCCTCCTTCTGCAGGTTGTTGCGCTGGGCATTGACGTAGTCGGTGATGACGTCCTCGATCATGGACTTGGTGCGGCCGTAGGTGTTGGTCGGGCCAATGGGGCAGTGCTCGGGGATGGGGATCATGTCGGGGAATCGAGTGGCATCGCCGTAGACGGTGGCGGAGGAGGAGAAGACAATGTTGGTAACATTGTGGCGGGTCATGGACTGGAGGAGCGCAATGCTGCCGCCGACGTTGACGCGGTAATACTCGAGGGGGATGATGGACGACTCTCCAACAGCCTAGAGTGTGCTGTTAGTTGTCTGGTCCTTGCAAAGGCTTCTTCTTCTGCTGGGGTCGCATTCAACTCGCCTTCAGCGCAGCAAAGTGGATGACGCTGTCGATGGCGGGGTGCTTGGCAAAGACCTCGTCGAGCGCCTTCTCGTCGGTGATGTCGACCTGGTAAAAGTCGGGGCGGCGGCCTGACAGCAGCTCGATCCGGTCAATGGCCACCTTGGACGAGTTGTAGAGGCTGTCGACAATGACGACATCGTAGCCGGCGTCGAGCAGGGCCAGAGTCGTGAAGGAGCCGATGTAGCCCGTGCCACTGCGGATTGGGCGCAGAGAATCATGTTAGTCCAAGATGCAAGATGCAAGATGCAGCACAAGGGATCGATCCGTCTCATGGCAAAGCACCGCGATGACGCTCGCCCAGCTCAACGCAAGTCGGCGCATCCTCGAGGCGCTGCGTGGGGCAGCGAGGGGCAATAAGCGCGCATATTTGCTGGGCTGAGCATCGCAGAGCGCGGCATGGCATGGCAGGACAGATGGAGAGGATGGAGAGGCCGTACCCGGTGATGAGAACAGTTCCGACAGCCATTGTGGTAGTTGAGCGTCTAGATTGCAGGGGAGCAGGAGTCGCAGTAGAGAAGAGACGTGAGAGCGCGAGTGAGAGGGGGGAGCGGAATTTATTGCTACGAGCGACTAATAATGTTTGTGCTATGGGTGCGGATACGCCTGTCATTACCAGTCTTGATAGGCGCGGATCGACCTGGGAATAACTGGGATAGTGCCGCTGCTGGTGGCGCTGCAACCGGCGCTGCAACTGGGACCGGTGACGATCTTGAGGTCCGACCGCTGCAGTTTGAGCCCGAGGCAGAGCCAGAGGCAGAGGCAGCGATAGCGATAGCGATGGAGATGCTGGCGAGCTGGCGAGAGACGGAGACGGAGATGACGCCAGCAGCCGGGGGAGGGGCCGTGAGGCCATAGACAGTCTCACGCTGAGCCTCTGCGCCTGCGTCTGGAGCGCCATGTTTCGGCGGATGTTGCAATCCAATGATGTCGAGCAGGGATAAAACAAAACTATAGCGGGAAGGGCCCCAGAATAGCGACTCTTGGGCTTGGCTTGGCTGCCATCGTTTTCAACTGGTTGGCCAGCAAGTGATACGCCAGACGGTAATTAATTCCCTATGGTGGGGTTAATGCGAGACGGGTATTGCTTCCAGACCAGAGATGGTGGCAATCAAACGCACTTTTAGCACCCAAACTAGTAGTAACCGTCCTCAGCTCTGTTCCTGGATTTGCATGGGACGAGTTCAACCACCTGGGTAGAATACGACACTGGCTCGTAACATTCCCTGCTGATTACTAGCTGCGTCCCCTGCTGCGTGTGATGATGCAGAGTGGCTTTTCATTTCGTGTTCAAATCATCGACCAGGTTCTGTTGAGGATGATATATGATATGGAGGTACTGTACTGTAGATGAAAATATGGACAGTGGGCGGTTGGCTGCAGATCAGTTGAGTTCGCTGAAGCTTGTGCTTAAGATGAAACGCTCATCGCCATCAACACCCTTGCCGGCCTCATTGCGCTTTCATTTGGGAATGTGCGTGCTCAACAAAAGACTGGCAACACCAGCTCTATAACAACAACTCTCATGCATAACTCTTTGTCTGCATTAGTCTTATCGAGCTGTTCATATCCTAATCTCCGTTTTCAGCCCTGTCAATTCTTTGTGGTACGAACACCCAAGCACTATTCGCCCGCTGAGACCCACGCAAGTGAGACCTGATATCGCCAATTTAACAAGGCTGTGCGCAGCCTCTGACAAAGACAACATGCACGCAATGACGAAAAAACGTGGCCGCATTGTTGCTCTGTTCGTTATCCCGAATCAAATCAATAAACACACTCTTTACATGCACCATCAAAAAAGATGAAACATCACTGGCCCCAAGTAACTCGTACCCGGTACCTCTGACGCGCACGTGACCCCGCTCAATCGTGCCTGATTCTTCCCAAAAATGCGCCGCTTAAGCCTCGGCGCGTCACGCTACCGCGCCCTCAGTGAAGTTGTCATCGCGCAAACTAAACTCAAAGGACATCTCAAAGAGACGAAATCCCATCTTCACGCCACCCAAACATATTTCCTTCTCACCCCAGATTTTCGAAGCTTCTATACGGCGTCATTGTTCTTCTCAGATCCAAACAAAGTGGCCTCCTAACGCCTCCTTACCGCTCCTTCTGGTGACATGCGTCTCATCCCAACTTAACAAAGATGCTCTTTGTTGATCACAACTCTCCCCCAGTAAGGATCCATCTTGGCTGGGACGCAAAGAATCTAGGCCCCAGCAGACGACGAATCCGGATTTGAGCTTGGGACAAAAATAGAATACGGCTGTCTTTATTTTGTGAATTTGGGCCTGAATCCGATCCTATTTGAACCTATCCGCCCTCGATTTTTCACCTCCACATCCGCCGGTTTTAAAAATTCTCAAAGTCTCTCATTCTATTCATCATCAACTGCTCTATCAATTCATCTACGACCACCTGAAGCGCCCTTCCTTGACTTTGTTACCATGATGAATGGTCGAAGGGGAGGCAGACCTCGGTCAAGAGAACGCAACCCTGCTAAGCGGCCAAACACCAGAACGGAGGTGGAGGATTTCAACAAGCCGGATTATCCCTCCTTAAAAGGCGCACCTAGTACCAAACGGCAGTATACATATGGAGCTGCAGAGGAACCCCGCCGCCTCAGCGTGGACAGCATGCCGGCCACCCTTCAGGATGCTATGCATGGCGTTCTTCGGAGACAGGCACGGCAGGAGGCTGAGGAGGCTGCGGATCTTCAACGTCATGGACAGCATCTGAAGCCTCAAGTCGCTCGCCGATATAATCCAGCGAGACAGGCCGACGACACAGAATCCGAATCAGACGTTGAGTCAAATCAGCTGTCACATGGCCGGGACAATGGCAAGCATAGACAGGGACTAAAGCCTGCTGCGACAAAGCTTGGTACGCCTTCCCTACGATACGCCTTGTTTGTTAGGCAAGGTGATGCTAATCATTTTCGCAGCAAACCCAAACAACACAGCAAAGGTGGCCTTTGACCAATCGTTTAGTCGGCCAGCATCTGAGGATGAGGACGAGATCGACGATGACGAGGATGGAGAGCTCACTCCCTCCGAAAGTGATGTTTCTGATTCGCGGAGTTTCAATGCTGAGGGTGATTATTTTGGGAATGCCTCGTTTAGATCAATGCCGCCGCCACTGGCCGTCAAACCAATTCCATTATCCAAAACGACAAAGCCGTCCGTGCCACCACCTTCCTCTCTATCAAGTCGGCCCCCGGCAACCAGGGATCAATATGAGCAGGCTACGCCGAATCGAATCCGCGAAGCTCCAGGCAAAGCTTGGAGTGCCGTCAAGAGTCTTCTAGGGGGCAGAGTTCTTGCGCCCGTCAGTCCACCCGAATCTGACACGCAGCTAAGTCAAGGGGTTAGCACTGGCACACTTCTAGAACAGAGCCAGTCTACAACAAGAATGCGTATCCCCAAGGCATCGACCATTGTAAGCTCAGCAAGTCAACCCCGAGGCACAGAGCAACGGACAATACCTCCTCGTGGTAACACTGTCGCGGGTCGTATGCCTCCACGTGCTACAACTCGGCAGCCGGGCAAACCTGTCGTCAGTCAACATGATTCTCGCTTTCCAACAGATCACAGTGAAATGGACGATGCTATGCAAGACAACATTCGAGAGACCGATGGCCAAGTTTCACGACAAGAGAAATGGCGGCGCATTCTCGCGTCCCTCTTCCCATATCTTTCTAGGCGGCAGCCTCGGCAAAGGGACATTCAAAATGGGGAATTCAACTCTCCTGTGTCTTCTGATTTGGATTCTGACGTTGATTCTGAACTCGATTCCACTTTCACCGACGACTCCATCAACTGGCAACAGTTGTTCAATCCACTCACATATCTACGGGCAATTTATTGGTTTTTCAGCGCCGCCATAGAGAGTGTCGTCAACTCCTTCTCCGGCCTCTTCTCGGATTCTCTACGAGAGCGGTTCATACTCATTGGTGAGGCCCTGGTATACACAGTTAGCGGCTTTTCATTCATCTTGTTGGCTGTGGTCCTGTCAAGCGTCGCCGTCGCCAATTTGCCCAGCTTCGGAGAGGCACCCTCAATTTCAGTTCCTTCAATCCCAATACCAGCCCTACCGGATCTTGGTGGCCTTGCCTCTCGAATTGGAAGTCTCATTCCTTCCATTACTTGGTCCTCACGGAGCGCATGGGATGACTTTCCAGGACTGGACGAGCTGCGAGGTGACCAGTATGCCGAGTTTGGGGATATGATTAACCAAATATTGCGAGACCTCCGCCTAATGAAGGGTGCTGGAAAGCTTCATGAATCATCTATTGAAAAGCTAAACGCAGTCGTTCCCAAGATGGTACACATGACACTCAAAGATGGGAAGCCCGTCGTTGCGCAAGATTTCTGGCATGCAATCCGAGATCTGGTCGAGAAAGATGGCAGCTTCCCGATGCTAAACAAGAGCAAGGCCGGCCATTACGAACCCTCGTCAGAGAAGCAGTGGAAAGATATCGCGGCATGGCTAGCGAGACGTCCAGAAATCGCCTCCAAGATCAACGAAGCAAACGATGGACTGGCCAAGAAGCTGCCGCATATGTGGGAGGCCTGGGCAACCGACAACCAGCGCAAGGTTGAGCAAACCCTACGCCCCATACTGGACAAGATGAAAATCACCGGATCTCTCTCAGACAAGGACATTGATAAGCGTCTTGACCAGTTGATCAAAAAGCATGTCGGGAGTTCCAAAAGTGGCAGCACAGTCGTAACTCGCGAATACTTCTTACAGTATCTGAAGGACGAGTTTGCCAGTCATCGGGCAGAGATGAAGGCCGAAATCATTGAGCTGCAGCCCAAGCTAGAACAGCTGATTCGCGACACTGTCGATCTAGCCAAGAAGGATGACTCTTCAAGCATCACACGGGCAGAAGTTACCAAGCTCGTTGATAGTTTGGTTCGCAAATCCATTGCCGATTTGAACCTAGAGGCCATGGCTAAGGGTCGGATTCGTTCTCACTGGGATAGGGATCTGAAGAACCAGCTCAACTACTTTGGAGTTGGTGCCGGCGCAATCATCGATCCCAAACAAACATCTACAACGTTCAGGCCCGATGCGAAATATCTCAACGACAAGGGTCTCAAGGGCGCTCAGCCATACGCTCCCATAGAGGCTCTTCTTCCATGGCATGACGATGGCGACTGTTGGTGCGCTGCCCGTGAGGTGAACAAACGCGGCAACCCCCATGGTGCCAAGTTGAGCGTCATCATGGGCCACTCAATCATCCCTCAGCATATCGTGATTGAGCACATATTGCCCGGCGCTACGTCAAATCCTGGTGCGCGGCCACGCCAGATCGAAGTGTACATCAAGATCGAAGACGCGGCTATCAGAGAGCGCCTGCTGGACTTTTCCGCTGCGCATTTCCCCGAGGACCTGTTCGACTGGAACTACGCTCCGGCTGATCTGCCTCCCCAGTTTGTCAAGGTCACTCAGTTTGTCTACGAGGGCGCAGAACTGCATGACGGCGTTCATGTTCACCGTCTCAGCAGCGAACTCATGGCGCTCAACGCCGAGACTGACCAGGTGATTGTTCGCGCCGTGAGCAACTACGGAGCTCCCAATCACACATGTTTCTACCGCATTCGCCTCTTTGGGCATAAAGTACCAGAGCTAGGCGACGAGTGAAAAAAAAACAATAACCCAAAAAAAAGAGACGAAGGAAAGAATACTTTTTGCATTCGGCGGCGTCACAGGAGCGTTGGTTTGATCTCATCTTGAATTTTGTCCCTTTTTTCTCTCTTTCTTCTTCTTCTATCGTTTTATTAGTGGGAAAGCATCTTTCTATTGAAGCCAGGCGCAAACGTAGATAGGGTCGGAAATTAACGGAAGGGGGGGGGCAGATGGAGCCGAAAAAAACGAGCAAAAGGAAGAATACCCTCTCACGCAAACGCAGCAGTTTTTTGTACAGATGGTGGGAAAATGTGACTTTTTTTACGTATTTGAAATGAAGACAATGGAGATTCATAGTGGAAGAAGTTTAGTTTGTTTGAGAGTGATGTGCAATGTTTTTGTGGTGCTGCTTTGTGTGTTGGTTTCCATCACCTCCTTTTTTGTGAGGTCTTATAGTTGGACGTATGGGCGGATCACTTGCTGGCTTGATTTGGCGATTTCTGTTTTTGAGAGGAATGCCAATGGGAAAGGGGAATTAACATAGAACGAGGGCGTTAAATAGAAATGCTGAATGTACCAGCTGCTGACTTTTTATACAAATTCTGATGCTTTTAAATTGTAAGCTAACATTATGCTCTGAATTACACCTCCCCCAATATACAACACCGGCCAGAAATGGCGCCCAAACGGTATCAACAAGGCTCCCTTCAACCATCCAACAAGCCCGCAGCCAAAGCTTCCAGATCCTCCAATGTCTCAGGCTCCTGGTCCACCTCAATAACCTTGCCTCCCTTCTTCTTCTTCCCGCCCTTGCTCTTCTTCTTGGCATCTTCATCGTCCGAGTCGTCCTGGAACCACTTCTTGGCCTTCTTCTTCGGCGGCTCGGCATCTGAATCATCACTGCGGTCCTCCCCAGCCATAGGCAGAGAGCGCAGCAGAGCCAGCGGATCGTCGCCATCGCCGTTCGCACCAAGCTGTGGATCAACGCCCTCTCCGCCAGCCATTTCCATCGCTTCCCTCGCCTTCCTCTTCTCCTTCTTCTCTCTCTTCCGCTGCTTCGCGAGTAGCTTGTCGTCCACATCAGCCTCCTTGACCCTAACCGTCTCGCTATCCAAGAACTTCTGGCGCTGCTCGTCTGCGGGGCCTTGTTGCTTGAAGTCTTCTTCGTCCTGGAGCTCGTAGATTTCGTGCGCGTTGCCTTCTTCGTCAAACACGAGCTTCGAGGAGTTGCCACGGAATTTGGCCATCTTCTTCTTTGACTGAAGGGCTTTCTCGCGGCGTTTTGAATCGACGACGTATAAATCATCGCCGCCTAGTGCTATGACCTTGGCGGAGTTGATGGGTGCCGTGCCCGTAAGTACGTCGACATCGTCGTCATTTAGTCTTCTCTTTACAGACAAGAAGTCATCCTCCTCATCGTCATCCTCCTTGCCTCCATCCAGCACAAGTTTAGAGTAATGGCTAGACAAAACGTCCTGGTTTGTTCGTTCAAACATCTTGTCGTATTTCGTCCGCACCTCTTTCTTGTCCTTCTTCTTCTTATCGTACGCTCCGTCCAGGTCCATGTCTGATTCTGAGTCGCTTGACATGCCTTGGCGGGGCGCATTCTTTATCCTCTTGATATCCTCACCCTTCTGGAATTTGATCTGTGGGGTTCCGGGCAAACCAAGGCTCGATGCATATGCGTCCCAGTCGAGGTCATCAAACTTGAAGACTTCTTTATCCTTCTGCAGGTGAATCGACCTTGTGTAACTGATAAACGCCTTTTGGCCCAGGTATTTCAGGTCGGGGAACTTGAAGCACATATCCTGTAGGTTGTTCTTGATACTCTTCTTCTTCTTCTCCTTGACGTGCACTTTTTGTATGGGGATCTTCTTGTGTTCTAGTCGCTTAATCATCCCCTCCTCTTCGCTGGGGTCGAGGAAGAGAACGGCGCGGCCATTGCTCTGGAATCGGGCCGTTCGTCCCACTCTGTGGATATATGTATCAGCATCTTCAGGGCAATCTGCCTGAATGACCCAATCAACTGCAGGGAAATCAATGCCTCGCGCAACCACGTCAGTAGCAAACAGACACGATGTCTTTGCGGCGGTGAATCTGTTTGTGATTTCTAATCGCGCCACTTGCTTCTGACGGCCGTGAAGATGAAGTAGTGGAATACCAGGCTGAAGGTGTCGAAAGCTTTCGTAGACAAACCGGACTTGCTTGCCGGAGCTGAGAAATACGATGATTTTGCTCTTGACGTTCGCCTTGATAAAACCATAGAGAGTATCGAGTTTCTCGGGTAGCGGGGTGACGATGTAGTGTTGTTGGAGGGTAGTTGGTGTTGCTGTCGTTGCGTCTTGGTGCACAGAGACGTATTCGGGGTCTTTCAGGCTGAGTCGGGCAAGATCTGAAACTTTTTTGCTCTGCGTCGCACTGAACATGAGTGTCTGTCGCGACTTGGGCAGATGCTCAACCAGTGCATCAACTGCAGATTGGAATCCCAGGTCCATGATTCGATCCGCCTCGTCCAACACCAGAATCTGCAAGTTGTTCGCGTCGAAACCGGCCGTCTGGTCCAGGTGCTGCAGCATTCGTCCTGGCGTGCAGACTAAGATATTCATTCGAATCAATCGCTCGGCCTCTTCCTTTAGACTCTTTCCACCAATAACGAGGCCGGCTGAAAAGGCATGGTGCCGTCCGATCTTGCGCAACACTTCGAAAATTTGAACCGCCAGCTCTCGAGTCGGGGAGAGGATCAGAGCACCGAGACCGTCAAACTCTGTCCATTGTTCGCGATAGAGCTTCTCCAGTACTGGCACCAGGAAAGCCAGTGTCTTGCCACTGCCCGTCTTCGCCGCGCCGAGGATATCCTTGCCCTGCAATGCCAACGGGATTGCCTGTTCCTGGATTTCGGTCATGTTCGTGAAGTGTGATGAGTGAAGGCCGGATGCTGTCGCAGGTGAAATGGCCGAGGACAGGTCAGCAAAGGTTTTCACCTTGCCAGACTTGGGGTCCTATGCAGAATCATGGTAAGCCGTAAAATCCAGGACAGACAAATAACTTGCGCCTCGTCTACTCACCAGCTGGGCGATGGCCTCCTCGAGTTTGTGCAGGTCTTCATGGTCGCGCTTCCTCTTTTGCTTCTTGAGCTCCGTTTTGTTCGGCTTGTGCTGCGGCTTCGGCTTCCCAGCAGTTTTTGCAGGCATTGCGGCTTCGGATGCAGATGCTGGTGCGAATGAGGATTTTGTCAAGGCCGAGTTCCAGGCTCTGGTCAATGGAGGTTCGCAGCGTATAACGATAGGAAACTTTTTTATCGGGGCATGCTTATCTTATCCTTGTCGATAAGATAAGAATCATAAAACAAGAGATACAGGGTAGCTCCAGCGGGGTGGTTGTCGGCACATCGCTATTCATGTCAAGGTAATACTTTCGGAGCATCGGTAGAGATATCAATTTTCTGCTTTTGATTTCTTTGGATATACGTCGTAAGCTAGGGGATGTCTGCGGAATCCCTCGATGTCGTGTGGTAATGGCGAATATACTCGGACACATGTGCGAAATCTGATGGAAAGGATACTGCCTGTAGTTTGCAATCCAAGAGTACTCCATAAGACGGGTGCCCTCTACTCTGTCCTGGGAAAGGATTATTAAGTATCCATTTCAGCTTACTACGAATCTACACCAACTAGACCATTCTAACAAACCAGGACATCCTTAACAAAGTGTACTTGCGGCTGTGTGGCTTACAATTCGAGGGGCATGGCTGATGTTGGTTTTTTCTTAGCCCCTCACACTGTGGGCCACACAGTCACAAGTACAGTTTGCTAGATGGTTCAGTTGGTTTAGACGGTTACAGCCGTAATAAGGATGCTTGATAAGCTGCATATTGTTCTGATCTAATTGCACTGACTGACACAAAATCACCCCTTTGCCGATCAAATGCAACAAATGCTGGCAGTTGCAGTAGCATTATCCAAAAATTATGAGAACCAGTGTTTTCTTGAACAAATGGCAATCATATCATGAATATCTCTTTCAGATACATGGAGTTCGTCCTTGGTAACATGCGTAGTACAAAATACGCGGGTGTGATTTACAGCTCCACATTGCCCTAGTACTACCCCTCCAAGGCCAGATCATCAATATCCAAGGTCAAATACAATACACAGGTAGAAAATACAGGCATATGGCAATGAGGACGGGATCAGATGTTCAAAAAGCAAAAAAAGACAGGACCGAACGCGGATCGAACGCGTGACCTAGAGATCTGCAATCTCTCGCTGCGAAGCTTGTTAGTTATTATGTTATGGATTGGGAATTATGTTTCGGATTCGCTTACCTCTACCACTGAGCTATCGATCCTTGGTGATGGAGCGGCATTTTACTTGGCCTTATAAAGCTTGGACATGAGACACAGACAAAAAAGGGAGCGTGTTGGGAAAAAGGCAAAAAAGAAAGGACCGAACGCGGATCGAACGCGTGACCTAGAGATCTGCAATCTCTCGCTACCGAATTTGTTAGTATCTATGTTGGAAGTGGAAACTGTGTTCAGATCAAGCTTACCTCTACCACTGAGCTATCGATCCAGCTAGTTGAAATAGGGGTTTGTAATATCAACCTATATATTTACAATTTGAGCAGGTATTTTAGGTATACTGCATTCAACAAATTTCAACTCAAGGGTCAAGGAAGGGAGGAATATTTTCTCGGGTGAATTCGATCAGACCTTAGTAGGGCATATGAGGCTTTGGCTAAAACCTATGTATTACATGTCCATATTCGCCGTATATAATTCTACCTGACCTTGATGGCCATTCAAGAGATTGTTCTAGCTGAGTTTTAGATGTCATCATCAAACGGATGCTCTGGACGCTGTATAAAGATCGCTATTTTATAAATATGAATGCCCGATCCATATAACTTCTCATTGATACGTCTCCACAAAATCATAAATCTTGCAGCCATATTCACCATAACTGCAAATCTGCTGCACCGCCAACCCGACATACATGACAATGCTCTCAATCTCGTTATCCCAAGATGCTGCTGCAAATCCCAACTGCTTACCCAGCTCAAAAAAGGCCTCGATAAAATGGTTGGCGACAAGCTCCGTCTTCACTGTTTCTTCTTGTGCATCGTGGATGTCCTGAGTGAGGGCAACACAGAGCGTAGGGACGGCCACAACGGCGGCAATGGTGCCCTTCCAACGCTTGATGGTTGGCTGATCGGCCTTCTTCACCTTGGCGATGACATTTGCCAGGGCGGCGGCGCCAAAGTTGGAGACTGTGAGTCCCAGTTTCTGTGCTGTGATCAGCTACATTGTTGTAAAAACATCAGTCGTTCATGTGGGAGAGACTTACAGAGTACTTGACAAACTTGGCTGTTGTAGAGATATCCGTTGGTGGCTTTGCAGCATCTTTATCGACTGGCCAGGTGACAAATGTCGAAATTGTCTCAAATGTCAGCGAGGTTGCATTCAGCACATTGGTAAGCTGGGCGACGGGTCCGATCGGAACGCTCTCCAATCCACTGCCTTCAAAAGCGCTGTCGATGAGAAGAGAAATGGTCTTGAACTCGCCGTATACCAACTCCAGACTTGTGGCTGTTGCAAGCGTGAAATTGGTCACATCCTTGGCAAGGGTGGGATCGGCCGTGCCCGAAACATACTGGCCGAAAGTATCTGCGGTTAATCGACCCGTAAGCTTTGGAGGGGCCTTGTCTGCCTTGGCCTTGTAGAGAACTGTTGTGGGAATGGCAATGAGCAGTGCGACCAGTCCTAGTAGAGAAAGGGGTCGGTTGCCCGCAATCTTCTTCCAGAGCCATCCAATCACAGGGATATCCATGCTCTTATTGGAGATGGTCTTGATCAAGTTGATGCCCAAGGCCACGGCCTTGAATAGAATATCTCCAAGAGTCTTGAGAGAGTCGATTATGGCATCTATAAGCTCCCCAGAGATCTTGGTCATGAGAGACTTGATATCGTACTCCCCATTGTTGAAGAAGTCGAGCAAATCCTTAGCTACGTTGCTGCAGAGGCTGACGATGGTGTTAAACTCAGCTTGGATATCGTCCCAAATAGCAACAAGGTTATCCCCTGCCGAGCCTGGAGAGCTATCATCATTAAAAACGGCATTGGTAGTACCACCGCCATATGTGAAGTAATAAGTCGACCAGTTGTAGGCTACGTCTGACTTGACATCCTCATCGGGATCAGCAGTAGTAGTGGTAGCAGCCGTCTCAAGGGCAACCTTTGACTTTAAGCTCTTGGACGCAATAGAAGCGCCATCGTAATTGTTGCTTTGTAGTGTGGGCAACTGAGCTTTGATAGTGGTACGGAGCTCCTCTAGCCATGTGTCAACCGTGATCTCAGTCGTGTCCAGCAGATGCTGTCCGTAATCGAGAGCTGCATTGAACCCGGTGGTGATGCTATCTGCTGTGGTGAGAATGTCATCCCAATTGAAGAGATATCCTAAAAAGTCAATAAGATCCTGCATTAAGACGCCTAGCTTCTTGAAGACCCAGACGACAGCTTTAACAATGATCGAAACGGTGTCCAAAACGAACGAATAAACTTCGTCGCCGATTTTGATGATGAATTGCCAGACTTTTCCAGCACCATCCTCTAAAAAGACCAGCAAAAGTCAGTAACGGCTGAAGAATGTGTATTATGGTGAAAAATGAATACTTGCCAATTAAATTAACACCCCACTCTACAGCATCTTCAAACTTATCCTCAACATAGTGCCAGGCATCTTTGAGTGTATCTCCAACTGAGAAGGATCGCAAGCCAAGAGCTGATTCTCCTCCAGAAGTAGCCACTAGACTAACTGCCTTGAAAGATTTCAGCAATTGTTGGCTATCACCTTGACGCTGGTGTGCTTGGTCTACTAGCACTTGGATTGAGTCGACAGCAGCCTTGACATCGTCATCTGAGGCATTAGAGGGCACAAGGGATGTTCCATCCTTCTTCTTGAGCGCACGAACATCCGCAGGGGTCTGCACATTGTCAAGCTTCGTAATCACTTTCACAGAGGGATCCAAAACTGGGGTTTGAAGAGGAGTCTCTGAAGACCCAGGCTTGGCAGCGCGGTAAGCGTCCGCTGAAAAAAGGAAACAAGAGGCGTCGTCGCTCTGAAGTTGGATGTTTAGCACTCCTTTGGCGTCCGTCTGGTGCCATTGACCGGTTGGCCCCAGTGAAGCGTATCGGCCATTGACTGTGCATCGTACAACACCAGAAGCGCTGACTCGGAGCCAGCATCCAGGAATGAGAGAAGCCTCATCACTAGTGGTGGCTGTAGCATGCATGCGTAGCATAAAACCTTTGACCTCCATGACATTCAAGTCTGACGCATACCAAAAGGGATACGTTTGCCATAGTTGTGATACTGAGTCTTGTTGTAGGAGGACGAGGTTACCGTACTCATCCACAGATAGCAAACTGCTAACAAGTGTTTGATCGGTACCATCAGAGGACTTCAGCGAAAGCATACCAGAAATTTGACCTCCCTTTCCTTCCGAGAGGAGAGGAATCACGATTCCGTTGGAAAGGGCTGTGCTTTGTGCTGTGTAGTAGTGGACGGCATCTTCATTAGTCGTATACCAAAATCTCAAAGTCTGTCCAGACAAGTTGACTTGGAGGCCCTTGAGGCCACTGACTTGGTCTCCTGTGTTGATGACAGTTCCTCTGCCAGTGGGAGAGCAATACTCGCTTGACTTGAAGGCTGTGATGGTTTGGCCTCCAACGAGGAGGATACTTTGATGCGACGTGGGATCAACATATGAGCTAATACAAGTTGCTCCTATGAGACGTGTTGGTTAAAACATCCTGCGCATTTTGTGGAATGAGAATGGGAGGTGACATACCGGCAGGGCAGATGGGTTCCACTACCATGGTGCTGCCAGTGAAGAATTTGAACTGTATATGAGAAGGTCCACTGAAGCTTTCGTACAAGACGAATACACCATCGCCGAGGGTGCAGGTTCCCAAAACGACATCTATGATTCTCTTTGGATTCGTAGCCAAGGTCCATGGGCCCAACAGCGTTGCCTGGTTCTGATTGAACTGGACGAATCTTAGGTCTTCCGTGCTGACAAGTCTGTCTGGCCTTTGGAATGCCACCATAACCAAAGGAAAGGTGCGCTTTGTATCCGTGGACTTATTGCTCTAGTACAGATACTGTTAAAATTTCCTTCAGTAGATTTGGACAACAGAACGAATTGAAAATACCATGTAGATGTGATCAATGATAGGGAAAGAATCTCCGCGAATAATCTTGGAGCTTGGAATAGGCCCCAGAAGTTCAGTAAAAGTGATGCCGTAGAGCAACGTAAAAGTAGACGTAGTATTGTTGGCTCCGGGAGTGGCAATGCAGATATCAAGTGTAGAGTTTGGTGCTTGAACAACAGCAAAAGCCTGAACCTTGACACCGCTGGGAACAATGCCAGAAACGTTTCCAAAGTCAATTTTGGTGGCTTTGCCATTGATAACAGTGATTAAATAAAGATAAGAGTCTTCACTCAGAGCAAAGACACCTGGATCCATGTTAGCATCTCGGAAAACTGCAAAGTGCTGGCCAGCTGGAATAGGGTTGGCTGAGACATAGTTTGTCATCAGCTCCGAGTCCTGTTTGATGGTCACCATGGTGAAAGAGAAATGTGAAAAATTAATGAATCTGTAGGATGCTTCTTTGCAAATTTGTTAAACCAATGATGATGAGTGAATAGTTTCATGGACCTAAAAGCTCTCATAGCATAGTATATATAGGCACATATCCACGAGAACATCGTGAGTTTGGGTTGCCTCCTCCGCTTAAATCAAAGCATATAATTCTGTCATCGCCATCACAACTACCACACCTCCACCTGCGGTGTCCCCGATGACTTGATATGATGTAAAATTATGACTTCTCAACAGCTTCTCTGCAAATATCCAATGGCCTCTTCGGCTGGCGATGCCAAGAGCGAAGAGTTCGGGTCATCGGCACCCTAATAATCGTCCAGTTGACGCAAATACGACAATACGAGCTATTTTCATGTTTCTATGGCTAAGTAGAATGAGCTGAATTCACGACGCAAAATGCAAGGTTGGTATTTGCGGCATAGCCGCTGCAGCCTTTCCTGTTGTTTGGATGGCTCGTGCTGATGCATCCACGCCTAATCAATATTGAATCCCCCCCAAGAAGAAGAATGTGATGCATGTCTATAAGCTTACCTTTAATTTTCAGGGTGCACGACGAGACGAGTTAGCTGACATTCGTTTCGACCCTGCATACCACCCTGCCATTCAACACTGTGGGCAGTTAAACAAAAGGTGGTGGTATAGCTGCAAGTTTCTGTCGGCTGCCTAACCCTGGTTGGCCAGAATTGGTGCAGGCTGTGTCGACAAATCGAAGCTGAATGTAAGAAAATAGCGTTCCCGAATAGTCACCAGGTGTTCTGTTTGCTTGATTTCCCGATTAGGAAATGTTTGAAGTTGACGAGAAATGATATCATACATGTAAGGTAGTCTTTGCGTTGAATACATCAAAAGCTTCGTACTCGAAATTTGATATAAATTTACCTCTGCCCGATGGAAACAATTTCGAGCTCTCAATAGCAAGCAGCAACAACCGGTAAACTAAATATCTCTAAGTAATCTCTTCTACTAAATTCTATTTATTAACGTACATTTCCGATTACCATCTCTAAATATCGCCGCCAAAATGGGAAGCTACATCAATTCAACCAATGCAAACCCTTGGGATCAAATGATTGTTCTTTCTCAGAAAGTCATCAATGATTCTTTTCAGAATATGTGGGAGCTTGCTCAGCTTGAGGATGAGTCCCCCCTCAAAAACTACAACCGCACTGTTCGGGGGGGAGAATATCTCAAAATGGAGATTGGCGTCCCCTCCGTGCAGTTGCAGACAATCCCCAAGGGCCAATTGCTTTACTTCATGCTCCGAATTACGGGCGGATCTTGTTATATTTACCTGAGCGATGATGACGAGGACGATACTCATGTCGATTGGCAGATAAATAACTGGGTTTTTGCTTTTTCGGTCGACATTGGTAAGCTCATTCCTCTATTCATAATATTTCAATGCATTATAGACTTACTGCGCCCTTAGCGAGCAAGGATGTGGCTACGGATAGCCAAGAGTACCAAGATTTCAAGAGTCGTTCTGGGCTGCTTAACTGGGACTTCTCATTGGCACGACTCTTTATTGATACGTCATGTAAGTTTTCTTTGGATCCATTGCTCCACCGTAGTGCATAACACATTCTAAATATTATCACACAGCGACGACCACGTTTTCTCCGGAGTTGAGCAACTTCGCTGACCACCAGCAAGATTATAATAATCTCACTGCCAGGGCAAAGGGCAAATTCGATGGATTCGTTATCGACTGGCTTACCGCAATGCACGAGGCAGGATGCAATATTCTAGGTTACTCTGCACGGGCGAGTGTGGACACAAACGGTATGTGTAGCATATACATCCCCCTTGCCATATATATTCGACAATGCTAATGGCTCATCTCGTATCCCTCGCTGTTTGCAGACGATTATCAACCCACTTTTCCCCCTACCAGTATCGACTACGACACTTATCCTTGGAAGGCCACTCCGACTTCAACGAACCAGGACAACATCGACCAAAATGCACTGTGCTACCTCATGATGTCTGACTTCAAGACGCCTGGAATTGATGCGGTCTCCTACACTGGCCAGTGGGTAGATGACAACCACCCTGCTACCTATACTCTGAATCGTTCGCTCTTCTGGCCTTGGATGTTTTCAGTGCTTCGAGATGTAGTTAAATCTATGGTTCCAGTCCCAGACACCCCGACCCTCTACTGGGATAACACTGACAAAAACCATCCATATGCGGCCCGAATGGAATACCACTTTGGAGATAATGCAGCCACCGATAGAGACTACCAATTTTCCTCAACTGCTACTCCTGGTCAATGGTCTTGGACTGGTCGCAACCTCAGCTCGTCTAACCAGGTCTACAATCCAGGGAACAGTGGTGATTCGGAAACTATTGTTGAAACTGTCAACGCTAGTCGTAAGTGCAGTGCACCATCTAAAAAGTAGCTATAACAAGCTACGGGTACTAAAAGAAAAATCGAACAGCGTCTGTCAGTGGTGGTTTCCTCAGTTTTACAGCTGGCAAAGAACAGATTGCCCTGACTGGCAAGTCTACCTTCGTACTCCGAGTAGACCACACCAGCAGTAAGAAGACATAGTACGTTGATCTACACAGAATTGTGCGACGTATCATTTAACTAATGCCAAATTAGTACCCAAATGACTTTCGTCCTGACTTGGAGCATTTCTATTGCAATGGCGGCGGTTGAAGATGGTGGAGTCGCGTTCCAAGTTACCAATCACACCGTGAACACTGACTCAACATCTGAGGGCAACTTGTCCTGGGCAGAGACAGCGGACGTTGTGGCAGCCAAGTTCAAGTCCCAGATGAGCACCAGCCTCACCAATGCCATCACAAATGCTCAGAACAACTTGATGAAAGCTCTAGCAAACCAACACCGCCTGTACCTCCCCGCAAAGGGACATTTCCTCATGAAAGACCCCGTTTTCAACAGCTTAGGCGACCTTCTGGTTGGACTGACCTACAACGGGTAAGCATACTAAAATTGCTCTATTCTGGTGCGATAGGATATGAATGCTAACTATTAAATCAGAGCTCCTGGGCCAACAGCGGCTGCCAAGTAGATGTTTACGCAAATAAGAGACTTGAAATGGAATCTATTGGATAGTGGTGGGTGTAAAGACACTGTTTTGTTGCTCATTTATATTTTGGAGTTTTTTTTTCTTGTTGCATACATATCGAGATTCCTTTGTCTCTCTCTCTGTGTTGTATAGTGTGGAGGAGCATTCTTTCGAAGTAGCCTTCAGATATGTTGTGAATTTATATAGGAAATTGAGTTTTTTTTTCTCTGAACACAATGCCTCTTGGTGTCACCTAACCCACTTGATCTTTTGGTTTGGTATGAGAATTGGAACAACAACTCTTGAGGATTATCAAGAATTACCTATAAACAAGCGACCTTAGTTGTGAGCCACATCTCCCTCGCACCGTTTTAGTGAGGCACATTTGGTAAAAGTCCATATACTAAACTTTCACCGTCAGTCTCCAACAAAGACGCTAAGGCGGGTTGGTGGAGTGGTCTAACACGTGCGACTCAAGATAATATCTTGATCCTTCAAAAGGATTTCGCATCTCGCAAGAGGCGTGGGTTCGAATCCCACACCCGTCAGTCTTTCTTTTTTTCTTTTTTCATCCATTTCATTTTTATTCAAAATTTGACATCTCTTCGTTTAGTCGTCTCTTGGGGCGGATTGCACTTTTGTGGGTTGTTCTCCGTCCATTCTTTTGTGCAAAAGTCCATCAGTAATACACATAAATTAAATGGCCGGTATTTGGCTCCGCGTGAGTTGCAAAGAAAGATACGCAACAACGTTAGCAAATATGGGTGCTTCAGTATCATTCAGTTATTTGGAGCAAATGATGAGAATCGGCGGGCCTGCTTGTTTTATTAGGTGCCTGCGAAATAATTTGTCTTTCCAATGTAGATGGACCAATCGTATTACACCATTCCGAGAAGAATGTACCTTGGGGAAACGGCTGGAAGCGCAAAACTTATCCGCTGTCAAAGAGGCTAGAATGATATAGATAGTAATCAAACCAAAATGGACAGCAATCTTTCCATGCGATTCTTCAAGTGCTGGAAGGAAACACCCCCGCAACTGTCAGCAGTTGATCAATGGTGTTTTGACCCCAATTTACACCGTAAAGGAGCTTGGGGTAGATTGAATGTACCCCAACAGCATGGATTTCGTAGCATTATAAAGGCAAGTGAGTCTCATTCTCCAAATGGAATAAAGAATATTCATCAATACGTTATTCAATTTGGGATTTTGTATTAGTTTTTTTTGTTTTGGCTGAACAATGGCTCGTCTAGCTACTGCTTTATTCGCTCTTTGTGGCGTTTCCTTGGCCTCATCCTCCACGCCATCACTTAGTTCAGTCAGAACTGTATTCGAATTCCCCAAGCAATCTTACATTGAAAACCTCGCTGTTCGAAGTAATGGCCAAATTCTCATCTCGGATCTCAGTTCATCACAGCTTTTCCTTTTCGATCCTTCGGCATCTTGGCCAAGTCAGCCTGTTGTTGTTCATGACTTCACCGAGTCTCTTGGCCTCGCAGGCATTGCGGAGTACCAGCCCGATGTATTTGCCGTGATTTCTGGCAACACTTCTTTTACCAGCAATATCCCCAGTGCCGGAACGTGGAATGTTTGGAGTGTGGACTTGCGCGGCGTCGGCATTTCCTCATCTCATGGCAAATTGGGGCTCACATCGCCTCCTGTGGTGAAGAATATTGCTCACGTTGAGCCAGCTCAGTTTCTCAACGGCATTTCATTACTGTCCCAAAAAGACCAGACACTTCTCATTGGTGATGTTAATGGTGGTGTCATCTGGAGCTTGGAAATTGAGACGGGACATTACGAGGTTGTTATCAACAACACTTACACGCAGCTCTACCCATCGCCGCCTTTCTCGGCATCAGGCGTAGATGGTGTTCATGTTCGCAGTGACTCAGTTTACTTCACAAACTTTGGAAACGGTACTTTCAATAAGATGCCTATCAATTCGGACGGATCCCCCGCTGGGCCCGTTACAACAATTGCACATACCAAGGGGCCACTGGACCAGTATGATGACTTTACTTTCGACTGCGATGGTAATGCATACGTGGTTACTGGAGGCGGAAATACTATTGAGATGATCTCAGCTGATGGTAAGCGCCAAGTCATTATTGCTGGCAATCTCAATTCTACTGCGATTGCCGAGCCAACCTCTTGTGCATTTGGCCGTGGCCCACACGATAAGAATGTCCTCTATGTCGTTACGGCTGGTGGAATGGAAACGCCCGTGAATGGAGACATTGTGATTGGTGGACAACTCGTTGCAGTCAACACCAACTCGAGGGGATCTGCATGCTGAACTCGGCACGGTCTTGTTTAGATAGATAGGAATAGCTTCCAAGTGACTACTGAATAAAAACGCCATTAAGATGCATCTCCAGCTTTACCTTCCTACCTTAAGCTTGTGTTGAGATTTGATCTTTGAGAGACTTGAATCTATGATAAGAGGTGTGGGAAAAACCAAGAAGAAATAAACGAAATTCACTCCCGGTTAGTTAGGGTCTATGAAATTGAAAGAGCAGACTTTTGTCGTCTAATTTTAGAGGGAACGCCACCGAAGAAAGAAGGGCTTTCCAAATCTATGTCCTATAACAGTAATCACTTTTGTCTTTGCCAGCATCGACACATCTTTCGCCACAGTACTCAGTCCACTGAATTTCTCCGTTTGGACCACCTGCACAGTAAAATAACGATTTCCTCCTCCAATTATTATCTGTAGGCTTGCCAGCGGACCCGAGAGCGCTGATTATCTGCCCTTCATAGTTGCCTTTTCTTTGTTAGGACAAGTAGCTTCACAATCATGAGTTTTCTATATTCTTACCAATATCTAGTAGAGTAGATCCGCAGTAGTCAAGATTTTTTTTGCAGTTTCTCGCTGTCGCGAAAGGGACGAGGGTGGCTAGAGCCGCAACAGATACAACTGTGAAGCGCATAGTGTGATGAGTCTTGACATATAATCTTAAGGTTTGTGCACGGGTACAATAAGAAAGAAGAAGAACTTTGCTGATTTCTCAAATTTTAGCGATGGAAATGGCCGACTTAAATGTTCAAGGCTCTGGACCTTAACCCGCTCTCAAAAAGTGTAATAGCATAAGATCTGTGGGACTGAACTCTGCATTGAGCTTGCGAGCCAAAAGATCATACCCATATGTCTCACAAATGATCAAATAAGCGACTAGAAATTGCAAAAGCCGAAGGATTTGGAATGCAGGTCCTCGGACATCCAAAACATGTGTTCATAGGACAACAGCAAATGCTATGACATAGTACAACGATCATCATGTATTCAATACCAAATCTCTTTAAAGTGCCTCTATAATATTTTATAGTTGCTTATCTACCATATTTGATCTACCATATACCCTTGATGGGAGTTCCTATCTGAGAATGTGTACAGACACTCTACGCCACATGTCTCATTGAGTCGCCGACAGTCCATAGGTGTTGGCTGCTTGGTATGGGATGCCGCGGAAGTAGTACAGTGGCTTTTCATCCCGCTTACAATAGATCATAACTCTATTAGGAATACTGCTTAGGTACGGGGTACAGTTGCTGAGACATATCACGTTGGCGATGTTCCAATCCATACATCTTTCTACTCTGTGGCATTGTTGGCATGCATATATTTCATCCTATTGATTGTGACTTCGATGAATTAGATCTTTAACTCGATGTTTCAATCCGAAGAGATTATGTTATTACATGTATAGTCGAATTAAGCTTGTTCTTGGTAGTACGGCACGGTTGTTAGGCTAACAGCACACCTCTACGTGATACCGAGGCGCCGACCGTTCGATGTCTGAGTCAGCCGGGTACAGCCTTGAATCCTTGTGGCCGATATCCAATGAAACAACAAGTTTGAGTTATACTGCGCTGGAAGTGAAACCTACAGCTTGGTTGGAGCAGTCGGCGATATCCGCATTTGGAGGTATACTCGGTATTGCTCACCGCATAACGTGACGGTAAGCTCCGCAAATGTTTCTCTCATGAATGCGAGTGGGGAGAAGGCGATGGACATACCCATTATAAGTGAGATGGATTCGGTATGTGAGCCAACACGAGAGGCGCTTTGCTTGGTGTGGGAAAGTGATTGGGAGGAGGTGTTAGTGAGCACGCCAAAGGGTAATTATAAGAACAGGGGCGCTTTATGACGGAAAACGGGGCAAAAGATAGTTCGAGGGGAGGTAACTGGCATAGTATTTTGGCATACGCCAATATGTACTTCAGAAAAGCATCTCCCATGCATATGAAACGTATTTACCGCAGAGATCATAAGAACCATCCAATTGTAACAGAAGTAACCTCTTGTTTTCAGCAAACACAACTCCGAGAAGCGAATTCCTGGAGAATAAGATTTGGCGTTGTCTAGCGCCCTTGCTTGGAGTGTTGGAATGATGGCTTGAAATCTTTGACGTATGAGGGGCTTGGCATTTACACTGTAGCCTTACATGGAAACGAAGTGAAGCGACCTTCTTTTGTGAGATCCTCTTTAAGTCACGCGTGTGAATCTGAGCTGAGCAATTGACGCAGTAATAACAGGGCGAAGATGTAGCGCTGGCGTTGGTTGAGGCACCCTGATGTTAAGAGAGCGTAGACTAATCTGTGTTAGTAGTCCCTTTCAGCTTGACGATTTTCTGTTGAGTAGCTGAAGAGGACGGTTTTATCCTCGTCATAGATGACGCCCATGTGCTTGTCACTATTTTGTCTCTCGGAAAGCGAAAGATTTAGGATATTTGTCTTAAAGCACGCCGGCCTCGTGTTGTTTTGACCGTAGCTAGTCAAATACCAGGGAGTAGCTCATATTTACACAATTTGAGCTCCCCAAGTCAACTGGAAATTCTGCTTAGGGTATGGAATAACACTTTACAGGCCAGTTACTGGGCGAATTAAAGATGATGGTGCTGACTAGAGCGCTGCCATCTGGCATTTACCTCAGGATTTGACCAGTTTCCTCAGAGTAGCACATCCCTTGTTATACGAGCTAAATCCTCATTTGAGAAGATTTCGCATGCTAGCATCTGTCAGCTGGGCCACAATCTCTTATCCCAACATGCAATGGGTTTAGCTTTCCCCGCGCTGAATTGCTAATGCCATTCGTATTCTCAGTCTTTGAATAGACTTTTCTGCCACAATTCGTACTTCCATACTAGGTACATGAAGTTTTCTCTAAAAATAAGGTTATTTTCAACAGCTACCCCGCTACTAATCCCTTTGACTTCTGACTTGGCTCGACGCCATAACTGCCGATCAAGCTAGTTGCAATTCTAGAGTTAGCTCTATGATACGACTGTACAATGGAGTAAATGATTGGACATTGACAATCAGCTCTTGGAAGGCTCGGCTATTGTTGGTCTATTTCTTTTTACTATATTAAGGAATGCTCATGCCTCCCTATTTTCTTCTCTTTTTTATTCTTTTAGATTATCACCAAAGCCCATTGCAATTCTTGATCACCGTAATTTCTAGTTGAAAACACATAAAGTCCCACGATGTCTGAAGTCACTAACCGTAACGACGTGCGAGCCGCAAACGCCGCTGGCGGCTGGACTATTGTCTATGGAGATCTCATCAATGAGGCTGATGTGGTTGAACTCATTATATCTGTTCCCACAGGCACAGTGGCTGGCTGGGTCTCCGACCAGGTTGACGCTCAGGTGCAAAAATTTAACCAAAGCCTGGCCACTGTCTCTGATGACGTTGTCAAAGAAGCAACCGAGTTTCTCAAGAGTCTTCTTCAGGGAAAGAGATCCGGCGAGCGAGACATCAATGGATTGGGAGTCAAAGCCGGTATTGTAACCTACCACCGAAAACTTAAAACGCCTTTTGGCTCTACGCCGCTGCCAAACAATCACCAGCCATACATTGGAATACGCATTACCAAGCCCTTGCCACCAAAGGGGGCGCCTGCTTCAGTTCAAGTGCCGCCAAGCGTGCAGCCAGGAGTGGCATCAAATGGTTTAGACAGCAGATTATGGTATCGAATCAAGAATCCAGCGAAACCCGGAATGGCAATTGATGTTGTAAACGATGGAAATCAGCAGCAAGATGGCCAAGTACAAATGGCTGCAGAAGGAAATTTCAGCGGACAACACTGGCAGCTTCGTCCTTCCAGAACCAACCCCGGAGCCTATAACCTTTGTAACATGTGGCTTGGAAGTGGCAAATGCTTGGATGTGTACGGCAATGACAAAACACGACCGCATCTGGCTACAGCTGGGAATTATTCAGGACAGCAGTGGCGTATCGAACAACAAGGGAATGGGACTTGGAAGCTATCAAACTCGTATTCTGGGCCATTGGCTCTTTCAGCTGATGCTTCTGGTGCAGCCCTATCGCTCAAAGATCCGCAGGTTTCTCCTGCAATGTCGTGGACTTTGCAGCCTATTAAACCAATCACGGAGGTTGGGTTTTAACGCATGTGCTATTTGAACATATATACTATTAACGCAAATGCTTTAATCTATGATCATCACTAGTAAACCTCAAATGCCCATGTGACTATTTAGTGGTAACATATTCATATATCCGCAGTCCCTACTGATTGATGGCGTTTTGTTTGAGCTTCACATACTGTGTGAGGAGCTCTCTCATGGTCTGTTCAAAACTAGTAAACTTCCATCCAAACGCCCTTTCGGTGGTATCGCCGTCAAGTCGGAACTTGATACAAGGCAGTGTACCTTCAAGTGGTAGTACTTTACTCTGCACCTCCCCCGGGAAATATTTTCTCGCAACTGCTGCCGTGTCTCTATCCCAAACAATACCATCCGGGGTGTCAGAGCTGAGGATGTATTCGGTATTCCCTGGAATTCGAGTGGTGTCTACTGCGTCAACATGGGCGCGCGCCACATCTGCAACATGAACAGGCACTCCGACAAACGGAAATGGTGAATTCGTGGAGCCATCTAATGCTGGGGCAATAACCGCAGCTCGGCTATCCTTCAAAAGTTCATCTGCGGCGCCGTTTGGGGGAATTCGCTCGTCCGGACCAAACACGACAGAGGGAAGCAAGTGAACAAAGTCGAAATGCGGCTTCTTTTTCTCAACAAATTCTCGTGTCGCAATTCTTGAGTACGCTTTTGAAGCCCAGTATGCTTCCATGGCACTGCCATATGGCTTATGTGGATTTGAATTTAGATCCGATGCTGCTCATTGACTATTAGAAGATGAATCATTTGTATGTGACAATTTTCTCACCTGAGTATAGTCTCTCGCTGTCGGGATTCAGGTTCCATTCGAAAGGGATCAAGGTGACACCTGCATCATTATTAGTTTCACATTATTTGTTTATGGAGCGCTCGAAGGACTCACAGGAAGAAGTGATAACAACTCTTCGAACGGACAGGATTTTGGCGGCTGCTTCCAACACTATCGTCACCATGGAAATGGCAGGGCTTATTATATCTCTTTCATAATCTTCGCTCTGATTGAATAGTATTAGTTTGTAAATGCCATCGAGCTGCTTAAAGACCGGAGCGCCTACTTCATGTGCCAGAGGGGATGCAATGTGGATAATGCTCGTGATGCCGTCTAGAACAACAGACCAGTTGTCGCTTGACAAGAAATCTGGAATAACGACAAAGTCTAGGATTCCTCGTTTGTGGCTCTCGGAAATTAGTGAGCTTTTCTCGGCAATGTCTGAGATATTTTGCTCATTTCGAACAACGGCGCGAACGGCATATCCTCTTTCGAGGGCGACAAGCAGAGTCTTGAAGCCAATGAAGCCTGTGACTCCGGTTATCTAAAAGGGGTGTCAGTTATATGCAGATGAAGTTTTAACTTATATTTGAATCTCTAACCAAAAGTTTTTGAGAAGCAACGTTATACTTTGGAGCGTTCATTGTGAGGAGAGAGATTTGAGATCAGCATAGAGGATATTTTGCAAATCAACAGGATGCCATTCGTCTTTTATAAACAAAACAATGTAAGTATATAAACACATATGTATCTAGATTTAATCAGCATAGTTGGACGATTGCAGTATTAGATCCAGCGTGAATTCCACTTAACACACAGCGTATAGACATTCACAGCATCTAACCTTGCCTCAAGAGAGGAGCTAAGCTCCGTTGTGCTAAACTCAAAGCGGGTGCATCTGTCACATTATTACAGGCATTGGACAAATTGGTAATAAATCAGCTGCGGAATTCCGCACCACAGCCTCTATAGCCATAGCTAAAACATCTTGCGGCTGTCATTTTTACGATTTTTACGACGTCGGTGACTTCACCGTTCACAAGCCTGGCGATTTCTTAGGGCGGCCAGGCCCATATTTCCTCACCAAAGCCAATTGGGCATTGCGCGCTCTCATTGGCCAGCGATAAGCCGATAACAATATCCCTGCCAAAAAGTTTCGATCCAAGAAAAAGTTGCGACCAGCATCGCATCACCAGCATCGCTGCGGAAACGGCAACGGAAACAGTCCTTTAACCAGATCATTCACGCCTACAAGATGGATAAGCGAAAGGATAGGAAGAAGAATGGTGGTGCAGCGCCTCAGGCGCGAATTACCGACGAGCGATTCGCCAGCTTCCAGACCGATCCTCGATTCCGGCTGCCGTCGAAGAAGCACATGAAGACGACTGTCGACAAGCGATTCGCGGGCATGCTCAAGGACAATGACTTCACGGCCACCGCTCGAGTAGACAAGTACGGACGCAAGATTAAGTCGGATTCTAAGAAGAAAGCCCTGCAAAGACTCTACCAGCTAGAGGATGAGGAGGAAGACGATGAAGACGACTCCGATGAAGAGGAGGCCGACAAGCCAGCAATGGGCAAGAAGAACGACGGAGAAGAGGACGAAGATGACGAGGAGGAAGAAGAGGAAGAGGAAGAGGATATTGAGGTTGACGATGACGAGATCGTTGAAAGAGAGCTGGCAGCTGCTGCCAGGCCACGAAAATTTGACCCCGCGCGAGAGGGAGGCTTCTCTTCCTCCGAAGACTCAGATTCCGATGATGATTCTGAAGAAGAAGAAGAGTTGGATCTTGCTACCGGTGGCGATATGCAGCGACTAGAACGAGAGGAGATCCAGACCGGAGAAGTTACGAATCGGATAGCCATCGTCAACCTCGACTGGGACCACGTCAAATCAACAGACCTGATGGCCTTGTTCACCAGCTTTATTCCTACCAATGACAGTGGCAAGGTCCTCAATGTTTCCGTATACCCAAGCGAATTCGGAAAAGAACGTATGCAGCAAGAAGAGATTGAGGGCCCACCCAAGCAGCTCTTTAAGAAGGGAAAGAAGGACGAAGAGTCTGACGACGAAAGCGCATCTAACAGCGAAGCCGAAGAGGCCGCTATCAAGAAGAAACTGATTCAAGAAGGCGACGACCAAGATTTCGACAGCGACGCCTTGAGAGCATATCAGCTTGACAGGCTACGGTACTACTATGCCATAATGACCTGCTCAAGTAAAACCACCGCCCAAGCTATCTACGAAGCAACCGACGGAACCGAATATCAAGCCTCATCCAACTTCATCGATCTGCGGTTTGTCCCAGATGATGTTACATTTGATGACGAGCCTAGAGATCAATGCGACAAGGTACCCGATTCATACAAGCCCATTGAGTTCGTCACCAATGCGCTACAAAGCTCAAAAGTCAAGCTCACATGGGACATGCACCCTGAAGAGATCAACCGCAAAGAATCCATCAAGCGAGCCTTCAAGGGGAGCAGAGCTGAGATTGACGAACAAGACCTGAAAGCCTACCTCGCTGGTGACAGCGATAGCGAAGAGGACGAAGAAGATGAAGATGCTGGCGACGCAGTTGCTGACGGCGAACCCAAGCTGTCCAAGAAAGAACTGGCTCGGCAAAAGATGCGTGAGGCTCTTGGTCTTGCGGCTGAGCCAGAGTCTAAAAAATCCAAGGATGGCCCTGTGGGTGAAATGGAAGTCACTTTCACTCCGGCTCTATCAGGCGAGAAAGCCAAGAAGGACGAAAGGGAAGAGACTACAATCGAGAAGTACGCCCGCAAAGAGCGAGAGAGGAAAGAGAAGAAGCGACAAGCTGCCAAGGCTAAGCGCGAAGCCCTTAATGGCGACGACGGTGAATCTGATAGTGATGTCCATGTTGCTACTGGTGGTGGCGAGGATGACGGCGAAGACCTTGGCTTCGATGACCCCTTCTTCACCACTGAAGACCCCGCCCCTACATCCAAGACATCTATCCGCAAGGAAGAGCGCCGCAAGAAGCGTGAGGCACGTGAAGCCGCCGAAGCCCGCGACGCCGAAGAAAAGGCCCATCTGTCCAAGGTCATGGCTGAGGACGCGAATGACAACCAGGCGGACCATCTTGACCACTTCGACATGAATGAGATTCTGCGTGCGGAGAAGCAAAAAGGCAAGAAGGCCAAGTACCAGAAGAAGAGCAAAGATGCTGCTGGTCTGCAGTCAGACTTCAAGATGGATGTCAAGGATGACCGCTTCAAGGCTGTGTTTGATAGCCATGAGTTTGCCATTGATCCTTCTAATCCGAAGTTCAAGGCTACGGAGGGAATGAAGAAGCTGTTGGAGGAGGGCCGAAAGAAGCGGAAGACGCCCGGTGGTGCTGATGAAGAGGATAGACCGCGTGAAAAGAAGAGTAAGAAGGGACGGCGATGAACAGTTGTTGTTGGGAAACACGTATCAGGTGGGATGCCTCGGTCAAAATAGAGAGGAGTTGGTTCCCCGTCTTTGTTAATTTTTGTATAATCCGCCCAATTTCGGTCATGTCTATACAGAGTATATAGCCAATGAGAAAAGCAGCACTGATTAAAATTCCATCGCCCATTGAAGCATTCTACTTATTTAATATATACCAGCCAATCCCCCCTATAGTAACTGACTACCAACGCAGCCATAAAAAAAAAGAAAATTCTATGCACGCACATGTTATACACCCTCTTGACAATTTCCTCCTCTATAACTCTATTGTGTGGACGCGCACCAAAACGATGATTTTAGCAAATTTGATTCACTCTGCATTGTAAGGCTTCTGGCCGCTCCAAAAATGCATCTTGCCATACGCGTGGACCTTGGGATCACGCATGGCCTGACGACACTGCATAAAGAAGACTTCCATTTCTGTCTTCTCCCATCCAAGCATGGGGAAATGAATAGCACCGACTGCAGGGAAAAAGTCTTCACAGGCTGTGCGATAATACATCCCAACCAGCCGCATAATTCTAGGAGGGTAGAGTTAGCAAATTAACCTCTAAGAGGTATAAAGAGTGAATTTGATTTGCGAATTCAGGGATAATACAAGAAGGAGAAAGCATCAAGATAAACGGGGGTTTGACTTACTTATCCTTCGGCCATGTGCCATAGGGAAGCTTGATATAATTATGCTGGATATTGACAAAGCCTGCCTCTGCCAAGTACTGCCCCCCAAATACAGCCGCATGGGCATTTGTACCAAACTTGGCAAATGCTTCAAGCATGTATTCTGTGAATTTCTTGAGAGGCCAGTCTTCTGGGATCGTGTTGTCATCGGAGTGAACATCCCCGTCCACGTCTTGTAGCTCAACCCAACCGCCGGGCTTCATATGGCTTTTTAATGAAGCCATTATCAGTCACAAGTAAAGTTTCCGTGAGAACATTGAGGGTGTTGTAACTTACTCATATGCCTGCTTGAGGAGACCGACGGGTGATTTCATGACAGGTATCATGTTCCGCAGGTGGACAAAGTCCCAATCATCACCGTTGAGCCACTCAGCTTCGACATCGTCGATGAGAAATGTGACATTGGGGGGCACCCAGGTAGGTTGAATGGGGCTCAAATCGAGTCCTAAAACCTCGGCGCCGATATATCTGTCGCCCACTACCCTCTCGTGTTACTCTCTGGTCTCGTGCATGTTATGACATGAACTTATCTACACTTGGATGCGATGCAGACAAATCAGCAATGTAATGGATAAACTTACTCTCCATGGCCCATATTCCGGTGCCAGTGCCTAGATCAATAATCTTCTGTGGATAATCCCCAATTGGGGCATAAAATAGCTTCCCATCCGTCGCCTCTAACATCATAGTATGTAGCATGTCCTCACGGTGTTGTTCCGCTTCATCATTTGGGATTGGATATCTGCCGTGTCGGTAGCGATGATACCGTCGGCCGTTGACATAACTATGGTCATAGATGCTAGATCCTAAAGATGTAGAGTCGGATTGGTCGCTGATGGACTCGGCATCGAATTCGCTTGGTGAAAATTCGCCATCTTCATCACTACCACCAGGTTCGATGACGGCGTTGCCGTGCAAGAGCCCCAGATTCTCCGCCGCAGGCTCTTCAACTAATATCAAGCTGGTCAATCACATTGCACCAAAACGTGGGCACAACAGGTCTCATTCAAACAGCATAGGTTTCACAGCCTGACTTGTTTGGCATGCAAGAGAAGAGAGGTACATAACGACTGTTGGGCGCAGACTTGCCCCGCGATAATTAAAACAAGAGTGGCTAAGCTACAAAACTACTCACCTAGATTTCCTGTAGGACTAGACTTGCTGACAGGACTCGATCGAGGAGCAGCCCCAGCCAGGGAATCGCTGCGGCTCGATCTTTTGCTCCCTGTCGGGCTTCCCATGGCCTATCTTAGTGGCGTAGGATTGATTATGCGCTTAGGGTAGTAGCTGCGACGAAAAAAAAAGAGTCCCGATTGATGACGATCACGCGATCTGAGAATGTGACAGGTAGCGGGGACAGGTGAGAACGGGGAGGGTGAGGGCGGATTAGCAATGAAAGCACAGGCCCGAATCTATGCGGCCAAGATGACAATGCTCAGTGTAAGGCAGTGCCAAAGGCAATGCTAATCGAGCACAGGCCTTAATAAATGGGCATGCAAATCGAGCTCGAGCCCGTGGTCCGGGAGAGGGTGCGATGTGGAAGAGGGGGGAGAGACTTATTCCTGGAGAGCTGAGGCCGGGACTGCAGGTGTTGCTGGGTTTTGCGTCGACTTATCGAATTACTGGATTTTCGTTGGTCAATCCTGCATACAATGTGCATATAACATGCATCTGAGGTGCGTGGCTCTTTAACAAAGGCCAGGATACACAGTTGCACGCATGCACGCTGCTACTACGCTCTCATGCGGAGCTGGCTAGCTGTCCAAATCGGTCCGCCCAGAGGCTATCAGGCAGCTTTTGAGTCCGCAGTAGCCCATCGGGGGCTGTAATCAAGATGGTGTTTGCCTCCTAACTTCAAGGTGCGGAAGACCACGAGGCTGTGTTACAAGGGATGAAATGAGACATTGCTCTTGGCGGGATAAACCGCTCAGCCGCATATTTCGCTTACTCAGATGACTTTGAGTCAGCACATTAAGTTCTCCAGGACTCGTATGGCACATAAATCATCGAATATTTCACAGCATAAAGGACTGCGTCACTGTTCAACGAAGGAGTGTCGTTGTCGAGTACCTGACTGGCATATTGCAGCCAGTGTGGCCCGTTGAAAAAGCCATTCTCTTCGGTGAATAATAGGGACGATTTATTCCGATTTGAATCGGCAATTCATTTGTTAGAACAGTAATTCTGTCAAGAAGATATTAGCTGAGAAGTTCAGACCGTCCTGAGCCCATGCACTTACTTTCGCACAACTCTCTACCAAGTCCTCTCCTAAGACATTGCTAGATTGCCCTGGATGTTGGGCCCTCCTATTTCATTTATGCCGTTGGTCTGGAAAGGCTGATGATATGTTGGTGATATCGTTTTGCTAATGTGGCCTTTCTCCCTGAATGTGATGACCAGTTTGGTTGGTGTTTGCGTAGAGCTTGATGAGGATGTATCGTTAAATGAGTATTCCAGCATCGTCACCCGCGCATATTCATTGGCGTTGCAGATCTGATGTATTCCATCGGATTTCCAGCATAGAAGATGAAAATTCAGGGTTACATCGTTTCTCCAAGAATGCAAATAGATATTGCCGTAACGTGACGACTAACGCGCCGATCTCAAGGTAGGAAGGAGACAGGCTATTGACAATGCATTAACATCAGTTCTGAGATGCTTCATAACCTAGACCTCTCATACCTGCATCATTCACACATATTCGAGTTTGAACCAATTCTTTAGCATGCCGACTAATTCATCTCATCGCATACTCTCGGTGGCCATTGCTCGTCTGCATTAAGAGTTGGCGGAGGAGAAAAGCTTGCGCCACGCTCACGATGCTTCAAGGATGCTCCAACACATCTCGGTAATCTCCGAAAAAAGAGGCAGCTGGATGTAAACAAAGTATTGCAGCTGCATAGATAGATATGCAATATACGAGTACTCCTAAGCGCTCAATGTTGTGAAATCAACCTTTGGAAGCAAATACTAACTGATGGTACGATAATAGGGGCTGCGGTCGTATGGGTCTCGCGAGAACCACCTGCGTTGTTGGCATGTTGGTTACCATCTCCGACCCCCATAAACTCCTACTTGCTTTTTACAGGTAATGATGAAGTCCAAATTTCTCATCGTTATTTGAGCACTTGAACTTTCAAGCCGGAGATTTTGCAACTCTTCCCACCTGCGCTTTTCCTCGGCCCCCATTTCTTCTCGTTAACACCCAACGCACGCGCCTATTTCTACGTCAGTCTGATGCAGGGATCACCGCGCAAACAGTGAAGATTACTGATGTTGGGCCAAGGAATTCGAATTCTCTCGACCCCGCCTCTGACCTTCTGTCCTTGCGCTTGGAACCACGGGTATGCCTCAGTAAAACAGCCGAGACATTTCGCACTTTGTACAACCATTATCTTCTCAACGGTTGAGGATTTGGCGTTTTCCAAGCTTCCCGTGTCTTAGATTGCAATAGTGAGACAAGCTATTCCTGAAATATGCCCATTTTAGGATGTTTGATGGGCAACATCCATGCCGTTCCACCCCGACATGTGCCATAGGGGCAACAACTTTCGCCGGCCAACAATGAAACCTTCTGAGGCGCAATTAATGACTGCCGCTTTCTTGTGTTACATCAACATGGATATGGAGGCACGTCTTGTCATGTTCCGTTAAGCCCTTAACGGCTTATACGAGTACATCTTCATTGGTAGGTACAGCCGTTTGTCGTACATTTCCGCTGCCCTGACAGAAATGCGCGAGCAGGATAATGCATGTCCTCACTAAGTCACCAAGCGCATAACCTTTTCCCGATTGGGGTGAGAAACATTCACATCTTGACGCTACCTATGCACAACTATGTGATAATGAGTTGGAAAGAACCTGTTACAGACTCAAGATAATGATGTGTTGGCAAGCCAAAATGATCCAATAAACGGGCTTCGGTGAGGCTTTACGCTAGTCTAGCATTATGCGGTCGCTCGTCACACAAGACATACAAGTATCACACGCAACACCTCCCTTACCTCAACTTTCCCTGCAATGGCGACCATGTCCAATCAACAGTGTTTTTTTTGCGACTAACACTGAGACGGTTGTCATTCAAACGGCATATGAAGCCCGAATTTGAGATGATAACTGATATATTCAGCTCCCCTCGCAATGGTGCCTCTTTACATTGAGGGGCTTGTTTACCGGCTGCATGAGCACGCAGCGCGCTTTACTTTTCGTCTTTGGCGTCGATGTGCATTTCCTTTTCCGGTGAGCATCCATCTCAGCACGATCCTTTTGGCTGAGTGTCCGTGCGCGTCATGTTGGTAGTGAGGCGGATAGTGTTGGTTCTCGCCCTTAGAGCTCATCAACCTCATGAATTAGAGAACACCAAGTATCTGGAGCTTGTTGTATGTGTGTACGACTCTGCTAAATCATTAGTATTAGCAAGGGAAAGAACTTCGCATACCAGTAGAGTCCATGCTTGCACAGCTGAAATTTTCTTCCGTGTCGCCCCCAATGCGACCTGTCACGAAGTGGTTGGTTTTTTTCTGCCACCATGCAAGCCGCCGGAAGCATGGTAGAAACAGGAACGGGGGCTTTGGTGAAAGCATATTACACTCTGTCACAATGCCATGAATCACATTTCATTTTTCTAAGTATTTGGCGTCAGTTTTTACATGCAGGGCTAGTGGAAAGCACACTACTATTGATATCATCCATGCAAAATTGGCCTAGGGAGCGTCCGGTCTTCTGTGGTTTAGCTGGTTAGGATTAAGACTAGGCAAGAGGAGGCAACCAGTGTTGTTATGGAGAACTCCCGTTACGATGTTGTTGAACACCTCGGGAGCTACAATACAAGTATGCTCGTGGGAAGATTGCCCATAGTACGTAGTATGCATCACGGATACAGCGCCTGGCCATTCCCCGTCAACAGTCTCATAAATGGCTTGCATCCGCAATGTCCAGCGCATCCGTGCCTTGACCAGGGTGCTACGTGCGGAAGTGATGGCCGCTAGAGAGCATGGGTCATGAGTTTGGACTGGATGAGATGAATGGAGACAGGAACGCCTCCACAGACTGTCTCCGCTGCACGGCAATTTTGGTCGGCCATCAGCATCGGCCGCAACAATGTCCAAGCTACGGGGCATTAAAACCTAAGGCGTTGCTTTAGATCAGTGAAGATCGAGCACACCAGGCATGATGAACCAATTAAACCGTAATGAGAGAGAGCACTGGGCCCTGCTCGCTCATCTGAAGAGCGGAGTGGACGAGCCACAATTGGTGTTGCGATTTGTGGTTGAGCATCACAAGGAGCTGCAAGGGCGGAACTGCGTCGCATCGAAGGGAGGAGAATGACTGACACGGGGTGAACAAGACCATCGCGTACACTTGCCCTGATTGTAGACTAGGCGAAAGACAGACTTGAATCAAGATGCTGCAAATCATCGCGCTCTCTCTACGTGGACATGATTCTCCTGCAAGTAGCCGATTATCTGCCCGAACTGATCACTGATCCAAGTAGAAGGGGAAAAGGCTTGACCTCACATCTTTTGTGCCTAAACTCATACAAACGGGCACAGAGAGATGCTAGTGTCAACTTACGGGCGCGGTGACGAGCTATACGAGTGAGGCTGAACCGGCCCTGTCACATAATCTCCACAGTGCCTGGGAGACGATCGATATCATTTATTACCGCCTATTACGTTCTGATCAATCAAGGAGATCAACCTTATCGCCTTCAGGCTGCGAGAGAGGCCAGTGTCAAGACATATACGGTATGGCTAGCTCACCCTGTTCGACTCGAGCTGGATGGTTAGCTTGGCAGACACACGGCCCGCCATGTCGCACGCGGCCATGGCTCTTGCTTGGTGGCTCATGGCTTTTCACACCTGCGCTAAGGCGAACCTATCCTTGCTAGCAGCTATTGCTGGCGCCTCTTGCAAGCCAGGTACGGAGTATTTTGCCTCTGGGTTAACCGGATCTGGCTCTTAGATCCCGACAACTCCTGGCCTCCTATGGTCTTGCCCCAGCTTTCATGTGTTTCCATGGAGCACGCTAGGAATGGCCGTCTGGACGATCAAAAGTAGACTGCCACCTTGCAGACAAGAGAGTTACTCGAGACAGAGTCCCGCCCTTTTGCCTGGAAATAAGCCGGCTGGTGCCTTGTCCATCATGTCCAAGCAATCATTGCCAGACAGGTGAGGAAGCGGTAACGTGACAGAGAGGGCATGGTAGAGCAGCAAACCAGCCTGGGATGCACCCCTGCTGTGTCTCAGTGTTTCCACAGCTGGTGGCTGATCGATATCTTGGACACTTTGAGTCGCAAAGAGCAAGCACATCGGCCCGGATGATCTGCATCAACAAAAAGAGCGTATACTATGTAATCATTTGACTGAGAGGAAAGCTGCCGCCGATCATGAGTGTAATTGGCCACATCACCTCATCATAGACATGCATAAGTAGTGTACTGTAAGGGTCGGCACAAGAGTCAAATGCAAGGAGCAATTCTGTAACTGTGCGTTAAGACTCCCTCGGAAGCGCGTTGGCTTTATGCGGAACCCTTGCAAAGGGAGCCGCTTTTACTCGGCATGGGAGGCGTCGATCGCGGTACCACGCCTCTCTAATTTTCTAGGTTCTTTATTTTGTTTCCTTTTTCTTCCTTATGCCTGGGGTTGGCCAAGGCAAACTCGACTCCTTTTTCTCTCTCCTAGACGCTATACCCTGTTCCCATCATGATCGACAAGAACGTGTGAAATGGTGCTTGTTAGCCGCGATTGGTTCGAGAAGGTCTTATCCCACACGTGTCGGGAGTTTTCCTAGAGCACAGAGACACAGACACCTTGAACTTATGCCCAGCATCCCTTCTTCTTATTTAGGACTTACTCCTCCACCGTCCACGAGGTTTTCATGTTGCCCTTGGATTGATAACCCTCGTCATCAAGTACTTAATCCGTTGGCTTCCCTTGTGACACGCCTTTCGTGTTGGACGGCCGTTCGTTCTTTTGCCCTTAACATTTTTTAACACTTTCGACTCTTCAAGCTTTTCAGTGTTCTCTTATATTTATCCTTTTTTTTGTCTCATATCCCTGTTATTTATGTCACTACTATAATCACTTCCACAAACAGCTTATAGCGATGGGCTCTGAGTTTGGTATCACCAAGGATACCAAGCCTGAGCTTCGGCTCGGAGCTGTGGGTATTTTTTACATTGTCTTTGCTTCAATATGGACAGTTATTCTTCTCAGCGGTATGGCCTTCCTCTGGGTCCGCCGCGATATGCCCATCCTGAGGATCAGAGGCTTGCCAATGTCCTTTGCAGCAATTAGTTTCTTACATCTCTACTGGCTTGCTGTTGAACTGGGCTATTGGTATGGTGCGCTGATGCCCGAACTTGCCGAATTTTGGATCATGGGCATTTGGTTTCCCTTTGGAATCGCCCTGTTTCACGCCTCCAACAGCAGGTTCCTCTATGTTGCCGATGCGCAGAGGAAGTTCATCAGGTCCGAAACCCCATCTGTACCTGTTGACCGGAGGAGTTTGCTGGGCAGATGGCGACAGCTGGATTACAATCGTCGGACTCTTATTCTGGTGTTTACCGGCATGGGCCTTCATGTGAGTTGACATTTAGTAGGATTCATAGTTGAAAGCACACTGATGAACTGACTCTATACTTAGTTGATCTTGACGATCTTTACTTTCCTCATCTCTCGCAAGTTTCACGACTCGTTTGGCATTGCCGGCACCGAAGTCCATGGCAACTTCATGGAGCGAAAGGTTGCTCAAGGCCGTGGCTGGGAATGGTTAGCTTCATACAAATATCTACATGTTTGCAATCATAAGTTAATCATCTTCTAGGTGGCCGTCAATCTTCTGGCAGATGTTCTGGGCATGGATTTTCGCTCCTTATATCCTCTTCCGTGCGCGAAACCTTCGCGACACCCAAGGATGGAGGTTCCAGACCATCGCTTGCTGCCTCTCCAAGTATGTTGTCTTGCAGTACATTACCCACTTGATGCTAATATCCTCAATAGTCTTCACTCAGCCCCAATGTGGCTTATTGCCTTGTATGTTCCCGCAATGCAACCGGTCAATAACTACTTTATTCCACCACAATGGTAAGCTCCAGTTCTCAGAAAAATAAGTTTTGATGCATAATTAACTCGAACGATATAGGATTGCCGTTTCTATTTTGTTGCTCGAAATCTTCACTGTCTTTGTTCCCATAATTGAAGTTTGGAAGCACAATGCTCTGACTCAAGAAACACTAAACTCGATTGCGCGCTGGGAGTCGCGAAAGAAGGGCTTCACCGGTGGCAACAAGTCCATCAACTCAGATTCTACTAGGTCCTCGTGGGGAGGGCGAATGGGAAGAGCATCATCAGTTGTTACAAATAGCTCTGGCGGAAGCATCCTGACCATGGAGGCCCTTGAGCACACATTGTGTAAAAACCCCGAACCACTGCAACAATTTTCTGCACTCCGAGACTTCTCTGGGGAGAATATTGCTTTCCTCACGAGCGTCAAGGAATGGAAGTCTCTCTACTCCTCCGCGGCTAAAGAATCGGAGAAAGATGACGGCGCAGTAAAGGAGCTGCCTCGCGAGTGCTTTGAGAGTGCCCTCAAGATCTACGTCGAGTTTATTAGTGCGACTCATGCCGAGTTCCAGATCAACCTTTCTTCTACAGATTTCAAGAGCCTTCAGGTCGTGTTTGAGCACGCCGCAAACGTCATCTGCGGAAGCGAACGCAGTAACCCCGATCCTTGCACCCCCTTTGACGACGTCCCTCACCGGACGGATTCTGAGAGCACTCTTAACATTGTCCGTTACTGGGGTGAAGTTCCAGCTGAGTTCAATGAGCATGTGTTTGATGATGCAGAGATGAGCATCAAGTATCTAGTCTTGACAAATACGTGGCCTAAGTTTATCAAGGAGAGGCGATCCTTCGATATGGCTAGTACTGTCGAGACTGGCAGTAATTAAACACACAAACAAACAAACAAACAAACAAAAAAATGTCAATCTTCGTTCTGAGATCATATATATCCTATTTATTCTAGGTGAAAATAATTATTTTTGTAGGACAGGTATATGGGTTAGGAATGGTTTTTTTTTTCTGATATGCAAGAACATTTGTATCTCATAACATGATCTCCTTATGACGGGCGCTGTAACTGTGACTTTTGTTTTGCGGATATGACTTGGAGGGCCTAATTTGAGGATTTGTTGACAGAACTATGAATCTCCCCTAAAAATGAGGCAAAATAAATTGTGTGGACGAAGTGGTTGCCAGGTTGTTACTGATCATAACGATTGAGAGCTGACTGTCCTCTTCTTTAGATGATCTTTGCTATTTGGAGAAAAGAAATGGCCTGCCGCAGATACGCGCTGGTGCAGGCATCTCACCATTTCGCTTGTCTCGTCAAGTGGAGATCGCGATCTGCATACGAGATTCCCTCTGAGTGCATGTGCATGGGTTCATCGAACCGAGGCAGCTGCATTACTCGTACATTGTCGCCGCTTTGCTGCGCCTGTAGCTATTTCCAACCCTGGTAGGTAGCCATGTATGTACACATAAGAATTGATTCGCCGATCTGATGGAAGATCTCGATCTGTGATATATCTGCGCATCACAGCGATCGAAGATTATCAGGCTAACTACGCGTGGCATTGTCTCTAATGGTGGCAGCGAGATGAGGCCGTTTCACTGCCTAGGTTTTTCACAGACAACAACATGCTGCATAGAGCATTTGTAAAGACGCGCTGGCGTATGATATTGTTACCCCGTCTATCTTGTATAATATGAAGCATTTTTATGGACATATAATGGTTAATACTTGGACTCGATTAATACTAGAGTTGAATTTCCTGAATTGAGTTACCGTGAGTAGCATTTCGTACCTTATGACCTCGTAGTAGTATTTCTAAGCAAGTTTGTTATAGCCAATTGGAAATGTCTCCCATGGTAACACAACAGCTTCAAAGCCTGATTGATACCCAACCCGTACTATTTATTCACCGAAAATCATCTAAAGTCATCTTCGACACTCGCAACTATAACTATCAACACAGCTGTTACAGCGTTATTGAACCTCTCATCTTAACTTAACCTCTATAACTATCAACTTTCACTATATACGCGTGAACCACCATGCCTTTCAACCTCAAGAAGACGTACCATTCGGCGCCGAACTTCTCGATTCCAGCCCCTGACGCAAATGGGCCCCTTCAGCTCGGCACGATTATTGATGATCCCGAAGATCCTACTCCGCTGAACCCTACCGAACGGATCCCGATCCCGGCCGAGCAAATATTTCGAACCCAGACTCCTGGGTTTCGAACAAAAATGAATAGTCAAGCTAGTGGGAAGCTTGGCATCTTCACGAAGCTGCTGGGCCTAGGGGGGTTCGGCGGCAGTCTCGGTGTCAGGGGGGGCTATTCTAACGAAGAGATCCTCGTTACAGACCGCCTTGACACTGAGTCCTTCAACCCAACTACCGAGCAGATCAGGCTCGCGATCGAGGTTCCCACCGTACGGGCCTATCGCAGGGCCAACCGTGACAAAGAGCCGCTGTATCTGATTACAAGCATCAAAGTCGCTCGTGGCGCATCGGCTTCGGTGATACAGGGGCGGGCCTTCGGCGGAGGCGTGGAGGCAGCGGTGCCGGACCCAGCTACTGGCCTCTTCCAGGTAGGCGCCAATGCCGGAGGCGAGATGAGCAGAGAGACCGAAATGGGCTTTGATCATACGTCAGACTTTGTGCTGGGGTATCGACTCTCAAAGCTGATCATGAAGAAGGACGGGGTGAAAGCGAAGAGACACCGACGCGGTGCTACGCTGGTGTCCGATGATGCGCATGGAGTCGTCGACAGGTATGGTGGAGAGTTAGAGGTTATTCATGATTTTGCCCCAGAATGCTTGCCGGAAGGTAGCGTGTTTGTTGATGATACATTCACAGCCGACCCCGAAATTTGTAGATGGGTGCTGCACTATATCAAATGAAGTCCCATACCTCTCAAGCAACGGTGACGAAGGCAGAACCCATCCAAGGACATGAGCAGATGAGTAATGATATATAGGCTCTATTATAGTTATTACTTACCAATATATGCAATCGTGTTTGCTCATCTATCTGCACATTCTATTTGCTTAGACACTTCTCAAGGACTGCCTTAATATACTCGTCCGTGTTCTCCTGGTTCCATAATTGCCAAGGTGCAATGTATTGATATCCGTTATCCAGCTCAGCTAAGACGCGAAATATACGCCGCATCCCATCACTTGAACGAAGATACTTTAGCTTTGCCTCATCTAACGAACAACACCTCGGAATAATTGCGAGGAGATTTGCCGCGATTGCCGCCGCTATCACCGCTGAGAAAGATGTCCCGGACTTGACTACTTTCTGACGTTTCCAAATTAGGGGAATATCAATCCCTAGGGTCATGAAGTTGTCTTCATTAGGTAAGGCATTCGGTGATATCCCTCCGTCCTTCCCTTTGCCATTCGAGGCATGAATGCATAGGACCGTGGGATCTCTAGCCGGGTATGCCCGTGACTTGTTGTTCCCCTCATTTCCTGCTGCCGCGATTACAATTTTACCAGCCTCATAAGCCTTCTTAATGACAGGGTCGAGATCTGGATCAAATGCCTCAAGCACGAGAGACAGCGAAATAATATCAACGTCTTTCTTTAGCGCCCAGTTTATGGCCTATGACTTGTTAGATGATCTCGACTATATTCACATCAAGGTTAATGGAGAAGCTTACGTCGACTATCAATTTGGTGTCTTCCGGAGGCATTGTGCCCGAAATAGCAACTTTGGCAACATAGACTGCGGCTTCGGGTGCGAGGGTCGTCAGGAGTTCGGCTATGTGTGTTCCATGGCCTGTTTTGTCGTCGATATCATTTCTATCTCCTTTGAAGCTTTTCGTTTTTTTAATTTTTCCCTTCTCTATAGCTTGTTTGATGATTCGATGCTCTTTGTCAATTCCACTATCGATTATGCAGACCTTGACCCGTTGGGATTGTTCGGTAAAGTCATCGGGAAGATATGATTCAATAAAATCATCCATAAAATCGAAAAAGTCATCAGACGAGGATACGACCCTAGATATTTGGTGTTAGTTTTAGCCATCTCCTTTCAGTTTGGACTGAGTCTTTACCTGGATTGCTCTGGAGCCGTGTCGGATTTTAGCTCATCAGATGACTTGATGGAGCCCAGAGGAGTAGGAGGCAAAATGGTAGTCCCGCAAGAATTTATACACACACTGGATTCAGTCACAATTTCATTTTCTGTGACATAGTTCCCTGTTGCAATATGAGTATGCTTTGGCCTCTTTTCTGGTCGCCGGTCTGCGACAGTTGTTATTTTCTCAGGATGGATGTCTGACGGTGTATTGTTCATAGCTCCCTTAGAATTGTTGGAATTATCAGATGGCTCATCCGAGAGGACTCCTGTGCGAGGAACATCCGTTTCTCCATTGCGTCCGATAGCAAATGAATCATTCAAGATAGGGCGAGGCTTCACGTCCACTAAGGGCGGAGAAACTTCTCGTTTTCGTTTGCGGTAGTGTTCAAAATCCGCCTTCAGATTTTTAACTATTGAGTTCTGGATCAAGCTCGCTGATTCCGTTGTCCATTGTTCAGGTGACATTTTCGATATACTCCGGTGTAAAATGAGGCATCCTTCAATAGCGTTTAGATAATCATTAGTTGTGGTTTGCATAACGCCTTCCTCAACCAGGTTGTTTAAAGTCAACCATAGGCTGGGCAGGTCATCCTCTTTACACTCTGTCACAGTGATCCGCTCCCCCAGCTCCATTTCCACGAGAAGCTTAGCCAGAGCAAGAAATGTAGAATGATGAGTTAAGTAATCTTTCGTTCCGGTGTCCAGAGCATTGTCGTTTGGAGAGGATGGTGAAGGTTTTGGGTCGCAACGGATGTAAGGAAGTGTGTCTAATTCGCAAGTGCCTGAAAACTCATTTGAAGACATCGGGAGCGAGATAGTGTCTGCAGACCAGCTACTGTGCGCCCAGGAGCATTCGAAGAGGTACAAAAAACAGTAAGCGATGTTCAAAGCGAGCTCTCTCTTTTTCTTGTTTAAAAACCTGGTCCCGGGCGAATTTGGTGAGGCTAGCGAGAAGCATCGCTGTTCAATCAGCTCCTCTATCGTTTTCAACCGTACTTTGGCCCGCCCTTGGGCAAACTTCTGTTCAATTGGTGGCTTATAAAGAATTCCTTCGTGCAGAAGAAGATTTATAACCTCGTTGTAATCTTGTGCGTCGGCGATATCCTGGCAAAGACTTTGAATGGGTCTCAGTTTACTATGCTCATCCTGGCGTCTTGTTGAACCCCTGGTTCTCGTCAGATCAGCACTCTTCGATACACTTACTTCAGGGAAGGCCAAACATACCCATCGAGTAAGCATTCTATTTCTTGCCATTCAGTAGAATTTTGACAGGAAGAAAGGATAAAGGACACCATTAACCCTTTTTCGACGTGCCAGCTTAGACCAGCCCCCTTGAAAAGCATACGATGCCGAGCTTGTTTTTCAGAGCAAGCCATATGCTGTGTCAAGCTCTTCATAAGAGCGTCTATCATCTTGATTTTGTTTCTATCGGGTTCGACAGAATCCAAGCTGGAGCTTTCTGCTGCCGGAAATTCTTTATAGGGGCGAAACTCACGTATAAACTCCAAGTGCTCGTTTAACACACGGAGTGCCTGGGAAATAGATTCTGCCTCGATCAATGGCAGTGCCCCGAGAGTAGTTGAAATAGCCTCACTTCGATCTCTTTTACTTTTGACGTCATGTGCCGGGTCAAGAAGTTCATGAACATCTAGCAGGGGGAGGTTGATCGGCAAAGTTCGCAACAATATTGGATGGGCTAAGTTGGAAATCTCAGTTGCTTCCTTTTTGAGGCGATTAATTGTTTCTTGGTCGATGTCTCGATCGGTCTCTTCTAACACGAAAAACTTTTGGATCTCAAAGCGGATAAGCCAATAATAATGGCTCAACTCTTTCTCCAGACTTGTGTCCTTGATCACCTGGTTAACTAGCATAAGGAGATGCTGCTGTGTTATCTGCAGTGTTTGCCATTCTTTCAATTCAATGAGACGCATTTGTGCCTGACTCGTATAGCGGGAGGGATAATCGTCGTCGTCGTCTCGTTTAAGGTGAGAAAGGTGAGGGGGTGTCTTGACCGCTTCGATCGGAAATACACCAGGACCCTGCAATGAGTAGTGTCACCAAGTTTCACTAGGAAACATCGAGGTTTGGTATATGTGTGTATATATAGAAGATGAATATCAACTTTGTCAATATTGGACTAAGCCCATTGCCCAAGGAATGGGAATGTCTACAGAGCTTGAGTCCAGCAAGTGTGAAGGTAGAGAACAAGGAGAGTACTATCCTGTGACCGCGTACTCGACGTTTCATCTCCTGTTGTTTATTTCGGGTTCATTGTGTTACACCGGGTGTGATGTTTCTCAAAACACGTGACTAACGCGTTTCCCACCACAGAAAATGGCCTCAGCGTTCTCCATCACTCAAAGGTCGGGCTCCCATCTTGTGCAGAGTATTTTGTTCCATCCAATCTGCGGTGAGGAGAAATGGAGCGCCTGGAAGCCTGGCCAGACATTTATTCAGCTGCCTTAGATTGCGATCTGCTATTTAAGAGATGGCTCATACAAGTCGCCGAACCAAGGACAATCAGCCGTCTTGGCGATTCTGCTGACGCGATTGGGGAGTTCGCGAGAGACTATCATGCCCGGTTTGAGGCGTGGTCGTTATCCTTAGGTGTTTTTGTCGAGCAAGGTATAAGTCTCGATCGTCGCTTGTCAAAGAGCAAGGATTATCGAGATTTGATAAGAAGTTTGCTTGGCCTTCTTTTTAGCTGTCTGCAAGAAAGTAAGTTATTTCCCAGAATCACAGAATTACATCATACTAAGCAATGTCATAGTTTTATTGATACTTGAAGCTAGAGATGATGGCAGTGGCAATGCAGTCCCAATGCGGGTAACTAGATCGAGTGTTCGAAAGTCAGCAATCGAGATCGAAAATCGCGTGGCCAATCTCAGGAAACACCAAAAATTTGTCGAGTATGCCATTCCTGAGCTGTATAAACTGGGAGCAAAAATCCGAGAGGCCTCAGCTGTTAGCTTGATCCCGAGGATGGAAGCCTACTCGGCAAAGAGATCGGACTCATATCTGGAAGACATAGCGTTTTCGAAGGTCAAAACCCTCTACCCAAAAGCACCATTGAGTCTTCAACGCCTTCTAGGGCGATCTATTGTCGCACGCTACTTCAGTATACAGTCCCGAGGCAAAGATCAGCGACGCTTATCAACACATCGTATACTTACTTTGGATGAAGAAGACAAGCCACGAGCTCACAATGATCCGGAGCTGTTGAATCTAATCAGTGGAAAAGATTGCATTGATGATGCGCTCACTGTTGCTCGTGATGATTCTGCGACAAAAATAGATGCAGTGCTTTCTAAATCGGAATCGAGTGCTTCAATTTTCCAGGCAGATGAATTTCAATCCGAACCGGAGGAGAGAAGGCAACATCCAGCCTTATCCTCAGTTTCAGGGACTCCCTCGGTACCTTTGGACCATATTAGTTATCCGGAACCACCAAAACCCTTAGGAGATGGAAAATCCAGCTGGGCAACTTGCTGTTGGTGCTCGGAGACCTATCCATACCATAAATTCGAGGATAAGAACTGGTGGAGGTGCGTCTCAGAAATCGTTACTCTTTGTTATAGAGTCGCTAATGTTATTTCAGACATCATGTCGACCACGATCTTCGACCATATGTATGCCTCGTTGATACATGTTCAAAATCTGGTGACACCTTTGATGGATTTAGCTCATGGACGGCGCATATGGAAAGGCATCATTCTCCAAATTGGATCTCGATTATAAACACTAAAGTCATGTGGGAATGCGATGTTGACACACATTCAGAGTTTTTTGATGATGAGGCTTCGTTAAGAAACCATATGATGGAGCGCCATCTAGGATCATGGTCAGAGCGACAATTATTGAGCATCCTCCGCAAAAGTGCAATTAGAATCGCCGGATCGAACTACGATTGTCCTCTATGCGGCTTTAACGCTAGCCAAGCCCCTCCCGTCGCAGATCAATCAACGGATCTGCAGCATTCTTCGCAAACCAAGCGAAAAAGAGAAGCAAAGCGCAGTATACGTACAAAGCTAAATACCTATTCTCGGTCAAAGCGCACAAAGACTCATTTGCAAAATGAGGGACGGACAAATGAACAAATAAGCGACTGTGAATCAATCAGTTCAGATGAATCGGATTTGGAGCTAGTAAATAGCCCAGATGCCGAGTTGATTTCACCTCAAATCAAGGATCAACAACGAGAACAATTGTTGCAGCACATAGCACACCATCTCAAGGCCCTCTCGTTTGTGTCCCTGCACCTCAACGCTTTTTGTGAGCCGCCTAAAAACGGAAATCAAGGTTCTGCCACAGGAGGTGAGCAGGAGGACCTAAGCAAAGTTAAGGGGCCAAGCGGGGTTGATCCAGAGCTCGATGTCGACGCCTCATCTCCTAAGTTTACGGATAGCCCAACATCTGCGGCATGGGCTGGAGCTGCTTTCGATGATGATATTAAATTACCTCAAGAAGCTCCTGCAACTTCTAATGATAACAAGAGCGTTAATCGTTGGGTTGGACTCTCTAGTCTTGATACATCGGTTAGCAACCCTGTCGATACAGAGGATGGCGACAATGCAAAGTCGGCATTAATCACACCTTTGGAATATATTCCAGATCAAAACCCTACGATCATGTGAGTAAGCTATTTACTTTTTCTCTGGTTTCCCCTTTGAACTTTCAAACTCTTTATTCCGTTTGTTTCTAATACTCTTTACTTGAATAGTCAATCCAACAGCTGGTTCCAGTCTGTGGAGCTGTTCGTGCAGAAAAGCATCTCGCCTAACAAATTGAAAGACGAGGAAATCAGGATCCTACTAATTGACCATTCGGATGACATCAGCCAGTCCGTATCCAAGATGCAACAACCCGAAGAGTCGCCAGCACGGCCAGATATAATAGGCGACCTTTCAAACAATACCCACAGAAGTCTCATGGCTCAAATGATACATAGGATATGCCCTCATGTAAAGTTGTTTACGGCAAATTCAGGAGCAATTGACCAGATTGCCACAATGGATGGTGCGGAAAGAGCTGCGAAGGTATGTAATTTGTTAATTATGCCCGTCCGCCATGATGAATTATAGCTCTGGTTAACGGAATGCGATATACATAGGCCATCGAATGGGCAGTCAAGAAAGGTGTCCAGATTATTTTAATGACCGAAAATCTGATCGATTCAAGGGGAAATACCAAAGAATCGAGAAATCTCGACAGACAACTTCAGCAGGCTGCTGCTGCCAACATCCTCTTGTATTGTGCTGCTGCAGAGTCGGACTCTCATAATGGCGGTACTGAACCTTATACTCATCAGTTTGATATATGCCCTATCAGCGTCGTAGGTTCTGCCACAGAGGCTAGTAGGGTGCCACAATCCGTCAATCCACGATCAGTTCATTATCTCTTTCCGGGTGCAGTTGCTGCCGGAGTAGATGACCCCAAAGATAATTCGGTTGCTACGGCTGTAGCTGCGGGCTTTGCAGGTCTCATCCTCTGGTGCTTTGCATACCAACACCCACGAACAGCGAAGAACGATTGCAAAGGGCCGAATGCAGACGAGATGCATAAAATTTTTAAGGCACTTCAGAAAAATGGTAGCAAGTGGGTTGACGTGACTACCCTACTGAAAACGGACGGTTCCGCGACCATACAAGATATCGTTGACTACTACTCTAGAGCTCGAGGAAATAGGAGCGGGAGAGGCAGACGCGGTATTAGTCCAGTAGCATGAGCAACTTTTGGTTGGCTTGAAGAGGCATACATTGTCTGCAGGATGAATGATGGCATGGGGTAAACTAAATTATCTACAGAGTGAATGATGGCGCGGGGGAAAACTAAATTGTCCACAGAATGCAACTTGTCAACCGTATGATTTTTGAATTAGACACTCATTAATAACCGCTATTCTCTTATGCATGCTACCTATCAAAGTCACATTTGGAAATCTCTGTGAACCAAACGTAAATCCACCATACTTACAAAAAGGTGCAATCAGATACTACCTACTAAAGATTTCCATTCAATGCAATGGGGACCTGAAAACCATCATCAGACACTTGAGATTCTTAAAATGTTATTCTTCCTCGCTAGATTTCGTTCCTATAGTGGACTCAAATGTCTTACTAGCCATTACACATGGCAGCCTTAACCTTGCAACTCTAAACTTGGCGTGAATATCGTTCTCTTTGCTGCATCAAATCGTGGTTACTATAAAGCATTAGAGTCAAAAGCAATTAGCTTATTCAGCAATATAGATATTTTTGGCACGCGTCTCTTCATGATATCCTCTAGTCGTGAAATGTGTGCTTCGACTTTTAAAATGATCTAGAAAAAAAACCATTGTCTTCCTGCTGAACGGCCGTACGAAAGCAGGGAGGGACAGCAGGCCCCTATGATACTTTTTCACCATGATCCCTCTGATTATGTTCGGCTTATGACGCTGCTTCAGTAACAAATCGCGGCTTTGCCATCAGCATAGCGTTTGTGGCATTGATACAGTCAGTATGATTGCTTTAATGTTCACGTCTGGTGACTAGATCTGGTGAGAAATCAATGCTAAAATCAATATGGATGGCTTTCATCGACCTTGCGTTATATTCGATTATATCACTCTATTCAGAAGGAAGAGTCGAGGTGCTCTCCGCCTTGTTTAGCAAAAGTGAGAGGATGGCCGTCTGTCTACTACTGATCTATGCGGCCAGCCTTGATTATAATCCCTATCTAGGTTTTGAAACAGAGATCCCCTCCAAAAGAAATCATGCAACACATTACCCGCGACTACATGGATGGAAGGGCTTTGTGAGTATACTGCGGGTGCATGCCAATTCATCGTCAACCCCTTCTCCCCCGTACATTATTACTAAACAAATCATGTTTCGACTGCCGGAGCCGCTACGAAACTCAGATTACACATAGTCATCCAACTATCACAACATTATTGAACCTCTAATGAAGATTGAGTCTGTTAACTTTGGTACGTGCCCATCGACCGAAATTATGTCCGTAGAGTTTTAGCTTGGGGGGCGGTGCAGGTAGGGAATAAAGATCCCAAGATGAAATTTTGTTCTGAGCTCCATTGGATAAATTTCAGCCTCGTTACATGGAGTTGTCGGTTCCTAACGCACGTGATTCTCGCATATTAGGCATCAGACACCCGAGCTTAAGCTTCTCCAGTCGCTCAAAACTCAAAGTTCTATTCTAACCAGAAGGGAATAGCGACATCCCAATCCGCGCCAAGAACAATGAAGTACCTAGAAGACTGATCAGATATCTATTCCGTTGTCTTGGCCTACTATTGCTACTTGACAAATCCTCGACGACACAGCCATTGCTTTAGGATGGCTCGTGAGCGGTCATCAAGCCCGGTCTCGGTTATAGCTGTCATTATTAGGTGTATTTTTACCCAAGACGATACTGTTATGACCCTTTCCGGAACCCTCGGCTTAGATAAGCACCAAGTTGACCCTCAGCTTTACAAGTCAAAATAAAATGTGAAGAAATGATGGCAATCTCAATGTGGCTCCGGGGAATATTTAAACACTGCAACGGACAGTGCTGAGAAGGCTGAATGGAGAAGGAACTCATTTCTAGACCAACAGATGAGGCGCAGATTTATATACAGCTGCAGCCCTGGCTCCATACCAAACTTGCCCTATTGTGATATATCTGGATTACCTGCAGTTTTGATTGTTTTTCTAATTTGATAATACGTAATTGTCCTCTGACGAGTCTAGTAGAGGCGCCGGCGGGTGTTGTCGTTCTGTTTGCGGTAAACAAAGAAGACATACAACTTGACAAAGCTACATAACACAAAGGTCTTATTGATACACGGCGGCACCAAGGTTTAGTGAGAAAGAAAGAAATTAGTCGCGATATCAGCTTTGTTGTAGCCCAGCGGCTAATTTATCCATAGAGCTTGAGCTTAGAGGAGATCACGGGTGGAGAATGATCTCGGAATTGTGTACTCGGTATATTATTGGTGAGTTTCATTTTCAGCTTCATTGTTGTCTATTGTCAAGACACATGACTTACGCGCTCTGAGTAATAGGTATTTAAACGCACAGTTTCCATTGCCGTCAGAAATGTCAAACTCTGTCTCTTTTATCACACGAAACTTAGAACACTGCTCAGTCCAGAGAGGAAGCTCGACTATCCAACCTGCCTTGAAGAGAGATGGGGGGTAGATTAGATTGGATGCTCGTCTTTTCGAAAGCCGATTGCTGCGATCAGCTATTTGAAGACTTAATTGACCAAATCAAGGCTCTAAAGAAAATGAAGCCTCTCGACACGTCTATCTCTGAGATCCTCCAATTTGCGAGTGGTGAACAAAAGCAGTTATTTGAATGGATGAAATCCTTCGAAGACTCATCTTTTTGTATTTTCAAGTACAGAAAAGACTTTCTTGACCCCAATGCTGAATACAACGATATGGCTAATTTGGCAGAAATTCTTCTTCGCAAAATTAAAGAAAGCCTCCAACGTAGTAAGTTCCTCCCAGAATATAGACTTGAATTACGCTCAGCTAGACTCTAGTTTTACCAAAATTTCAAACACCAAGCGATGGCAATTTTGATGCTGCCCTACTACATTTACGGTCATCCCAACAGTCATTCTCAACCCATGTCATAAGTCCCATGATCGACATTGAAATAGATCGAAACAACATTGAGTCTGCCATCATGAGACTATACAAACTAAAGGGATTTTTACGTTGTGGAAGCGAAGAACAGGGAAACACCGGGGGAAACGTCCTCAGAGCATACATAAATGGAAACAATCGTCAATTCAGCGTGTACTTTGCACAAAATGATCCTCGAAACATGATGGAAACACTGAATGGCTATTCGGAAACTAGAGAACGAGCAGAACTCATGGCTTTGAAGCATACCCTGGAGATTGTGCCGTTGGAGCAGTATGTCCGTATATACGGCAGCAGCGAATATTCCCCTAAACGTCTGACGGAATATGCGCTTGGGTGGGAGCGGATGAATTGCTTGACGGCCAACGACGAAAAAAAATGAGAACCAGGATATAATTCGAGCCGTCTTTGATAAGATGAATGAGCGAATCCGGGCAGGTGGTAACACCTACCTCCAAAAGGCATTCGCCGACAGTGGGCAGTATAACCACAAATTGATTTTAATGTCAGGTTTGTTAGTCTTCAGTCAGATTATCAACACGCTTCTTCTCACAATATATGAAGATAGGGAACCTCGATTTGGTATCGAACATGCCAGCGACTACATGGAGTTCGAGTCTCACAACGAGACACAAAGAGAAGACCTTTGATTGCCATTACTGAAGTAGATGCACGATTGCTATCTGCGACTGCAGCCGATATTAATTCTTTCTGCTATTATTACCACCTATTCAGCCTTGAATTTGAGACATGGGAGGCTGGATAGCTACATAAATTAGGGCGCTGAATAGCCACTCCTTGAAGATAAGGTTGTTATTTCTTGAACTTTATATTATAGTGTTTAATGAAGTGTTGAATAAAATAAATGCAAAAATCATGCAATATGCCTTTAATGCTTCGTAGCTACTACGATTCACAAATCATTCACCTACGCTGCCAGCATGTAGGTATCCATCAACCTCCCCCTCTTTGATGCCATACGATATCGCCAAAATGGCTACGGCTCAGCTGCTGACGCTGCTATAAAACCAAAATTATGTATAATTATAAAATACATCTAAAGCATATTCTTAAACCCATATTCCTGCTAAAATACAGCGTCTGAGTCCAGCAGCGGATCCCCAGAGCTGTAGTTTCCGCCATCACCGGCTGCTCCCGTAGAATCCGCGACAGATACCACTGGCGAATCAATCGGATTAGCACGTGACTTACGCGCTTTGGGCATTAGGTATTTAAACACTCAGCTTCCTTTGTCGTCAAATATTAAACTTTGTCTCTTTTGTTACTTGAAATTTGGAATCCTGCTCCTTGACTGTTCAGCCTGCGTCAAAGAGAGATGGAGAGTACGAAAAATTGGCCGAACATCCGTTCGGCTGTCTTGGATTGCAATCGACTATTTAGGGAATGCCTCAAGCTTACATACACCACCAACCTCTTTGGCAAGTCAGTCGTTGACCCCGTCCGCCCCATTTCAGACGCTTGGGACCTGCTGGATGTGTGGTCGTCAGACTTAGGCGTTTTTGCTAGACACCCTATTTCCCTTGACCGCCGTTTGTCTGACAATAAAGATGTTCAAGACAAGGCAATAAATCTGCTTTACGATTCTTATCTCATACTGCAAAATTGTGAGTCTTTTCCGGAATCGTAGTCTTGAACAGTTGCTAAGGTGGTCTCTAGATCTTGGAAGGGTACAAGGAAGAAATGAGGCAATAATAATGTGGTCCCAATGACGGCTTCCCACGCTAAAATTTCTGAAAACGACCTTGAAGAAATATGGGGGGCTCACCTGGAGGCTATGAATCAGTTGCATAAACTACGCCGAACTATCAAAAAGTCTTCGGCCGCTAGCTTAGACTTAAGGATGAAAGAGTTCTCTGAAAAGGCATTAACCTCATCTCTAGAAAGAACATCATTGTTGATGGTCAAGTCTTGCTATCCTGCAGCACCATTGAACCTTCAACATCTTCTAGGTTGCTCTATTCTCGAGCGCCATATGAGGTACCGAGTAGAGCATCAACAGCGCTTGACAACTTGCCATCGCCATGACAACCGCAACCTTCAACCACCTATATGCCTCTTCGACAAGTGTTTAGCGTCTCTTAATGCATTTTATAGATTCGATAACTGGAAGCAACACATGGAAAAGTATCATTCTCGATCGTGGATAGCAACAATAAATCAGAAAGTCACCTGGGAATGTGATATTATGGTCCCTCCGCATGACCCACCGGAAGTATTTGACGATGAGGCTTCGTTGAGAGACCACATGCTGGAACACCATCTAAATAGATGTGGGAAGACCCAATTAATAAGTATAGCTCGTACAGGTGGATTTGCCAAACTCGGATCCAACCATGTTTGTCCTCTTTGTGGCTGTGATTACAGCATTGTCGCGGATCGACCTAATGTTTTGCGGCGTTCGTTGCGGATTTTACTAAAAAGAATAAGAGACGGAACAAAAACTCCACTATATACCAACGTTCGGCCGAGGCGCAAAAGGTTTCGCTCAACTGATTTAAGCGGCTCGGATTTAAAGCAGGCAAGTACCCAGAGTACCGAATCAACTCTGCTCGAATTTTAACCATCAATGTCGCCGCAGGCACAATTATCAAGACACATCGCAATGCATCTAAAGGATATCTCGCTGTTATCACTGCAGCTTACCGCGTTCCAGGAGAGACTCGAAGAGGAAAATGGAGGTTCTAATATAGGAGACGAACAGGAAGAAACAGCTAAAGGCGATGAATCAACTGAGCCACATATAGAGCTCGATACCATGCCTGTCAGTTTCAAGGATATACCTATCTCCCTATCATCCTCTGCATCTGATATGGCTCCTGATTCAAAATCATTGCAACCGACTCCGGCAGGCTCCGGCCATTGTGAGAATATTGGCGTCATGGTTGGTGCAGTCAATCCTCAATACTAGCCTTCAGCCTTAATATTAAAGACCGAGATGATAATACAAGGTAGCATTAAGTTAGGGGTGGAGAAATCATGATACTAAGCATTACTATGCCTTAATACAGGTAACCACCTTCTAGGATTAACCTGAGGGCGTGGTTATCTATCCAGTATAGATGATTCCGTTAAATTTTAATAGTAACAAATGAACTTGGCAAAATAAAGGAGAAAGCCCCGTTACATATCCTCTATAGACAAAATGGTCTAGAAATCTTTTGTAATTACACTGCAGGTACATGTGAATTTACCAACCATTACCCCTTCTATACCGTACATAAACAAATCATGTCTCAGCTGCCGGAGCTGCTACAAAACTCGGATTACACATGGTCATAAAATCCGGCCAAAGCGCATCCTCAAACTCGTACTCCTGCCAAAACACAGCGTCCGGGTCCGGCAGCGGATCCCCAGGTGGCTGTGCCTCCGCCATCACCTGTTGCTCCTGCGGAATCCGCGAGAGATACCACTGGCGAATCCACCGAAGTTTGAAGCTGAGTCTGCAAAATTGGGCGCCGCCCCCATCTAGAAGACGGCGTCTGCGGCCGGCTTCCTTGGCCCATGTGTCTGCGTCCTCGAAGCGGTCGCTGAGACGCTTCATGGTGTCTGCAAAGTCGAGTTTTCTGCGGGCCATTGTGGGCTGCCAGTCTATTGAGGGATCTAATAGGAGCAAGCGAGAGCTGGTGACGATTGCAAAGGCGAGAAGTCCCGTCACTGAGGTGGGAAGACCGGGCAGCTCGTTGGGATGAAAAGAGCAGAGTGTTTCGAAGAAGTCGACGGCAGCGAGAAGGGATTTCCAGAGGGTATCGAAGCGCTGCAGGGGCTCTGGGTTCAATGTGCCCATTTCAACGGGCGTGGTGAATTGTGTGGGGATTGCCGGCTCGGCGAGGCGCATTAGAGTGACTTGATAATAGGCTTTGAAGATGTCTTTGGTGATTGATGATCAGCGACACGGTATTTACTTTAGTAAACATGGACTAGATTATACTTACGCCTCTCTTTGACGCACTCGGGCTGCATGCTTATCAGGTCATACAACTCCCGACGGACATTGTTAATGACCATATCCATGGGCGACAAGTAGGCACTGAGTCCAACGTCAACCACGTCAAAGCCAGGCAGCAAGCTGTAGGCACGATCGGCGACGCGCTGCATTTTGATCAAAGCGATTAGGAACAAATCGGATTCCAAGTGAGATTCAGCCAGCGACTCGCAACACTGTGAAAGATAGTTGTTCCAAGGAAATTGGTTGCCTCGCTTAAACAGGGCAGAAATGCTGCGATAGATCAGTGTATGCTCCCACCAAACAACACGGTACAATTTGGCAAGTGTTCTTACAGAGATGTAATGTGGTAAAGTCCCAGAACTGCGCGCTTCTCATCCGCAGAATGCACCTTTGGCTTCATTGCACCCTTGTTGAGCGTTGCCCAGGCTTCTCCCAGCAAAGATTTGGGATGCATCTTGGTAGACTCCGGTGACCTGTCTAACTTGAGATCCAGAGCCATGGCAACAGCCAGATGCACAAAGTTTGTCGCTTCTGTGTTCATGTAGAAGTGGAAATCTCCCCTATTGCCCTCAAGTCGTTAGCACAATGAGAAGGTGGCTGTTCTATGCATGGCAACTTACCAAGCCAGGTGAAGGAGAAGAGCCTGCAAGATTCCCAAATTCCTCTCCTGCTTCACAACCATACGGTCCGCGATATACTGGCGAAACCAGTTCTCGACACCTTGCTGAGTGGCCGACGATTGCGGCGTTACTGCCGCCATGATGGTCCAGAAGAGACATCGCGACGACGCATACAAGGCGCGGGGATCAAGATTCTCCGGGATAATGACAAAGGGGTAGTTGGGCATAAATTCCCGCCGATATATGTCGAAATAAGAAACCACTTCCTCAAACGAGAAGCTAAAACCGGGGATCAACTGGAACGTAGTTGCCGGTTCAGACGGAATGGTGAGTGGGATCGGGGGAGGTTCACGCGCAATTGTCATTGGCTTTGGCAGCGCTGCATTTTGCAACGGCTTTTGCAGATGTATTTTCGGCGCATCACTTATTATCACCACACCTGTATCGTTGCTTTCAGGAGTCAAGGGTGGCGTTCCAGATGTCTGCATGTGTTGGCCTGATGCAAGCATGGACACCAAGCCGTCAATCTTCTTCTCCAGCTGAGCCACACGCCTGCTGCCAAGTTAGTAAATGAATTCATACAATCAAATAACCCGAAATTCCGACAAACATACGTTGATTTGCCTCTCTTCTTCCGCTGAATCGGCGCTGGCACATGGCACGGGATCTTCATGCGATTACATCTAACGCATGCAAGTCAGCTCACCTCGCCCATCCCAGCCAATACCAAACCACCGCAAACACACCTTATGCAATTGGTCTCCCCCTGGCCGGACCCAGACTCAGGCCATCGACACTTCATCTTCAGCCGGGCACAATTGGCACATGCCCGGGTTTTGGGGGCCTCCGGGGCCGTGGGACGACTTCCGGGGCCGCCGTCTGACGGAGCCCCGATGCCTCCGTTGGCCGCACCTGCATCTGCAACAGTTGAATAATCAACATCCATGGCTGTTTGTGCGTCGGAGAATTTAATGATGACTTTGTTTCTGGGCCATGGGAAAGTAACATGGAGCAAATTTACATGATTCTTCAGAGGCCATAGTCTTGCAGGATGTAGGCTTCCGGCTCTCCGGATATTATCTTAGTGTCCGGAGCCGTAAATCACGTGCTGTAGGTACGGAGTCCGCTAGCTATATTATTCACCGGTCCCGGATATCGATGGTGTTTCGCCTTGTTACAATCTCCGGTCTTCCTCCTCCTTTCTTCTCCCCATTTTCCTATGTAACGCGCCACAGCGCCATGCTCCTTCTAGTGATACACATGCAGGTTTCACTGGCTCGGCATCGGAGGAGCTTCCTTCTTACTTCACGTGTCTGTCTCAGTGCATCGTGTTGCATTGTCTTTCCAAGACAAAGTCTCAGTTCACAATGCCTCGAAGATATGGGATGACCGCGCTTTCACTCTCCGTGTAGCCATCACGTAATGTTTTGTCAATGCAAGATAAGACTTATGCGGAGGCAGCCATCATGAGTCGAGGGAAGGATTTAGTCACTGTCTCAGCCTTCATCTCTTCATGTCAGTTTGTGTTTGGCGCTTAGCAGACTACTCTAATCCTGTCAGCTTTGTGCTACGCTGCTATGAATCCGGTAGAGTCATATCATGCGCTGAATGTGATGAAGAATCCTGGTAGTCTCAGTCTTAGTATGGACCCATGTTGCCTCAACACTTGTACTAGACAGGTGTGTTTGTATCAATATCTACATGGTCTAGAGACACGTTGAATCGCCAGCTGACGGGATTTAGCATCTCAATGCAGCTGATATTGCCCACTTCTATTGCTACCGGTACCTGCATAGTTGTACTAGGGTTTTATGACGAGTGCGTTCCCACCCGCGCTCCACGTGTGTGCTGTTAAGCCCACAGAGAAGCGTGATCATCCCAGTAAACTCTAAGTATATCTCGAGGGAGACTGACTAGGTGTCTCTTCTGTTTGCTCGTAGGATGGCAAGTTTCAAGCCACGCCTGAGGTCGTGACCGTCAGGTGAGCACCAAAGCCTTCGCTAGTAGTCTAGCAACATCCCTTGTCACCGGAAAGGTCAGGCAATGTCGATACAATGCAAATCGACCAATCTACACCTGTAATCCTCCTGTAGACCGAGTGATCAACGAGCTAGCGCTTGTCTGAATCGCCCTTCGCGTATTGCTTCAGCTCCCGTCTGCAAAACTGCCGATTGACCCGCCATGAACTGGTCATAAGCGCCGAGCAAAAAGCTTAGCTTGCAAGGTTGCCCGCTTTTCCGTGGTTCCCGGGTTTCCCAAGATCTGCAGCCCTAGGCCGGGATGTATCGTGCTCTCTCCGCAATCTGTGGGTAACTGAGATTCTGTTGCGATCGCATGACAAGCAAATCTGCGCTATTTATCAATTCTTATTCGGTCAAAATACACTGCCTGCGGGTATTATCATCACATCGGCGATCTAAGTGGGCAATTACAGCTGTGTAGCCGCTGAAAACTGGCTCAAAGAGGTGATTGATTGACAAAATCAGCGAGGATCTTTCTCCTCCCGCCAACAAAGCTGAAAACGCGATGGATAAGACATTGCGACTGCCGGTCTCAGTTGACTTGTCTATCACTTCTTCCCCGTAAGTCAATGATTCAATGCATTTTACACCTCAAACACTAAGAGCCAAATAGTTTGTCTTCAGCATCCTTGTCTGCGGCTGAGAGACCGCACGGCGTTTAACCCATCGAGATTCGGCCGAAACTAAGATCGCGCAGTGAATCCGTCTCAGTTACAAGCTCTCTCTACAACAAACCCCTTAGCACCTTTGAATTCCCAGGTCTAGATAAAATGAATGACGAGTCAGGCTCTGCAAGAGCGCTAAAAGCCGTGCAAACATCCCTGCAACAGCATCCCCCAAGCCACGTTCTCGCTCCCTCTTCCCCCATCCCTACATCCCTAGTGTCAACAGGGATCCCCCCTCGATCATCTCCCATCCACCGCACACGTGTTTTTATCTTATTGTATTTTATTCCTCAGAGTCCGATAAACTTACGCCAAATCCAGCCTCACCGTCTCATCCCTTCACAGCTGAAAACAGAAAGCAAGCAAAAACAAACAGATGAGACATCTCCGCAGCCATCCAGGCCATCATGTCACATCCCTCTTATTCAGACCGCAAATTCTGTCGCTTCCTAGCTTCATCAGTCACGCGGCGAAGATCGGACTCAACCGATCAAATATCTTCAGTAGTATCTACTTGTACTAGGTTTGGGCCTGTCGCATGTGGGGCGCGCGTCAAATTAATATGGATGTTCCTCTTTTTTTTACTCCGAAAGACGGCTGGCCGCTTATTTCTTATTTCTCGTGGGGTGGGAAAAGGGACTTTGAAGCACTGTGTCGATGTTAAGTCGTATATACTGGGTGAATGGAGCCTCGACTTGCACGATCTTGCATCTTGATGCTGCAGGCAGCTCAATGTTACGATACACCATGTCACCAGTCAAAAGTCCATTGTAGCATAATAGCAAATCAATTTCAGAATAACCCCCCCCCCCCCCCCTTCTGTATGTATCAACTATTTTTGCACAGCAAGAATAATCAGATGGCTCACATATGCAGCCACGAAACGATGGACTTGGACCTCCCCTTCAAAGAAAAACCTGCGTACCTCCCTACCACTGCTGAAACCGACACAACCTCCTATAATTTTTCATAAACGCCAGATAAATAACATGAGGAATAAACCATAAAGCGAAAAATAAAAATGCCACAAATATAGTCCAGAGAATGTAAGAATAAGAAGTACATGAGGGAAAAGATTGCCAAAGTGGCATGATGCTATGCTTCTTCACCGAATAGTGAGACATGCCCGTCTCTTAACTGTCCCAAATGGCACCATAGGCTGGGACACCCCGGGTCTCCAACCCATATACCACCTTTTTGGTGATTTTTTCATTGGCAATGATGATGACGGCCTCGGCGCCAAAGTCTTTGGCTAGGTTGTAGCCCATGCGAACAAGGTCGGGCCGGCCCTGGGTACGGGTATCATGAATGATAGCGTCGGGTATAGTTCCCTTGATCGTATCCATTATCTTCTTACCGAATGTCTTTTCGGGAGAAGCAGCTGACCAGATGAGCCGAGTGGGACAGCTCGGCTGCCCGATGTGGCCCAGCATAGGGCCGATGCCAGATCCAGTAGCAATGACGACAACGCGATTGAACAATGTAGCAATGCGCATAACACCGCAAGTCGGAAGGCCACGAACCCAGATGCTTGTGGGAGGGTTTTGAATACACGCCTTAGTCCAATCACCAGCGTTGGATACCACGAGAGAGTAGCCTGGCGCAATACCATTTTCGACGTCAGCCTGAGGGGCAGGGATCGTCGCAAAGGAGTGCCACTCGATGAGTGGGCGGTGGGAAATGCGTGTAAAGCTACCGTTGACTGGGATGGTATAGTCAAAGTGCAAGCGGATCGCGTGATCCGATAGCGGCTCAGCGTTGACCTTGACTTTACGCAGGAAGATCCAGGAGGAGGCAACGCTGCATGTGGCAACGCCGAGCATCCAAAAGGACGGTGTCTTGACTAGTGCAATCCCAACATCTTCTCCGGCTGGAGTAGAATCGTATACAGAAACAACCGTCTTGGCCCAGAAAAGTGCAAGCGTGGTCCACCCCAGGAAGCGATGCATCTTCTCAAACATGTTGTGCTTAGCTTTGCGAAAAGTGGGTAGGGCAAAGGTAAGAATAACGCAGCAGAGAGCACAGAGCAGCCAGGAGACCACCAAGTTGGCTAAAGAGTACCCAGATGGTCGACTTTGTAGCTGAAATCGGGCAACTGTGGCCTGAATCGTAGAGGCAAGGAGCCACGCGGTTGCACAGATACCAGCAGCAGAGTGGACGCCTCCGAGATGATAGATTTTGGCACAACGGCGGCGAATCCAGAACGGGAAGGATTTGGGAACAGAGCAAGAAATGGTGTACAGGGTGTTTATGACGACATCCTGGCGGATAAGTACACCGGTGACCAGGTTAGCCGCAGTGATAGTTGCAAGCCATTCAACTTTGGGGCTGAGAAGAAGGACAGCGATGAGAACACCAATGTTAACGAGACCAACAAGGCTGAATAGAACGCGATAAACAATGAGAACACGCTTTTTGATCCCTCTCCAAGGCTTGGGCCACTTCTTTTCGGGAATATCTCCCAATAAATCGAGCGTCTTTTCGGTCGTATCCTCTTGCGACTTGGCAGAGGCGGCCGTCAGAGTCGAAGATGAAGAAACAGACCGAAGACCGACCGAGGAGCCGGATTTGGCACCTTTGGTACCTGGCAGAGTAGCCGGTTGAAAGGTGCTACTGAACACGGTGGAAGATTCAGAGATCGTGGGAGATGCCGGTCCAATAGCCAGCATGCGTAGAGATTTCTTGTCAATCTTTCCATTGGCCGTTGTAGGAAATTCATCCAGAAGATGAATGCTAGATGGCACAGCATAGTAGGGTTGAAGTTTGCGGGTGTGCTCCAGAATGGCTTCAGCATCTTGGGTAGAGGGGACGGCAAACCCCTGGATTTCTCCATCAATCAAGAGTGCACAGGCACGAGTGACGCCTGGCGCTGAAGCCATAGACGATGACACTCCGTCCAATTCAACACGGAAACCCTGGTTACGAGCAGTGGATTAGATTCCGTTCCTCAAAACAGCGCTAGGGTGACAAGGCCCACAAGCTGGTACAGTATAAACAGAAATAACAACTCACCTTGATCTTGACTTGGTCGTCGACTCGACCCAGAATTTCAATGGAGCCATCAGGCCGCCACTGCCCCAAATCACCGGTACAATACATTTTGGATCTATTATTTTGAGACAAAACAAGTGTGTCAGTCATTTTTCACACACTTCACGGGGATCTGAGCGAGAAGATGCCGGGCTGAGAGAACGCTCTTGACGGGCACTCCCTTGAGAAAACTCACCCATCGTTGGTAAAGGGATCTGGAATGTAAGACTCCTTTGTCTTGGCCTCAAGGCCAACGTAACCGCGAGACACTCCGTATCCGCCGGCCCACATGGTACCGGATTCACCTACCGGTACAGGCTTCCCATTGTCATCGAGGATATAGACGTGGTTATTGGGAGTAGGGCGGCCGATAGATAGGCCATCACCAACAATGTGTTTCTGCATAGTGTTGACAATGGTCGTTTCCGTAGGACCGCAGCAATTCCAGTACGTGGCATGTTTGGCCCACAGATCAGCTAGGCTAAGGGGTAGGTTAGAAGACACTCGAAAGAAAACGTCCAAGAAAGGGGGTATTTGACGAAATTTGACTTACTCTTGCGAAGTAGGTTCACCGGCGGTAGCAACGACTTTGATCTTGGGGTATTTGGTAGGAGGGTACTTGGACAGAATAGTTGGTGTACAAATCAAGGTATCGAGCTAAATCGATCATTTTCATCCAATATTAGCCCACTTTCACTGCAAAGTGTAACAATTCGTTATGATCCGTTATTCCGGATTCTCTTCCCCTCCCTTCTCCGACACTTACCAGCTCAATAGCGGGTTCCCACTTAGAACCCCGGATGACAAGGGTGCCACCGTTACACAGGCATGCAAAGATCTCCCAGGCAGCTGGCACTGGCGTATTAGTAATGTGAAATCCAAATCGGCGATCAGAGCAGGAGTGAGTGAATGATCTCGGGGAAGAGTAACATACCCATGTCAAAGCTGATGTTGAGGACTTGTCCCACCCGGTGACCTGGTCGAATACCCAGGTTCCCGGGAGACATGCAGACAAGATTGGCAACATTTCTGTGTGTTACATCAACACCTTTGGGCTTGCCTGTTGTACCTAATTTGCAAATGTCAGTTTTCAGCTGCCATCTGACAGGGAGGGTGCGTGTAGCAGCGGCGGCCTCGGCGCTGCTAGTGAGACCCCGAAGAAATGCACGTACCGGATGTGTAAATGATGTAACATCCGCCATCAGGAGTGGCCAAGTCCATCCATTTCCCATCATGGGTCAGTTCATCGAGCTGCTGCTGCTGCTGCTCAATAATGACAGGAGTGGCACCTGGGCAGAGATCACGGATGCGATGAACAGTTGATGGTAGGCAGCAAATGATGTTGCCACCAGACTGTTCAAAGACATGCCGTATGGTTGAATCGGGCACAACGCCCCCGTCAAGGGGAACATATTGAGCACCACAAGAGAGGATGGCCCAAATACCCACTACCATCTCAGCGCTCCTCTTTACAACGAGAGGGACTCTCTGGTGAGGACGTACACCAAGGCTGCGGAGTTCTGCGGCCAAGGCCTGTACTCGAGCACCGAGTTGGCGGTATGTGATCTGTCTGGTGGTCGCACCAGACAGGTCATGGAGGGCCACATTGTCTGGGAAAGACAGGACATGATGATAGAAGGATGATGTAACAGTTGGGAAAGGGCACGGGAGCCTGGGGCCATACTGCATAGCAGTATAGTCCATAGAGGGACTCGACATCTCCATGACACCAGATGCTATAAGGCGTATGTCTGTATGGATGGGTGGATATGCGGGTGTGCCAGACTTGTCTTGAAGACGTTTGATCAAGTAGATTTAGATGGGTATGAGCTGAATGAGAAAGGAGGAGTGGTGTGAGGAAGAAAGACAATGAGCTCGGAACGTGCTGCTGCTCATCCAACCCGACGAAGAGGCCGAAGCGCCACCATTTATATACGTGAGAGGAGAAGAGTCCTTGTTCCATTATCCCCCCCTCTTCCAACGGCGAACGTCCTAGAGGGCCCTGTCTAGGAAGGGTCCGGTCCATGGTGAACCATGCATCGTAGCCCTGGCTACGATGCGGACAATAACGGACCAGAGGTATTCATCGTATGCACGAGCGACTTGTTGGTGCGGTCTTTGCCGCTCCTGAGCGAATATGAAAGTGTGTGAGTGGTCTTGGTAGAGACCCATCGAGATGCCGGTGTCCAATACAAAGACACCAGGGCTCACACGCGTGGAGGCTGAGACCAGCTAGGGTCAAGGGAAGAAACTGCAACATCGAGAGATACGGAAGAAGAAGTGGAGGCGAGGAGCGACGGACAGGGTTCGGGGAGAACAAGGACGAAGGTGATTTGGTACGAAGCGATATACTAGGATGGTGGCGTACTTGCCGCACCTCTGGCGAGAATGGGATGCTTGCGTAGGTGTGAGAGACGAGTTGACAGATCAGATGTAACTGGACATTGAGCTGCCTTGCCTGTCATCGATGCGTCTAAAGTGCCAACATCCGCGTGGACATGATCCGATTATTCTCATTATTAATGGCGGAGTTGCTACTAGAGCTACTCCTCATCCTGCAAACTCTCCCGTTTCTCCTACTCTTGCTCCCCTCAACTTCATACGAAAGTGGAGAAATGTGATAAAGAAGTGTTATTAGCTGTTTGATGCAGAAAGGAGGAAGGTTAGGGCCGTTGGGTTTACCGTTACATTTCCAGGAGAGGAAATGCAGGATAAAAAGCCACAACGGTGCATAGTCTAAACACACGAGCTCGGGAGAGGGAGAGAGAGGTGATATGATGAGGGATAGAGGGATGAATAGAGGGAGATGGAGTTGTCAAGCTGACGACCATTCACAATGTCACTGAATTTTATCCAAGGTAGCCGCGGGAGGGATATGGACGTATAGTTTGTACCCGCACGGATAAAGAGAGAATTAAAGCCCGAGAGGCGAACCAGACCATCAATTGCATCTAAGCAGCTTGGCGCCGGCAAAAGACAGAGAGACACGGGCTGAGAGAGAGCGGAAGAGAGACAGAGCCAGAAACGAAGGAATGCCGCGGTTGGTTACAGCGGACCAAAAAGGGAACCGAACAATACAGTGCGCAGCTCAATTGGGGCATCCCAGTGAGGCCAAAACATGGCTTGGGACACAGGCTTGGCTGAGACAATTGCGTCTGTCCATGTATAGAGGTAGTATACGCCAAGGTGCGTGTTTCTGGCGCCTGAGCGAGCAGATGTCGTCGATGGGTGGGCCCCCTGCTGGCGCTCGTGTAGCGGCTGCATCGCAGCATATCTGCATCTGCCGGCCGCTGTCGACGCCTGGCGTCTTGGGCGTATCGAGGCAGCCCTTGCTGCGGTAATGATACTTGTGCCAACCGAGACACTGCACTGCACTGGCCTGTCTGCTCTGCCCGTTCGTCCCATGCCATTGGGAAGGGGTCGACAGGCGGAGGGAGTCGAAAAAAGGTACCACCCCCACACCCCGTACGCACACGCCCCGGAAAAGCGTAGACTGTGAGGGGACGTACTCGCAGCGTGCAGAGTTGTGCAGCATGGGATGGGATGGCAGATCCACTACCCCGGTAACCCATGGCGGCGGATGCGGATGAAATTGGTAGGTGGTGCAACGAGGCGGCCAGCCTGAGCGATGCCGCGATGGTGGTGGTGATGGCGCATCATGTCGGTTCGGATGCTGATGAAGCTGGTGGTGATGATAATTTGAGTTTTGTTTCTCTCTAGACGCAGATGAAGGAAGAAGAGAAAATTGGAGCCTGAGGCTGCATGAGGAACTTTTTTTGTTATCCGGCAATCCTTTTCCAGAAATTCATCTTGGGGGGAAGGTGCGGCCGAAAAGGGCAATACAGGTACTAAGGCAAAGACTACTACTAAGGTAGGTGCTAAGGTAGATGAGCAATTCCGCTGCAATTACGGCCGATTCCGCGCAGCGCCACCGCCTGTCTGTTGAACTGGGCTGATTTCTCTTCTGCCCTGTTTTACCTGCAAACTCTCTTTTGCCTCGTGTGCCTTCCGCTGTCTCTGGCTGATTTTAATCCTGGCAAATCAGAGCCCAGCGTCGCCGTGTATACTCGTACCTCGCCCAAGGCATTTCATCCATACCTGCCTGTATCTCCAAGGTCCTGCTCATCAACCCGGAGCTTGGACTCTTTGGACCTTTTGCTCCTCAGTTTCGTCACTGGCCAACACTCAGATGCCTGCTAAGCTGATCCTGGGCTCGTCCGTTTGGGGTGCATTTTGACACCCCGTCCGTGCCAGGGGAGCTCGAGTATGACGATAACACAGAGGAAATTAACAAGCGCCAGTCAGCCAGGTTTGTGCGTTCTCGGCCGCCCTTTGACGGCATGAGGCGTTCATTCTGATGTGATATGTTACAGGTGCCGTGCACGACATGGCCATATGACAGCATCGACGGGCCCGGCGTCGCGCTTATTGCCATCGATCACGATATCCCTGCCCGCAGATTGCTCATGCCGGCCGTCAACTAGACAGAGCTTTACCCAACCACGCATCCACCCTCGACTCGACCTGTCAATCACGGGTCGAGGGGGCAAAATCCGTCTCCCTATTGGCACGGCATTGCTCGTTACCCACGCATATGCTACCTCTTTATCTCTCCGGGACAAAGCTGGCCGAAAAGACAGGGGCAAAGCAGCCAGGGAACAGACATGGAGAGCTTATGGCACAGCTGCGAGTATGCAGAGCTGCCGGCCTATCAGTGGAGTCCGGCGCGTGATATGCTCGGGATGCTGCCTTACCATTCGTTTCGTACAGCTCTATATAGCACGGTCCCCGCCTACTTCTTTACAGCCCAATGACCGATCCCAATTCCCTATCATATTCCCATCTAATCGCCTTTTCTCCTCGCTCTTGCGCCAGCATCCTGTCTGTCAAGCTAAAGCACACACTACCATTTACGTGTCATTTTTGCAAGGTTCCCGGCTAAAACGGACTGATCGGCAATCTCGTCAATATGTCCGGATCTGGATCTACGCTCGGAGGACTCATCCAGACTTCCTCCCCGGCTGAAGGTGTCAGAGTCATCACCTTCAACCGACCACAGAAACGGAATGCTCTATGCACTGAACTCTTGACTGAATTCCTCACGGAGCTCTCCGCAGCCTCCAAAGATTCTGCTGTCAAAATCATTGTCCTTACCGGCTCTGGCGGCTTCTTTTCGGGTGAGATTTGGTTTTTGACTTTGCTTGAATGATGCTATAGGCGCCAATCGAGCGTCAGAGGGGCACGAGCCTCGTCCCTCTTTTCCTTTGTCTCTTGTCTCTTGTCTCTTGTCTCTTGCTTTTTGCCCCTCGTTCCTTTTTGGGTGCTTCCTGGGTCCACTGGAGATGAACCCCAGCTGATGATTACCGGGGCCCTGGCCTCTGCATAATAGCCGGTGCCGATCTCCAGGATATCGCCGCGCTCGACGCGGCTGCTGCCCGATCATGTCGATATCTCGAGGATCTTTGCACTGGCATGGCGTCTGTCCGAAAGCCTCTTCTGGCAGCTGTTGAAGGACCTGCAGTACGCATGACCCCCTTGCACCGTTTTTTCTCCTAGTATTTGAGATATGCTAATATGGGGCTGTTTTTTTGGCGGAGCAGCTTGGGGGTGGGTTTGAGGTTGCTCTTATGGTGAGTGGTATTGCGTCTATATTGCATTGAATTTGCACGTGAAAATGCACATCATCCATCCCCCTCGTCCTTCCTATCTCAGCGTTTTTGCCGACACCGTCCACACCTTCGCTTGATAAACATACAGATATGCATAGCCCTACGAATACCAACTCTGCCAATGAGGGGCATTTAATATACTGACGTATGGGCGACCGCAGTGTGACATGATATTCGCATCCAAGACGCGAACCTATTTTGCGTTGCCCGAAGTTAAACGCGGGCTCATCCCCGGGGCCGGGGGCACCCAGCGGCTCACGGCAGCGCTCGGCAAGTTCAAGGTATGTATTTAACAACATATTGCTTCTAAAAATTCCCAATTCATCCATCTTTTTCTTGCTTTATTGGTACTTTCGTACTTTCGCATTTCATTCTGGTGTGGCTCCTGTTTCATTGCAGGACTCGTGGTACTTTTGCTGCTGCATAAGATGGGTGTGGTGTGCGGGAGTCATTGTTGTCAACATGAAATCGCTTCGTATCTGCCGCTCACACCAATTTAGGCAATGCGGACAATTCTTCTGGGTAAACCCATCACTGCCGAGGAAGGACTTTCACATGGTCTTGTTTGCGAGCTCTTTGACGATGGGAGTGTGCTTGAAAGTACTATCAAAGTAGCCGCTGAACTAGCCGCCAATGCGACCGAAGCTATGCAGCTTGCCAAAGAGGCCATCTGTCGTGGTAAGAAGCCGCTTGATTCCTTCTAGAACTTTTGTCGTTATCACCATTAAGGCAGCTGCTGACGCAACATTGTGCTTTTTTCTCCATCAATAGCCGATAGTCTTGGGCGTGATGACGAGTTCGAGAGGACCCTCTACTACATCACGATGGGAACAGAGGAAAAGATGAAGGGTGTCAATGGATTCCTCAAGAAAACTAAATCCCATTGAGGTATCAAATGAGGGTCTTGCATGTCGCATCGACTTGATGGACAAAGGAGAACCCCAGCACACATAACGTGCTGCAGGAGTATAGCACGCAAAGTCAGGCTTTTTACCTTCTCAATTCAGAGGTATTTTGGGCTGAGATGACCTCACCCTTGCTTTACGGATGTTTTTTTTTTAGGTGTTTATCTTTGAAGGAATGAGCTCGTAGTGCCGTCTCTAAACGTTCCGGCTTGGTTATCCACTTGACGTGGCCTATCACCATCTCCCGTTTTCCTGCACAACGGCACAGCTGCCTCTACAGGTAACGACTGCGCTCCAACGATATCTCAGATAACCGTCTAAACGGTTTCTATATTTTGACACAACCATCTACCGCACCGTTTGTTCCATGTGAGAGAAAGCTTCCGAACCTTGGCACTCTATGAGGCAGTGAAGCAAATGTTTTCTAGGCTTTTGGCGGAATGGCCAATGGACCAAGAACCCCACAGGATGTCAGACTTTCGTATGTCGACAAATGATCATGAAGCTTTCTGTATAGGAGTACTGACATGTTTCAGTTCTGGTTTTGTTTGCAATCACAGCTATGTCTGGGCTAATACCCACGGCAAACGACAACATCGCAGATACCCGCCGCGCGAGTCATAGCGATGATACATGTATTGAATCATGTTCCTGTTTAGGGTGAATCTAGAAGATTTCCTGTGGGATGTCATGGTTGCTGCGGTCACGCTGGAGCACGGGCCCGAGACACGCATCTGCAGCCTCAACCAAATAGGCAAGTCCACCAGCAGCGGCATATAAGTAGTATCAGACAAACACTCACGCATATGCCACGATACCGAATCCTAGTTGCAGCTGACACTTGACAGCGCACGACCATAGAAGACATACACGCAGCGGATGTGAGAATGTGGTGGGGGCGGTATCCCTTGATGCGCAGATTGGCTTGACTAAGATTGTGTCACCATCCATCTCAACTCGCACCCAACACAACACGGACCCGGACCATGATGGCTCGATCCAATCGCCGTCAGATTTATTAAACCGGTTGGTCAATATTAATGAATAGATCGATGAGGTATGTAGATCACATGACAGTGCGACACAAGCATCGTGTCTCAGTCATTTTAAAGCAGCTGCATTAGCCTGCCGCATCTGCATCACTCCAAGTCGAACACGGCAATTTCGATTCTATATTTACAGGCTCTCTTGCCACGAAGTTACCCAAGCCAAGCCAAGCTCGAGAGACAGGTAGTAGAAACATGGAGCTCCCCATCCGGAGCCTTTTTCGCGTGAGACATCGTACCATGAGCCACATTCCTCCACCATCTGAGACAGTCGACTTAGACACCACCTCCCGCTCATCACCACACATGTCACAGCTCCCCCTCTCCTTCACACCCTCTCTCGTGTTTGTCTGTCACTCTCTGCTCCCTCTCCTTACCACACCGATCCACTCTGTCCCGAAGATCCTCGCCGCTACATTGGCAGTCCTGCATCTGGCCATTAGGAGGATTTGTCCCCGAAACAGATCAGCGCGGCAAATGCGCCTCAGACACATCACATTCTCACACCACCCATTTGCTGAGACAGCTGAAATTGCCCACGGGCATTTCTAGGGGACCGGTACTACCCCCAGTGGGTGGCAAAGGTGACACGCCCATCAGAGGGGGTGCTCCAACCTTTACATCCCAAGAGCAATGCTACCAGGAACTTGGGAATACTTGAGATATCGCGGTCTGCATTTGGGCCGCCACGAGGCTGAGACGATCCCATGCACCTGGTATTGGGGATATCACTTGTGACAACCAGCGTATCGTCGTCGGTTCCCAATGCAGAGAGAGTAGCAATGCAATTCCGACATGATGAAGCAATGAAAGCTATAGGCTGAATTAGTCTTGAATTAGCAATGTGTAGATGAAATCCGCCAAAGAATCAACACCCTAAGCATCAGCGGCGTAGGGATATCCACCTGGAGTACTTTTGCTGCTTAAGCTACTCCCCATGTAGTAAGCGAGATTTTTGTGTATTCTCCTTCCTTTCAAAATTCAGGTGAGAGAACAACTAGATTGAGAACATCGGATAATATTATTTCTGTGGATGACAGCTAGGTATTTACCGAGACAACATACAAGGTATTAGCCTCGCGATTCGGAGCGCGAGCCGCTTCTTCGGCCGCTCCTTGTGATGATCGCGAGGCATGTCTGTGCTGAGTGCGGCAGGTTTATCAACTCACATTATACACGTTCATGATATATTATGCTGATATATCAGTATATACATACTAGTTTGTATACGCAAGATGTGTATCTATTAGGTAGGTCTATATTTACACTCATAAATATCCATTCTCACAGACAGTGTTGTTATTGTGAAATACCTTCCTCTCTTCGTTCCAATATACACACGGCTACTGGGCTGGGCCGATGCTGATCCCTTGCCTCCCTTTTGTGGCAAGTCAAACTCCCACCCTACACCTTTAGAAATTTAGAGCAGAGTTTAAAAAAATCCGGCTCGACATCCGGCACGCACAGCGACGCTAAAAAAGAAGGGGGGGGCCAAGAAAGCGGTGTTTCTGGCTGTGTCTTCTCTGGTGCTTCGGGAACTTTCTGTCGTTACGCGATGGAGCTTGTGGCCCGTCCCTACACCCCTTGATATTGAGAAAACAACGCTTAAAACGTTCCTATTTCTTTTAACTTTGAAGCGTTGTTCCATCCCTTGACAGGGTCGGTTTTTTTCCTAAGCAGCGTAATTAGAAAGCTATAGACGCTTTTATCTTCTGCTTTCTTTTTTTCTTTCTGGCATGATGATTGGATCGGGCAAGTGTCCGCTTTCGGCGTAGATATTTTACTCGCGGGAGGGGAGGGGGAATAATGGGTAGCAGAGTCTTTTTTGGCTTGTCTCGCGGATATGGGAAACAAAAGCATGGTGTATTTCGCTAAATTGTGCTACGGATGACATGTCATGTGGCTGATTCGGGTCGCCCATTTGACAGCTCTCCCGAGGTTCCATTGGGTGTTGTTTAGTGTGTTAGTTTGATACGCGGATGGAGAAGAAGAGAGTGAAAGGCGGGTTTGCATGGCTCCCTTATGTCGATCTTTTGTGGAGAGTAGAGGAGGGGGTTTCCGAGGCCGTGGTATGGGGATTGGATGAGATTTTTGCATATTTTTGGGGAGGTGATGGATTGTGTATGGGACTGTGAAGTGTATAGGTGAGATGTGGAGATTTGTATAGGAGGAGTATGTGGAGTAGTAGGAGGGAGTGGTGTTGGCTTACCCTGGAGTGAAGTCGAAATACTGAATTGGGGTATGAGATGAAAAGACAGGACGATATTCTCCGAGATGGATGTAAGCTTGGATGCTTCCGCAGATAATATATAATGTCTTTATTATATGGTGACTACTGTAAGTGGTTGTGACAACGTGTTAAACTCTAGATCTTCCTGACATTTACGTACATTATTGGGATGGGGAGCCCATATATTGTCATTCAGTAGGCAGATAGAGCAACCCATATTTCTCCGTGATAAAATGACCATCCAGCTACAATTACCGTGATATTTTCCTCATACATAGGCGAATTTACCCTTGAAGCGCATCTCATCTCATCGCATCTGTCATCACGCAGCTCAACCGATCCTTGCTGACAGGAGGATGTAAGCTCCATTTTTCCCCACCACGTTTTCTCTCAACGTCTTCTCATCACTCATAACATGTCAGCAATTCCCATCACCACTTACACACCAACAGTTTTTACAGCTTCATCCTCAATCTGCATCTCATCAATTCAGCTGTATAAACAATAAACATCTCAAAAATGGCGTCTCAACGGAAAGCCCTGCGCGACTGGATCTACCTCCTCATCATCGGCACCCAGCTCCTCGGCATGCTAGGTAAGTAAACAAAACTCCCTCAACTCACCTCATCCATTCCCCCAATCGCTCACAAAAACAAATCAACCACATCCAGCTATTGATCTCGTCGCCTTCTATCCCAAGGAGCTCTACCAACCCCCCTCTTCCCCCCTCCACTTCCTCCTCTCCCTCCGCGCCTGGTACGTCTCGTCCACCGGCGATCCCTTCTTCGCCCACGAGTCTCACCAGCCGTGGTTCGAAATCTTTCTCTACATCGAGGGTCTCGTTCAATTCCCTCTCGCGGCATATCTTGTCTATCAATTGGCTTCTACCAAGGCGACTTCAGGACCTGCTGAGCTTGCTGGACTGGCGTTTGGGTCAGTTACGTTTATGGGCTCTGCAGCGTGCTGCTTCGAGTTGCTGCACATGGGCGACGATATGGTGAGCGAGGACAAGAAAGGGTCGTTGCTGTATGGCACGTATTTGCCGTTTGCTGTCATCCGTAAGTCATTTTTTCACTGTCATTTCGCATTGAGTTGTGAGCTTTGAGACTAATGGACGCAGCTGCTTTGTTGGCCGTGGACATGTATTTGCGTCTGCTGCCTCGTGTCAGCCAGCCTGGTTCCAAGGCAAAGACGCAGTGAATGTGGACTTCTAATACCACGGAGGCATAGTCATTTTACATTCCAAACCATCATGTCAAGAGAGTAATACAATGTATTAGAAACCAAAATCTTCCAAAATCTTCCGGGAGTTGATAACACTCCTTTTCAAATACGCGGTAGCCACCCAAACTCCAGTCTCCGTCATCTCATACAAGTACATGATACAAAACAAGCCTCACCACCATTCCCTTAGTCCTTTCTCTTAGAGTATCCCCACCCATTACCCACGCCGTAGCCCAGCGGTGTAGCCCCCCCCATGGTCCGTCCCTTGAGCCTCCTGGGCAGGATCACGCCCATCGTGTACATGCCAGCCACCAAGAGGCCGGCAATGAACGAGACGATACTGTAGAAGACGGTGCTTGCATAGATGTGTCCACCCAGACCCTGCCACTCCACCTTGCCCTCTGTCTTGGGCAGCATCGGGGTCGGGAACCATCGCACGGAGAAGGTAAACGGCAGCGGATCTCCAATCACAAGCTTCTTGGTGTAGGACCCGGCCATGTGGCTCAGCGGACTGGTGCTGTAGGAAACGGCCGAGTCAATCACGCCGCTGTCGTGGTGATGCGTGTGGTGCTTGGGCTCGCTGTGCAGCAGCACGTTCATGTGCGTGCTGATGTGCATGTGACTGAGCTGCAGGGTGCCGGCCAGGGCGAATATCAGCGGGATGTATTCCTGCTCGGGCAGCTTCTCGCCAATGACCTCGACGTGGGCGGGAGGCCGGGCGGGCAGGCGGCACGAGAGCGGCGCATCGTTGTGGATGTAGAACTCGAGCAGGTGGAAGAAGGGGTCGGTGATGAGGGGGATGGTGCAGTTGAGCTCGCCCTCGACGCCGTACTGGAACTGCAGAGGCTCGCCGGTTTCGTTGCAGGTCGGGAAGGGGATCCATTGCAGCTGGTGGTTGGGGAGTTCGACATGTTCGCCCGTGTCACTAGAGGAGAGAGAAGAAGAGCAGAGTCAGCTTCTCGGAATAGCCAGTCAGTTTCAAGGTATGGCCAACTTACGAGCTTCGGTTCATGCACTCGATGTGAATTGGCGCGCCATAGTGATATGAAGGCAGCGTTCCCGGCAGATTAGCCGCCGCAAACGACGCCAGGCCGCCGACCAGAGTTGCAACGACAGCGAACAGCATCGTAGCGGGAGCTTGGGAATTTGGTCGAGAGTGTGAAGCTATTCGGAATCGGCCCCTCAAATAGAGCCCGAGTTATCCCCCTATTTCTGCCCTGTTCTTTTCTGGCTTTTTCTTGTTTTCTCTCTTCCTTCTCGTTTTCTTCGAGTTACTCGCCGAGCCGCCGGTTTACAATCTGTGGCGATCCATTTGCGGGCTGCGCAGATGCGACGGATCGAAAAAGGGCTTCTTTTGCGATGCTGGAATTCGATGCGTGGCAAGACTAGCTCAGATATGTAGGGGATGGGTCGTTAATTTCGGAGCTGCGCCACAGTGTTGATATTTGGGGGGGTTCGTGTGGCGGCGTGCACATGCCGTTTGACAGGTACCAAGTATCATTACACTGCTTCGTTTACTTCATTTGCATCATTTATTTCATTGACATGCAATCTGTTGAGAACCCGTTTACCATCTTTATTATTTGTTTTCTTACCAGATGATTATCAATTTCACCCTCATTTATCCACGGTCGCACTCATGGTAATCATCAGCCACTCAGTGCTCCATCCCTTGCCGCCATACTTTTCCTCCAGATGCTGCCTCAACAGCTCCTTTACCTCCTCCACTGAATGCTCCTTTCTCACCTCTTCACTCCAAAAAGTATTCATAACCCACGGCAGCATCATCCCAAAAGACAGTACAAACTCGGCCGCATTCTCAAACTTGTAGCTGCCCCGGTGCTCCGTGACTGACACATTTGCAAGTCCCAGATCCTCGACGAGATGCTTTTCGATCCACGCTGCGTCGTCCCAGTGGCCGGAGCTGTGCATCTGCATGGGCATTGGGTCTGGAAACGGCGTGTCAAAGGGAAATGACTCAAATGCTGAGAGAACGTCTGGGATCCAGAAAATTTCAGAGTTTTTCTTGGACCATGTCGAGGCGCCAAATGTGCCGCCCGGCTTGAGGATTCTGATGCAATCTGTGGCTTGTAAGCACATCATGTCCCGTTCTCTAGAGTGACAGTGCTGTTGATGTTACCTTTTACGACGGCATCCGGATCTGGAGTAATGTGGAGTGCCAGACTAATGGCTACATGGCTAAAGAAGTTATCCGGGAGTCCAGTGTTCTATACGACGGCCAGTTAGCAACACCCTTCTCTATGGTAAGTAATGGATGTGAATAAAATGCACCCACCATGGCATCAAGCACTTTTGCCTCGGCATTCACCCACTTCTCCTCAACAATCCGCCTCTTCACCACGTCCACCATGCCTTCCGAGCTGTCAGCACATGTAAACGAGCTCCGCTGAAGAACCTCGTCGGATAACACAGCCTGCACCTCCTGCGTCACCACGCCGGATCCACACGCGCTATCGAGAAGAACGACGGGCTCTGTGACTTCATTCCTAAAGCCCATGTGAGAGATAAGAGGCTGTACAATGGCCCCCATGATGCCGCGCGCGACCCGGGTGAAATCCTTCTCAAACGAGGCCTGTGTCTTGGCGACGGTGTGGAAGTGCGCCGTCATGGTCTTGGCCATGGCTTCAACGTCGTTTGTGGCAGCCATTTTGAATGAAGAGACTGAATCTCCAAATAGTTGAATAATGTTGTAAAATCTCAATTTGTATTTGCTTACTATAACAGCTTCTATCATACCATCTTGGAACCGCTCAGCGCTGGCTTTATAGGTAGAACGTCTACGCAAGTATCCGAGAAGTCCCCGTGTGTCACTTTAAAGCGCAAAGTCTCCGCGAAGTTTGCCTTTTTCAAGTTGCACAAATTCACATTTCATCATCAAGCACAAAGTAAAAATTCGGAAGCAACGGAGCTTTTTTTTATTTGAGACGTATCGACTTGTGGAATGAAATTGCAGCTTGTGAAATTTAATCTCCCTATGCGAGGTTAGATGGTGTTTTTCAGCTGGCGACCCCCATCCGTCCGTCCAGTTCAGCCAAACTTGCGCATCCAAGCCAGGGTAAAAGTAAAATTAGAAGCTGGTGCACAATCCATCCAAATTCTCTTGCAAGTCTAAACGTCCTCGCTGCCTCCTTTCTTTTTTTTTCTTATTTTTTTGAGGAATTGAATTTTCTCTGTATGTTGGTGAGACTCTGGGTGTCCAGCCTACGGGAGACCTGGCGGACATGATCCAGAGCCCCAAAAAGCCCCCTTGTTTGAACAAACGCCCAATGAAAGATACTGTGTTCTCAGCCGTCTCTTAGTAAGTTTTCAGAAGCCTGTGTATAAGCTTCAAGACGACGGCGTTTCAAAGGTGCTGGAGCCCGGGGGGGCTTTTAAAAAAACGTGGATGTTTTCGGCCGATTATGCGGGCGGTCCTTGGGGGGAGCCGGAGCCGAAAGTGGGGGGGCCGGGAGACGGAGATGTCCGGCGAGGAACGTATCATGGCGTCATGATGCTTTGGTCATCGTATGTGTTGTACAAGCATAATATCATATGCGGATATATCGTACATCGTATATCGTCATCGTAAATCGTATATCAGAGCGTTGTGCTTTGACTTGAGATGCATAGAAGGAGACAGTCTCCCCTTGATGAACAAAAGAAAGGTGTTTTATTTAAAAGAGCGAAATGACCAGATCCAGCTGGTCCACCACCTCAACCCGGACTCGGATTAAGCAACCTCACACCTCATCCCCTCCCGAGAAATATCGGAATTCAAATAGTATACAAGAGCAAGAACCCAAAGCAAACACAAAAAAAAACAGCGTCCAACCCCCCCTCTTATATACCCACAGAGTAACCGTACCTTACCTTACCCTGCCTTACCTATAGCTGCCCTCCCCCTCCCCCTTCCCCTCCTCACTCCACCAACAGATCAGGCACGCCGAAAAAAAACCAAAAAAGAGGGCATGCAAACCAACAGCGTCAAGAGGAGCAAAAAAAAAAAAAAAAGGTACCTGCAGCGGTCTTCCCCCCATGACCGACTCAAACCATGCCACGTAAACCGTTGTCCCGGCCCTTGAGCCCAAACGGGTAACAAGAGCTTACTCTTAGCCCAAGCGCAAAGTCTCCATTAGGCCTCCTTCTGCATATCCGAACCGCCCAAAAAAAGTGACGAAACCTAAAACAAATCGAAAAAAAAAAGAGGCCAGCCAGCCAAAGAGAAAGCCCAAAAGTGAGGCGGTCTGCACCCCCATGTACGTGTACATACTACTGTACTACCTACCTACCTAGTGGTAAGTCCCCCCTCGTTAGAGCCAACAAACGCCATCCTATCAACTCTGCCGATCCCGTCGCCTGGCCTCGCCTCACCGGAAACCGACACATTGTGGCCCCCGAAGATGCAAACGACGCAGAAAAGCTTCCACTTTTTTCTTTCTTCTGCAGATGTTATTTGTCCTTTTCCGCACTTTCCGAAAGGTCTATTTGCGCGCTTATGCCGTCCTTCTACTGGTCATATTTCATCCCCCCCGCTTCTCGCCCTGGTGTTGTGCGGTTGGATAAAATTCATCCCTTGGGCATTCATCCTAATTTTTTGACCAAACACAAAAAACACGAGGCAAAAGCCATTACCCGACCCTCCCAATAAAAATCCAATCAAACTTCATCAAAAAACATAAAAAAAAAAGGCCCATTTCATTCACTGCCTAAAAAGGGAGCCAAAAAAAAAATATCAGAAGATTAATTGTTCAAACCCGCGCTCTCCAGTTTCTTTTGGCCCTCGCATAATACTACATACCTACCTAACTACCTAGTAGTTTGCGTTTCTACTTTATCCACGCTTCTGCATGTATATGCCTTTGTGTGTGTTGTTCGTGTTGTTCTTCTCTTATACAAATAATCGGAATCTTTAGTTTAGACTGACCCTTGCCCATTTGGCGCCCCATCACAAACCATAATTGCATGTGTCGTTTTTGTCGTTTTCTTCTTCTTCCTCCTTCGTCTTTGCTTCCCTCCCTTAATTTTTTGCTCTTCTGCCCCTTTGGACGCGACTTTAAACCAAGCAAAACTAAAAGGAAGCAAAATGACAAAGAAAAAGAAAAAAAAAGGGACAAAATGATTACCATCTTCCGTCTCCCTTCATCCGCCGTAGCTACCATCAAAAACATGAGAGAAAAGGGAATTAGAAAATAAAAGAGTCCACTGGATCCGCTCACATCCCACATCTCACATCTCACATAAATCTCATGCTCGCTGTTGGCACCCGCTCCACTAGCCCGGCCACCTCTCTCCGCAGCATCCTCAGCACTCGTCGTACATCCGCCAGGTCTGCGCCGCCGTTGTTGTTGCCCTGGCCGGGCCCTGGCAAAGCAGCCTCGCAACGTTGCAGGAGGTCGCTGATAGAAGGGCCAAGCGAGCCTCCCTTACCTGCGCCGCCACGTCGCCGTACTTCAGCCACCCAATCATTGACTACGTAGACGATGATCTCGACGATACGGTTGCGCACCATGCCGCTAAAGCCATAGTCCTGCGTATCAAATATGCTCTCGAGCACACGGACTATCATATCATGGGACACACCCAGAGACAAGAATAGCTGCACTGGCCACGTAGGATCGGCGCCAATCGTCGTGTCTTGCTGGTAGGCGACGGCATACCGGCATAGCTGCGGAAGAAGCGTCTGGATTGGGAACACGAAGCTATCGAGCGACGTGTGGTGAGCAATGTTTTGAATCTTGCTCGTCACGGCCTCGTACGGCAAGGGGGGTGGCTGCATGCCCGCCTCCGCGGCCTCGTGTCTTGCCATGACTTCGTCATGAGTCTGCTGGATCAAGTTATCCCAGGTCGACGAGATGGTGGTAGGGTTGCGGTAGTTTGCCGTGTGGTAGATCAGCAGGCACAGATCGTAGTATCCTGCCTGATCGGCATAATCGTTGAAGAGCTGCACAAAAGTCCTCGTTAGCACCCGAAAATGGAGAATGAAAAATGACAAGTGAAAAGTGAAAAGTGACAGGTTGCAAAAGAGAAAATCGGCGCATTTGGGAAAATGCTCATCGGGGCTTCTTACCTCTGAAAGGCTAATGATCCTACTATTGAGAGCCTTTTCAATCTCAACCTTTCGATCCGCATCGATTCTGTCGTCTGCCATCAAGCGACCCAGCAGGTCGTCTTGGATGTTGGCCACCTCGAGCAGATCTGTCACCTCGTGGTTCAGTCTCTGTTGTTGCTGTCGGCTGATTCCGACGGTCGCCACGTTGGCGTTGGCCTTTGCCAAACTGAGAAGCCTGAGTCTGTCCTTGATGCTGAGCGCAAAGTCGGAGCCGGCCAGCTCAGCCTGCACTTCGGCTGCATCAAAGAAGCGGCTTCGATTGGTGTAGAAGCGGCATAGGAGGTCGGCGTGCTCCACGTTGGTGCCTGCCAGCCGCTGCAGGAAAGTTATAACGTGCGGAGAGTCGATGCCCAGTATCCGTTCGGTCCATCCCTGCTCAATGTACCACTCGTACAAGTCGAAGTGGAACACTTCGTCATCCGACCCATTGACCACCTCGTACGCCTCATTTCTCTTGGTTGCAATGAGCGTTGGTCGCCCGTCAACCATAAGTGGTTCCATGCTCGAGGCGGCGTCCAGATGTCGCAGCACCTCGTGCACAAGGTCGTAGACTTTCCTCCTCTCGTTGAAAGCGCTGATACGAGGATCAACCGTAGGCTTGCCGTCATTGATCCACATTAGGGCGGTATTGCCCCTGTCCTGCTCCCGGGCAACATAGAGACACAGCTGGACTGCGCCTGCGTAATACTTCAAATCAATGTACTGCGCTATGGCGGTTTGCAGGTTGTTATACGTCAGGCTGCGAGCCACCTTCTGGAAGAGGGTCAAGCTCTCGTTGAGGAGGACCCTGGACTGATTGGTGTTGAGGGGTTGCTCGGAGGCTCTCTTGAGTGACTCTTGAGCCTTGAAGATGACCACATCATCTGGGCTGCAGAAGCTACCGCACCTCCGCCTTAGCGCGTCTGCGACCGTCTCGACATTTGAGCCACTCTCAATGTTGCGGTTAACGATAGCTTTGACTAGTAGCTTGGCGAGATCCTTGCCGTCCGCCTGTGAGAAGAGCTTCTCATACGTCAGATCCTTGAGTTGCTGCCGAGAAGCATCATCCAGTCTAGCATAGATGTCTGACACACGCTCGTCGAACAGCATGAGGACAAATGAAATGCCCTCTGAGATGCTCTCCATTAGTTTTTGCAGGGCATGTAACGCCTGATGTTCTGCCTGCAATGCCACCTCCTCCTGTCTACTAGAAACTCTCTGCAAGTCAGAAGGGCCAGACATCCCCTGAATGAGGCCCTTGTTAGACTCGATGAATTTCCTTAGCCGTTCAAGGTTCTCTTGAGTAGCGATGAGCTTAGGCAGAGGAATCGACGATGACACGGAAATCGTTCCGTTAGAGGCAACGTTGGATTTGATGACGGTAGCTTTCCAAAGCTTCCTAATCAATCTTGACAAGTACAGCGCCAATGCATCATGCCGGGATGATAGCTTAACCGAATCTGTTGTGAGCGATGATGAATCTGTCTCCACTATGGTAGGCTGGCCACCAAAGTCGACGAACAGGGCTCTCGCCCGGTCTTCCGTAACCTGGTCTTTCGCCTTGACAGAGCCTGGTCTAGAGTCACCTCCATGACCACAGGCCACAGCCAACGCTGTCGAAACCGTCTCGACACGGCCATAGAGGAAAATAAGACGGCGGCACATAAGATCCAATGCCTCATCTCCCGGCGCATCTCGAATAGCGGCCGCAAAAGTATCCACTAGTCTCCGTCTCCGGATGACATGAATTCCCGTGTTGGTAAGGACAGCGAATTCACTGGGTGGTTCGTCGAATTGGACAGCTAGTTCGTTGCCAAATCCTATTGGCTGGCTAGCGGCCGCAAATGGCTTCGTGATTAAACCAACGGCCTCCGCTCGGCTGCCAATATCAATCCAGCTCGCCTGCTCAAAATATCTCAGGGGGGTCGTAGGTGAAGTTCGTTTTATTCTTCCAGCCTCGGGGCCAGCCACAAAGAGCGAGTCGGAATTAGGGTCGTCCTTGTTGCTTACAAAGTCCAAGAAGAATCCGGGGGGGAATCGGGCGCCCTGCCTGCTTGAGATCAACATAGTTGAATCGAGATCAACCACGGCTTCTCCTGAAGGCTGACCGTTCAATCCAAACTGAGTTGATCGCCGGGCAACTGCTGAAGGAGGGAATTTGATGAACTGAACCTGCATGCTCTGAGGTGCCAAGTTTGTTTGGGATCCGTATAGGTAGGAAGACGCATTAGTCGCACTGAAGAAGAGACGGCAGCCAGTGTCTGTCAGGGCCATGAGGTGCAGTTTCGAGGCCTCTTGCTTAGAGATGGGGCTGATGGAAACAAGGTTGGTTCGATCGGTCAAAAGCTTGGACTGTGTAATCATGTGTGCAATATCTCGAAGACAGTGAATCTTTGTCTTTTCGATCACCTTATTTAGCCGTTCGGGGGACTCCATGTGATAGGTTCGAATAGTCGATGTGCTTGAAAGAGTGTAAACCAACTTCCTCGTGTCGTCAATGACAATGTCCACCAGGTGCTCGGGATCCCTCTGAGACCAAAAGCCAGCCTGCATGCTCACGACGGAGGACCAGCCAGGGTTCGAATGGTTGATCTTACCACACCGATTCGAAAACCACTTTTCCTCAGATTGGTAGTAAAGCTCGTTGATATCGACATCACTGCATCCACCAAAGAAGATGCGACCATCCGCAGAGCCACTAATGACGCGAATGTCGTTGCCACGGATGGGCAAGACCATCTTAGTCTGGTACAGAGTAACCGTCTTTGTTCCGGCAGAGGTATCTGAGGCAGACACACCAAGCAAGATCATCTCTGATGATGTCGCCACGACCAGGATATGTGTGATTGTGCCGACAAAGATGCCTGGCTTCGGGGGCACGAGCGCAACAGCGTGGATTGTGTGTGGTTGGTCTTCAAAGCCAATAAGCTCGGGGTCGGAATGGGTATAGTCCCAGAGGAAGAGCGAATTATCAATTACCACCCAGGCGTGGTTGATTTCAGCAAAGAGGCCCATGAGGGTTTGGAGCTGGCCAGAGTTGTAGTGATCGAAGACCTGGTTCGGGATCGGGTACATGTTGGTCTTCTGGAAGGGAGCCCAGGCAGAGTCGGAGCCTGGCAGCTCATAGTCGGATGATGCCCCCTCTGGACGCGTTTGCTGGTCAGTTTCGTCTCTCGCCTAATCTCGTGAGCACGTCAAACTTACGTCTACAGTAGGAATCCAGGTCGGGAAAGCTCTCGTCGAGTTGCAAGAAAGAGTTGATGGCCTTTGCGGCCTTGAGGACGGGCGGAATGTTTTCGACGCGTGGGGGCGGCAATGGAGTCAGAGAAGCCAGCCCTCCACCCTCTGTAGTTGCCGTCGTCGCCACCGCTGTCGTGCCCGTCGATACCGTGCCATGGGTGGCTGTTGTGGTGGCTGCAGAAGTCTGAGCGTTCTGGCCCTCAGAGGTGAACAGCGTCCGGCGGACGGGGTCGTGAGTCGTCTGGTAGCGCGCGACAACGGCCGGCGTGTTTACGAATGCGCCCGGCACGGGGCGCACCGGCGTCGCTGGAGGAAACGACATGTCGGGCAGCCGATGGGATGGTGCCGTGCAAGAAGCTGCTTCACCTTGCCCTTGACCTTGACCAGAGCAACGCGCCGGTCAGAGCATCAAGGACGAGCTGCACGTGCCGTTGGGAGAGGCGCAATCCACAGGTGCGCGTCCAAATCCGCAGCTCGTCACCGCGATCGCTAATTGAGTGGCGGCGTGGGATGCGGGAGGCAAAGGATGGCGATGGCGGCCAGAGCAAAAAGATTGATCAACTTCTTTGATTATTTTGTAGCACTGGGAGGTTGGTACAGCTCTGCATTTTTCGTCCCTGGGCGTGGAAATGCGCTAGGCCGGATCAGGCCGAACGCTTTTGCTTTTGATGTCTTACATAATACAATGCCGATCCAACATTCGCGATGCCCATGTAAACAATGACGAGAGGGCACTTTTCTTTGAGTCTTTTCTATTTCACTCTATATGGGCATCTCACCTTTTTTCAGGCATATGGTGCTTTTCAGAGTACGTAATTTCCCCTATATACGTTCAAAATTAACCAATGAGAAGCTGGCAACTGATGATGCTCTCGATACACTTCATCAGTCCCTACACGCCCATAGAATGCACCCAATACTTGACGATTCACTTTCCGCTCACTGACCCAGTCCTCTCCCTCTTGGTGTTCATCTTGATACGTTGTCCACTGGCTTGTCAATAAATATTCACTTTGACATCATGGCCAATTCAGCCATCATATCAGCCAAGCCAAGCCTATCTACAGGCATCATCTGCCAATCTCCTTGACCCCTTCAGGCCTCATACACGGCCAAAACACAAGGCTCACCACAAAATTCCGTTGCAAGTGTGATTACTACCTAGCATCCATTTCCTTTAGCTTTACATAATTTAAGCCCCCTTACATAATGTAGCCGAGACTCCATGGCCCAATATGAATTAACAATGTTCATCAAATCGTCGTCGCCTCCACCATTAGTCTCGTAGCCTAGCGCAATAAGTCTTTTGTATTCTTTTCCGTCGTTTCTCTGTAACTCCAACACATATCAATGTGTGCTTTGAGCCGATTACTGCTTCTTTGCCTCGCGAGCTTGCTTGCGAAGAGCGCGGCGGCGAATGTCAATGTGCATCTTCTTGTTGTACCAGATCGTCAAGGGGCTGTTGACACCTGCTACATTCTCAATCACCCACAGCATGAATGCGTGGCTCCACCACGGGGTGTATGTGTTAGGCGCGGTCTGGTAACCGCCAAGTCCGACCTTGCCCAGTGCAGACTTGACGAAGCCACGAGGGTTGGGAATGAGCAAGCTAGTGCGGCGAACCTTGCTCATGGCGGTGGTGACAAGGTGGCTGAGGACCAGGTACACATCAACGTTGTAATCAGAAAGTTCAGATGCCAGAGCGTTACTCCACTGCTGGAGGAAAGCCTTGCTGCCGGAGTAGGTGGCCAGGTAAGGTGTAGGAGTCCAGCCACCGAATGAGCCCATGGTCAAGATCAGACCACGCTTGCGCTTCTGAAGAATGGGGGCGACAACCTGTGTAGTCTTCAAAGTTCCAAGGCAGTTGATGGTAACAATGTTCTGCAGCTCTTCCTTAGGGGTCTCCAAGAAAGGCACAGGGATGCTGTGGCTCTGGCCGACGTTGTTGATCAGGATGCCAACATCCAGATCTTGCACAAGCTCTCGCAGTCTGTCGTAGTCTGAGTCGTTGTCCTGGGCAAAGTCCATTGCCAGTGTCTTGACCTGCAGGCCCTTGCCGGTAAACTTTTGTTCAAGGTCCTTGGCCAGAGTATCAAGCTTCGACTGGGTTCGGGAAACGAGGACGAGGTTGAAGCCCTTGGCAGCGAGCTGCGTGGCATATTCCTTGCCTAGGCCATCGGAGGCACCGGTAACAACAGCCCAGGTACCAGGCTTGCCATATTTACGGAGCTATTTTGTTGTCAATAACAGAAAGAAAAAAAAACAATTCGAGCTGCAGACGCGAGGAGGGGCTCTCTTACATTGGTGCCAGGGAGAAGAAACGAGCTGAAGACGAGCTGAAGGTAGCTGAAGAACTTGGATCCCAGGTAAAGGGCACCAATTCCAGCCAAAGCCCATTGCACGGGCTGAGGCACTTTCTCTAGGAAGCTCGTGATCGACTCCATGATGGCGCAGCGTTCTGCTTTGAAAGGTTGAGGGTGAGCCGAGGGAGAAGATTTTGGTGGGAGCTTGTCTTTAGTGATCTACAGGCTGTTGGGAAGCCACTTGGCCAATCATGAAGAGTTACAGGAGCTCCAGGTTAGCCATTCGCGGCCTAGCCAAAGGTAAAAGACATGTCTCGAAGACCTATCAACGCTGCGGTGTTGTATGGAAATTGACATATTAGATTAGTGTAAATTTATCAGTAAAGAATTATAGTGCTTTGAGGAATCAAGCATCAAGCATCACCTGGCTATTTGAATGAGCGACATGTGATGGGTCTGTTGCTGTAGCTTGGGTACAAGAGATGTACTGAGCCGGCAGCCACGGCCATGTACCGGTACCTGACACTAGCAGACAAACTCCCGTCCCTATCTACAGCCCAACACAGCTCTGCCCTTTCAAACTGCAAGTTTCTGGTACGGGATACTCCCAATTGCACCAAGCACCTCAGCCATGGATTTCGTCAAGTCGATTCTGCCGCCGGCCAAGGGCATTCTGCCCTACTATATGCTCATCGTACGTATCGAACCCCAATCAGCGCAGTGAACCCCGCCCAATGGCTAACAAATCTGCTCATCAGCTCTCCGTCGTGTCCATCGGCAACTCTCTCCAGGCGTACACGACTCTGCACTTCTCACGGCGCGTCTACAACGGCCGCTTCATCCGAAACCCCAAGCTGCCGCCGGCATCCGCCAAGTTCAACCCCGAAGACTCCGCCAACAAGCTGGTCCTCGCCCAGAACGACCCCAAGGCCACGGACCAGCTGACACCCCTCGCCGGCAGGCTGTTTGGGACGTGGACGCTCATCACTTGCATTGTGCGGTGCTACGCGGCGTACCACTTGAACATTGGCCCTGTATACAACATTGCCATTTGGACATATGTGGTGGCGCTGGGCCACTTTGCCAGCGAGCTGTTTGTGTTTAGGAGCATGACTTTTGGCCTTCCCCAGGTGTTTCCTTTTACGCTGGCCACGGCGGCCCTCATCTGGATGCCCATGGTCCGAAGCCACTATGTCGAATTTGAGTAGAGCGTGCCATATGCTACTCAATGAAGAAAAGTAAAGTGAATATGTAGAATAGCGCACGAATAATAATAACAAAGCACTTTTTTTTATCTATCTATATAAGCAGAGCTGCCTAGCTCAGTTTATTCCTGTACAGCTCCCCATCGCATGCTCGGAGGCGAGTCGTTGCTTGTTCTGGGGTAATGTCTCGCTGCGGCTCCGCCATGAGCTCGAATCCAACGAGGAACTTCTTGACCGTCGCGGATCGCAGCAGCGGAGGGTAAAAATGCATGTGGAAATAGGCATTCTCAATTTCCTCTGGTGTGCCATCCAACGGAGCCTGGTGGATGCCAGAGCTGTACGGGAAGTGGCACTCAAACAGGTTGTCGTACCTCCGAGTGACCTCCTGGATGGCCTCTGCAAGCTGCAGCCGCTCATCGGCTGTGAAGTCAACGAGAGCACGGATATGGCGCTTGGGGAGAATGAGGACTTCGAATGGCCAGACAGCCCACCACGGGCACACAACGACGAAGGAGGCGTTTTGCCATACCACGCGCTCCTCCTTTGCCAACTCTAGCTTGATGTAGTCTGCGAGTAGATGTCGCCCATGCTGCTGACGGTATTTGGTCATTTGCGTCAGCTCTTTGCCTGGCTCCTCGGGCATAGTAGACGTTGTCCAGGCCTGGCAGTGAGGGTGCGGGTTGGAGCAACCCATGGCGGCGCCCTTGTTCTCAAAGATTTGCATGTAGCGGTAGTTATCCTTGGGAATAGGGGCTTCTTCCTTGGAAATGGAAAGCTGGAGCTGTGCCGCCACTGTTGAGAGTGGGTTTGATGGAGATAGATGGTTGGCGTAGAGTCGGGTCCAGTGATCAATTGTCGGGAGGATGTCTTGGGCTGGCATATCAGCGAGAGTGACATTGTGCTTTGGTGAGAATGTCAGGACATAGCACACTCCTTTGACTCCTTGAGCACGCAGCAAAAGGGACTCCAAGTCTGTAGTTCTTGATTAGCATCGTCGTATGCTCACTCAACATGTGTAACGTACCATCTGGCGACTGGTCCACCTCATAGTCGGGCTGCTGCTCTTTGACAGCGCTGTAGTCATTCACAAACGCAAATGTTTTCTCATAGTTGGGGTTCTTGTCGCCAGCAGCGCGAGCATTGCCAGGACAGAGATAACACTTTGGGGATTGTCAGATACATGTCGGCGTATCATGGCTGTGGTGTCTCAAAACCGCAAGACTGAGCACTCACCGTGGGGTCAAATTCGGGCAGTGTCGTCACCGCCGCACCCTCTTGCTGGCCCCTATTAAACAAGGAAAATCAGCATACAAGGAGAAATAATCAATTTCAACACTCCCGTCCACTTACTGCCACGGTCGCTTTGTCCGGTGAGGGGAGACGAGCAGCCAGCTGTCTGTTAGTGGGTTGTACCTCCGGTGGGAGATGTCATCAAGAATGGTGTCGGGCATGGCTGCGAGTTTCTGGCGCTGCAACAAGAAACGATCCGACGGGAAGAATCGTTGAGTAAAGATCCCGGGAGAATAAATTAGGCACACGGAAGGAGAGGGATAGGATCTGTCCGTGGACTGTATATTGATTTTCGGAGAATAAACCTGAAGCTAAGCCGGAGGATCTTGACTGAGGGTCCCATCAAGGACCAAAATTCGGGCTAATACGTCAATTAGCTGTTCGGGAGCCTCTGGGAGCGCCGAACTATACGTCGAGCGGGTCGAGGGTATAAGCGCGCCAACCCAGGGCCAAGTATTAATCGTCCAATTACTCGACGATCCACGGTTCAAAGGTAGTAGCACATACTATGCTGCCATGTGCTGCATTATGGCCTTGTTCTCGTACATTATGGCACATCATGGCAGGCTGGAAGTGGCTAGGATGAGCCATTTAGCACTGCAGCATCACATGGATCAAAAGCTTTCACATGGTTGAATTTATTGGTATGTGAGCATTTACAGAGGCGTACAAGGAATTTTAGTGCATATGATTTTTTTTTTCCCCGTTACGATGTACAGAATACACGTACACAGAGCGTACGAAACAGACAGTGCTTGCATCAGTGTAGTACCTGTGGTGCTACAGCGATACGGCAAGCTGCAAACCTTGAGGTGGGGCACTGAAAGCAGCAAGTTTAAGCATGTATTTGATGCAGGTTTAAATATGTTTTTATTTCAGCTAGATACCTCTTAGAATGCAAATAATACAGCATGCGAGTAAATGCAGAATCCGTAATACCATAGGCAGAATTTACAGGCGCTGATGCAGAACTGCAGGTACTCTCTACATACCAATACGGAGAGCATCCCTCCAATGAGCAGAACCCGCCACAACGTGCGATTACACATCGTAAACATCACGTGACATCAACAATCATCCACATCTGGCTAGGCCCGCTCTGCTGCCTCCCAAGCTCCAGCGAATTCCATGGGCGAGCGCATTGCTGGCTCCACCGGATCGCGACATCCCAACATCATCTGGCCGCGATTGCTGGGCGGCATCCGGCCTCATTTCCATCGGCCACCATCGCAGCTCAGCGAAATCCATCAAAAAAAGCGCCGCATATTCATCTCCAGAGCGAGCGCTTTCTCTGGACACTCTTTTTAACCCCCTACCGCATCTGCAGCCCCCCTCGCTGCTGCCGCTGTTTTTCCGGCCTGCTCCACCAATCCCAGGGTGCGAAGCATCGCGCCAAACCGCTGACGTGCTGCGACACTCTCCAAGATGGGCGTTATTCGCAAGAAGACGGCGACTAGGGGAGGGGAGGGTGGTGTCAAATACGTTTGCGACGTTTGTTCGTGCGACATTACCTCTACGGTGAGTGAGGCCACGCCAATTGGACTGGCATCATCCATCTTGGGGGTTCCAGCTGCTGACATAAACACAAGGTCCGTATCAGATGCGCCGACCCTGCATGTTCGGATTTCGACCTCTGCGTACCTTGCTTTGGCAAGGGAGAGGCTCGCAACGCCCACGATCCCGCAACACACTCGTTTCGTGTAATCGAGCAGAATTCGTTCCCCATATTTGACCGCGAATGGGGAGCTGATGAGGAACTGCTGCTGCTGGAGGGTGCAGAGATATATGGACTTGGCTCCTGGGCCGATATCGCCGATCACATTGGAGGCTTCCGCGAAAAGGACGAAGTGCGCGACCACTATCTCAAGACATTTGTCAACGCACCCACCTTTCCGCTGCCCAAAAGATGCAGCCCCCACAACTGCGAACTCGCCAACGAAATCCCACGAGAAGAGTTTCAGGCTCGCAAGAAGCGGCGAATCGAAGAGCGAAGAGAGGCGTCTAAGAATGCGCCGGCCCTTCAGCCAAAGACGAAGCCAACGGCTAGTGTTCCTAGCTGTCACGAGATCCAGGGCTACATGCCTGGCCGTCTCGAGTTTGAGACAGAGTACGCCAACGAGGCCGAAGAGGCGGTGCAGCTCATGCAGTTCGACCCTGGTGATGGATTGAATCCGAGAACGGGAGAGCTTGAGCCCGAGATGGAACTCAAGTTGACGGTCATGGAAATCTACAACTGCCGTCTGACGCAGCGAGTGGAACGTAAAAAGGTAATTTTCGAGCATAACCTGCTCGACTACCGGGAAAATACCAAACAAGAGAAGAAGAAGACCAAGGAAGAAAAGGACCTACTGCAAAGGGCGAAGCCGTTTGGTCGTATTATGAACCATAAAGACTTTGAAGACTTTACTCAGGGCTTACAAGATGAGCTGAATCTCAGGCAGGCAATTACCCAACTCCAAGAATGGCGTAGCCTGCGGATAGGGGACCTCCGGAGCGGCGAAAAGTATGAAGCGGAAAAGGCAACCAGGATACAGAAATCCATACCCATGGGGTCTATGGATAGGGAGCGGCTGGCATCAAGCCAGCGCTCAAAGGCTCAACCTCCCCCAGAGCCTCCAAGCGGAGCGGCACTTCTCATTGCCCCTGACCTGCCGCTGCGCCCAGCACAGACCAACGGAGAGACCAATGGGGAGGATGTCAAGCCCTTGACCAACGGCCACACAAATGGAGTCAACGGCATCAATGGGGTCAATGGCATCAATGGCCATAGCCCAAGCAAGCAAAAATATGTTCCACAGCCCATCTCAGGCGTGCAGCCCTTGCAACTGACGCAAGAGAATGCCCCTGACTTGCATCTCCTCACACCGGAGGAGGCGAAGCTGTGCGAGGTGGTTCGGCTGCAGCCCAAGCCGTACCTAATGATCAAGGAGCAAATCCTCAAGGAAGCCATCAAGGGCAATGGAACGCTTAAGAAGAAGCAAGCCAAAGAGATTTGCAGACTGGACTCGCAAAAGGGTGCTAGACTATTTGACTTTTTCAGCAACGCAGGGTGGGTCGGTAAGGCATGAAGGCGTTGGGAATATCCGGGGCGTACGAAGTTTGTTTGTTTTCTTGCGAGTCTGGCGACTGGGGCAATTGCTTGATTTCCAATTATTACAATGATACATGACGGGGAAAGCTGCTCACTTTCCGAAGCGGTTTTGGTGTGTTTGTTACATGTTACATATTCCTACCTATATATTTACACCTATAAGACAATGGAGTAGAAGGGGTACGCGCAACAAAATACCCTTGAATCAATGATACTTTTTTTTTGGACATTAAATCTCCCATCTCTGCCCAATACCACGTTGTGTAATGAGCCAATAAGGGTGATACGAGCCACAGAAACTCATCGAAACAACGCAAACTTGACTCTCAGACAGACAGAGACAAATCCGTCAACCTGGCGAGCTTCTATTGGACGCACGGCCCCCACTGCCAGCAGATGCATGCTAGCTTTCTGCTCTCCATAAATGTGCCTGACGCTTATACTTGCTTTCAGGCACGCTTGACATTTCATCGCCAATAGCGTTTCTCTTTTTCTTCATTTCCTCTCTGTGCTGCATGTGTCTCACTCAACAAAACCTCTGGTTTTAGTCTGGAGAGCGTCGATCCTTTATATAAGCAGTAGTCTATGCGCACTTTTCACCTTTTTTCAGCGAACAAGAGGCTTTTTCCTGCGAGAAAGATGTCAAACTATACTGTTGCGTCGCTTAAGAGAGTGTCTGCGAAGGCGCTCTCTGAGAAGATTCTGGAAGAGCAGGAGCAGGCAGAGCCTAGTTTTGCCGTGATTGATGTTCGAGATGTCGGTATGTTGTGATTCTAGCTTCCTCTTCTTTTCATTTCAATTTTAATATCTGATTGACGATGGTTTTGATGATGTACTTCAAACTGGTGGCATATCAGAAATTATAGTGTTGATAGTGATAGCTAATTATTAAAAACAGACTACATCGGCGGCCACATCAAAGGCTCAACAAACATCCCCTGCAACAAAATCGACGCCCTCATGCCCACCCTCCTCCGCAAAGTCAAGGACAAGAAGACCGTCATCTTCCACTGCGCGCTGAGCCAGCAGCGGGGCCCCTTTGCGGCCCTTAAGTACCTGCGCGAGAGAGACGGCCTGCTGGCGGCCCTGGGCGAGGCGCCGCCGGCGGACCAGGAAGTTCTTTTGCTGGAGCGTGGGTTTACGGGGTGGCAGGAGGATTACGGCGAGGATGAGAGGCTGACGGAGGGATTTCGGAAGGAGATTTGGAGGTGAAGAGTGAGGCGTTGCGTTGGGGGTTTAGGGTTTTGAGGATGGGGTTTTATGAGATTGGGTGGGAAATGGAGACGAAAGCGGGCCAAGATACTTCTCGAGGTTGTAGAGATGGACGTATATTGAGCTTATCGCGGTAGAGAACAAAAGCTGCGAGCTCAGCCTTGGGATATGCCGTTCATATTGCTTGCGATTGTGTACCTGGTGTATTCTCTCTTGCATACTCTCAGGAGATGTTCCAAGTAAGGATTGGTCCTTCGCCTGTTAACGATTTCCTCGATTTCTTCACCGTGTCGTATCTCTGCTTGTTATATCTGGCCCAAAATATATTGTCACGATAAGTGAGGCTATACATGAGCATGGAGTACGTATGTCCTAGGCTACTGCTCCGGGAGACTTTGTGGGTAGGCCCCTTTTCTCGGAGCACTACTTACAATGAATACCCATTTTTTATCGCTGTGAAGCTTTGTAAATGTTCACATGGCCTCAAAACTTAATTCTCCGTCTCGATAGAAAGAGACCCATATAGTATACACCCAAAACACTGGATGCTATAAGAACGGCGGCCTCCACTCCCTCTGAGTCTGCATTTCCATCTTCCCTTTTCCTCGCCATACATTAGGCTAACAAAACTGCAAAATGACTCTATTCGCCGAGTATGTTGACTCGTATCTCTAGTGTCTTTGTCAGATATGGCTAACATCACTGTAGATTGAACTTTCTCGCGAGGTCCGCCTACATTGCCATGGCGGGTGTCCTCGTGGCCGTTACAATCATGATCGTTGTGAATCCTCTACAACAAATTTACAACTTCTTTCGCAATCCAAGGGGAGAACCTGGTCCGAGTCCACCATGGTATGAATTGATAGACGAACACGCCGTGGAAAGCGATGAGGAGGATGAGGGCAGCTGGCTGCTGTCATGATGGAAGACGTAGGTAACTTGCAACTTGTGCGATATATCTCTGCTTAGCTAACTACGCAGTAGCCGTCTTTTCCTTTTTTTCCCCATCATGGCGTCCCTCATGGCTATATTGGGTCCCCATAAGGATAAGGACAGGGCTTCCTGTTGCATAGTGGTCGTATTTACTTTGGTGGCTTTCTTGGTTTGAGTTTCTCTTCACAAAGCTAGAGGTAGCACGCACACTCATGGGGATTTGGTGCAATACTGTTATTAAGATGCCTTTTCAGTCCATACCTCCCATGATCAGTTGGATTGGTAACATTAGGACGTTGTTTGGCCTCTTTGAATGATGGGCGTTTGCATTGGTCTAGTTGGATCTTGATTGCAAACAAAGTGTAGTGTTGCTGGCAAACTGTAGATACACGACAGGCGGTTGCGTAATACAAAGCACAAGTGCACGATTCCAACCAAAAAAAGAAAAAAAAGTTAAAAAAAAATTTGACGGTGTTACTATGCCCGTGTGGCGAATCCTATCAGCTGTCAAGACTCCGTGTTACCCCCGATATTAATCACAATCATGCTGAGAAGTTGGTGACATCCAATATCTTAATGCTGGACTTCCCAAAATCCCCCTGTACTAAATAGCAGTAATCGATAATCGATAGACGGCCCCACCCCTGGCCACTAACAGGCTGCCATACAAATTACGGGGCGCCGAGTTACTCATAGCGGAAGGGAAGGAGCTCCAGGGCAGTGGCCGCCCGATTCAGTGCAGTAACTGCTTGCGACTGGGCCTTTTCTCTTGACCTCTCCTTTTGCCTCTTCTTCCTTTTCTTCCCCTTCCTCGTTTATAAATTGCACCCGACCTAGATCATTTCCTCTTTTCTCGTTAATCCAATTCACTCTTCCAAATACTCTCAGCGACTGCGCAATTTGGCTCTACCCTCCCCGTTCGTTTTGCCCGCTCTGCCCGCCGAGAACCCCGCGACAAAGATTGCCGATAACAAGCGATAAGAACCAAGACAGCGAAAAGAAATCCAGCGCATCTGGGCATCATGGGATCGCAAACAGAGAGGGAGAATGGCGCAAAGGTGCCGGACGTTGTTGCCAGTAGGTTTACGTCTTGTCCTCCCATCACTTGCACACATGACTAACGCGACGCAGATCTGGGCTTTGCACCGGCCGTAAAGCTTTCGGGAGAATGGACCGTCAACAGAGTTCTCGAGGAGATTCCCAGCGAGGCGCCTGCCGAAGACTCTAGTTCTCCGATTCCCTTTTTCCACATGCTTTCTCGACTCAAGACTACAAAGCGCGAGGGGTGGCGGCGGTTTGGAATCGAAAGGTCAGTACTTGGGAGCACCATGGTGCAATGGTGTAATTACTGGCGCACAGCGGCTAACGGGAGGTTTTGTTGCAGGGGCGAGTCGATTTCTGATCACATGTACCGCATGTCTCTCATCACCATGTTTGCGCCTCCTGCGCTAGCCAAGAAGCTGGATCTTCCCAAGTGTATGAAGATGGCACTGATCCACGATATGGCCGAGCTCTTGGTTGGAGACATTACACCAGTTGACGGCGTCCCCAAGACGGAGAAGAACCGGCGCGAGGCTGAGACGATGGACTTTTTAACCAAGAACCTGCTGCGAGGTGTTTCTGGAGGCGATGTTGGAGCTGAGATCCGGGCTGTGTGGCAGGAGTATGAAGACTCCAAGACGCTGGACAGCCACTTTGTACACGACGTAGACAAGATCGAGCTGCTGTTGCAGATGGTTGAGTACGAGAAGCAGGGCAAGGGACAGGTAGACCTGGGCGAGTTTGCATATGTCGCTACAAAGGTTACACTGCCTGAAATGAAGGAGTGGGCAGATGAGCTGCTGCAGGAGAGAGATGCATTCTGGAAGAATAAGGAGCACGTTCACGGCGAGAAGGGCATGGAGGGGGGCGTGTCTGCGGAGACGAACCGTGGCCAGGACGAGTACTACGAGCGAAAATGATGATGGATGCCATATTGCGTGCTTTTTTTTTTTAGTCATGTATTGTTAAAGAAGGGAAGAAGGTGAATTCACATTCGGCACGGCGGGATAATAGAGGGCTTATAGACTTGATTGTGGCATCTTTGTTTTGGTCTGGTTTGGTCTGGTTTGGTCAGGCAGGACGCGTGAATGAGCGGCTACTACAACTTTAACTTGGCAGCAATCAACCATCAACCAACACCAACGCCAATCAATGCCACGTTGACACCTTATACACAGACACTGATATGATATGATATCAAGATTCATGTCACCATCTCGTGATTGCCCCTGGCAACACACTCTAGCGGGCTGCTGGTGCCTGGTGACCATCCGCCAGTGCGTGTGGGGAGATGCTTTTCTCCGCCAGACCACTTAAACCTTGTGGCCGGGCGAACCGGATTGCTTCCATTGTCTGTTCATGCAAACGCACAAGCACAAGCACAAATCCAGTTGTGTCAATTGCAGTCACAGTCCCGCTAGAGCCGGACAGGCTGGTCGAGCTCGAGTCGAGTCCAAGCTCCTCAAAGAACGAAGCGAGCAAGCGACCAGGGCTGGGAAACTGCGGAGGTTGGGAAGAGCCACACTCGCTGCGCAAAACCCACTTTGTCATCCGTCGACTCTCTCTCTCTCACCGCTGCCCGGAGTTGCAATCAGAGACGCTGGGGAAAAGAGACTGAGAGCTCGAAATATTGTATACTAGTAGTATATCAGTGGTTGAGCTTCCCACCGCCTGACTCGCCCCTTTTTTTTCCTGCAGGAACTCGCTCACTAGCTTGTCGAATTGCTGCTTGCACTGCAGCTTGGGGGGCCACGGGAACCTCACATATCAATTCCGGGTTTGGCGATTGCGTCTCTGCCATATCCCTGTTTTTTTAACTCCTCCTTGTCTTGCCAGAGCTTTGCCGCTGTGGTTGCTGGGCTTATCAGAGGCGCCACCTCCGCATTCCAAGGCGCAGCAAGCGAGAGGAGAAAGAGGGTGTGACGAAGGCCATTTTCCCCCCCGGTTTACGACGGTCACGAGGCGGGCGATAAGAGCCAGGCAAGAAAAAAAAAGCAAGACATTTCCCAGTGGCTAGGCAGCACAGAGTTGGAACAAGGAGGACAGCGAGAGAGGGCACACCATCGCCAAGTTACGGTGCGGACTAGAGCAGCGGCGCGTCAGCAGGGCAGCGCCATTCATTCACTGCCTATCCGTTGCGGTTCAGCTCTGCTCAGCTAGACTCGGCTGTTGGGGATCGAGTTGGGACGGTGAATCATTGGGCAGCACACGAGGCAGCGAGCAGCGAGCTCCGGCATCCGACCATTCCCAGCAGCCTTTGCTCTGCGGCACCGGCTCTGCAGCAGCCAACGGGAGCGACAGCGAGGTCGAGACAGCGAGCGACAGAGCGAAGAAGAATAACGAAGACAAATCGACAGAGTCATGACATTTGCTTCGCATTTCCACATGTCCGGCACGTTTCACGACGGCGTCCACCCGGGCCTGTTCCGGCCGCCCGCGTCGCCCAGCTCCAGCACCGACTATCTCTCGTCGTCGACCTTTGCGACCGAGTCCTCCAAGCGGAAATGGAGCCGCAGCAGCGTCCCTCGCGTGCAGACCGGCGGCTTCTTTGAGGAGGTCTACATGGACAGCGCCCCGAGAGCCTATGCCCTCGCCGGCCAGCTTCACACGCCCGTCATCGGCTCCAATCCCGACGACGCCGACACCGCCATGGGCGAGAGCATGTACTCCGACTCCGACTATAGACGAGCCCTGGGCACGAAGCGATCGCGAGATGAAATGGATGACGACTCCAACGGGCCGACGCCGCTCTTCACCCAGCCCGAACCCATACAGTCGACACAATCTGCGGGTTGGGGATCATTTGCCTTTTCCACCATTGGGGGCGTCGTTGGCCGGGTGTGGGAGTTTTGCAAGGCCGGTGCCTTCAAGGGCTTTTACGCAGGAGGCGGCACGTCGTATAAGATGACGAGTGCAGGTGTTAGCGTTGACGAGACGGGCTCCAACGGCGACCAGACGTATTACTTCCAAGGCAGCTATCAACAAGAAGAGCAGCAACACCCACAGCCAAGCCGCAACTACCACTTTGGCGGCCGAGAGAGAGCACGACATGGACGTGAACAGCTCTCCAAACGGAGCCACTACAGCAGCAACAGCCAGAATGCGGGCTATGAGTCTCCATACGACAGCGGTGCATCAACGCCCACCGGCCCGGCGCCCAAGCGACGCAGGCATACCGAGAGCGGGAGTGAGCTGGGCAACAACTGGGTCATGGTCCACGAGCTCGACCGCGAGACTGAGACAAGGACGCCCCGAAAGCTACCCTCTTCAGCTCGTGTATCCCCTCGCCATCGCGCCCAGCAGACGCCCATGGCCGACCACCGCATGGGGCCCCCAAGCAGCTTTTCCACACCCACAACCTCTAGCCCAGCTCCTCTTCGCCCTGCCAGTCGCGCCGCAAGCCGTCCGGGCAGTCGAATGTCCGATGTGAGCTCCCTTAGGCCCCTGCAGCCGGCATCGGCAGCTTCGTTTGCCTCCTTCAAGGCCCCCGTAAGCGTCCCCAAGCCGCCTACAGCCAGCAGGATCCCTGTCAAGGCCAACTCTTCAGTCGTCGTTGCCTCGTCGGCTGCGCTCTCGACCTTTGAGCAGAGCCGGAGGCGCCGACACACACTCATACCGTCGTCTTCCGAGCCGTCGGCCTGGTCTGGGCGTCGCCGCCGCGACAGCATAGCCTCAGTGGCTACTAGTAGAGTCAACGAGATTGACGCCAGCCCACGGCTCGACGCCGAGGCCAGGAAACTGGCTGTTCGCCGCCAAATGGAGGAGCGCGATGCCGACGAGCGCATGTCGGCTTTCAACAAACAATTACAAGACATGATCCGACAGGGTCGAGAAGCTCTGGGGACGACTGTTGAGGTTGAGCCCGGTTGGGAAGACGTCCCCTGAATAGGATTGCCACCACCACCCTTTTTCATTCCTCAACACGACGATACCTTTTTTTCTTCCTGTCCATTTATTGATTGATGACTTTTCCACTTTTCTTCTTCTTCTTCCTCTCTTTTGTTCGCCTGAAAGGGCATTTATGACATTATGAGAATACAAGATGCGAAAAACGTATGAATGAGCTACACAGAATCTGCGTGATTGTTGTTTGATTTGTTGGTTTTGGAGGCTTTACTGCACTTTTTGGCTTTTTACCATCTCTTTTGTTTTTCTTTGTTGGGACTCGGATGGCTGAATATCTATTCTGCGGGCGACACGGCAGAAAAAAAAGGCATGGGATATTCACCACCATTCATCATTCTACCATCTCTGAGCCCTTTGACGACTGAACTTATTGACATTGACACGGAGGAAATTGTGTACTTGGGGGGTTTCCTGTCCTGTGAAGGGCAGCAATAGGCCTCCCACTAATGACTGACATGAAAATGAGGGATATGGCGTGAAGACGCGGCGGAGGATGGAGCTGAATTTGATAGCTTTAGCATTTAGCACAATGAAATAAAGTTACAATCAATCATGTTTGCGGAATGCATCTCACGACACTAGTCTCATGAGGCCGATGCTACTGCTTTGATTCGATGGTCGTACGAGTGACGGCGGAGGAATCTATCCGTGACAAAGGACACTAGTAAAGAAGGGCCAAATGTGACTGGTGGCAAAAAAAGCTGAGGTTAGACAGAGACACGAAAGGAAATAGGCGAAATGAATGTGAGTCTTGAGGTTTTTTAGTGTTGGATTCGCGTGCCTTGTGCCCTTTAAGCCACGCCGGAAAGGTTCATTTTACCCACGGATTAAGGCGGGATATTTTTAGTATTGGGGGAGGTGCGTGTAGTATTAGTATTGTAAAGGTGCTAATGTATGTATGTGCTCAGTGTGGGTGTAAGAATAGAATCTTCGGCTGAGACTTGCCTGGCTGGTGTGGGTGTTGGTCGAAGCAAGAGTTTGCCTCTTATTTTTTTTGATATCGGTGTTCTTTGGGGGGGTTGTTTTGAGAGGTTGAGAGATGAGATTTTGGGGGATTTGCACGCCTTTTCTTTTTGTATATATTCTGTATATTCATTCTTGGTAGATGTTTATGCATTACTTGATATACATAAATCCTTCAATCCCAGAGTTGAATCCTTGCTGCAAGTGTTTATATTTAGCATCCCATCGCCGTTCGCCTCGTGCCACCTCGAAATCAACCATCCCAAGCGAAAGACCAATGAAACCCGGAAAAGACATCTGCCACGCCCATTTTTCCAAGACATTTCCTCGTACTATGTACTACTAAAGCACCTAGAACCAAAAAGCAAAGAAAAGACTAAAATGCGCTACTCCTGGTTGCAGCTAAAAGACCAAAAAAAAAATCCTCCCTTGCATATGCCCTCCCCCATCCTAGTCGTGACTCTGCTCTAGCCCTTTTTCCGGATTTATAGGATCCTAGCCAACCCTAGGAATGACAATAGCTACCCGCCGAAAAAAAGCATGAGAGAGAAACAGGGAAAGACAGTCCAGCTACCTCGGTTGCTCGGCATCTCTCCTGAGCTTGTCAGGTCTCGTTTGACAGCTCGGGAGATAGACACGGGGGGGAAGGGGGGGCGTGTGCCGGTGGCGTTGTGAGACATTTCGTCCAAGAAGAGTGCAAAAAGAAAAATAAAATACCACGATATATTTGTATTTTTTAATATCCCACCCCCCCAAAATGGTATACAGAGAGGCAGGCGAGTACTTAAAGGGGGCGTCCCCGGATTCAGCGTGCCCTTTTTTTACTCCTGTCGAATCCCGCATAAGAAAACGCTGAGACGACGCAAGGCAAGATTTCATTTTTGGAGGATCTTGATTATCGAGAGACCGATTGCTGCGACGCGAGATTACGAAAAAGCACATATAATACGCATCTGAACAGCTACCAATTCAAACCATGAAGGTAAATAAATAAAATAAATAAATGAACCTTCCCCCATTCATTCCACAACACCACGAATATAAACAAACCAACTAACACCCAACCAACATAGATTTCGACTCTCTTCCTCTTCATCCTCCCCGCCGCTGCCCTCGCCCTCCCAGTCGAACAGGCGCAAGACGCGGGCGTCCAGCTCTACCGCAGATTCACGTGCCCGCCCAACGTCCAGGACTTTTGCTCTGCGTCCAACATTCACTCCGGGTGCAGCTCAGACGGAAAGTTTACGTCCAACGCCATGGATACGTGCGGCGGCTGTAAATGTTGAAGTGGTGGTGGGTTTTTTTGGAGATCGGGGCTTGGTGTAATACACGGGTTTAATGCGATTCTTTTTTTTTTTAATGCTGCGAGTTTGGTACAAGGTCTTGCAAGTTACCTTACTAGATTCATTTTAATTTTGTCAATGGCAAATGTAAATTGAGCGTCAATCTATCCTGGTCGTCCAAAGATGAAGTCAACAACAGTGTAGTCTATCTATCCTTTAACCAATGCAAGAAAATGATGAGCCTTCCCCTATCCATAGAACAACAAAGCACTTCAAAGCACTTTTAATGCAGCATAAACTTTTCCCTTCCTTTGTTAGTGAGCGCAAAGCTCAGTCCTGGCAAATTCATCAACCTCTGAGGATTTTGAGGGCCTGGGTCAAGGATTCAATCTCCTTGGTCAGCCTCTCTCTCTTCTCCTTCACAGCCAGATCCTCCCCAGCAATAATCTCCAACTGTTGTGCGGTCATATCCAAGACCACATTGTCCGACAGCACCGTCAGCGGTCCATCCTTTGCATACAGCAGATGGTAATCAATTGCCTGCTGACAAATCACGTCGACGAAGCGGTTTCGTGCAAGACCATAGTACGCATGGAGAGCGTTGTGGATAGTCATCCGCGTCTCCTCGAGTGAAGACTTGGGCTGCTTCTCAGATTCCGTTCCATTGCCCTCATTTGGGCTGAGCTGTTGATCATTGAGCTTCAGCTGGCTGAACTTTTCCTCGAATCGCGGGTCATACGTCATGGTTCGGTTTTCAAACTCAACAGACAGCAGAAAATCGACGTGATTCATGGCTCTCTCATACCGCTTCACCAGGCCGTCGTTCCCCTCAAAACCATACAAAAGGAAATTCCAGAGCTCTTCACGGACTGCAACATCGGGGCAGCATTCCTCCAAAGTCTGGCGTATGAAGTGATGGACAATCAGCACAGCGTTGGAGACGTGCGCATATGCAATATATGGCCACTTTTTGCCCTGTTCTTTGAAAGTGCAGGGCAGCATTTCGGCATTGAACTGAAGAATCATGTTAGAGGCACTGTATGATAGTTAAAAGGTTTGATTGACAACTTACAGTTCCCATCTCATAGCCTCGAGCCTTGATATACTGCTCTTGGATGTGCTCCAGCATACCGCCCATCTCGGGCTTCGAGCACCAATACGGGTCCGTGACAATGTCACTCAAGTCTTCCTCCCCAAAGTCTGGAATTTTGAAGTGGATTTTCTCATCATACAACGAGGATCGACCTTGAGGTAATTCGTCATCCTCATTCGCTGGCTGGTTCTCAGCTGCAGTCTGCTCTACTTTGGTATGAAACTCTCTAGCATGTCCCTTCTCGAGCATGATGCGAGAAAAGGCCTCGTTGATTGTACGGATTCGAGTAATCAATCTCATCTCGAGGTCTTCAAAGAACTTGCTGCGCGTATAATACGCATCTAGGCCGTACTCTTTGATTCGCATGAATCTCGAAGCAATTCTGCCAACATACGCACGTTGTTGATCGGTGGAGCTTCGAGGCTCCCCCATGTCGGCGAGAAGCCCCTGGCTCTTCTTGAGATTCGCCATGATCTCGCTCTTGACCATTGGGAACTCTGCACGGGTTCGGTCCATCAAGAGTTGTTTGATGCGGAAGCGAAGTGCCGGGATACCCAATCTGTCAGAAGGTAGAGTGTTCCATGGAGCTTGTCCAAACAGGGACAGTTCCTGCTTTTGACGACTATCCATGCTGCCAGATGTGTCATCAGCGCCGAGATTCTTGACTACGCAGTAGCCAAGATGCAAATCTCGCCGCTTGCCGTTGACTAGATCGCAGATGACCGCCTTGGTTGCGTTCTCAATGGCAAGGTCAGGTTTGGTTAGCACACCCAAAGTGCGTTTTCCCTGAGGATCAGCCTCGGCGGCAAGTCGAAGGATCTTTTGGTTGGCAATGTCGCCATTGCAAGGGACCACGGCAAGTATAATGGTTCGGCTCTCATGAATGTAACGCTTCACCATGTTCTTCACCAAGTCAATGTCGGATTCAGTCGTCAAGCCTGGGGTGACAGTCTCAAACATGCCAGGAACATCAATAACAGTGAGGTGGAGCGCGTCAGGGCCACTGATTTCGACTTTGAGGACGTCCAGGCTGAAAGCGCTGCATCCCTCTCCATCATCCTCAGACAGCTTAATCCCCATCACTTTGGCGGCCTACAAAGATGCCTGTTAATCTTCGCTTCAAGATGAAGTGATGGGAGGGAAAGCGTTATGAAGGTACCTACTTCTTCAAAGATATTTGGGAAATCATCAGAAAGGATCATGTCCGTTGATCGGCGAAAGTCCTTGATGAGCTTCTCGCGCTCCGGAGATGGGTTGTGTGGGATGATGGACACCACAACGCTCTCTGTAGGTTCCCGTCGGCAAACAATCTCGGTAGCATGACGAGTGCACAGAGTAGCAGAACGCGGAAAGTGGAATCCTGTCAAGGACTCGAGGACACTGGATTTGCCAGCACTCTGGTCTCCGACCACGACCATCTGCCGGAAAATTAGCAACCCTATTCAACCGTTCATTCTTGGTACGATATCGTGAGGACTGACCTGCGGCAGAGGCACGAGATGAGAGATGCCCAATTCACGAAGCTTATCCACCTTGTCCAGCAGGACTCGGTTTCCAAGTCCCTGGCCCAACTTGTCCTTGGTAGAAGACGAACTCATGGTGGAGATGTTCTTCCACAATCGAAGTTGAGAGGTCACCAGGGGAAGAGGAGTTGAAGGGCCGAAGAATGGGGGGGACTGGTGAGCAAGCGCTGCAAATTTATTCAGAAGATAAACAGTCCGTTTGCGCTCTGTTTGTTTTGCACCCACTTTTATATTTCCTGCGGGTGTGCACTTTGTTTTCAGGAAAGCCACACACCTGCTGTGGAACATCCGCAAGCAGAAGAGCTACAGGGTATTGAAGGCCAACGAAGCTGTCCAATGGGGAAGAATGTTTCCCCTCAAAAGTCTCCGGGTCATATTTGGGGTACTTCGAGCCATGCTTCTGGCTACGGCTGGCAGAAGAGTGGCGGACAGCTGCAGGCGAGGGGATGGACGGTCATGATGCCAGCTGCCGTGTAGAGTGGTGTTGATGCGGGAACGATGAGTCGTAGGCTTGTTGTTTGACTGAGATTATTTGGCAAATCCCAGCGAATGGATAGAGGGGAGAAAGCAAAAGAGAGGCATTGTAGATTTGCGCGAAATGGTAGAGATGCGAGATAAGAGAGAGAGAGAGAGAGAGGAAGAAGTTGGTTGATTTGGCAGAGAGTAGGTGATGACGTTATCAAGACGGCAACATGTACCAGGTACTACAACTTGCTCTACGGAATATACCTATCTTGAGCCAATAACAGCTTTGTTGTATCTCCTTGTGAACTTCAGTCTTACAAAGGGGCATCTTAATTTCCGATAATAGCCATGGACATTATGAATCCAACATTGCAATTCTCTCATCAGAGCATCACGCAATTCCCGGCTAGTCGCGTCTCAATTGTCCCTGCTCTTCGGCGAGGGGACTCATCCATGCAGACTTGTCTCCGATATCACATCAGCCGAGAGGATATATAGATACCTAGATTGCATGCAGATGTACATGATGAAAGCAAGGTTAGTAGTTTTGCATCCCTATAGCCCGTGACATGCATATCACACCGTGAATCTATACCTTATGTCGACATCGATCATTACAGGGTAGCTCAGCTTCTGTCTTGCTCCGACTCCGGATGCTGCCCCTCCAAAAAACTGCTCGCCGGTGACTCTCCCCCCACCACAGCTTCCGCAAACAGCGGCACTTGTTAGCTCAACAGGCGCCACCAACCAACCATATAGCAAACTCCATCAGACTTTTTTTTTTTTTTTCTTCGGATCTTGAGATTGCAGAGCTGTTTTCGTCCTTTTCAACCAATCACCAATTGCAGCAACCATGGCTCCCCAACGTGCTTTGATGCTGTAAGTATCAACTCCAAGAAACAATGAAAAGAAAAAGAAGAAAAAAATCCCACCAAGATCCGATTCTGCCCCTCCCCCACTAACATCAACGTCATGATAGCGGCTCCGGCTTCGTTACCAAGCCCACGCTCGACATTCTCTCCGATGCTGGTGTTGAGGTTTCCGTTGGTGAGCTGCCCACTGCCTTGCCCAACAAGATTCAATTTGCTTCGCCTCGTCTTGGTCTCTTCAGTCATCATCTCCCGGCTAATGCCTCTGCCCTCCAGCATGCCGAACTCTCGAAAGCGCAAAGAAGCTCTCCGCCGGCGTCAAGCTGGCCATTCCCATCTCCCTCGACGTCAACGACGAAAAGGCCCTCGATGCTGCTGTTGCCCAGCACGATCTGGTCATCAGCTTGATCCCCTACACCTACCACGCCGCCGTCATCAAGTCCGCCATCCGAAACAAGAAGAATGTCGTCACCACCAGCTACGTCTCTCCGGCCATGATGGAGCTTGACCAGCAGGCCAAGGACGCCGGCATCACCGTCATGAACGAGATTGGCGTAAGTCGTGCAGTCCTGCCTGTGGACATTGCACTGCAAGCAAAGATGCTGAGTTGATTGCATAGCTTGACCCCGGTATCGACCACCTCAGCGCCGTCGACACCATCTCCAGCGTTCACGCTGCCGGCGGCAAAATCCTCAGCTTCAAGAGCTTTTGTGGCGGACTTCCGGCACCTGAAGACTCAGATAACCCTCTTGGATACAAGTGAGCAAAGCAACGGGTTCTCAACTGATCTTGGTATTGGAAATCGCTAACACTGCGCGAATTGAAGGTTCTCCTGGTCGTGAGTAGACCCATCAATCTTCTGCTTGAGAATGCGCTCTTGCCAGAAACTGTTCTAATCCCGATATAATCAGATCCCGAGGTGTTCTGCTCGCCCTGCGAAACGCTGCTACCTTTTACGAGGACGGCAAGCTCGTCAACGTTGCCGGTCCTGGTTAGTGAACCCTTCCGTGTGCTATTATGGCGATGGTATGAAAAACACTAACATTGTCACTCTCAGACTTGATGGCAACTGCTAAGCCTTACCACATCTACCCTGGTAAGCCTACATGAATGGCTAACCACCGGTTACAACACTCTAACAATCTTCAGGCTATGCTTTCGTCGCTTACCCCAACCGCGACTCAAGCGTCTACAAGGAGCGCTACAACATCCCCGAGGCACAGACCATTATCCGTGGAGTAGGTACCGAACCAACCTCACAAGAATACCGAGATGCTAACATTCCGCGTCTCAGACTCTGAGATATGCCGGCTTCCCCGAATTTATCAAGGTTCTCGTGGACACTGGTTTCCTCAGCGACGATGAGCAGGACTACTTCAAGCAGCCCATTGCTTGGAAGGAGGCTACCCAGAAGCTCCTCAACGCCCCCTCATCTAGTGAAACCGACCTCATTGCTGCCGTCTCATCCAAGGCGACATTCAAGGATGCCGAGGAGAAGGCTCGCTTGATCTCTGGTCTCAAGTGGAGTATGTTTATGCCCCCTCTCACTCTCATACAAGCTGTGCCAAAGCTTCTAGCACATCTGGTGGTCACGACAAATGGTGGAAGAAGACGCTAACCTCAAGAAACAGTCGGTATCTTCTCTGATGCCACCATCACCCCCCGCGGAAACCCCCTCGACACCCTCTGCGCCACCCTCGAAGAGAAGATGCAGTACGAGGAGGGCGAGCGCGACTTTGTCGTAAGTCTTAGGCCCCGCTCCACGCTTACAATAGACGACGGAATCTAACGTCAACCCCCTCCCTCTAGATGCTCCAGCACAAGTTCGAAATCGAGAACAAGGACGGCAGCCGCGAGACCAGAACCTCTACCCTCGCCGATTATGGCGCCCCCATTGGCTCAGGCGGCTACAGCTCAATGGCTAAGCTGGTTGGAATTCGTGAGTGACCTAGAATAAAGCTGTACACCGTTCTTATGAATACATTACTAACATGGTAACTACTATAGCTTGTGGTGTTGGTATGTTACATAGTTACTCCCCTCACCTGCATGTTTGCATCAATAGAAGGCGAAAGAAGAAGAAGAAGAAGAAAAGAGAGAAAGAAAAATAGCTCACTAACACGATTTCGCCACACAGCCGCCAAGCAGATCCTCGATGGAACCCTGTCCGAGAAGGGTGTTGTTGCGCCCATGACCGCCAAGATCAACGACCCGTTAATTAAGGAGTTGGCCAAGTACGGGTAAGTATTAGTACCCTCTTTCGTTTATCCCTCCCTCGCCCTCGTGTCCCCTCATGATTTGCATTTTCTTCCTATTTTTTTAAGCGGATACGGCGACAAGAAACCTGACGAGTTATGTGAAACTAGTATCGCATTCAAGGAGAAGGTTATCAAGCACAGTGCCTAAGTGGCTGAAAAATCGCCATGTGTGGCACTATGTGGGATACCTCGGTAACCAAAAGGCTATGGGAGGAAAACCAGTTGCATCTCAGCTAGCAGCAGGATTTATTTTCATGCTTGGGTATCCCACGATAGCCTATAGAAACCGTGAAAAATGCTATCCCGTCTGGCTAATCTTCTTGCCGCTTTATAAATTGTTTACGTAGCCAACCCCCATGTGGGAAGTACCCTCGGTAGCCATAAAGGTAAAGGCAAGGCTGCAACTAGCAACACACCTGTGAACAAATGAAGCCAAGCGAGTTGTACTATTCTACATACTACCAAGTCCCTTGCAGTAGTTCTACGCAAGTCTACACGCAAAACGATGTGTCACAAAGGGAAAACCAAAACTCGTCTCATGCCTGTTCCATTGCAAGTGGAGTAGACGGAATTCTTTTCTATTTGCATGCAAAAAGAGGAAACAGCCCGCATCAGGCAAAGCCACAGGCCATTTCTCCTCATTTTTTGTTGCATGTAGATTCTCTCTCTCTAATAAACCCCCCCCCTTTCTTCACTCTGCAGCCTCATTACCGCCTCTGGGGGTAAAGCAGGTACTCTCTCTCAAATGGTATATCCATTCCAATGATTCCAAGAAAAAGAAAAAAGAAAGAGAAAGGGAAGAAATACTATAAACAGGAAAAACAATAAAATAGACAAGTTTCGTCAAATCGTACAACAACCATATACCCTGTGAAAAAAAGGGTAACAAGAAAAAACGCCCATCGCTCCGATGAATGTACATATATACATAGATAATGGTATATGTTCCGCGAGACTAAAAAATGGTAGTAGTCTCTCTCTTCTCTAGTAACGCAATAATGCAACAACTCTATCAGTCTTTCAAAAGTGAACCGACATCCTGCAGCTGCATGGATGTCGTCAGAGGAGGAGGCCCTCCCCTGTCTATTCTGCCCCAGCCTGCTCCCCAACTCGGCAACTCTTGCCCGTACTGTGGCCGGAACCGTGACGAGCCCGCCCCTCCCGGTACTAGGAAGCCGTCCGTCAGCGTAATCTCGTCCGACCCGGCATTTTCGTGAAAGCTGCTTGGGCGGCGGCTGAGGGCAATCTCGTCTGTTCTATCGCTTCGAGCCTGAGACTTTCGGTTTCGTCTTCGCCAGAAGCGCGTCTTCTGTTCAGATGGGTCGTGTTGGGCGAATATCTCGGGAGACTCCATGATACCAACTCGAGGGGAACGTCGGCCGTTGCCAAAGGAACTTCCATGTGCCCGCGGATAGAAAAACCCAGCAGGCCGGCCGCCAGTGAACGGATTCCAGGGCCGTAGTCGAGGTGAAGTAATGTTGATACTGCCGTTGCATCCAGCGTTGTAGCTGGTGCGAGTCTCGCCCGACAGCTCTTCCAGGGTCATTCCCTTTGTCTCTGGGACCAAAAGCGATACTAGCGTGCCCAGAAGCATAAAAAGAGCAAATAGTTGTAAAAGGCGGTTCAGGTGTGGCGAGCATGCGTTCCCTGAGCAGTTGAGAGGGGAGTCCTTTCTCAGAATCGGAATACTAATGACCTGTGCGATGATGGCGCCAATCTTGCCTGCGGCCGCAGAGAGGCCGTGGCCGGTCGATCTATATCGTGTGGGATAACATTCTCCAGGAATGATAAAGGTGGTAGTGTTGGGGCCGAAGTTGAATAGAAACTGCGCAACAATGTAGAGGACGAGCATGGCAGTTTCGGTCAAGTGGTGGAAGTAGAAGCCGAGGATACAGAAGATGACGGTGAGCAGAAGAAACCCAGTGAACTGAAGGGGCTTGCGGCCGACACTGTCGATTGTGAAGACGGCAGCCCAGTAGCCAGGAATGGAGCCGGCACACGCGAGTATAATCATTCCAACGGCCTGATTGTACAATTTGTGATATAGTGTTTTTCCGCTGGCATAGCCGATGGCGCTAAGGACCATGGTATTGTTCAAGCCTAGACCATAAAATGCGAGATCCTATCCATCAGGGTTAGTGAAATGAGGGTCGAGGATGGCTGAATGGAACAGTGGGGGCGTACCAGGAAGAACCACGACATGGTTGTGCCAATGAGCACCTTGAAGTTTTTCCACTGGCCAAAATAGCTCATCACATCAGGCCATGAAGCCGCGGGTACGTCGAGTGGCTGTTCGGTGGTCATGGTCCCCGAGCGGGATCGCTTCATGCCATATTCGCCCTTTGACCGGCTCGACACGTATGCTCGGATATCGGCATCGGCCTTTTCAATGTCGTTTTGTATATCAAAGGTGTAGCGAGGTGTCTCAGGGATAGTAATGCGGTAGTACAGGGCGAGGCACGCAGGGATGGCACCAACGCCAACAACGATTCGCCACGAGCGATCAGCGGCCTCCCTGCATGCCAAATCGCAGGCCCCTTCTGCCGAGATGTCGATATAATGTTTCTTGAACGCCACTGTAGTGATAAGCGCAACAATCGCGGCTAAAAGCTGACCCAGGCCCTGCATAGAGAAGACAGCAGCCATCATGGCCCCACGCCAGCGTGTCGGCGCAAACCTAGAACCCAGTTAGTGATTATGCTGGGAGATGCGACATTTCGGATAAATTCCGTACTCTGATGTGATGACCGAAGAAAGGGGGTAATCGCCACCAATGCCGATGCCCTGGAGCCGCGTTAGTTTTGTTATGCCGCGCAAGAACGAGATGGAAAGGGATGGGTGGAGAGATTCTATACCATCATGACGCGCCAGAATACCAGCAGGCCGGCAGCACTTATCGTGGGACTTGGAGACGCGAGCGCACAGCCAAATGTACCAATGGTGATGATCATGAGCTCAATGCCGTACATACGGCGTCGGCCAAGCGCACTAAGCCGCAAATTCCCGTCAGCACAACCAGTCCTTGCAAGCCTCCATCATATTGGTGCCAAACTTACTCGGCAAGCCAGCCAAAGATTATCATTCCTAGCACAATACCGCCGCTGGTCGAGGCCTTGAGCGCTTGGTTGACAGGATCGGGCAGAACACCATTGTTGCCTCCATAGCCGTTGAAAGAAGTATCGCCGCTGTAAAAGACCAATCCAAGAAGGCTAGTGATGAGGTTGATGGCGAAGATGTCATAGGAGTCGAGAAAGAATCCAGCTCCGGCGACCAGAACGGCTCGAACATCTAAAGTTAAGTTAGACAATGCTGCAATACTTGCAAAAAAAGGTTTGACAACCAGTCAAAACTCAAGAGCTGGCGAGTTGGGACGTACGGTATAATCCAAAGGGGACCTTGTCAATCTCGGACAGGGCCAGGCGTCTCCGCAGGTTAGGATCAGTAATGTGTGAATAGTCGTTGTAAAAGTTGTGAAAGGCATTGTTGCCGCCATAAGTGTGGTGGTCGCGGCCACGGATTGATGCTGCTGGCGGCGGCAGCATCTCGCCGTCGATATAGGAAGGCATTGCAGATGAGCGATTGAGCTGTGGACGTTGAGATGGTTCAGTTGGATAGCAAGGACGAGCCCTGGTTGCCGCTACGGAGAATACATGGGGGACCGGCGGCGACTGAAGGAGGAGATGTAACAAGAAGCGTTTATTCCGAGGTCAACAGCAGGGCGATGCTGGTCTCGTAGATTCCGGAGTCCTGATGAGCCTCTCTCGCAGTCGTCCAAATAGGTATGTCGAGCCAGGCAACAGGGTGCTGCTGGGGTTCGCAGTTCGGCGTTGGTGGTTAGGAACAATGGAAAGTAGGAGGATTCCGGCAGGGGCTGCATATGCGAAAGAAAGACAGGCCGTTTTCAAGGCTGTACAATGCGTGCGCCCAGCTTGGCGTAAGGCTGAGAGGATGAACCGGAGGATTGCTTTATCAAGGCGATGGGCGAGCCGTGGATGATGTGTTGCAAGTTCAGGTTCAGGCTGTCCATCCGAGTATGTACCTGTAAGCCATCAGGCGCTAGACACCGAAAGAAGGCCTAGCCACTTTGACGGAGGCGTTGCTCGGGAGTCAGGATTCGGGTGGGTGAGACGAGGCAAAACGCAAAAGAGGGACGGCCTGGTCTTTTGTTTGCTGGAGGATGGAGACTCGTACATGCGGCCGAGTGGAGGGAGCCACCGCGAACCGCCACCAGCCCCGGCGAAGTGCTGCCAAGGTCGACAGCTGAGAGGGTTCGCCTGGCAGGTCAGCGAGCGGCTCGTACGAGTTACGTACAAGCAAAGCGGGAGTTGTCGAGGCTCTTGCTGGCTTGCCCCGGTCTGGGGTGGTCTGGTGTGGTCCGGGACTTTGTTGTCTGTCCTGTCTCGCGCCAAGTCAGCACAAGACAACATACAGTAAGAGGACGTGGAGAGAACAAGGCAGAGCAGAGCAGAGAAGAGCAGGGGAGACCAGACCTGGCCAGACCTCACCACGGCAGCAGAGCCCAGCCCATCCATACTGTACTATGTGATGCAACCCCCTCTCGCGCGAGCTTCTAGCCTCTGTCGCTGTCGCTGTCGGCCCCTCTTTCAAGAAACCTACTGGACTGAACGGTCCATGTACTCGTACAGTACATACTCGTACTTGGCCCGTTTCTGCTGCCGAATCCTCAGCAAAAGCTCCCCTGCCAACGGCCAGATGGTGATTGATTGCGTGTGGATCGCCTCGACTACTGCACGTGCTGGAGCCCGCCAGCCAATGGCCGCGCGCTGCGACCTTTTGCCGAACCCCCGCCCGCCGCAGAAACGCTCAGGCCAGCTGCCCTACGCCCCCTAGCGCAGCCCCCTGTGGGCTCTGCAGCGCTCCGAGTCAGAGCGCCGCGGCGTCGTGAAGGTTCTGAAGCCCTTCCAGAACGCCTGTGCCTGCCGCTGCCACAGCACTAGGCAGCACTAACTCGAGTGGCACGCAGCCATCTTGGCTTTTTACTTTTTCTCGCCTTTGCAGCAATCAGGCGACGGCTCGCCACTAGTTCCGCTGCACCCGCCTTCCATATCGAATCGAAGCTGCGAAGCCCGATTTTTTTTCTTTTCCAGGTTCTTTTTTTTCTCTCGCATCTTCTGTCGCCTTTATTCCCTTTCCATCACCGGGCCGGCGCACACACACTCACGCCATCTTTACTCTTTATTGACTCGCGCACGCCAAGAGCAGTGGAGTGGCAACGTGCGAGATTAACTCGGCTTTCGCATACAGTACGAGTGACACCCATGAGAGGAGAGGCGAAGAGACGAGAAGCCAGCCAGCCAGCCAGCCAGCCAGCCCATACACCGCCAGAACTCGTCAACACATAGGCTCAGCAGCTTCCATGTGAGCGCTGCTCCGCCGATCCGGAGCGACATGCCAAATTCTCGCACGGAGAGCCGGATGTGGACTCAATTCCCAGCGACCGTCCCGGCAGTAGTACGAATCCTCGATATACCTTGTATGCCCATGCATGCGCTGCATACCTTACATGTACATACAGTATAGCTGCTGCGGCCAGTATACATAGCAACGTTATCGTCGAATCAGAACGCCAGCCTCAATCAGGCTGGTTGAGTTGCTACAGAACTGCTGCCCTGATAGGTTCATGCACTCTACATCTGACGCCAGCAAGGATCGCCCCTTGCTAGCCACGCCCTACGCCCGCTTGGCTGGCCGTCGGTTCGCCAGCTGCTCACCAGAGACATTTCGCCGTTGCACCCCACGTGGGAGCGAGCTGTGGCTTGTGAATCTCGTCAGGCTGGGTGCATGCCGCACGCTCGAAGCGAGATGCTGCGTGGGGAGCGGAATCGCGATTCGACAAGACACATGGCTAGCACGGTCACGTCAGGTCACGCCAGGGCTTTGCATCGCATCGCATCGCATCGTGCCACGACGGTGCATACAGATACAGCATCTGGTCTGGGGTGCCGTCTTGTCGTCGCATAGCCGTCAGCACCTTGATCAACCTGGGACAGTTGCTGTGCCATCCCCATCGGAAACCTGCATTGCATCAGGGGGCTCCCAGTCCAGATCTTCCTCGTGCACCTTCAGCTGTCCGGCGCTCCGGGAGGAGAACGACGGGGGATGGATGACATGCCCCGTTCAATAATCATGTGCTAGCGGGGATACAGCCATGAGGGGGGAGCTTTGACACTTCGTAAAAAATTAAGCTGATTCCATCATCTCTCTCTGAGGTCTCTCGTACTGTAAGTTGTGAGAAGGGGGCGGGAAGAGGCAAATTGCCGTCCTCATCGCAATTCGCGCTGATTGGTAGAATCCACACAGCGCAAAGACATCTAGATTGTTTCGTACGGCTCTCGCGCGTTCCAGAGTCAAGCGCCGCACACCGACCTGAAGCTTCCAATGTCGAACCAGACTCTGCGGGAACTCGATGGTATTCCTTGCCTTCAGCTCTGCTCAGCTCATGCTCACAGATACGACCTCAACTGTCTGGGGATGCAGCAGCTTGGGTCATCCCCCCCGGTCAGTACTTGCAAGCATGCTCGGGATTATGCAGTCATCGTCTTCATCACAAAGCACAGACACAGACACAATCATGGCATGACCACAAGTACAATACGGAGTACAGCACAGTAGCGACGGCAACTCAACCCACCTGCCATCGCTTTTCGCAGCTCACCTAATTGGGCCCGGTTGAAGCCAGAGTTGATGCTAGACTGAGGATCCAGATCCTAGCCCCCTGGTCCAAACGCTATCAATGCTTCGTACAGTACTTTGACTCCTCACTCGGAGCCAAACCGCCCATGTGGTAAATCAGTGTCGCAGCTTTTACGGAGCGAATTAGCCGACATTCAATAATTCGCTGCTCCCCTTGTCCGGGTGCCAAAATCCTCCGAGGCCACTTCCGTCTCGACAGCCAAACACTTGCACATGTGACGGGATGCCTTGCTGCATATGGGCGCCTTATCGTGTTTCAGGAATTAGACATCATTGCATATTGTACTTGTGGTATTAGCCAAGATTTTACCCGTGCTCTTGTATGAGCCTCTATCTATACTAGCAACGTGCTATCATATACGCCTCACAGCTCGGGGATGATGCCAAAGCTGAGCGGTGCCTGTATTTGCCAAGGTCACTATCACTACTGCATCGAATCCGAATACCAGGTCGTAGACTGATATTGATATGCATCGTTACCATGCATCGTTACCATGCAGTAATATCATCCACCTCAGCTTCGCCGAATGTGCTCGACTTCGTTAGCTGACCCACGCCGGCTTCCTCTGGGGCGCCACCCTCGACCGACATGATATCAGGTAGAATCTCTTTGAGGAACCCCAGCACATAACGGTTAACCTGCTCAAACTGCAGCAAGAAGGCATCATGTCCCTCGGAGCTATCGATCCGCTCGAGTCGTGCATCCTTTACGTGCTGCGCAATCTCCTCCTGCTCGGCAAATGTGAACAGCCCGTCGCTCTCAATGCCCAGCACAAGGATAGGCTGTTCAATTAGCGCAAGCGCCTCGGCGATCGTTGCCGCCCGGTCCCTAGACACATCATGCGTGTCAAGCTTCCGCGTCATGGCAATGTAGCAGTTGCTATCAAACCGCTTGACGAACTTCTTCCCTTGGTAGCGCAGATACGACTGCGCCGAAAAGTACGTCGACGTAGGCATCTTGTCTCCTCCAGTTAGACTTTCTTCTTGATCATTTCCAGGGCCATGGAACTGCGGGTCAGCGTTTTCGGCTGATCGCGAGCCCGGGCTGCTGGTTCCAGACCCGTTCTGGCTATTCTTGCGTGAGACTGATGTGCGCTTGACATTGTGGCCATCGTTGTGAATGTGGAAATGAGCTTCCGAGGGTGTGCTGGGACGCGGCCGTTCTCGAATCGTCTGAATCTTGGAAGGGTCGGGAATGTTCCGACCAAACCGGGACTCAAACGAATTGCGACTGCGATAGGTGAGTAGGGCAGACATCCGAGCCGCACCAAGCCCAGTCACGGGCGGATCATCAAACGGGTAATAGCCGTCATCATACTTTGGGTCGGCATAGATACTCTGGCGTTGAGCTTCACCCCAACTAATGCCCCATGCGCTATGGCGGCTGGAGGTGGCAATGGGCACAACACAGCGAACGTAGTCCTTTCCGAAATATGCCCACTCCAACACAAACATGCCACCGAGTGAACCTCCGATGACAGCCGCCACTTGCTTCACGCCCAAATCATCCAAAATGAGTTTGTGTAGGCTGGCCCAGGTTAGCCCTCTGTGCCGTGATGACTGGGGGGGGAGGGGGCAAAAACCAAGGGGCGTCTTACTTCACGTCATCTCGAATTGTTGTGAGAGGAAACTCGGGCCCATAGCGATCATTGTTGGGGTCACCATCCTTGGCCGTGACGGGGCTTGCTGTGCCGTAGGGGCTACCCAAGCTGTTCATGCACACGATGAAGAACCTCGAGGTATCAAAAGCCCTGCCTGGGCCGCCGAGCAGGGGACCCCACCAGTCGCTCACATCAGCGCTGCCGGTTAGGGCATGGCAAATCACCATGGCGTTGTCACCAGAAGGCGAGAGCTTGCCTCGGGTGGTGTATGCAACAGGGACATTGTATAGCGTGACCCCAGACTCAAGCGTGAATTCCGGTACAATGGCTATTTGCTGGTCGGGGATGAGAGCCGCAAAGGGGTTCTCAGGCTGCGACTGAGTTCTTTCTTGCAGGTATTCAGCCACCACTCTTGTCATAAATCTTACGTGAAACTCATAACTCAAAACCAACGACAGACTAGACCGCTTGGCCAGGGATCGTCAGGAGGGGGAAGGAGAAAGGAAGAAGTATTGAGAGCCAAGGAAGTATATAGTGTATGAACGCATATAGAAGCAATATCCTGTACTGACCGTATTTCATTTTGGCATCGCCATTGACGCCCTTTGTCTCACTCATCTGGCCAATTGCAAGTGGTAGTAATGACTCGGCCTCCGTTCTCGGAGTGCAGCGCAAACTTGCAAATGGGATACCCGGGACCTGAAACCAGATCAAAGATTGAGCGGCCACCGAACGAGAGCCCGCACGTCTCGTTATGTAGACAATGCCAGTAGCCGAAGAGTGAATAAGAGCAAATATAATTTGTGCCAAGTGAATTTGTGGAGGATGAGAATTTCACAGAGCCGTGGCGCAATCCTAACCCCCGGCTCTTTGTTGGAGGTCGGATTACTATATCGACGCGTTAGTAAGCGTGCTAACGCAGTATCACGTGATGCAGCGCTACAACTGACAAGACAAACTGAGCTGGTACTTCGCGCCCCATACTCCGCGCTCCCGTGTGCTTGTACCTGGATGTTTGTTCGCAAGGCTGCCATGGTCCGTGCACCACTGCTTGGAGCGCAGCTTCACGACTTCACGCGGAGCCTCTCCAAACTGAGATTTCGATACGACCAGCAGCTTTTCAGCATCGAAATCTGCCTCAAGACGCGGGCTGCGAAAGCCATTGTCCAGACCTGCGGAATATCGACCAAATTGACTTGCGCTGACCGAATTGTGCTCCAGCCTTTCCGTTAGCCTCTTGGGCATTTTTTTTTTTGTTTCCCTTTCGTTTGCCTGCTGGAATCTTCTCTCTCTTCCCCCAGCATTTTATCACACCCAGCTACATTTTAGGCCCGACCATTTGCAGCTTCGCCCATCTCCCCGCGTTTTCGCCTTTTCTCTCTTCAAAACACCTCTTGGAATTGCCTGCAGATGGTTCCATGAATCCGCCGCTAATGGTATAGCACGCGCCGATCCCTCGCAGCATCTTCGAGCGTCATGCCGCAGAAGCGCAAGCGGCTCGATCGATCATCAGGCGAAGGAGGCAGACCATCGCCACACAATCCAAACGACACAGCTATTGCGCTTCACGAACAAAACGACACTATGAACCACATGAACCGAGGCCGAGGCCGGGGAGCGCATCGAGGGGCCAATCAACGGAACCCGTCGCGTGGCCACAACAATCGTCCTCACAACAACTATCAGCAGAACCAGAACCAGAACCAGAACCAGAACCAGGGTCAAGGCCAGAACCAAAATCAGAATCAGCCTCCCTCGCGAAGGCCTAGCACATCCTCCTCCCAACAGACACCGCAGCCGTCTCCAGCTGCCCCGAGAGCATCCAACCCTCCCCCAGTGACCAAGCCTCCTCCTCCGCCGCCTACCTTTTCACGGCCTCCGCCTGCCTCACCTCCGCCGACCAACATCCCTCCACCAGAATCTACGTCGGAAAGCAGTCCTTCAGTTGGATCAAGTTATCGCTATGATAATCTCACAGAGGAAAAGATTCGATCATGGACAGAACGTGGGCGGGAGGAGATCGTGCAACATGGCATACAGTCGCGAGAAGATGTCGACATCACAGAGCTATCTAGTTTGTTCCAAGAGTTCATTCACGCTGTTGTCGAGAATCGGCTGGAAGCCACTGACGCCGGAAAATGCGTCAAGGAGATACTGGGAGATGACACGGCAGAAGTTAAGGATTCCTATGTAGCTCCTCACACGCTACTCCTCGACTCGCTGGCCATTGTTATGGATAATGAGCCTGACTTGTATCGCCCGGCTCTTCGTGACTTTCTCATCGCCACCGAAGTCTCTCCTGCGCTTATGCGACAGGTGCTAGATGCTCCCTTGCTTCAGCAGCTTGGCCTTATCAGGGATACCTTTGCTAGGTTAGGTGTCAGACAGGCGACAAACCTGCTCTACCGACAGGCAAACTACAATCTTTTACGGGAGGAGACGGAGGGATACTCGAAGCTCGTCACTGAGCTCTTCACCACTAGCAGCATACCATCACCCTCACCCGAACTTGCAGAGCAAACGTTTGAGAGGGTCAAGGCTTTGATTGGAACTTTCGATTTGGACGTTGGCCGAGTCCTTGACGTCACTCTCGATGTTGCTGCTGCCGTTCTGATTAAACAGTTCAAGTTTTTCGTCAAGTTTCTGCGAATTAGTTCTTGGTGGCCACGCTCGCATCTCATCCTTGGCTCTACAGTCCACACCGGCGGCCTGCCGACCTGGGCTCAGCCAGACTATCCTCACTGGAATACAACCGAAGAGGATGAAGAAATCAACGTACAGCAGAGACTTGCTCGAGACACTGCATTCTGGGATCGAGCACGCGAGGTCCATTTGGCAGCGTTTTTCGAACTTGGCGGGCGGGGAACATCCAACTTGACGTCCTACCGACCCAAGCTCACCAACGGCAACGCCAGCGAATCGGTTGCTGATATTGAGCAGCAGTGGATTGAACAGACCAAGACCCTCCCACCGCCAGGCAATAAGGTTGCTGCGCAGCTCCTTGGATTCAAGTTGCTCTTCTACAACAGCGATCTAAGGGACAAGACTGACGTCCTCCCTGCTAACTTGCTCTATCTGGCGGCTCTCCTCATCAAAGTCGGCTTCATCTCACTCACCGACCTCTACCCTCATCTCTCACCCCCTGATGAGGAGATGGAGCGTGTTCGCGAGGAGCAAACAAAACTTATTGAAGAGGAAGAAAAGGCATCGCGCGGTGGTCCTATGAACGCCCTGCTCATGGCTGGCGTCCTTCCCCAAGGCGACGACGATAACCCTGTACAATCCAATGTCCCCAGACGAGAGCCTCTGAAGAAGGCCGAGCCTGAGCAGAAGCAACCTACCACCGAAGCCACCGAGGACAAAAAGAGCCTTCCGGAGCCGTTGGAGCAAAAAGTGAGACTGCTTATTCAACTTTTAACAATTGGTGCTATTCCAGAATCCTTGTTTATTCTTGGAAAGTTCCCTTGGATTCCAGAGGTATTCCCTGAAGTCCTATCCCGCATTCATCGCATACTGCACGTCTCCATGGAGAAGGTCTTCAACGACAGCCGCCCAAAACCTTTTGGCGGAGCCGACTGTCCAACCAAGGAAATATTTTCGGCAGACCAGAGTGGTGTTGCCAAGGGGAGCGTTCGGCTCGTCAGGCTGCCCGTGAAGAAAATCTGGCGTTGGCCATTTCCTGACAAGTGGGACACAAGTGAGAGTCAGAACTATCGATTCTACTGGGATGAATGGGCCGATAATATCCCAGTTTGTCAAACCGTGGATGATATCTTCACGCTGTGCAACACTTTCCTCAACATCTCTGGTGTCAGCATCGGGAAGGACGAGACTTTGCTTTCCAAGTTGGCTAGCATTGGAGCTAAAAGCCTGTCCGAGGATACTTCCGAGTCGAATTATGCCCGATGGCATGATCTCCTTCGCAGGCTTCTCGTGCCGGCTCTCAGCCATACCAAGGCCAATGTCTCCGTCGTAAACGCAGTTTGGGAGTTACTCCGCCGGTACCCGCTGACAACACGATACTCTATTTACGCGGAATGGTTTGAAGGGCAGATATCCCGTCTACCCGCTATGCGAGCCGCATTTGCTCGTGCCACTGCAGAGACGCGAGGAACTATGAAGCGACTCTCGCTCACCAACATAAGCGAGATGGCTAAGCAGTTGGCCAAAACAAGCTATTCCTCTCCAGGAGTCGTCTTTCGAGTTGCGTTTGAGCAGCTTGAGTCATACCCCAATTTGATCGAAGGCTTCGTCGAATGCGCCAAATACTTCACCGACCTCTCTTATGACGTTCTCGTCTGGTCTCTGATGAACTCTCTCGGCAAATCTCGAAGCCGCACCCAGGCCGACCACGCGCTCACGACTAGCAAATGGCTTCAAGCGCTATCCAGGTTCTCCGGTAAAATCTTCAAACGCTATTCGGCCATCAATCCTATCCCGGTTCTTCAATACGTCAATGACCAACTTCAACGCGGCAATTCCACGGATTTGATCATTTTGAAAGAATTTATTAATTCCATGGGCGGTATTGTCGACTCAGTAGACTTTACTGATGCCCAGATCTTATCCATGGCTGGTGGAGATCGATTGCGACGCCATACACTGATCCGAGGTCAGGATAAGCGCTTTGACAGTGTTAGGAGCTCCAAGCGACTTATACAGGCGCTCACCGACTCAAAGCTTGCCGCCAGAGTGCTTCTCAACCTTGCACAGTACCGTCAGTCCGCGATATACCAGGTACCCGAAGACGAAGCACACATCAAGTACTTGTCAGCCCTGGTAGATGATTCTCACCAGATTCTAATACAATACCTCGACTTCATCTGGAGCAATCTTGAGCCTTCGGCTTTTGATGCCCTGGTCCCCTCCATAAATGAGCTGATTCTTTCCTATGGCTTGGATACAAGTATTGCTTTCTTGATTGGAAGATCTAGCCTTTCTCACCGATTATACCCCTGGGGCCAAAGGGAAGCGGAAAGTTCAAAGGAGAATACACAGACTACGCAACAGGAAGCTACTGACAAGGAGGGAGACATTTCCATGGGCGACGAATCCAAGGACAAATCGGGTCTGGCCGTTTCCACAAACGATGAGCAGGTGGGAATTGATGACCCTTCATCTGGCCCGCGTTCCACAGCTGATACAAAACAAAAGCAGAAATTCGACGATTTGGCTTTGACGCTCTCACCTCTGCAACCCATTGTCGAGGCTGTAAAAGAGACTGTACGACCAGAGGTCTGGCAAAAGATCAACCCGGAACTTTATGCGGTCTTCTGGGCTCTGCAGCTCGGCGATCTCTTTTGTCCCGAGGACATGTACAAAGAAGAGAAAGACCGGCTGGAGAGCGAAGGTCAAGCCATCCTGAGGGACCGATCGGATATGTCTCGTAGAGGCCAAGAGCGAAAGAATGAAAAGAGACAGGAACTCTTGAAACAGCAGCTCAGTCTCTCCATGGAGCTCAAGGAACACCGCCTACGTAAAACCAAGTGGATGGACTGCTTGACTGAACAGTTCCAGTCGATATCCCCCGACCCCAAGATCAAGACCGATAGCCTTTCTGACATTCTTCTGGAGCAATGCTTCCTTCCCAGGGCCTTGCTCTCCCCGGCGGATGCTGAATACACCTACAAGTTCATCTTGGCGTTGCACGAACTGAGGGCGCCCAACTTCAAGCTCATGTCCCTCTATGACCGGCTCTTTAACGCTAACCGGTTACGATCTCTGATCTTTACAAGCTCCGTCAGAGAGGCCGAGTACCTTGGGCGATTCATAACTTTGATACTTCGGGACCTCTCCAGGTGGCATAAGAATGAGACGACTGAGAAGGGTAGGCCGAGCAAGGATCAGCCTCGCTTAGGTGCATTCGATAAAGAGGGCAAAGGGCCTAGTGACCGGCCATATCTTGGATTCGCTGTCAGTCTCAAGGAGGACGGGGAGCCGGATACTTTGATGGAGCATGCTCAGTTCAAAGATCTCCTGTTCCGTTGGCATAAGAACTTGAATACAGCGCTCAAAAGTTGTTTGGCTGGGACGGAGTGGATGCACATCAGAAACGCTCTTACCGTTCTCAAGGCCGTCTTGGATTACTTCCCCGCCATTGATTTCATGGCTACCCAATTCACAACACAACTTCAAAAGATTACCAAACAAGAGGCTGCATCCAAGACAGCAGCTGAGAACGAGGAGGGCCACAGAGTGGATCTATCTGTAGCTGCCCAAGGAGCCATGTCGGAGCTGCAAAAACGAAAATCGAAATGGGTCATGGTTCAGGCTTTCCGGCCCAATGCGGTGAGTTTACTTTGCGCCAGCGCTGCGTGTATACAACACATTCACTAACAGCATTACAATAAAGGGCGGCGCTTCTCAATCCGAAGCTGACAAGTCATCAAACCTTCGTGCTACAGCCCCAGACTTTCAGCCACAGCCATCGAGGTACGTGGATCACTCTATAACCCTGCCAGACAAAAGGACTTTAGGAATTTTCTCTCCGACTAACGCCCCAAACCTACAGATCACCAGCCAACAGACAGGGTACGGCAGAAAGAGAGGACGGAGAGGTTCAAGATGGAAAGAGCCAGTCCACTTCTGCCACATCAAAGGACTCTTTACCTGCTAAGCCATCCGGCCCCAAAAGAGACGTTTCCATGTCTCGGGAAGATGTGTCTGGACCTCCTCGATCAGCTACCCCAATGGGCAGCCAAGGGCAAGGCTCTCTTGGCCCTAGAAATGATACTCGCCCTCATGTACTGCCTGATAGGCCTGCACACAACCTTCCTACGCGGCCAGATGTTCCTATACCGAGCCACTTCACCCCTGAACGGTACGCGCAGAACCGAGGTCATGACCGTCGAGATATGAGAGAGAGAGACGGCCACAGGCAGCGTGATGGTCGAGACCCACGAGAGTCCTGGGAGAACCGTGATCCTAGGGAGGGCAAAGATCATCGTGATGCGAGGGACCCCCGCGATTCCCGATCTATGGAAGCGGATAGACCAGACCGTTCTCGTGAATACATGGACCGTCGTGGAAATGAAATGACACCCCGAGATGTTGGGCCGACGGATCTCCCACCTCGACCAAGACAACAGGAACGGGATTGGCAGAGAGATTCCTGGGCAAACAGATCGCAAGATAGATTGAACGATACATCTTCTCAGATCCCCACAGCTCCGTCCGGCCCGGCTGAGACATCTGAGCCAACCATGAATCCGCAGAGGGCGGCGCTGTTTGCTCAAGATGATGCGGATCGAACACGACGAGGTCCGGAGCCTGATCGGGGAGCGCGTGGCCGACGACCCGGGCCACAAGATTCGATGGAGTCGATCAATCCTGAACGGGCCGCATTGATAGATGACCGTGATGAAGTTGCACACGGGCGCGTGAGGGATGATGGACGAGAGAGAGGGCCTAGAACTCAGTCTCCTCGGCGTGCTGGTGGACGATACGGTCACGAGCATGGGCCACCATCCGGACCATACGAAGACAGACACGGGCATCCCTTCCAACAAGATAATCGAAATGCTGGAAGAAATGCCCGCGATCGCTCACCAGCCGGTGGAGAGAATTATCGCGGCAATAAGGGGATGGAGCGCGAAGGCGATAGAGCCCACATGGATAAAATGCGGGATACATCTTCTTCAGGCTTCCACAGATCATCAATGGGGCAAGACGTTGACCACAGGCCGCCCTATCAAGACCAAAACTACGGACGGCTCAACCCGGTGCCCACGAGTACTCCGGATATCCCACTGGGTCCGCGGGGACGAGGACGAGGTGCTACGAGAAACAACCAGCCAGGGGGCCCGCCTGTGATGTCAAATAGGCCAGACAGTCGATACGGAGCGCCTGAGGCGGCTCGGGCGCCTTCGCAAGAAAGACATCCTCCTTCAGGCCCTGCATCTGGACGAGGCCGCCGTGGTGGCTATGAGCACAACAATGCCAACAATAATAATGGGCCAGCGACTTCCTCGGTTCCTCCGGTCGGGCCGCATCCTGATAGGATGAGGAACTTTGGCGGTTCCGCACAGGAGAATACGTCCCCTGCTCAAGGCAGCAACACAGCGGCTCCGTCTGGGGTTCACCCTGATCGGCTTGCTCAAATGGGCGGCCCTGGACCCAACGCTCCGCCTCCACCACCTCCTCCCCCAGGCCCTCCGCCATATGGGCATGGGAGCGGACACGCCCGCCACTCCATGTCTACCTCTGGAAACTCGGAGCGGTCAGGACCCAGGATTTCATCGGGATCTCTTCCAATGGAGCCTGCGGTGCCTACTGGCCCTGCTTCTAGTGGTGACAGATCTTCGAGGTCGGGCGGTGGAAGAAGACAGCTGGCAGGCATTAACAGTATGCTCCAGCAGGCGCAGGCCGCCATGCCGAACGAAGGACGGCCCAGCGGTCCTCGTGTTAACCCTCCCAGACAAATGCTCGGCCACTCAGACGTCCAAGTTTTGGCTGGGGGAGACGTCATGCCCCCTACACCTGACCGTCCAGATGCGCAGTGGCACGACTCACAAGCCCGAAGCGGTGCCCCGAATGGAGAAGATGGATCAGGACGTGGAGAGCACGAACGGGGCCGACGGGACCGTGGTGACGGCCGAAACGACCGCTCCAAGCGGTCATCTCGTCGAAGCAGTCGAGAGCGCGAGAGAGAAGGCAAAGAGCACAACGAGCACCGAGAGAGACGGACTATGGGAAGTGCTGTTGAGGGCGGGGCTCGAGAAGATAGAGACGCTCGCAGGTCGAACCGAGACGGCAGTTCTCGGGATGCAACAGCAACGCCGAGCGGCGGCCGAGAGTCGCGACACAGGGGCGAAGGTGGGCTAGGAAACAGAGGAGGGGACGAAAGGAGTGGCAATAGAGCCAACCGAGGAAATCCGAGAGACGGAACACAGCGTACAGATGAGCAGCGGAGGGAACATAGGGATGACCGAGGACGCAAGAGGAGAGGTGAAGAAGCCGATGGAGCCTTGTCGAGCGACCGCGAGAAGCGACCGCGACGGTAATCCGGACGGAGCCTATGGAAGCGATGAAAAAAACTTATGGATGCATAGTCACGACTGGCTTGCAAAAAGACTAGGTAGCACGGCAGCCAGAGGGGTCATTTTGTCAGGCGTTGGTACAATGGCCCAAATCAATGTCTTTTTTTTTTCTTCTTTACTTCTTTTCCAAGGATTGGAGCCTTTGCGCTTACACCACGCTGCGGCGCGTTTTCACAAATTGTCAAATGCGAAACATGTAATTTTTTACGCATGTCTTTTTTCTTTCTAACTCATATCTTGTCTTCGTTTATGGCTTATGGCGGTTACTACGGCCGAGAGGGATCGATTCAGCGAAAATAATGCAACTCACATCTCTATTTACCTACTACTCACCCCCTACCTCTTCTTGCCGGTCCATGTACCAAGAGACGGGCAGATTCCACAATCCGAATCAATGAGTGTATTAAATCCAATCTATCAAAAAACCAAACAAACAAACTACATTTTCGGTGCAACCATGAATGCAGGCACATAGACGGAAAGGAAAGGGCGGGCCGCCCCGGGGGGATTTATAACGACATTTAATGCGAACTACTTGCTTGATGGTATTACGACTCTGGCTTTTCGATAATCCACGATGCCAGCTATGTACGATATGTAAAATAGGAGAAACTGGAGGGGGGGATGGAGGCTGTACGAATATCCAACGAGAACTGGCGCTGGAGGAGAAGCACCGGATGTAACGAGTAGCTATTGAATGTGTTTCCATGTAAGATGTATGAAGAAAATGGCTCAAACAAATAGGCGCAGGAGCGGCAGCTTGCGTAATCGTGCGGGGGTTATGATGGCTCTTATTGCTGTTGATGGTAATTTTTGCAGAATAGACATACGTGGAAGAAGAGTCTTGACCGCAGCAAGAATGTCCGACTGTGGCTGTATCCTGACCCAATTTGCGAAGGGGGGGTTTGAAAGAGATTCCTCTTTGGAAAGAAATTCCTCTTTGGGTAAGTGACGATGCCCTTTTTGCGGCTGTGCTGCGCAGTTCTGATTGGGGGGGAGAACGATTCGCGGCGATACGCCAGGTGAATGAGCGGAGGAGGAATCGAGCTATTTGCATGGAGGTGGGAAAGCACTGCCGCTGTCATTCGTAAGTGGTTGATGGGCAAGTTTTAGATTCTTTTGATTGTGGCGTGGCATGTTTTGGGATGGAGATTGGAATCTTGGCGCGAAAAGAGAAGAAGGCATGTGAGGAAAATGTGTCAGACAGTGGGCGTGCTTGGCGCAGATGCAAGATTGCCGGTTTGCCGAACGGGAGAGGCTTTTGTTTTAGGAGGAGGCGCATGTATGAATGCATGTATGTGATGTGGGATTGTCATTTTTGGAGAAGTGAGGTGAGATTTTGAGTGGTGATTGATGATCTGCGGAGGATTTTGGGGGGGGGGCTGAGCGGGAAGTGCGCAGTGTTGGAGTAGAGAGTATATCCGGGTTACGTGTATTTTGGCGGAGGTGAGATGGCTGATGATTAGCTGAGCATATGGGATGCTCGGGTATTATTAGTGCTTGACTGGCTCTAATACATTGTTATTACATATCCAAGCTGTTTTGGATTTGTGAGGAGATTATCAAGGCAAGACGAAACGAGACGAGACGAGGCAACGCCCGGAGTTCGGGGTCGGGGATTACACGCGACGATGCCCTGGCCAGAGCTGCACCGTTTTTCTGCGGAGAATAATTTGGGATTTTGATTATTGCAATGGGAAGCCCCTCCGGACATTGGACGTGGACTTGGCCCTTAAACGGCAATACATGCCAGACACGTTGTGGCGCTGCATTTAGAGGTTGATGGATGGAGGATGCCACGCATTGAGGCGTTGCTTAGAGTAATGGAGACTCAAAAAGCATAAAGAATTTGCGCTGGTGGGATTTGGGATTGGATTGGATTGCTGCAGAATTGGAGCACTTGCTGTTTCGAGGAGGGGTGTGTGTGCAGTCTAAAGGGCACGGGTACAGGTACAGGTACAGGTACAGATACGGGAACCCACAGTGACGTCTTGCGGGAGGCGCCCATCGCGTTTGGAAGCCCCTGAAAGGGAGTTTCTTTAGGGGCTGGAGCGATGATGATGTGCGCTGCTGGGGGATGTACCGGTACATGATGGACATTGCAGGTGCTGGAGGATGGGTTCATGACGCCGATGATCTGCAGAGGAGGCCGAAGATCGGTATAATGCAGCAAAACATTAGAATTGAATAATAGTACTAGGTAATATTCACAAGCATGCTTTCTTCTTTGCATAGAACAAATATGTAAGCCAAATGAGGTGAATCTCTGACGCGCGTTCCATCATACAAGTGCAGGACTTGGCAAAACAGGTACGAGTTACGTCTTATTCCGTACTCCGCACTCCGGGCTCCGGCTCCGTAGCCTCAAGCTTTCATTGGCCTCCATCGCGTCCGCATGAAGAGAGGAGAGGAGAGGAGCGGGAAAATTACACCACGAACCGGGCGGGAGGGAGGCCGCCCTTGGGTGGCTCAAGCGGGCTTTTTTTTTTTTTTTTTTTTTTTTTTTGTGCATCGTTCTCGTAAAGTAAATGATTGGTGTGTGAGTGAGCGATGAATCAAACCCGACCAGATACTTGCATGCGGTGCTAGTGTTTTAGCAGTTAGGGCGCCGGCTTTTGGGTTCGACACCAGATGTTGCTTGAAACGGGAACCAGCAGAGACTCAGCCTCCCCCTGCTTGGCCAATCGCCAAATGCTGTGGGTTTAGCGGCACTCGTACCCTGTGGCTTGTGACTGCGGGAGTGTGAGAGGTGTGTGAGAAGTGTGTGGTGGTGACGAGAATTAATACGAGGAGAGCCAGTGAAGTGGTGAGTTGAGCATTTGCAGGATTGGGGAGTGAAGTGAATAGAGTCAGATGGAGAGTTGAGCCAGAAAGGGAATGGGGAGACCCCTGCCAAGGCCGTGTTTGGCTGCAGTGCATTTTTCCGCAGGTGCAGCAGCCCATTTCAATGCCCAGTACTCCGTGCAGGCTGCAAGCACTAACTAACCAGCGCTGGGCTGGGCGATGCGCTGCTGCAGCGAAACTTGCCAGCGGCCCTCCAGAGCCCCCGACTCCCCGTCTTAGCGCCCTGCCATTACGTCTCACAGCGCCTCGTACCTGTACTGTGTACTCGTACAGCTCCGGCATCAAATGACAAATGGCCCTCTCTACCGTACGTACACGCCCCCTGGTCGGGTTTATTTTCTTTTTCCCTTCTGCTGTCGTCGCTTTTGTTCCTGGATCCCTGTCCTGCGCACTTTGTCTGCTTTCTTATTTCTTTAGTCCAGTCGATCGCTCTCGTTCTTCCTTTATCCACCGCGACATTCCTTTTCATTCCCTTTTGCCTTTGGTCTTTCCGCTCGTTGCATCTTCTTCTTCTTCGCTGCCAGGGAGCGCGACACCAAGAACGCTCGCTTCCATTCCAACCACCAAGGGCTCCCCCCCCTCGTGGACCCCGTAGAATTCTCGACCCAGGCTGGATCCGAACCGAATCAGACCCAAAACAGCTCCGGGGTTTCCGCCGACTCGCGACCGAGAAACGAAAGAGCGCATCGAGAGGGAGGAAAGGGGATTTGCTGGCGACGACGACGACGACGCATAACTGCATCACGACTTGACGACACGACGTTTGGATCCAGGAGCATCGCAAACCTTGCCTCGATACTCCACAACTGTTGCGGACAGCGAGCGACCAACGAATCGATCCGGTCAGGGCGGCGAGTTGACTTCGCGGCGCGATTTGCTGGCGAACGAGCTGGCTATTGCCCCCTCGTGGGCCTCACAAACGAAGTAAAACCACAAAAAAAGGACGACTGTTTGGATCTTTGACGCCAATCCGCCAAGATGATGAATCTCACGTGTAACTCGACGTTGGAGGATATGAGGAGTATGTTTCCCTCTGCTAGCTGCGTGAAGCTCCGCTATGCGCCTCCCGTTGCTCTTCTCCTGCGACGACGGACTGGACCCTTGATAAGGCTAACGCCCCAGCAGTCTCTCCGGGATCCGAAATCAAGATCGCCGGGCCTCTCAACTTCCATGATCTTGCCCGTGTCATCTCGGCCGGATGTACCCTCATCGCCGTTGTGCTGAGCTTGTACCTCATCGCCATGCACGCCACCCACTACACACAACCCAAGGAACAACGACAGTAAGCAGCACCTGGTCCAGGCCATGGACCAACTAGCTAACAATAATCGGCAGCATTATTCGTATCCTCTTCATGATCCCCGTCTATGCCATCTCCTCGTTCATGCAGCTGCAGTGGTACTGGCGCGCTACCTACTTTTCCGTCATCTCCGACTGCTACGAGGCCTTTGCCATTGCCTCCTTTTTCGGTTTGATATGTCACTACTGTGCGCCCGACCTGCACACGCAAAAGGAGTTCTTCAGAAACCTGCGCCCCATCCAGGGCTGGGTCCTGCCCATCAACTGGTTCGCCAAGTGCTGCGGTGGAGAGAGAGGGCCCTGGCGCACTCCCAAGAGCGGCCTCACATGGTTCAACATTATCTGGATCGGCGTGTATCAGTACTGCTTTATCCGCGTTGCCATGACCGTCACCGCCGTCCTCACTGAGCACTATGGCCGCTACTGCGAGAGCTCCAACTCTCCCGTTTTTGCTCACATCTGGGTAAGCAAACCAGTCACTTTTTGCTCTCATATTACCTGGCGTACAAACTAGGGGGAAAAACATGTGAATGTAGCTAACGTAATGGCCGTTGTGATTATAATAGGTTCTTGTTATCAACGCCATTTCTGTCACAATTGCCATGTACTGCCTCATTCAGTTTTACATTCAGCTGGCCAAGCCTCTTGCCGAGCACCACCTTTTTTTGAAGATCCTCGCCATCAAGCTGGTCGTCTTCTTGTCTTTCTGGCAGGCCTCGGCCATTTCCGTCGGCACGTCGACTCTCAACATCGTCAAGCCCGGTGATGTTCTCGCCTATCCCGATCTCAAGGTGGGCATTCCAGCTCTGCTGCTCTGTGTTGAAATGGCCATCTTTTCCGTCTTGCATATCTGGGCCTTCCCGTATCAGGTCTATCGCCGCGGCGTTGCCTCGTCCTTCTACCCGAGCCCTGATGCGTCAAAGGGCACCATTGGTCTGGAAAAGCCTGCTCTACCCAACGGAGGTGGCTTCCTCGGACTTCGTGCCTTGTGGGATGCCATGAACTTATGGGACCTGGTCAAGGCCTTTGGTAGAGGCATGCGCTGGCTCTTCTGCGGCGTCAAGAGACGGAAGGAGGACGCCAGCTACAAGCTTGGCACTCCCAACGACGAAACACTGAGCATGACCAATCTCCATGAGCCCAAGCCTCAGGGAGCATACAACCCCGTCTTTGAAGATCCGACGACAACTGCATATCACGGCGTTAGCGGCGGCATCATGTCACCAACCGGCGATGAGAGAGTTGGCTTGATTTACGACGCCCAACCCAACCCCGATTCCGGCTTCAGAGGAGCATCACCGCCCGCGGTGTACGGCCACCATTCACAAGACTCGCAACAATATTCATTCGATCCTCCTCCATATGGCGGTGCAGCGCGATCCCATTCACCATACAACTCATACGACCAGTCACCTCCACAGCGCCCACCACGGCCTTTCTAAGCCCATGGACAGGGAGTAGACGTCCCAGTTGATGAGACAAAAAAACAAAATTTAACACAAATATGAAAATCCGAAAGAGATCCTTTTTGCAAAACCAAACCCCAATATAGACAAGGAAGGATGAAATCTCATTCACTACTACAAATCATGACGGCTGTCTTACATCACGATACCAACGGTAGGGAGGGCGCAACAGGTGGCTGAAGGGTTTTTTGCTTCTTGCTTTTTCTTGTTTTTTTCCTTTTTCTTTTTCACCTTTTACGCATTTTTGGTTTGATATCTGAGATTTCGTCACGCTTCTTTTTTTTGCTTTTTAAGCCCACCAACGCAGCGAGAGGGGGGAAAGGAGGTATCATGGCTCTTGGTTCTTTTTTGCCCATTTGCTATTTTTTTTTTTTTTTTTTTTTTTTTTTTTCATTTTCACATTGTTCATTTATTGTTCGGCTCGGAAACGTGCGAAAAAAAGCGAGCGGGCATGTGTACATAGATGGGACAGACAGAATGGCATCGCGTGGATGTGGACTTTGGACTATTACTGGCGAATATGCCATGATGAAATAGAAACACCATTTGTTTTTGGACTGTGTTTGGGCATTTTTTTTGCGTTTTGTGATTTTTTATTCCTCGAGGGGGTGACTGTGTTCTTGTATATGATTCGACTCTTTATGGAATGGGCTGGTGTGCTTCAGATAAAGCATGGCTTGCCGTTTAGCTTCGCAAGTGGCGCCGTCCTGCAATCACGAACAAGGGGGGTGTTTACAAGTACAGTAACTTTTCTATAAATAGCAGCAACAACGTGCCGGAAATAGTTTGACGTGGAGCCTTTTTCTTTGTTTATATGGATCAGACTGAATTAGCGCATGGGTTCATTATGCTTACGGTTAATAGTATGAAATTAGCAAGGATTCTTTCAACAAATAAGCACAAGGCAGAGTGCCAGAGTGGTTAATGGGTATGACTAGAAATCATATGGTTTCGGCCTCGCAGGTTCGAATCCTGTCTCTGTCGAGGACAACGAATTCTTTTTTTGGGCTTGTCTTCTATTTTTGCGAATTTATGATGTTTGGTTAAGAAGGATTTTTTTTTTTTTTGTCTTGATGAGTTTTAAATGTTGACTAACCTTGACAACAGTCTTTGTCTTCCTGATCCTTCAAGTATACTTTGTTCCTTGAGTGTTGAACATGTCAATATCAACACCGAAAAGAGACAATAACAACATTTTGGGCAACTATTAAACCAGCATCACTTAATAACAGCATTAATCCTCAGCAAAGATCAAGTTGAAATCGCCATCACCCTGACACGCAAAACACCAATTCGGCAATTCAAAACCAATATATTTTAATCCAGCACTTGCTCTGCTGGCGCGAATCCCGCCACCCTTGGGACTTTCGCTATTCCGTGTACGCTTTATATCTGCTCAATGTCCCTTTGTTCCAATATGTACAGCTATCCAGCCAATTGTTGCCACGAGCTCCCCCCCAGCTCGTCCTCCATTATCTCAAAGCCAGTTATGCCAACGTCGGCTGCTGTCTCCCCAAATCCAAGACGCAATTATTACTAGAGCGCAAAAAAATGCCGTGAGTGCATCGTGCAATATATTATCGTGGTGAGTGCAAGTTCCGCCGGGCCCCTTCTTCGGTCGTAATCTCGCGTCGTTGTGCCGAGTTTCTTCTCATCTCGACTCCCGAGCCGAAACACGCCCATTCGGCGCCCCCCCTTTTTCTTGCCTCATGCTTCCCCCCCTGCCTTCAAAAAACAAAAAAGCTGCCAACGCCATCCTGGTATCTCGAAAGGCGACAAGACCCCAAAATCTTTTGTTTTGTCATGTGTATTCGAATCCGAACGGCGAAACTGCATATACGTGATCATGACATCGGATCTTTCTAAAATGAGAGAGAGAAAAAAGGAAAACCCTGTCCAACGCGCGAGAGGGAAAAAAAAAAAGACATAAATAACTGGGAAAGAAAACACGTATGCACACAAATGAGTTGAAAGAAAACAGGACACGCGGTTGCCCTATCAATCTTCGGGGTCCGGATTCGTGGCCCGAAGTACAGGCGGTTGGATTCGTCGCGAATAGTCATGATCGTCGCGAATGGTGTTGAGACTCTCGTGGCTACCGCGTATGTATAGTCCCTGCTTGAATGGGTCCATTCGAGGATCGATCTGGATGGTGCTATTTCGGTTGACCGCCGAAACTGGCGAAGCCGGCGAACCGCTGTTTGCACTCATTTCTGGGGGAACAGATCCCACCATGCCAGACGAGCTGCCTCGGACGCTGGGGTCATCTCGGTACTCGTCCTTATTCAGCCTTCTCCGTCGGATAAACCAGAACAGAATAGCAGCACCGAGGACCAGCAGGCCGCCGACAATGCCAACTACGATACCAACGATGGCACCGGTACCCAGCCCCGACTTTTTGCCCGAGGAGCCGTTCTGATCTGGGCTTGGGTCACCAGTTCGAGAGGCAGAGTTGTCGCTGCCATCGGTCTGCCCCGGAGTTGACGACGCAGGGTCTGTGGAGGTAGAAGACGACGTCTGTAACATATGTTAGCCGAGTTGCTCTCTCGCCGCGCATCAAGTTAGCATTCAGCATTGCGCGGTGCAAACCGCCAACTGAGACAAGTCATACAGAGGATGAGCTACTCGAGGAAGTAGTCGACGTCTCTGATGTGGAAGAGGATGAGGATGAGGCGGAGGCGGAGGTGGAAGTAGTTTTGGAGCTGGAGCCCGTTGAAGCGGATGTTGAAGCTGTGCTCTGCACCACAGTCTTAGTCACACTTTGGTCACGTCACGATGCTCTCCTGACTTGCCGGGGGATTTCAACCCCACCGGCTCCCCAGGAGAACAGATTGAACAATTTTTTCGACAAAGAAGAGGCATTACATAGGGTGTTGTTGGCCAGGCAAAGAGTTGTGCTTCCAGTTCGTAATCCGGCTCTCGCGCCATACATTCATGTTGGGTTCAAAGTGCAACAGTGGGAGCATTGCAGGAAAACAACAACAAAACTCTTGACTCACCTGAGTTGCTGTAGATGATGTAGCTGATGGGGTCTTGGTGCCCGACGGGGCGACTTCGTTTAACAAGATATAGCCGAACAGGCCAGGGCCGCCGCAAAACTCTGAGGTCCATGCCGGGCAGGGAAGGTCGCATTTTGACACTTCGCTATCCGTCGTCTTGTCAGGGTAGTAGTTGGAGCACCAGCATGAATTCTTCTGTGTGATGGCAAAGGCGTAATTCTTTTGTGAGCAGAAGCCTGTGCAAAGGCCATTCGTTTGCCATATGCTGACATCTGTTAATGGGTTAGATGGTTGGTCACGTTTTCGAATCTGCAAATGCCAAACTTACTCAACGGCGTTTCGCCTGTGTTGAAACTAGAACAAACGTCGACATCTATGGCAGAAATCCAAGTGGAAAATGCCAACAACAATAAAAGCATGTAGCCCTTTTGCAGGACGTGGCTCCCAAACGAGGCCATGGTTGATATTTGGAGGAGTAAGAGTCTTGGAGATGGCTGATCTTTAGATTGCAGACTTAAAAAGCCGTGCAAGTTTTAAAGGGCTGTTCCCTAAAAAAAAAAATCCGGTGATGACGTGACCTTCTGAGTGACTCGTCTTTTTGATCCCTTTTCGAGGGGTTCCCTTCGCTTTTTTGTCGATCCCAATGGTTTCTCAGTAACAAGCCATAACCACCTTCCTTGGTCGTTTGCTGAATCGTATACAGCACAAAGGCTGAACGAAAAAAAAAAAAAAACGCGACGGATAGGAAGCTGAGAGGCGAGAACAGAGTGAGACTTCGGTATCGTTCAGAATCGATATTCTCGAAAAGACTTCGAAGTAGTACTCGATACAGCAGTGAAGCAGTCGAGTCGGAGTGGGTGATGTCTTGGTTGAGGTCTGAGGAAAGTCTTGTTGAAATCAGAGACACAACGGCGTGTTCAGGAGCTAAGAAATCGACGGCTGGAATGCTTCGATAACAACTGTGACGTTATCGTCGAGGGCAAAGTCCGTGATTGGCGACCAGGCAGACTGGAATGTGCGGCCAGACGCAAGCAGGGCCGAGGTGATTGTCGCACGCAGCTGAAAGATCTAAAGCAGCACCAACGAGACAAACGTGACTGGCGAAAGAGCAAGACCGCTCGCAGCACCCAACAGGGATCTGTCTCAGAATCCCAAGTTTTCCAGAACGTGGTCAAAGTAAACCCGAGAAGAGAGAGAGGAAAATAAAATAAAGACAAAGACGGAGAACCAAAAAAAAAGGGAGGATGGGATGGGCGACCAGGAAGCGGAGACTGAGGAGGAAATATCTTGAGCTAAGGCTACCAAGGCTGCCTTTTGTTCAAGGTTCCGGGCTGTTGAGAGATGCCAAACCGGTCTGGGAGATGATTATCACAGCTGACGGCCCGAGCGTGGCTGCAGACTAGACGGGCAGGAAGAAGGCGACTGTCTAGTTCTGACTAAGGCGTCGAGGATGGAGATGATACGGAGTGATGGTGATGCTAGGATTGTGCCGAGTCGAGCCCGTTGTGCTGTTTTGTGCTGTGCAGCAGCGAGGCAAAGGCAACAAGCAGAGGCTGAAGGAGGTTGAAGGTGAGAGGAGGAGGAAGAAAGAGGTCTGGAGATTTCAAGGTGGTGGATGGCAAAGTACGAGTACAAGTGGAGGTACAAGTACCAGCTGCACGCTTTTCTTCCAGCCAGGCCAGGCGTCCTTACAGCATGGAGGACCCGGGGAGATCAGGCCCGAGCGCCGTTGTGACAAGTGACGGGGGGGTGGGAGGGAACTGATGATGGCGTGAGTTGACAGGCATAGAGCAGATGCACAAGAAAAGATGAAGATGCTAGCGGGATTTTTTTAAGAGTATTGCTAGGTAGGGTATCTAAGGTATCTGCCACCAAGCATCGACTCAGGAGAGATGGATGTTTGATGCTCTATTCGAGTGTCGATTCCGCTATAGGTACAGTACTTGTTCCCAAATCCTCTTGTTTTCGAGACAGGACGGTACCGGTACTTCGTAAAGGCAGCCAGCAACACCGCGCTAGCCCGTCGCAACCCCTGGCCCCATGGCGTCACTGGGGCGCTACGGGCTACGGGGCAGCAGATTGCGGCATCTGGCCAGCGGGCTAAGGGCTGCTGGACGCCGCTAAGGGCCGCTAGAGGCTGCTAGAGGCCGTGGGCTGGAGTCGCAGCAAAGCCACGGAGGTGGGAGGTTGGCTGTTGGGCCTGATGCGATGTGATGCGCTGTTTTGGCACTGCGAACCAGGTGGATGGGATTGCTGCTTTTGGTGGTCCGTTTGCGATCGAGGCGGCGATCTTGCTCAATTGATTGACCCGGCCATTGAATACGGCCGGGCCGGACTGGGGGGGTTTTGTATCTTTACTTACAGGAGAGGTACAGTACGTCTACGTATGTGTACATGTCAACGTACGCCTCTTGGGGGCTGAGACCCAGCGGTTATAGTACATCTACAGAGGTGACAGCACAGTACATGTAGGGGAGGCGAATGGATTCAAGTTCTTGGATGCTGTGTATGGATGGATGGCATAATGCATTAATGCTGCCTCGTCCTTTTATGACGCGACTATGAGGGCAGAGACTGCATAAAACGTTGCATCACCGGCATATCGTTCACAGCATCGCCACTCTCTACCTACTTACTCGTACAAGCATCTTCAACAGGTACTTACTGTATCACCATCAAATCCAGCTACCAAGTACAAGTATAGCATTTGATGCTAAACCTGCTTGACACATGCACAGTAGCTCCATTCTTCGTCAACTGAAACGGTGCGCATGGCCCCAGCTCATTGAACCCATTGCAACTATCTACTAGGTACTAATAATCTATCAAGAACTGATCCATATCAAGTCCAACAACAAAACGGAGGTTGATGGCGCTCAACTTTCGGTACGTACCGTCAGCAGCGCCGTGTCCGTCCCGTCTCTCTCACTTTGTACAGCTACAAGTACAGCTACAAGTACAGCTCAAGCTCACTAGCCCGGCACGAGGTGGCGAGAGCGAAGCGGAAGGTGCCATTGAAGCTCCCTTAGGCGTGAATTCAATTCAGGCCACGCCGCTCTTTTTCCTCGCCTCCCATCACATCAACAAACAACTCCAGCAACCGTCTTTGCTATTAAAAATCTCTCACCAGCACGCCGAACAACAAAAAAGGTCACAATGGCCGCACAGAGCCACGGGCCAGTACGAATTACGAAATGAACGGGCCACGCAGCAGAAGAAGGGAAAAAAAAAGGTCACAGCACGAGACAATACGAAACTGCTCTGCACCTGTGGCCGACGAATACGAGGCAAAGATGACGGCGTGTGGGCTGCTGCTCGTACGGAGTAACCGCCCTCAACCTCAGAGTGTGGCTCAATCGCCCAATGACGCCGAGACCCAGCGCACGTCGCATTGGTTCTGCCCTGGCCCTTGACGATTTCGACTGCCATTGACCCATGTCCAGCTGTGGCCAAGCACCAAGCTGCAGCAGCCATATCTCCACCGTGGGCATGTGCCCACTCACACACACACGCACACGCACATTCGCTTCGGACGTATGTACATGCCTGACTGCGCTATGCCGCCCGGGGCATGTACGGAGTACCTGGATCGAGGATGCGGACTGCATACGAAGTGCGGTGATGTACGATACGAAAGACGGATCACGCGGCTTCGAGGTGGAAAGGCATGCCGACTTGTCGAGTGATGGATTACTCTACCCTCTGCACCCATCCATCCGGGTTGTTGTGAGCAGGCTGATAACAAACAGCGCTACCAAGGACTACTGCTTGTGCTGGGCCCGTCCTCTTTCGAATCGGAGCCATCCAGAGACAGACAGGTCTAGGACGATCAGGGGAAGGTTCAAGGTCTGTCCTCGCCTCGCACCGGCAGCAAAAGTTTCTCAGGTCCATGACGAATAATATAATTCTGGCTGCGCGGGAAAGCCAGGGCCGGGATGTGGTTGGCAGTGGGGTTGGTGGCACCTCATTCTGGGCTTGGCCTGATCTGTTTGTCCTCTTTTTTCTGCCGCAGGAAAACGCTTCTCTTACTGTACAGCTTTTTGCCCCCTGTAGGGACCGATCGCCGATGCCTTGTCACAAGCAACATCCAAAGCACCCGTGAGGACATGGCTCCGCTAATTCTACTGTACAGACGCCTGCAAAAGAGACATACAGTGACACTTGCAGGCAATGAGACGGTCACGCTTGTGCAACAGCAGATGGCCGCTACTTTCTACTTGTATATGACCGTCTCGATGGTATTCCATGGCAAGGGCAACGTCTGATTGCCGACATCTGACAAGGGACTGCCCACTGATACCAAGTACTTGAAGCCACAACCTTGTCTGGCCATATCGGAAACATAGACAGACCCCACGTCGATGCCTTGATTTCGCTCACACCGGTGGGCCACACTCGCCGAAGACCCCCAATCGAATCTTTAGTTTGAGAAGCGAATTTACGAAACAGATCGATTTTCTAGAAAACAATTTGCCTGTGTTGTGCTATTTTTACATCAGTCGCCTCGTACTGTGCTTCCTCTCCGAAGGGCTAGATGGCGATGGCTACTCGTATGCACTCGCACACCTACGGGCATGAAGCTGTAGCCTGTAGGGGTCTGCGGATGCAGACAAAGGGTAGAGCATGGATCAGGCTTCAAGGACCTATCAACACGTCGACGCCTGTTCCCCGCATGCATTGATCTGAAAGCTCATTCGATGTCTGATAGCACCAACTCGGCAAAATAAACAAGAACATCCCCGCAAACCAAACCACGCGTCCTTACTTCCAGCCACAACATCTCAAATCTTTTCCGGGAGGGCTGCTCTCCTGCATTGGCCAATCGCAACGATATTCCCCCACGGTTCGTCTCCCCCTCATCCCAGCCTCCCAGCCTACCAACCTCCCAAATATGCAGCCTTTGGATGTGGAAAAGAGGATAGGAGGTTTCAAACCCGGACACCATCCTGCAGCGTGTTGCAAGGCCTTGCGGTGACGCAAAGACAGCCTGATAGCCTAGTGCTGTTACTGGTGGTGAGACCGTGATGCGTTTGCAACTTTTTTGTGTCGGATGTCACGGCGTTGGTCTTCCAAGTGATCGGCGCTGATAAGCGGTCGACCCGGTACCGCTACATCGTACGATTCACTTGTCTTGGACACGATGCGGGATAGGTTATGCGCATGCTCCGTACGGCAGGCGGTCGTATCGAGCACATGGCCGAGCAGCAGGTGAAATTCTTGCTCAGCATCTAAACGCAGTGGATCTCTGCCGTGTCGTGTTGACAAAGTGCCAACTCTAATACTGCCCATCCATCCTTTTCTTGGCGCCGTATGCCAAGGCGAAAAACAGAGGGTAAAAATAGGAGCATACTGTAGCTGGGCAAAGGTTCTAGATTGTCGTTGAGCCAAAGGAAAGGAAAAGTGAAAACTCCTCGATCATGTGCGCCACAGAATGACGCCTCGGTTGCCGATCTACAGGACAAGAGATCGACAAGCTAGAAAGATGGATCGTCACTAATATTGGGAGCAGCCGCAACGGGTGTTTCAAAACGCAGGGCTCCTTTCCTTTGGCAGGCTACGGCTGCCAATCGCTTATGAACAAAGGGCAGAGACCACTAACACGAAGGGGCTTCTCTCCGTGCGTATATCCGCAAGGCTCATGCTTCCATCTGCAGGCTGTGTGATGGCGTCCCGTACACATCCAAGTACGGCCCTCTTCCATGCCGCATTTGCTAGCATCACCACAGACATACAGGCTGCTAAGTGCGGTGACCAATTGGCTGCTGCCCAAGTCGCCATTTGAGAGGGATGCAACGACTTTTGCCAGTTTCTCGTTGATGTTAGCGCGGCTGCTACTGTTCCAAACTAAACGAAGCGGCTCCGTTGCTGGCGGGCCACCTTTTTGTTCAGAGTCTGGAGCAGCCCTAATGAAGAAGCACGAACATAGACCGAGTCAGCCAGGCCACTACCAAACTTTGATTCTCTCGGCTTGGGCTTTTTGTCGTTGAAACTTTACGCCGTCGTGAGCGTGTTCTGAAGCCAGATAAACGACGGCAAAGGACGCTTGCCTTTCGTGTATGACTTGTGGGGTACAAGGACAACCTTATTGCCCCGATTTCGGTTTGCAGATTTGCTCTATTTTGCTTATCGTGCAGTACGAGAATACTCACTCTCACTCCAACGCACGATGGTGAAGTACAAGTACTCGTACGAGTATAACACGAGTCTGTAAAGTACTGTACATGATTCGGAGTGGAGCTGGCTGATGCTTGGAGTTGAGGGCTTGGCTCTTCAGCCTCAGCCCCGGCGGAGTTGAGAACCTCTCGGAGCCAAAAGTTGCGAGCTTTGGCCCCTATTATCCCATTATTCCACAAAAGCGAATGGCCCGTGCTACCGGCGAGGCTTGATCGCTCCAGGGTCCATCCCTAACGCATGCAAAGTCTAAGAAAAGTGCCCAATATGGCAACATTCTCTGGCACCAGATTTTTCCCGTCCACGAAACCCGGAGCTGAGCTTCCCCCGCGCCGCGCCAGCTAACGCCCGCGAATACGAGAAGACGCTTGGACTATTGACGGCAACGGTCTGCTCTAAATTGCAGTAGCGCCGTGGCTCGGAGGCATGGCAGCTGGTTGGCAAAGTTTGGACAGAAACTGAACCCCGGATTCGACAGAAAAGGACGGCTTTTTGTTACGCTGCACTCGGTGTGATAAGGCATATATGGTTCCCGTGACGAGATGAGAAGACGAATATGGACAAGGTCTAGAGGGATTAGCTGACCGTACCAAACGCTACGAGTCGGTACAATTGCCGGATGGAGAGTTGATTCGTAACCCTAGTCAACTACGGCTTTGAAAGTAAGGGGGTAAGTGAGATCTGATACGCCGTGCATGCTGGTAGATTCTGGCTATAGAGAGATAGGCTTGGCAGGAGGTTGATGGGGAGTGTACGGGATTAGCTTTTTGACCTGGCAGGCGGTTTTGTCAAGACAGTACGATGAAGCTGTCACAGCTGCGTACATGATATTCTACTGGTAAGACCTTGGTCGTTGCTTGGGGGACTATGAGCATGAGCATGAGCATGAGCATGAGCATGAGTATGAAGCTCCCTATAATACGGAGTGGCAGATGACAGCAAAGTTTGGCAGGGGAGTGGCTGCGATTTGCTACACGTGGGGTGAGTTGCTCGACTTGATAAGCCAGCTGCTGTGCAAGCCAGTGTTGGATCTTGGCAAAGCTGTCAAGTGTCTTAAAAAAAACAGAGTTGACGTGAGCTATTTTATACTTTCGGCTCCGTTGTTGACACGATACGGGATGGCATTTCGAGAGAGCCGTCAATCTTCGTATTAGAATTGTCGATTTGCTCAGTGCCAACTCACTTGTTAAGGTGCCAGGTTCCGTGAGTGATAGATAGCGGCGCATCTTCGGGACCCGATAAGTCCAACCTCCGGCTACGGGCGGCATCGCAATCGCAATCGCGTCGCATCGCAATCGTCACTCTGCAAACAAGCAAACAAATAATCCATCCAATCCGCCCATCAATCAGCATTGTATTACACTCTGGTGAAACCTGCATTGCTGTTTTGTGCAAGGGATCAAAAGACAACACCAACCTTCTTCGATGCGGGTCACGCATGTGACCGTTTGCCGCAGCCCTCGAGTCTGACCTGAATCAACCATCCATCTCGACTCCTCAACAACTCTTCGATACAACTCATCTCCAACCAGCGGTTACACCTGTCGAACCATCCTATCCTCCTCTTCATCCAAATCCTCTACCAACCGCCATCATGGGCGCCATATCCCTCCCCATCAAACCCCTCAAACCCGCTCCTCGCCGCCGCCAACTCCCGCTCCTCATGACCATCTGCATCCTCGGCGCCATGGCCCTCTTCTACATCCTCCTCGCCATTGCGCCCTGCATGGTCGGCGCGACATGCTACAGAGGCTATCAGTCCGCTTACAGCTTCGATGCAGGCGATGATATGCATCCCGACTGGATGGGCAAGATCCCGGATAGCGTCCATCTCACCAGCTTGAGCATCCCTGGCACCCACGATACCATGACGTACGAGATTGGGTCCGAGCAGCTGCAGTGCCAGAACTGGAATCTCAGCATGCAGCTGAACAGCGGGCTGCGATATCTCGATATTAGAGCGAGGTTGAGGGACGACGAGCTGCACATTTATCACGCGAACGGGTACACGGGCTTCGGCTACGAGCAGGTCCTCCTCGACATCTTCGCGTTCCTGGATGCCCATCCCTCCGAGACAATCATAATGCGCCTCAAGGAGGAAGGCTCTCCCATCGGCTCCAACAACTCCATCTCCTTCGAAGACGCCTTCAACTACCACCACTTCTCCTCCCCCGTCACCGCGCCCGGCTCTGCGAAGCATCTCCATAAATACGATTTCGCCGCTCCTATTCCTACTCTCGGTGCGCTCCGCTCCAAGATATTCATTCTACAAAACTTTGACGCTCGTGATGGCCCATATGGTCTTCGCTGGGAAGGCCCGGAGATGATCCTGGAAGATCTATGGGTCATCCCAGACGTGTACCACCTCTCTGAGAAATGGACCGCTATCCGCGACGCTCTCGAATACGCTGCGCTATCGCCGGATGATAACCGCTACCTCTACTTGGCGCATACATCCGCCTCGGTGGGCGTTCTCCCCATCGAAGCTGCTGCTGGACCGATGAACAGGACGATCCAGGGCATGAATGACATGACGGGACAGTATCTCGAGGACGCTTCCGGCAACGATGATTTGGCAAGGGTTGGCGTGGTGATTATCGATTTTCCAGGAAAGAAGCTGATTAAGACGGTTTTGAGCTGGAATGCCTGGCTGAATTGATTGTACTTGGCATTTACACATTGGGTTTTGCATTCTTTGAGCTGAGACATGGCGTTTGTTATTTGGATCGACTACTACATACATACATACATACATACTCTCACGTACACACGATATATATGCTACAGATAGCTGGGGCACTGGGAACTAGAGCAGGGCTTGGAATTTAGATACAAATCTCTTGGATAAACCAGACCAAACCAAACCAAACCAAAATGGACTCGTATATACCCATACACACATACATACATACACATGGCATCGAGTTAGATCCATTGCTCATTGTCTCCCACTATCCATCCATCCGCCCGTCCCACCATCCATACATTCCCTCCATCCCCCCTCCCACGAACCTATCCTAGGCTATATACAAGAAATAGCATCCAACCCTCCAAAAAGAAAGAACGCTCAGTTACATTTTGCAAAACGAGAGAAGATGTGGTAACAAACTCCAAGATGTCTCCCGACCGTATGCATATCCCGCTAGAAAACCCCTTAAATTACCCTTATAAAAAATCCAATATCCCGAGTCCGCCCCTCCCTCCAATCCTGGTTATTACCGTCTGAGATCCTCACTTCGCAGGGACTTCTTGCTCTTGATACTCCGTATGCCCGGTGTGCCTGCTCTGCTGACTGATGGACTAGTCTCCTTACTCGGGGTATTGCTTTGGCTCTCGATACGATCCACCATTTGCAGCACCCTCGTCTTGGGACGTTCAAATGTCATGGCCTCGGCTGTGTAAACGCTCGCCGACCTGGCAAATGACACATCCGTTGCTATTGAGAGCCGTCTCTCGCTCCTCGACATGTCTGTTACTACCGAAAGCGGCCGTTCAATCATCTCGCCCCTCTCACTTCCCTCGCTCTTCTCTTCATAGTCATCCTGGTTGATTCTTAGGAAACCGTCGTCGCGATCGCCTTCGTGCACGGGCACGCCTCCACCCTCGTCATCGTGGTGAGAGCTGAGCTTGCTGCCGCTGCGAAGCGAAGGAGTAACCATGGATAATCTCTTATCCATGTCGACAAGCTCGGCCGTCTGTGGCATGTGAAGAGGCTGCCTTTCATCCATACTTGTTCCGTCGTCAAGGTCGTCGGCATTCACAACGCGAAGGCGCTCCTTGGGGACAGTGAACATGACTTGTACGAGGCGGTTCTCCACGGCTCTTTCAATATCCCATTCGTTCTCCTGAGCACCACTGCCTTCCCCGCTTTCCCAGTCTTGGCGACCTTGCTTCCTTCTAAGAAGCTCGCTACCCAGAGCTGCAAGAGGGGGTTCGTAGTCGTGGCTCAGCATGTCTGTTGATATCTCTCGCTGAGGAGATCGGTCTCGAACAGACAAGTCTCCCGAGGTAGATTCTGAGCCAGAAAAGACGCGTCTAAGCGAACCTAACCAGCTTCGTCGAGGAGGCTTAGCCTTTGATGGCGAGCTGGGCTGTAATTCGTCATCTTCGAACGGACTTGATGGCGTTGTTCTGCCAAGCAACAAATTGGGTCCTTCTGCCTGTAACGCGCCGAATCCTGATTTTGCTGTGTTGTAGCTGCTTGAAGAGGAGCTACCAGGCTTGCCCGGCTCCGTGGTAGGTGCCGATGAACCTCCAAACAGGCCAGCTGAAGCAATAATGGCGGACCACCGGCCGGAGCTGGACCGACCTAGACCGTCTGCCGCACTGCGATTCGATTCGGATAAGCCAGATTCCGTACGAAGATCATCTTCTCGTGCACCGGATGAGCGCTGGGAGTTTCGCCGTGTAGGAGATCCACGACCCTGTGCTTGACGAGTACTGTTATATCTCGCCAGCATGGCGTCTGCCGCATCGACATCAGACACCCAGTCTTGCACATCTGGATCGTGTTGAAAGGGGCCGTCTGTGCTTGGACCAGCCGTGCTTTGGCCAGGAGGCGGAGGCTGGAACACTGGCAGACCCCCTGAAGCAACGGCGACTGTTGGCGTTAGGAATGGATCAGAATACGCGTCCGAAGTCGGGGTGGTGACTTCAACAGGATGGACGCGCTGGTAAGCCAGATCCTCCTCGTCATCCTCCATAATAGGGTGGATTTGACCCGGAGTAGATACAAAGTTATTCAGCTGGTTTGCCGGCACATAACCGCCACGAAGCTGCCTGGACACTGGCTTTCTCGCAACCCCCGGTACGACGGGAGCATAGCCGCCATATGAGCCGCGCAGGTTCTCGTACCCAGCGGATCGGTCGTTCCCTCCAGTGCGATATGGATCCTGGCCGCCATTATACCAGCTGCTATAACTATAACCCCAGGGGAAAACATCCTCCCGCTCAGTCATGTCAACAGAGTCGTGGATAAACATGCTGGCGTCCTGGGCCATACCCCTGATTGTCTCCTCACGAGCGGCTCGTCTCCTCTGCCTCTTACGGAAGCAGACACAGGTGGCCATGGCCAAACCAAGGAGAACCAGTCCGCCACCGACGCCAAATCCAATACTTAACCCCAAAACTTTGGACTTGGAGGAATCAGCAGCTGTGTTAGGGGCGGCATGGGGACTTTTGCCGTCAGCATCGGCCGGAGTAGGATTCGCATAGGATGTTGCCCAGGTCAAGTCGGTCAAATTTAAGAATTGCGGCGCTGTGGTGACGCCAGCTTGTCGTTTCATCTTGCTTGACGAGTCAGAATCGCTAATCTGCCAGCCTCCGTATATCATCATAATATTTCCAGGCAGGATAGCGGCGCCGTGTCCATAGATGCCGGAGGCTCCAAAAGCTGGCTGTTGTTTCGGTATGGTCCATCTCCATGAATCGTATGCCTGGCCCATTTCCAAGATGGCAAGCTGTGGCTCCGCGGCATTCGTCACATCGCCGACCCAGCCTCCCAACACGATAATCGATTGCCCATCCTGGCTCAAAATGGCTGTATGACCGGATCGACTCTCTACACCATCGGGGCTGTCAGTCGATTGTTGAACGTTTACGTATGACCAAGACTCCTCGGGGAGATTCCACACAGCAGCGGTGCTCATATTGATGAAGGCTTGCTTGGTATGACCGCCGATAATGACGTACGCGGTTTGTTGTGTGACCGTCCCAGAGTTGTTGCTCATCGCGCTTTGCAGCGCGGTGAGACTGAAGCCGGCTATGGGCGTTTTGGGTCCAGAGTTTGAGGCAGTACCCTGAGCATACGACTTGGATGAAGGGCTGTTATCAGCTGGCGTGAGAGTCATCATGCCGGTAGTATAATTGGCCGCAGACTGCCAATCCTTTGAGCTATCCGAGGGCGTATCGCACATGCCACCATACGAGTATATTGTCGGTTCATCCAGGAGGGGGGCCAGTGTCCCGGAAAAGGCGATTGTTCCTCCAAGAAAGTACGGCCCTCTCGACGACTTGCTCGATTGCGACTTGCCTAGTGTTGTCGCGTGCTTCACCCAAGACGCATTACCGCTCGCCCCTGAGGCCGCTCCCTCTCCATACATCCACACATTTCCTGGTCCTTGGTCACATTCTCCAGAGTATACCAGTACGGCGCCTTCTTCTGTCCTCACTGCCCCGAATGCTGTGTTCTTTGGATTGTCTCCACCCAAGAAAGGCAGGCTCTCCTTTGAAACGGGTGTCAGCCTGGCGGCGTCTGCTGCAACCCTGCTCGAAATGTTCAGCGAATAGAACTGTACATTGTCGCTGCTATCCTGGGTAAGGATGTAGGCCACCTCCGGGTTATGGCACGCGCTCTTGTTGAAGCACGCATCGGGTGTGAGAATCTGCGTGGGAACATAGGGGAAGCTCTGCGCAGCGGCCAGCAATGGAGCTCCCAAGAGCAAAGCCGCAGACCAGATGAAGCGACCGGATCGCGCCAGGCCTGATGTTGCGCGATGCGGCTGCGCGTGTCCGCGAGCAAACGGCTCTGGTTGTACGGCCATTGATTGGGTTCGCACCGAGATCTCGCTCCCGTCTCCCCGAATATTTTTTTTCCTAGTGTTTTCTTGGGATCGTTTGCCTTGTTCGCTTGTCGATCATATCATCGTGGCATGTCGATCCCTCGCAGGCTTGTCCTTGTCGCAATCGTGAGTGTCGTCTTCGTCCGCTTTTCCCGCTCTTCTTGTCGATATCGTCCGCGCGTCTCGTCTGTTTAGAATCGCATCCACCGCCCGTGCCGAGTAAATAGTGGTGCTGCCGCAGCTCCCCCACAGAGGATCGAGGATGTGCAGTAGGCGAAGCTGGAGTTGAGGGTCCAATCCAATCCGAGAGCCAATCTCTCAGGTCTCACAACGCGAGACGAGGCAGAAGATGCTAGGAAATGAGATAAAGGAAATAAAATTAACAAAGTATTAGGGAGATCAGCTTCTTGTGCTCCAGCTCGACTCGCACCAAACGCAAGCTGAAGCTCTTTGTCACGGCCGCGAGAGTTGGCCAAGGCAAGACGCAGGGACCTTTACGAGAAGCAAGCAAGCAAGCAAAAAGAAACATACACAAAGCGGTGGGCTGCACCCCGGCATTTAGCGCTGGTCTTTTACAGGCAGTACTTCCTTCCTACTGTATGTAATGTAACAACAGTGCTGCACCGTACAGAACCGTACAGAAGGAAGGCGCAGCACACGGTTGCTTGACGGATTGGGATTGTCAACAAGGGGGGCAGGAGCCAGGCAATGCCAGGCCAGGCCAGTCCCGCCGATACAGGCGAGGGAAAGAGCTAACATGTGCACCTGCAGGCGGAAGGCGGCCGTTGTTTCCGTGGTTGAGCTGCACGAAGCTTTAGCCGCTGACCATTGAACGACTAGCAGGCAGTGGGTGCTGGAGCCGCTGCAACGTCTGTACATGTAATTTAACGGACTGCTACGTTTCCAAGACACCTTCATTTACAAGCTTTTTAGAGTTGCCGCTGTCATAAAAGAGGCTATAAAAGTACATAATTGCAATGGATGCATATAAAATCTCCATACTCAACTTCATTGCTCTTCATTATCCATCATCACACATCTGACGCCCGTCCGTCAAATTCTCATCATATCATGCGCCTCCCCACAAACTCCATTTGTTGTCATAGTCCTACCGCCGTTGCCGGGAGCAACCAAAGCTTGGCCTCATCCTGTTTCCCGCCACGGCTTAGCGGGGCGCGGCGTTAATTGATAGTGTCCCCAGATTGGGATATCAGCAAGTTTTTTTGTCTGGCCGGGCGCTATTCGGGGTATTAGCCAGCATTATACAGCGTGTTATATATGCGTACCTTACTCGTAACTCATTCTACTGTATCCATCTTACTCAAAACACCTAAAAATACATATTTTCGTCTTCAAAATAGTAGTCCAGCACCTTTTAAAACCCCGCTGCCTCGAGTATCGCAGCCACTCCCTTTTTCTCCTGTTGCTGTGTTAGTCCAACTGCTGTTTTGGGCAAATCGGGGCCCAGCCACCTATCAGCACATGTGATGCAACGAGGGGCTGGGGCTGCCACTCTATCTTCCGTCTGCCACACCTAAACAGCTGAGAGCAGCCAATCGAAGGCCGCTGTCAAACAAGATGGCTGGTAATGGCGTGCAGATGAGTTGCAGCCCATGCCATTGGACGTCTTCCATCTCGATATGACACGGCGTTGCATATCTGTTTCACATACGGAGTAATATACTCTATCAGATATACGCTCTCTCTCCCCATTCACGCGTATCGTGTCCCATACTATCATATCAGCTGCTCGCGCTGACACGCATCTTCCCCGTCTCTCGCCTCAGCCCCCACCTGGGAAATGACGAGAGCCTAGAACCGCCGGGTCACCGTTGAGCTAGCAGGGAACACGCGGCAGGGCAAACCTGAAGCTCTGATGTTTGGGCTTGTCTGTGCTTTGTATCGGCTCAGGTCAGACAACACCAATGCATCAACTGAGACATGCCTTGTTCACAATTATACTGTTTATATTCAACATTACGGGTGTATCAAGCAAAAAATGCACATAGCCTGCGTGTCCTGGCCGGATACAACATCAACTAGCTGTCTTCATCTAATCCAATGCTCCGTCAGCCTCGTTCGTGTACTCCCCAGATGATATCATGCTCAGTCCTATCCATACGACCATAAATAAGATATTATTTCCTCTTTTCGTCTTAACAAAACCGCCAAAATTCAATAAAAAAAAACAGGCCAGACGCACTGCAGGCTAAACGAAAAAAAAAAAAAATGGAAGGGGTATCAAGTAATAAGCCGCCTAATAGTGAATCTTTTCTTCCCAGATGGGTGGTCGAGCCCCTTCCGAATCCCACGTAATGTGGTTCTTCTCATCGAGCACTGCGCCTTCATCCGTGATGGGAATCACCTTGCTTGACTCAGCAACCTCCTGCTTGGACAAGCCCGCAGGGTCTGAGGGGATCCAAAGGATTGGAGTCTTGCTCGAGACAGATGGCGGCAAGTATGCTTCATCGGCGACGTCATCAGTGTAGTGGATGGGCTCCGCTAGGTGCTCTTCCTTGATAAACAGCTCGCGCAGTGTAGCATAATCCGCGTATATCCATGGCTGGAGGAACTTGAGAATAAAGTTGCCCTTCTTGCCAGATGCATCCAGGGGTGGTTTAGGGGCAGGTGCCTTGGCGGCAGTGTCATCGTGAGAAATGTTGTTGGAGGCCAAGCCTTCCTCAATGCTAGTGCCAGTTCCATTGGCAGCAGCACGCAGCTGGATAAGCTCTTCTTCGGCTTGCAGACTTCGTGGCAGGCCGTAGAGGAGCGGATCGAGCGTTCTCGACAGCGTCAGGTGATACAGGATGGTGAAACCCAGGAAAATAGCCATCAGGACGGCAGGTCCAGCAGCCTTAGAAACGGCAAAAAGACCGACCATGCAAATCTCGGCCAGGTAAATTCCGGCAAACAGCTGCTTCAAAGCACGGGGGTAGATCAATCCATGAGTGTCGATTTGCGTCTCCGTAACAAACAGGATATTGTATCGGTAGGCGAGATAGAACAATCCCATACCAATGGTTGACCAAAACAGGATCAAAGGAGCAATAATCGAATAGGTGATGCCTATCATATGTTAGCAGATGTATTTAATAGGTAAGAAAGGAAGCCACAAGGCACATACTAATGACAGCAATGTTGGTATATACTGGGAGAACGCTGCCCCAAGAAATGGCGCTGAGGCTGGTCCACTTCTTGTACATGGCTCGGGGTGTCTTGGCTAAAAACTTGTACAGCAGTGTAAAGACGAAGAAGCCGACAACTTGAGTAACGACACTGGTCGCGATGGTGAGACCCTGAACGATAAAGTAGGAAATGTAGAAATTAGATGCCGTAGGCAGAGATGAAGAGAGAATGTTAAAGACTTGTTGCGGCTGTTGGGCGATCTGAACAAGGGCCGTCGAAGCTGCGTTGGTCAAGGTTTGGATCAAAAACACCTGGATGAGCTGGAAGAAAAAGTACGAGTTCTGGGTGAACAGCTCGACACGAGACTGAGAAACTTCACCAGCGAGTCTGGCACAGAGACGCATGATGACAGGGACCAACGACATGAGGATGGACAGAGCCACTGCTGGGAGCAAGCCTGAAATAACTCCGAGGATGGGCTTGGGAATATCACCAATCCAAGTCAAACCAGGAATGTTCTTCAACGTGTTCACCTGGGCAATCAAGCCAACAATACCGACGGGAATGGCCCAGAAGATGATGAGAGCGGCAATAAAGCCGTAGACTGCATAGTGGCGGATGATAACCTGCCACCAGGGGAGGGTCAAGCTCTTCCAAACAATCTCAGCGGGCTGGATGCCAATGGCTTTGGGTTCCATGTGCAGGGCTTGGTGGTGAGTAACGGATTGGAATGCGTATTGGGCGTCGCCTTGGGTTTCGAATTCGACAAAAACGGCGCGGACTTTCTCATAGTTGCCCGCTCTCCAGTCAGCCTGAGCCTTTTCGACCTCGGGGACCAGGCGCTGCAGCTCGGAGCGGCTCCATTCGATGGTGTCGACCTTTTCGCCAACCAGACCAAGGAAGCCAAGTCGGTGTTGCGGGCGATCCTTGTCTTGAATCCAGCGAGAAGCAATATTGCCCGTCTCGACATCGCCGTCTTCGGACGCAGGGCCCTCGGGCTGGGTTTCTCCCTTCTTCGTGGCCTTGATGCGAGCCTTGTTGACCGCTGTCAGGAGGCCGATTTCGCCCTTTTCAAGCTTCATGGCGGCCTCGTCTCGCTTCTCCACCAGCTCGTCGAGCTCATCCGTCTTGCCGCAGACCCAGACCCTCTTGACATTGTCGAACATGCTACGAATGCGCTCTTCGCTATTGTATTCATCCGGAACCGAGGTAAACAGCACGGTGCGGGCAGAAATTCGTTTGGCGTTGTGGGGGTTGATGTGATGAGCCTGGCGCAGATTAATGTAGAAGATGCACTCGCGTGTAATCATGTACATGAGAAAGCCGTAAACAACCCAGCCGACAAACGTGTGGGCGTAGAGGTAGTTCTTATGCTGCTCGATGTCAACATTGCTGTACGACAGAATTTCGAGCTGGGTCAGGCCTTTGCCTCCGGTGGCGTTGACGGGGAACAGAATAGGCCATGTAATGAGAAGGCTGACGAAACAGATGACGAAGCAAATGCGCAGATATCGAAGGAAGAGATAGGCGTCGAGGCTCTGGTGAGTGAGAACGTAGGCATCGGGGATCTTCCAAAAGGCCGAAACCCAAGTCAGTAGATTGCTGGGTATACTTGGTGTTCGTTCACTATTATGTGTCAGTTTACCTCCTCCCTGTCTATCGCCCTGTTTACTTCCTACTCACTCTTCGCGTAAAGACCCTAAATACGTACGCGGCGCATAGTAACGCCGCTGAGATCTTCTTAGGAATAAGAAGATGGCAATGTATATGCATGATACTATCAGTACAGGGACGAGAGTATCAAGCATGCCTATGATCAAACACAAGATCAGTCAGCCTTATGTCGGCAACATATTTCCTTCCAGCGAAGCCTCGACTCACCCCATGCTGATTCTGGCTGAGATTCCCGGGCCGATCCCTGATTGGAGTCGGGAGCCAGATTCTCGTTGAGCCAACTGATAAAGTTGCCCATCTTGACGACGTCGTGCTCGCAGCCGTTGCCGCGCGCGTCAGGAGGTGCTCGATGCTTTGACGGAGATACTCGAGATGCCTCGTCGTCGTGATCGGTAAAAAGATAAAAAGGGCGGATTGAATTGAATGAATGTGAATGCCGAGTGCAAGGTGCAAGCTCCGAGTGGGCAAGGCAGGGATTTGTGAGATTAAACAAAGATTGCCAAGTGGAGAGAGAAAAGGGAAGACAAGCGTCTAATAACACCAGCCGAGAGTACAAAAGTATTGTACCTGTCTGGCACTCTTGACTTTAGTACAAGATTGATCAACAATCGATCTCTCGATGGTGGCACAGACGGACAGGGAAGGCGAGTCCCGATGTCTTCAGCGGCAGTGGATGCCGAACGATGGCTAAACGCGTATTCCGTCGAGAAAGGTACGAGGTTGTGCTCCCCTTAACTAGCAGGTAGCATATCCTTTCTTCTCTTGTGCTTGGCTTTTTCCTGTCCCTCTTCCGGGCCTCTTTTTTTTTTTTTTCCTCCTGAGCTGGACCTGATGAGTTGGCTGTGGCACTAATAAGTCTCTGTCTCAGCCAGCCAAGGACCCGGCTGCGGCGCCAACTTGCCGATCTAGCCTATGTGGGCCGATAAAAAAGCTGTCTGTCTTCTCAAGAGCTTGGTTGGAAAAGGGAGGGATCGGATCCAAAATCTTGCATGTGTCCAGCTGCTATTGGAGCTTGTGCGTATGTGGCTTGGCGGTAACGAGCGGATGGCCGTGCCAGACGGCCGATAGCGAGCGGTGATGGAGAGGTGGGAAGAAGACGAGGCAGAGACACGGATTGGAGGACAAGACAAGCAAGTTGAGACTCTTTGCCGCTTCGCCATATGCAATTATTCGCATGCGCCTCCCTCCTTGCAACCCAGACCCAAGGCTGCTCCTCCAAGGCCGCCGGCAATTTTAGAAATTTTCTCGTCATTCTCTTCCTACCTGTGCACCGAGTTTCAACTCATCTCATTTCCCAGGAGGGGGTCACCGTTCGATAACTCAATGGGGTCGTCGCTTGTGGGTTCAGCCCCCTGTTCGGCTGGGTTTAGCTTGAACTTGGCTTGCAGTCGATCCCTGCTCAGCTGTGGTTTTGTGGGCCGAGGGACGGCAGAAGCGTGGGCGTCACACGCAGACGGGTTACCTCAATCTCGTCATACCCTTGGGCTGCCAAAACCCGGTTTTGGAGCCGGTCCGTGGCCACGCGTTGATTATCTCAAGGCTGCTGCGCTGAGGGTGTTGCGGCCAGACTGCATGGATGAATCAGTATGATGCTGTCGCGCATGAGTTGAAATGATGTAGACCATGTCTTTCCTCGGAGTTGATTAATTGGCTCATCTTGCCGAAAGGAATAAGCTTTGAGAGCGGTTTTTAGTCTCCGGCTCGTTGCGAATTCGCCGTGGCGTCAGTTCCTTTCAATTCCCCACGAGCACGGGCAAAGATTGAAGACAAAATCTTCAGTCATGGCGTCAAGCAAAGGCCTATGCCCCCACGGGTATCCAAATCATTGGAAGCCCCGGCAAGCTACCTAGGTAGTATCACATATGAGTACAAATATGCTCACTGCTCGTGTTTATGATAACTGAATGCCAAGTGCCATGCTCGTACAGTGCTGTGCTCACGGAGATATGCATCTCACCATTTCACATCAGCTCCGGATGATGTTAGTGAGTACGGCCGAATTGGTTCGCCTAGCCAAAGGTTGCAGCCGCAGTTTTGCAATTATCCGCCCATTGTCTCACGCAACATATGCTGCCAAACGCATTGAGTTTGGATTTAGAGGCCGTCTAATGTTAGTACCTCTTATCCAGATGAGATTCTGACCACGGGAAAACGACATCCCTTTCTTCAATGGCATTTCACATGTTGTTGGTCGGCCATCACATCACTTTACACGTATAATCCGATTCATGCCGATCTAGTGACCCCAGACCCCCGACTCAAGATCGAGCTCTCTGATGAGTTGTGCTGTTGCTTGTACAGTGTGGGTGGTTCCACACCAACTTCTAAGCGTCATCAGCTTCTCATGGTTCGATGACCTGCACAAGATCAAGTGACCTGTAGATTTCTGCGTCGGACAAACATCGGCTCTCCAGACAGCCTTCTTGGACGCGAACCAAGACGCAGTCCAGCTGAATAACGACAAAACAAGAGGTTCTAGACTATGATTCCAGGGTAGCGTCAGGCTGGATACATGTATGCATGCATGCATATGTACAGCCCCCAAAGATAAACCTGTTTCGATTCAATAAAATCATGGGAAAATAACCTAATAGCAAGCTCTTAGTGCGCTCCTGAGAATTACGGGGAGTTGAACCTATTTACGACAGAAATGCCGCTGACTTTTGTCCCAACCGCGCTGTTTAGGTGCAGAATATAATTCACCCATCTGCAGGTTTCCATTACCTTACAGCCACCATTTGATGAATACATGTATATTTTGGACGGTAACTCTTGCCCATTTATCATTATGGCTGCCTGATAGGTACTCGTATGTCAAATGTGCTCAGCCGCGCCGAAGTAGCCTGCAAGAGCGCCTTACCACCGCTGCATCTTTCATTGGATATATATATCAACATATCATTTTTACTCGGTCGGACTCTTACTAGTCTCCCACGCCTCATTCCGAATGGTCATTTGTAGATCCAAAAAGTAGCACTGGATTGGCTGGAAGAGCCTTTGTAAAATGCCACCCTGGACTCTACATGCTGGGCTCATTTATGCCCAACATCTTACGCGACATTCTTGAGGCTGAGTACAGAATGGAACATCGTGTTTCTCTCCAGTTCTCTTCTACCAAAATAATGTTATAAGACATTGGCTTCTGATCCTTCATTGAGGGACCACCTTTACTCTCGACCACAAAACTCTATACTTGCGAAAATGTCAAAGCGACGTAATGAGACCGAAGATGAGCATACGTCCCTCGATGCAAAAAGGACCAAGATAGGCAGTCCTTCCGAACCGACCGTTTTTAACCATGCCGACTATACAATTGGATGGATTTGCGCATTGCCAAAGGAGCAAACTGCAGCAATTGCCATGCTGGACCGAGAGCACCCGGATCTTCCACCCCCCGACAATGATGACAATGTCTATACTTTAGGGTCAATTGGCGGGCACAATGTCGTTATAACCTGTCTACCAAAAGGGAGATACGGTACCAATTCTGCGGCGACAGTCGCGAAAAATATGATTGGCTCCTTTCCCTCCATCAAATTCGAGCTATTAGTTGGCATTGGAGGCGGCATCCCATCCAAGGTTCGACTCGGGGATGTTGTGGTCAGCGCGCCAACTGATCAATACCCAGGAGTTGTTCAATGGGATTTAGGTAAAGCGGAAGATGGCGGCAAATTTCGACGAATTGGAGCATTGAATAGCCCACCGAATGCCCTTCTCAAAGTCTTGTCGAAGTTGGAGTCCGAAAATGAGATGCAAGGATCCAAGATTCCCGGCTTCTTAGATGAGATGAAACAGAAGTGGCCGAAATTATATCCAAAATACTTCTGGAATGCTTCCCTCAGAGATCCTCAAGGCAAAGGTAGCGAAGGGGCAGCAAATACGACAGCGGATAGCGCGATTGATGAGCCTCGGATGAGATGCCCAGACATCCACTACGGCTTGATCGCGTCCGGTAACCAAGTCATCAAGGACGCTACAGTCCGAGACTGCCTTGATGGAGATCTAGACGGAAATGTACTGTGCATTGAGATGGAAGCAGCAGGATTAATGAACAACTTTCCCTGTCTCGTTGTCCGAGGTATTTGTGATTATGCAGACTCGAGTAAGAATAAGGATTGGCAAGAGTATGCAGCAGCTGTAGCAGCAGCTTGTGCGAAGGAAATTCTTTCTGTGCTACCAGTACAGGTGGTAAAGCGAATGGGTTCAGTTAAAGGTAATAACTTTGGGCATCTATATATGTCCACCTATGTACGGTCATCCACACTTACCAACTGCTAACTGCGTCTTGGCTAGATATATTGTGGAGTATCAATGCTGAACTTGGAATCATTCGGACAACATGCAGTGAAATTGTATCTCGACAAGACAATAAAGCCTACACAGACTTTCTAGAGTCTCTGACGCCCGTCGACTATACTTTACAGCAAAAGGATAGTTTCAGCAAGTGGCAACCTGGAACTTGCCAATGGCTTCTAAGCTCTGGCATATACCGAGATTGGGTTGATACCAGTCAGCAAACCTTGTTCTGCCCAGGAATTCCAGGAGCTGGGAAAACTATCCTTACATCTGTTATAATTAACAATCTTTATGAAAGATTAAAGAAAGGCAGTAAAGTAGGAATTGCCTACCTCTACTGCAATTTTTGGCAACACGCTAAGCAGGAACTCTATGATCTATTGATAAGCCTAGTGAAACAACTGGCTCTTGGCATTGACGATCTACCAAAAGATGCTAAGAAGATCATTGATGATTATAAAGCAAATAAACAACGCCCATCGCTGGATGCTATAAAAAATCTTCTTCAATATATTGCAGCGTCATATTCGAGAGTATTTATCCTTATTGATGCTCTGGATGAATGCCAGGAATCAGGTGGTTGCCGAACAAATCTTCTGGATGAGATTTTTTTTCTGCAGGAGAGAGAAAAAGTGAATATTTTTGCAACTTCGAGATTCATTCCAGAAATTACAGAAAAGTTCAGGGATTGCAAATGCATCAAAATTCGGGCGATCAAAGAAGATGTGCAAATTTATGTACAAGATCAATTGAAAAGAGGCCATATGGAGCACCTACCGTCTCTAATCGAGAGTAAGCCGGCACTAAAAGACGCGATAATAAGAGAAATATCGGATGCTGTTGATGGAATGTATGTCTTGAGATTAATGATCTTTAAATAGCATATACAATTGCTAACATTCTCTAGGTTTCTCTTGGCAAAGATATATCTCGATACACTCGTTGATAAAGTCACCATCGCAGACGTTAGAATGGCAGTGGCACAATTACCCAAGCAAATGGCAGGATCTGGAGAATCTCAGAGACTAAAAGTTGTGAACCAGGCATACGAATTGGCCTGGGAAAGAATAAATGGACAACAAGAGGGATTTCGGGACATCGCCACGCGGGTTCTTGCGTGGATCGCCTGTGCAAAGAGACCATTACACACGTGGGAGCTTCAGCATGCGCTCGCAGTCAAAGTCGGTATGAAAGAAATCGATAAAGACGCCATCCCACAGGTTCATGACATGATATCATTCTGTGCAGGGTTAGTCACAATTGATGAAGAGAGCAATGTCATCAGACCAGTGCACTACACAACGCAGGAGTATATCAAGACGAAGAAAAGCGACTGGTTCCCCAATCCGGAGATAATGATTACGGAAACCTGCATTACATACCTTTCATTTACGGCCTTTGAAAAATGTTTCCTTGACAGGTCTCGCCTACATTACTTGCTGCGCTCCCACGACTTTTACTTGTATGCTAGTCGGTTTTGGGGCGAACACACACGTCTTGTCGGAAAGGAACTGGATAAGAATGTCCTGGAGTTTCTCATGAATGAGGTTAAGATATTCAATGCCTATCATGCAATGCAACAGCAACAACCGGGGGAATACCGAGACTTGGAGGCTTTCCCAGCAAAGTTTAGTCTACATCATGCTGTGCACTTTGGGTTCGACAAAGCAATCAATTTGCTACTCAAGAAAGGGTGTGACATAAACGGGCTCCATGGGGCTACAGTGACGCCGCTGCGGCTAGCTATTAGCGAGGGAAATATAGACATTGCCGAGCTGTTACTTGACAATGGAGCTCATCTTGGTTTTGAGAGTGGCCACAGCCCACCTTATTTGCGCATTGCTATGGACCCGAAGAGATATAACGAAGGATTTGTCAAGAAACTTATTGAAAGGGGAATTGAACTCGGAGAAGATATTTCGGGGTACATGGCGTCCGCTGCCAAATTCGGCCACGAAGCTATCGTTGCGTTCCTGCTCCAAAAATGCGCCATGCCTGAGGGAGAAGGTATCCCAGACGAGATTCCGCTACACTTAGCAATTATTAATAATCACAAAGCAGTCGCGGAGATTTTGCTTGACAATGGAGCCAATATTGAAGCAAAAGATTGCAAGGGTAATACACCATTACAGATAGCCGTCCAAATTTCCAACATAGAAGCTGCAGATTTATTGCTAAATATGGGAGCCAACGTTGAGGCAGCAGATCCTAAAGGCAACACCCCGCTACACATAGCGGCCCGAAGATTTTATGGGGAGCTTGTACGCTTATTACTGCAAAAAGGCGCCGATATCGAGGCAAGAAATGGCAATGGCGACAAGCCGTTGCACATAGCAGTCCAAAATTCCAGCATAAAAGCTGTAGATTTATTGCTAAACATGGGAGCCAACGTTGAGGCAGCAGATCCTAAAGGCTACACCCCGCTACATATAGCAGTCCAAAATTCCAGCATAGAAGCTGCAGATTTATTGCTAAACATGGGAGCCAACGTTGAGGCAGTAGATCCTGAAGGTTACACCCCGCTACACATAGCGGCCCAAGATCTGGACGTAGCACTTATTGAATTGCTGCTTAAAAATGGAGCTAGCACTGAGGCGTTGGATAACGAAGGCCGGACTCCATTATTCGCGGTCATACTAAGTCTTTGCCGCGAGCATTGCATTGAAGCAGACGTTGACGTGCTACTAGAATATGAAGCAAATGTTGACGTGCTACTAAAATATGAAGCCAAAATGGAGGCAATCGACAATGAGGGCTGTACGGTTTTAATATCGGTAGTCGAGAAGGGGGATATAAGGGTTTCTGAATTCTTAATTCAAAAGGGTGCTTGCATTGAAGGAGTTGATAGCAAGGGTCGCACGCCACTACTACTTACAATACAGCGATCTGTTGACAGAGGTCAATGGGGGGGATTTGAAAGAGACCATCTAATGGAGATGACACAGATGCTGCTTGAAAATGGGGCCAACATCAATGCAGAAGATAACGAAGGTCGAACGGCACTCTCACATGCAGTAGCACAACCCTGGGATGTTTGCTGGGAAGTTGTCACTTTACTGCTCGAAAAGGGTGCTGATACCGAAATAGCTGATAACAAAGGTTGTACGCCGTTATTTTACGCATTGCGGAGGAGGAGAGAAGATAGAAGCGATAGAAGCGTACCAGTTGAATCTCTTTGCAGCCTAGGATTCGACATCATCAAGACTTTGGACGCTGTGGACTTTCTTCTTAAAGGGGGGGCCAACATTGATGCTGTGGACCAAGATGGGTTTACACCACGAATATTGATATATAGAGATGAGGGACATCTAAGTTTCTCTATTTGTGAATAGCTATTCTATTTCTTGAATAAATTCTAATTTTAACGGGATTGTTTCAAAGTGGGATGGGTAACATCATGAAATTGGAGGTGTTCTGCGAAAAGGAGTTTTTGGAAATCCTGGAACGTGATAGGACAGTCTGGAGGCTATGAATGGTTCCTGGTGAGAGTATATCGTTATTAACTATCAGTTGCTTTGAGACGACCAAGCCTCTTTTTGCCTGTTTGATTAGCTTTTATTGATATCTATTCATGGTTTTTCCTAGCCGCATGATATGACCCCTCAGCCCGGTTGCTCCTAAATAGCCTTGGTTCCTTTCTAGCACCACGACTTTCTTCTCCGTAGTAGAAATAAACAATCAAGATGGAGGCAGTGATAAAATTCGGGTTCGGCGAACTTGCTCGCCACATGTGCCGAAATATCGACCAGAACGGAAACTGTGATGTTAATTAACTAGATTCTTATAGCTTTGGGATATTTGTTCTCTCACCTCCAGTGAAGATTGCCAAGGCCCACGTTGTGACAGGCTTCTAGGTATTTAAGCACATCTCTGTCAATCTCTTCTCCCCAAGTTGGTAGCTCATCTACGGCGCTATGCCAAGACTTGTAGCAATCATCGAGCATTTTGCCTATCTTGTTCATGGCTTCTTGGTCGGAGAGAAGCTGTGACTTGAGTATTGTAATCAGGTTATTTCTAGCGTCGTCTAACTCCTTCGAGAACGTTAGAAGAGTTCCATAAGGGTCTTGAGGCATTCAACTGTATCAAAAACGCACTACTTCTTTTTTGTATGACAAAATATCATTTGAACTATGAAGTGGTTAAATTTTGTCGATGTTTGAAGATGTGAGATAGCACTTATAGAATCACAAGATCTACCATAGAGCGTGTACACACTTGAAGAGAAGGGTGGTCTATCTGTATGTGAGAGAGCCTGATGTCTTCGGCGTACCTTAAAAATAGACATGTTAGAAGTTTGCGTAAAGAGGAAGTAGAAAAGCGTACTCTACTAGTCGTATAGCCAATACAACTCTACTCGTTCTTCTTCGGTTATTCATATATTCGTCCACAGTTAAAGCGGGAACTGGGCTGCCTTTTGAGAGCTTAGATTGATAGATCAGACTCTCAAGATATTTCAAATGAGAATCTTTCCAGCGTTCTGAGATTTCTAGAAATGAGTTAGGAACTTTGTGTCCGTCTGGACTTCGGTGGTATGATTGTACCTGGTGTGCTGCTCTGATGAAGTCTTGTTAGCTAGCTTCTCGGATGGATTAGATGGCGCTCACAGTCTTTATTCGATCCCAAATGGTCTGGAACGCATATTGGAGAGGTTTGTTTCCCTCAAAACGAGGGCCATTGTCGTTTAGGATTGCAAAATACTGTCAATTTCTTCTTGTGCTTTGACTGGATGGTTTGCTAAATGCCCTTCATCAAACTCTGTGAGTCGAGTATAAGCTATGTTGCCGTATCATGACCACCATAGGAAAACTTACGATCGTCAAAATAAAACACCTATGAGTCTGTCATTAGATGGTTTGTAGTTTGGCTGTAGCATAGAGAAAAATGTCTACCCAATTTGACCAGTCAACCGCTGTGCGAAATCTGTCCCTCTCAGCTGAAGGCGCCCAAATGGCGGTCGCGAATCCGAAATCAGTCTTATTGAACTTCATCTCTTCTTTGCCTGTCAATCGTAGCAATCTATCTCTAGTCAGTCAAAAGACTCACAAAACAGGTTCATTGACGCGAAAGACGCACTTTTTGAACCATTCATCTGCTTCAGCCTTGCCATCTTGATAGTGAGGGTTAATAGCTGGTTCAGCAGCCATTATTGAGGAAAACAAGTCTGGAATCAGGACATGTCGCCGCGGATCTGATATCTTTGGTAATTGGAAACTGGCTGTAGAGGCGTCCAACAGCAAGGTGGGCTCTAAAACCGTCACCGTTGAGGACATCTTCGTAAAGCGGCCAGGCTGTTCGGTTTTCAGTGCGACTTATACAAGTGGCATTAATCCGTTTGTTTGAGAGTATAAATAGACTAGTATAGAAGTGAACTGGGTGCAAGGGATTCGAAACCGACAATAGAAGTATTCAACAATTACATATCACACTTAAGCTTGAGCAAGCTAGAGGAAGGGGTTACGTACCCCATTCGCTTTGACTGGTGCCCAGTTAGGTGCCGTTCTCCAATATGACTCATGCCACTCCGTATAAGGCGGATCTATCTGCAGGTACGCCATCACCTACCATTTAAAATCGTCGATGTCCTGCTAATAATAGGAGTGACATCTAGTCGCTTAGTAAAGAACCGTTGTCGGATCTTTTGTTGAGTAATATCCGGGCTGGATACTATCTGTCCTGGTAAATCGTCCGCTGCGGTGTCCGAAAAGTTCAAATTACTTCTATTTGGAACCAATTGCTTCTTTTGGTGACCGACTTGTATGTCTTCGGGGCTCCCGATCCCTTCTGCATATTTTCCCATCATGTATCATATGCAGCCCTGCTCAAATGCCATGAAATTGTCAACTAAATTACTGTATTGACAACTTCCATCCACATCTTGGTGCCACGTCACAATGTTCTTGAAGATGTGGTATAGTCAAGGAGTAAGGGGAAGGTATACGACGGTGTAGCAGTGAATTATCTATTTACTCGGATCGCAACCGAAGCGCAGAGACTTCGGGATCGGCATAATCTAGACAATGGCATTGAACGAGTATCAAGTGTTTTATTAATGGATAAACTGGATGAAGGGCCGAGAGAGATTCTCCTCTCCATACTGAGTAGACACTTGACATATCATATTGAGAATACAGGGTCAAATAGACCCTGATTTCGTCCCCGAGATAATACAGGGTTACTTCTAGGGCAATATAAGTCATTTTAGCTTCTTCCTTATTCCTGATAGGGCTACTTTGATACAACTCAAGGAACTATGAAGTTTCCTTTACAAACATTTCTTTTTGTCATGTCACGTCTCATTTCTCAAGAGACTTAGCTTGCACCCAGCAGGAACGTTATACATAACCAATTCCTAGTTCAGTTGACACTGCAGGCGGAATTCTGTTCTAGTAGACAAAAAGTAGGGCATTTCAATTAACTCCGTCGTCATTGCATTGCATAGAAGCCAAGCGATTAACGAGGGCTCTCGCCTTTCATCGCATTTCTGGCGCCATAGCGGGTTGTCTTTGTTGATATTAATCCCGTCTTACGGATATTACGCCTTATCTCTCCGCTAATGGGGCAACCCAAAATGTCAAAAAGAACCCCAACCGACTCGGTGAGCATGCTGGGGTTTCCTTGATTCCGTGGCTGGTTTTGTTGTCTCTAGGTGGGCCAAGACGCCGATCGGCTTCCTCTTGTGATCATCCCCTGTCGGAATTTAATGTGCCGACATGCGTCTTGAGAATTGCTGCATGGATTCAACGTCGCAACCAGTTCCGATATACCCATAGATGACATTGGATGTGCATATTCACATCGCACCTAAATGAGAGCAGGTATGATCTCATGACTTTCTTTATTTACATTCAGCAGTAACTAAAGCTAGGCAACAGTTTCCGCTACATATGTTCAGATATAAATGTACTGCTATATACATAGTTTTATGTTCCAGGATGGCCCAAGAACTTTCGAAAGCACCAAGTTCTTCCATCACTCATGTCTTATATGTACAATGAAGAGAGGCTAGTCTGAATTATGAAGGAGGTGCACCGACGTAGACTGTCAAAACATTAGGAGCCCCTGAAGCCAACGTTCCCGAAGCATTCTCACTACCATCTGGGTTGACATCATCATATGGGAAAGCATAGCCTCGACCGTCGACTTCAAACTGGTGAACAAGACGGCTGTAGTGGTTGGTAGGGTTGACCGTGTAGTATTGAGACTGGCTCACACCCGGCTGAACGTTGCCACCAGCAATCAGCAAAGTGGATCGAACAAAGGCAGCACACAGACGGGGAACAACAGCCGAATGGATGCTGTTGTCGCCGGCCTGAATCGCAAATGGTCCGCTGTTGCAGCCCCAGATATCCCCTGCAGTCGGCTTAGCGTAACCACGGTTGTCGCCCTGGCAGTTAAGCGTGCTGCCAGAGACCTGGCAGTTGACATTGCCGGCAGAAGTTTGTGTGTTGATAGTGAGAGGAGTGCTTGTATAGTGGCTCCAGACTTGGTCCACATAAGCACTCCAGTAATTCTGGAAAGCAGCCGAATTGATGGCACTGTAGTCACCCGGAGAAAGAGCACGGATGGGAGTTCCAGCAGAATTGGCAACACACATTGAAGACCATGGGTAGCCGTCTTGGGAACCCTGTTGAACCAGACCCTGGCAGACTTGGCTGACTGCGCTGGCTCCAAGACCTCTTGTAATCTGGGTACCGCTTCCGTCTGTGACGCTCAAGCTCATGCTAAGGATCATGCCGACAAAATCGACGTAGCTGATGTTTGCATATAGAGCCAAGCCAGTGGTATACGTAAGCTCAACAAAGCCCCAGTTGATGCCTGCGCTTGGGTCTTGCAAGTTGGTTGGGGATGGTTGCACCAGGCCGTCGCCGTTGGGAATCTTGACCATGAAGAACTGGAGATTGCCCTCTGAAAAGTAGATGCGTGCAGAAGAGAGAACAATAGGCAATGTCACTGTGATGGAGTTGCCCTTGGCAGGTAGTGGAATGTTGATGGCGCTGCTGATCGGAACAGGGACACTGGAACCTCCAGAGCTAGGATAAACGAGACTGCCATCGCCCCTGACGAAGACGACTCTGTTGTCAGTGTCCAGGCCGGAAATGTAAGCATTAACCTGGCCACCAGAGAAATTATTGACAATCTGGATTGGCAAATGCCCGGGCTGAGCGGTCCGAGCTTGGATGGCGGCTTTTTTGGACACTGTCGTAGTTGGACTATGGTACGTTCCGTTGAGAGTGTTGTTGGCCGTGATAATGATATCGTCGATACCTCCAGGCTTGGCAATGGAGAAGGGTGATGAAACTCTTGGAATAAGAGAAGGGGCTGCTGATACTGCGCCAATGAGGGCAGTAAGGATAGCTAGAGTCCGCATGTTGTAAAGATTTGTATGCGACTGAAAAGAGAAGGAAGTAACAATAATATTGTAATTGAGCAATACTTTTGTGTGAGTCTTGGATTCAGTTCGATGTGTTGGGCTCTGAAGAACATATCTACCTGTGAATAGGCCCCTATATATATTCCATCTCAAGAGACATTTTCAAGAGTTTGTCTTCCAGTACCGGTATCCCAAGCTGGACATCGGACCGAAGTTTCGCGCAACGGAGATAGAGGCAACCTATTGCCGACTGTTTTGTACCGGCATGAAGCCATTGCTTTACCGTTGTAGCATAGCATCGGGCTTCCTTCGGTGGCTTGGAATGGGAAGGTTCAGGAGTGAGAGTCGTATCTTCTATGTTTGAGGCTATTACGTTCTTGTTTGCTGTGTAGGATGCTTTCAGGAGCCAGGGTTATGCATCAACAGCGGAAAACAATTTGTTAATATGCACTAAAATCCAATATATGACATAATTCCGTAATTCAACTGACTACTATGTCAACGTAATGTGGCCAAGTAAGTTATAGTTGCAACTACAAGCACGAAGTGCATACTCTCAGAGTAAATAAAGGTTAGCTGGTCACCAAGTCATGTGCCGAATAAAGCTCTCAAGAGCTTCTGAGATAGATAGAATGCTTGTCTAGAATGCAATTTCACTTTGTAACACTCGCTTAGAGAGGTTTAGATAGCTGATAGTAAACATAGTTGAAAGCGCTTTATTAGTTTCACAAGGAACGCGACCAATAAGACTGCTTGGGGGTAAAAACTTGTTTTCTCTGCCTTTTACCCCCCCTGGATTTAGGATGCGGCTGTGACTACAAACTATTGCCCTTCTGGGTAACAAATAAGGTCGCTTCCTCACACCATCGCGGAGTCTAGCGCTCCGAGATTCGGGCTAATAAAGCACAATTTACTGCACCCCACACTCTGCTAAGATTTCCATGCATGACATGACACACTGATCGTTGCAACGTGACAAGAGAGAAGAGGGGATTGTTCTTTTCTTCCAAGACGCCTGCACGGATGAAACGCTGGTAAACTTGGATTTTGTGGTGGATATAGAAAGAATTTTTTTTCGTCAGGTTGATTTGCAAACATGTGATCTGGTGATAGAGCTGCGAATATGGGACTGCCTCGGTAGTTTGTAGAGTTCTCTGATGTAGCCTTTCGCAGCGGCTGGTCTATACTGCAGCAGCTAAGGGTGAATCCGCAATACTCTAACTAAACCCAGATCCGAACTACTTGTGTGTAACTTCTTGATAATGTCTCATGTTGATAAGTTTCTCTTGTCAATTCTTGTTATTTGGTGTCTTTGTTAATGATACAAGTTCCTGTAGTTTGTCTTTCACTATTACTTATCTATTGTGGAACTCGCGGGTTGCATGCAGGCATCATTGTATTTCTAAGCTTCCTACACTTTTATCCATTAATATGAATATGTCGTCGGCTCACTAAATAGCGCATATCGTGGCTGCAGACATAGAGGTGTTTAACCCCAGGTCGAGCATGGGCTTACATTACATGTGCGTAAATAGTCTATGTAACCCTGGAAAACAGATGCCTAAACTAGTAGAAATCCTTCCGGTAGACCCATAACTCGTAGTCTTATTTGTGCGCTTCTGATCCTATTAGTGTTATTCACTTTCTCCTTTTGAAAGTCGATGAAATACGCTCTGCTTTATTACATCGCGTTATTAAGAAGAGGTAGGCGCTTAGCAAGCCTATCAATGCTAATATACTCCGTAGAGGTTTCCTCATTAGAATTTGTTGGTCGTATGACCGGGTGCGTATTCCTTTAAGTGGAGAGTTGATGGAGACGAGGACTAACACAGAGTTTCGTCCTCCTAATTTGGCTAAACACGGAGTTCGACCGAACCGAAAGATGCTCGGTGCTTTTTTCATTGGCTAAAACATTCCTTCAGTGGAGTATTGTAACTTGATATCGAGTAGATGGAATCGGTAGTGCACGAACACTCGCATACACTTGTTGATGAATGCAACTGAGGTACATTTCGCTTCTCATGCTCTTAGTTGTCTCCATTCCGAGTTCGTCGAATGATGCCTAAAGCTGCCAAGATATCTGTCTAGGCTAAACATGAGATATGATAGCCTCCCGCCTTCCCCTTAATTAAGTTGTATTGACTGCCACACGAAGGATTCGGGCCTTGGATGATACTTTTATTACTAGGGTTGGCAACTAAGCCCGCGCAGGGTTGGTTGTCTGCCGAGGTTTACACTTGTATTGTTATGGAAGTCAAAGCACAAGTCCAACGGCGATAGTCTATATAGCCGCAGTGACCCTCAAAAAGAAGTATGATTCCAAATCACCGAATTAGAGCCAGTAAATTGATAGCAGAATATTAAACGCATCATATACATGTATATATAGATTCAACATATAGATACCTGTAATAAGGGGTAGATACAGAGTTCCAAATAAGGTAGAAAGAAATCCTTCGATACACAAGAGAAAATCCCGTCCTAGGCCCACACTCATAATATTACCCTAATGCCGTGCCTAGGACCTAGCTTGATAATGGGGTAGGGTCAATCTCGGCAAGAGTCAGGCTTGCAATAACATCCCAGTGCTCTACAATACAGCTTCCGTTCATTCGATACGCATCCATAATCTTAATTGGAGGAGTAGTGAATTCATAGTGGTGTACAAAACCAGTGTTGTTGGTGAATGTTTGGTGTACAATGGTGTTGTTGACCTTTGGGTTCTTGGAGAGGGCGGCCACGGCGGCGTCTCGACCCTGCCCGATAGAAGGATTGTGCTGAATGTAATCAATCCAAACGTAGTTGTCAAATGCCTCGGGGATGTTCTTTTGAACATAGAACTCGTTGGTAAAGGCGTGGAAGATCCTTTCCTGCTCTTCTGGAGTGGCCGGTCGAGGAGGACAAGCAGGGATGGCCTTTCGTGAGGTATCTTCTGAGCCGAGAACAGAAGGGAGCGTGGCGGTGAGTGCGCCGAGATAGAGTAGAAACTTCATTTTGTTCTTGTTATTTGAGAATTAAAAGGAGGTGTAGAGGCCAGATATTCTAGAAGTGAAAATTTGTTACTCAAATCAAGATAGAGAGTAGGATGCTGCAAAACTCACAGAGGCAGGCAATTGATCACTATTTATCGTACAAGAGCATAGAAAAATTTGAGGCTTAAGCTGCTAAAAAAATTCCGAATTGCCATCGGAGTTTAAGAAACATCGTGGCATATCGACCAACGGCTACTGAATCTGGCAGGAAACAACTAATCATTTGGTAAGCTAGGGCTCGTTTCTGGCGAAAATGCCGTGAAAATCGGTAACTATTCAGTAAGGTTAACTTGCCAAGGTAGATCTGGCTTTTGATTGGTCCTTCGGTCGGTCTTTCGCCGTGTCTACGCGGCCAATTCGAGCGCCTGTCAGATCTTAGGTCATCCCGATTCGTCGCAATGTTGTTAGTACCGATACCGATTGCTGACATGAGGAGATTTCGGAATTCTTCTGGTTGCCGAGGGCCGCCGAAAACGATAGTGTCTTATTAGATTCATCCATCCATATTATCAACTATAAGAAAAAACAGTCGATATATCTCCAAGAAGATATTGGTGTTATTTCAGCTCGGTAAACTGTAACCGTTATGTCCGGAATGCTTAGAATTATATAAGGGTTTATGTAGAGCTTGGCATGAATAGTCTCAATAACTAATAATCCCATTGAGCTTATGACTTAAAAATATTTTTATATATTCGCAACATGTCTTGCCCGGACTGTTTCAAAGGAACTATTCATGAGGGAACACCCAAAGGCAAAGAGGAGACAATTCACCATGTCCTAACATATGTCGCCACCCCCGAGAAAGGCATTGCATCAAGCTCGAAAATCATCTTTATCACCGATGTATTTGGCTTCAACCTTGTGAATAACAAGCTGCTGGCAGACAAATATGCTGCCGATACCGGATGCTTGGTTCTTATGCCCAGCGTTATTCCAGGAGGCGGGGCGCCTCTCTCAGCGATAGAGCTGTTTGACTCCCTATCGACACCAGTTGGCTTGTTAGACTTGACAGGCCAGACGAAGAGAGCGGGAGCTGCATTTCGAGCAGCGGCCATTTTCGCCCCGTTTGCAGTCCGTACGCGGAATGCATTTCCTAAACTGCTCAGGTTCTCTCGCGACGTCAAAGCCTCCTTGCCAACAGATGCTAAACTTGGTATCGCCGGGTTCTGCTGGGGTGGGATGCACTCGACTAAACTCACTGCGGAGCCGGCTGAAGAAGGCGGAAACGTTCCCTTATTCGATGCTCACTTTGTGGCTCATCCTGCTGGCCTCAAAGCACCAGAAGACTTTTCAGCCGCTGCCAATAAGTTCAGAGTCCCCATCAGTTTCGCTGTTGGAGATCTTGACATGGTGTTATCCAAGGATAAGATCGAGAGTATTGAGTCCAGCTTGAAGGAAGTTTATGGAAGGAATTCTGACGATTTCGAAGTAAAGACTTACAACGGCTGCAAACATGGATTCGCTGTACGAGCTGATCCAAAGAGGACAATCGAAGACGGGGCCGCTATGCACGCAGCGGCACAGGCCATTAATTGGTTTGGGAAATATCTGGCGTGATTTGAATAGTCAAATATTAGCTTATGGAAAGCTCATTATTTATTACGAGGAAGCGCATTGGTCTTTTATGAAGCGGATCATATCCGTATTCCCACATTGTCGTTTCTCATTCTAAAGGCTAAGATCTGTGCTCTCTATTGACTCTCGGACACTATCAAGATATGCATGGTAGGTGTCGCTTCCCACCACTTCCAAAAAAATATTATTCAATTTTACATTTGAGATTTCGTGAAAGAATTTTTCTGCTTGACACCTACTCACTCATCCGTGTCCCTCAACTATGGAAACTTAGATCGTCTCAGATTTGCCAATACCTGGTTGGAATAACGCGAGTCCGAGTTGACGATATTGATCCATTGGCCATTCACAATTTAGTTCTGCAGAGCCAAGGCATGCACCAAAGCTACCCCTCGCACACCTGTGGTCTGGAAGATGGGTACTGGTGGGATCAACTTACTCGCTCAGCTGAGTAGGTTATAGACCTAATCAAGAGAATGTGAACCAGTTGTAAGATTCGATACGAAGTGTGCAAGTGGCCCGGCAGCTCCCACAGCAAAATTGACCAGCTTTTAAAAGCAAAGACTATTATAACAGAGAACTAAGGTCAGTGACCTTGTACTTTTTCAATTAGAACGCGACCCTTCATAAACGGAAGATATATGGGATTACATTCCTTGGGGTTAAAAGATGAATTGACCCGGTTATTAGACGAGAAGAGGCTTATTGCCGTGTATAACACAATCTGTGTACCAATTTTCATATTCGTCAACAAACTACATAGATAATATGAAGGGAAATAGGAATATGCTTCAATTGATATTAGTTTAACTAAAATTATGCACATTCTTGATGCCTTGGGACATCAGTTTTACCACTTCAACCCCGGATCTGGACTTTGGTCAGGCGGTATCCAATAATGCCATCGCCTTCAAAACATTCACCGTTTCTCCCTTCTATTTGCGATTCTGCCCATGTCTGTAGGAAATCGAGATCAGAATTTTTGGAAGAGCTCGTTGCATTCCTCATTATTGAGTTGAACTTAAGGCCTTTCCCTACCATAACACCGGTAAGGACATAGAATGGCCTGTTTCGTACTCGGAACTGGTGTTTCTTTGATGGTGGTAATGCCTTAACCAACATTGAAATATACTCTTCTGTTGGTGAAAAAACGACGCGCTCGAGCTTTTCAACCTCTAGGCTATGTCGCTTTGACGTGCTCTTTTCAATTTTCCACCCAAGGATCTTCCTAAAACTGACCCCGAAAGACCAGGATTTGGTTGACCGCTCCTCTAGATTAACATCATTGGTCTCTTGAGCTTGTGGGACATTCAAAGGTACCACATCCGTGATTGGCGGTACTAGAACTGTTTCCGGGTCTAGAGGATCCTCAATGAGTGACCCCAACTTGGCCGGCCCGTTGATATCTAGTAGACGCCTTGTAAAAAACCAAGAGTTCTTGCGGTAAAGCTTGTCGACATTATTTGGGCTCGTGATACTATTGTGCCGTAAATTTTTCTTTTCAGCGACCTCACAATTCTCCATTGGGTCACTAGTAGGTTTGATAAAATCCACTGGGGTAACGTCGTTATCGTCTTCTTCATCTTCGTTGCCATGGTCCCAATAATAGTATCTGGAGACCCACAGGCCATCTGCAGCTGATGGTCGCCGATGTGCCTTTGAACGAGTTTTGGCGACTTGATCTCATCGCCACAAAATGGACATGTTGTTTTATAGTCTTCAGGGAGCTTTCTTGATAATCGAGCTATGGAAGCTTGTGAAAGAGGTGGATATACCTCCTTATGGTCCCGGCTTAAGTGAGTTTCAAAGTCTTGGAATGTGCTAAAGGATGCCAGACACTGGTTTTGAATGCAAGCTAGAGACTGTCTGTGGTGAGTTTGCTCATGCTCGAACCATTTACTTCGAGAGCCATACAGTTCATCTGGGTTCCTACAATCCTCAAAAGTACAAATGTAAGGCTGCAGGTCACTGGCTACGTGATCCCTGTAAACTTCGTTAAATGATAGGTTCCATGTTATCGGAGAAAATTTGAACTTTGATTGCGTACCTCCATTCTTTCGTAGTTTTAGGGCTAATATATAGATAGCAATAAGGACACGGGAAAGGTTCTACACCGAGCTCATGCGGTGGTGCTGGAAGGCATGGTCTCGACGAATCGTTTGTATCTGATGCGTACGAAGTTATGGAGTGAAGGTCTTCTATATCTGTATTAATGTATTGCTTTGGTGCCTCTGGATCGTTAAAATCATCGATATCAGGGGGTCGTGACGCTGTAGTCTCAGAGTAGTTTTCAAAAGTCTTGATACTCTCTTCAGACCTATCATTTGTTTCGGTATTGACCACAAAGCCCCCCGCAAGTTTTAAATGATGGACCTTGCAATATTGCAAGAATCTTCGACGAGAAAGGATGGATTGAACCATCCTCTCCTTTAAAGTTGGGCTCAATATGGGGAAGACCGAGTCGACGTATTCCCTGTCCCGTTTCTCAAAGTCGTATATGTCAACTTTCGCAGCTTTTCTATAACGGTCAATGGGTACTGGATTATGGAACGTGACACTAAGCTTTGTGAGATTGGTTGTTGTGTGAGCGATACTCCTGCAAAGCATTTCAACCTGATCTGTGTCCTTAAGCAGTTCTTCATCCGAAAACTCGGCATCAGAGATTTCGACTGAATTACGTGTTGCTTCAACAGAGCCACCCGCATATTGCTTCAGTATTGAATCTTGTTCATGCAGAGATGAGGACGCCTTGTAATCATATGAGCCTAGCTCACCTCATCACTCAATGATAAGACTTGAAACACTTACAAGCTGAGAAATTCTCATCAAGGTACTGGCGAGGTGCTCAAGACAGTCAATGACAACGTCACGAAGATGTGCTGAGTCTCTTAGCTTCTCATCCAGTGAGCCCATGTTGAGCTTATGCGCGCCATTTTGTTTTGTCCAAGATTGGAATCGATCACTCTCATGTTTAACTCGCTCGTTAATCGAATTATTCCTCTCATATGCTCGGAGAACTTTGCTAGCTTCCTCAAATGACTCTCGACAGAGATCCACGGCAGAAGCGATGCGGCCCGTCATGATGCTTCATTCCGATGACTTCAATGATTTGAATGAGGAATAAGATGGTTGTATTTTGACAGTCTGAACTTGAACGGCAAACCCCCCTAATATATAGAAAGGCTCCGGCAGTCTGACCGCAGCGACACAAAGCGGACAAAGAAAAACAATAAGCCTCATCAGTCTGGCCTCAATGACACAAAGCGGACAAAGCGAAAATAACCTAGCCTCGTGAGTCTGACCTCAGTGACACAAAGTGGACAAAGCAAAGGCAAGCCTCTTGAGCCAGACACATAATCTTTACAAACCCGAATTGCGACATTGCGTGACACAGTACCCTCCAAATCATCTGACCGTGCTGCCTCGTGATACATCGTGGAACCATATCCTCCAAATAATACAGCATATTGCGAGTTCCAGTTTCAACAACCGCTTGCTCACGAATACATCAAATCGAAAAAAAAAAAAAAATCTGCATTTACAGTGAGAGATCTCCAAGATACACTTATACGATGTCCAGCGAAGTTACATTGGCTCCAAGCTGGGATCATCCCGTAAACGTATGTGCGCCGGCTAATGTTCATTTATGTGGGTAATGGCACATAGTTCGCACCTGTCAACGAATTATTATCTAGCACCACGTTGGGCAACCAAGGAACTCATGAAAAAGTAAAATGTACTGAAATCAAATAACTCAGATCTATAATTTGTTACCGGCCTATCTGGCATTGGTATCTACAATAGTCTCCATCTTAGCTTTTCGGAGGTAGTAATGAAGTGTAAACCAAAGTCGCAGCTATTGAAGTGATACACTGGTTGCATATTGGCCGTTCCCCGGGATTGGCTACGATGCAATTCCCTATTGGGCCAGTTTTGTCGAGGCTCTGTGGGAGACTAACAACCCAGGAACTAGTCACAGCCCGCCAGAACTACGAGCTGGTGAGCGGTAACAAAACGTACTCAAATTGCTCGAGCATATACATTTCAGTTCTCAGAGGTAGTCGAACTAGTCTCTCTTCAGCCCAACCATTCCCATCCGCCTCAATCCAAAGCCACCAATAAAACATGCCATGCCCATCCACGCAAAAGCGGCCCAAAAGCTCGCACGGTATCCCATCATGAGCGCATCCGGCGAGTTCTTGTCCTGTAACTTGGAGCTTTTTGTAACGGACGCCGAAATGACCGCCATGATCGTTAGACCAATCGAAGTACCGAACTGAGCAACAGTATTGAAGACCGCTCCTGCTAATGCTTGTGTGCGAGCCGGAAAGACATCGGAGACGACAAGTAGGCCAACAGTGAAGAGGATATCTGCACTGATTGGCGAAACAAGCTGTGCGAAGAAGGCGTTGAACCAATATGGTTCATGCACCTTTATAGTTGCCATTAGGAGTGGTGCTCCAGCGCTCAGTATCACGGACGAGAGAAGAAGATAAAAGGCGGGAATTCTGTGGATTAGTAGGCCGGTTGAGACTTGGACCAATGACCCCACAACAAGGCTCGGAAGAATCCGTATCGATGCTTGGAGCGCAGAGAGCTGTTGAACATTTTGGAAGCTGTGAATCATTTGTTTAGTGTGGTGAAGGTGGACTCTCTCTGAGAATGAGAAAACTTACAAGAGACTGCAGAAAAACTCCATGGCGTTTACAACGGCGTAAGAAAATATGACCAAGAGGCAGACAGTAGTGAATATTCTATTTTTCCACAGCGAGTTGGGAATTAAGGTTGGTCTTTGTCCTCTTTCTTGTCTTCGTTGCCAAAGGATGAAAGCAGGGATAAGCAGTACACTAATGATGAGCGCTGCAATGTTCCCCGGGATTGTGATGTTGGATAAATCACTCGAGAGTGCCCTATAAAAGTTACTATGTTGACAATGGCATTCTAAAGAGATGAGACTTACCCAAGAACATATGAGAGAAGTCCTAGAGAGGTAGACGATAAGACTGTGCCAATCCAATCAATGTCTCGCTTGAGTCTTAGTAAAATTCCACCTTCAAGTTTTTTGCCCATTGGCAAAGCCCACAAGCTGATGAAAAATAGAACCAATGTTATCCCACCACACAGGTACCATCCCATTCTCCAACCTACTGTATCCAAGAGAACTCCGCCGAGCACTAGGCCAAGAGAGAAGCCCAATGGTTGCACAAACCCTAGGCAAGAAAATCCAATATTCCGTTGGCGCCCACTTTTTGTAATGCCAGCAACAATGGCGATAGAGGTGGGCAAACAGAGGGATACGGCAATGCCTTGGAAAGAGCGGAACATGATCAATTCGATGCCAGTCCTACTAAGCCCACATGCTACCATGAAGCAGCCGAGGAAGAGGCAGCCGATCAAGTTGATAATACGGTTCCCAACAGTGTCTGCGATGGATCCGGCAATGATTAGGCAACAACCACTTGTCAATCTGCGAGTGGGTGTTTAGCAATGCGACTTACGCATATGAAGACTGCCCACTAAGGACAAAATGACTTACGCATATACTGATGATGGCCTGAAAAAAGTGTCAGTTCAATACCCATGATTGATTTAGATTTCTTCCCCAGAAAAGAAAAGCAATAACATCTAGACTAGGGTTATCCTCACCATGCTATCAGGTACTCTGGCAAACCAATGTCCAATGCCATTCGTGGAAGGCCAATGGTTAAGAGGCCAGTACTTAAGCTACTCAGGAAATTGACGGCCGAGAGCGCCGCGATAACAATGACAGTTCGTCCATTCGACAAAATTAAGGTCTGTTCATCCGCCGTCGGAGGTAATATCGGCGCGATTTCAGCTTCTCCTGGTGGTGCTGCTGCCAAGGACACGGGGTGAATTGTATCCGCCGGAGATATGAAGTCAGAGGCACTTCTTAACCTTGTAAGGGGAATCTCAGTTGTTTGTGACATATTGGGCTTTCTTGACGACTTTCTTTTCTCAAGCCAAGTTTAATGGTGAAGCCAATGCAGAAGCTTAAAAAAAAGTCAAACGTTTATTAGCGTCTGAACGGAGAACTTACCGCTACACCGATATGAGTCAACGCCGCAAAAAAGCGCTTATCCGGGGTTATAGTACCCATACTTATCCGGAGACTAAACTCTGGATATCCGGCTCTTCCATTTTAGCATCGAATTCCGTCGACCCCAGTAGAAGGGATGTCAATATGCAGCACCCCCGATTCGATTTATTTACTAGGCTTAGTTATGAGACTTTGTATAGCTATATAACGTTCTCTTAATTATACATGGCATACTCAATTGATTTGTAGGGTGAGACAAGAGTTTGTGTACAGCCATCATTCGCTCAGGCGAATAACACGAAGCTGCGGCACTTTTCAATGACAATGTATGGCGTTGATCTTCAATACTATAGAAGTCAGATTGTTCGAGCAAAACATACGTGTAGTGGCATTCAATTATTTTTAGACGTCCCAATCCGAGCTCGTTTTCGCATAAAATTATCACTCAAGGGACAATACATATGGCGTCGTTAGCGCTGACAGGTATTACTTAAAAACATGAAGTTTTTCGTTACCTTCCTGAGCGTTAAGTTCAGACCAAGTCTAAATATACATGCACGGAAGAGCAGTTTGCTCCTCAAATGTTGTAGGCTGTTAAGATAGACCCTCCTAGTCCCCTAAAAGGCATACCGAGCTTAGCAAAAGGCAGCAAAATCGAGTATCTAGAATGGAGAAGAGTCGAGCTGCTATTTTCTCAATATATATACTGGGCAACTGGAAGCAGACTTCTTCTAGAACTTCTGAGCGCAATGAGATTGGCAGTCGAGGGTAAATAGATGAGCCATCATCACGGATATACGTGAATGTAATAGACTCACTTTTCATTCTGTAAATCTCATATCAAGTATTTCTTAACAATGAGATCTGGCAAATAAGCTCGACAGTTTTCTTTTGGAGAGTCAAGTGGAATACATAACATTTAATTCTTATCTGTTAGCTTACCACGATCGATGATTATTAGGCTTGGCGCCAACGGTACGCGTTCGTTAATTGTTTCCAAGTGGTCAACCCAATCTAAGTAGTTCGTCCGGAAAGTATTTGGTGTTGAGTCATCCAAAGGCTGAAATTGTCTTACCTAGTCATATATAAAAATATTTTATCTTTCTAGATGATATACTCTGTTCTATTTGCTGCGGATACCTCTTGGAAAATACGAGAGACCAATGGCATAGATCAGCTGGATCAGTTTCAACAAGTCGTCTCAATATCAATCAAAGATAGATGATTGGCCATTAATAATTACCCAATGGTCGGGGTACGGGCTTAGTTAGACAGTATTATGTGCCGCATTTGATACCTGAATTGCTATTCCAGTTTGCAGATTTCGAAGTCAGGGGGCTAGCACACACGTATTATTAATGCGGCTGTGCCAATTGCTAAGTGTTTTAGCTCCATGCGACAAACAACTTTAGTGATTACCCCGCTCCAAGTAGCTGAATGTGTAAGTTTGAAGCTCTCACAACAATTGGCTCATCCATCTTTGTGAGGCATATCTTCAATGTACTGCTACTGTGAATATCGCTCAAGGTCAAGACAGGCATGGGATATCTTTGACTCGGGCATTAAATGGGGGTCAAGAGGTAATTTATAATTCGTGTGTGTGTTTTATTTGTTTATATATTACCTTGTCAAGCACGTCGTAAAGTCTTTCTTCACCCTGAGCTCGTAAAACCCCACATGCATGCAAGGCCACACTTAGACCGGTACTATATATGCATCTCGATAGGACAGAGCTACATTGATCTTAGTTAGATGATGTATCACGGCTGAAAGGTTTCCTAAGAAAGCGGAGGCATTGATACGCGTACTATCGAAAATATAAAGAGCGCAGAATCCTCGCTTCTCTCCTGCATTTGCCAAAGATCTAGCTTCTATATATCACAGAGATTAGACCCCCACCATGCCATTTGCAGAGTATGTGAGGTTGCCTCTTCACTCTTAACTTTTTCTTACGGTATTTAGGGGAACTTCAGTAACAGCCACTGTCGACGACGGCAGTTCTTATATCGGCACCGTCAAGAGCTTCCAGGTAACTAGTCTGGAGATTTCCCTTACAAACCGACTCATGAAGCTTACCACTCTCAAAGAATGGAAGATACGTTGTCGAGATCGTAAAAGGAGACGTCACGGAGGTCGTCGACGTCGATGAATCAAAGGTGAAGGAGTTCCACATGATGATGTCAAACAAGAGCCTGTTCAACCGAATCGGTCGTTAGAGCACGTGTATGTCACCGTTTAACACGATATATATTACGGCGAAAGCTTAAGCCCGCAATGGTACTCTCCGATATTTATGCCCAAGCACTGAATTCATGAGCTTAGTGTTCAATAAACAGTACAACAATTCCGTAACCATCCCGTGACATGCCCTGCAGCTCTGCATAAACTATTAGGTGCTTTCTAATCAATCTGATACGACTTGTTAGGTGACAGATAACCACATTGCTATCGTATGCCCCTCCAAAAAATTTACAGCCAAACTCACGCCTTTAGATTCTCTAAACGAGGCTTGATATAATAATTCTGTTTGCAATAAAAATGCTAAATAAAGAGTTATACATACCAGCTTAGGGGGATGGACCAGTGAGGCGTGGTAGGTTGTAGCTGGGAATAGCCGGATATTAGTTATCTTGGCTCAAAGTCTCCCATGTAGGATTCTATCCCTGCAATACAACGGCTTGGCTAAATTTGCCGATGAATGGCCTGTAGTATGGAGTACTACGGAATGCATCAAGATGACCTACTCCAATTAAAGGCTTCGCTAATCGGCGGTCGATAATTGGTTGTTGCCAGCTGGTGACAAGCTGGTCTCAATATGTGGGTGATTAGCATAGATGGGTTTGTTCTACAGTTCAAACAAATCTCCGGTTTATTATGCTGGGGGACAGGTTGGGCCGCAACCACAAGTCATTGCAGTCTCACATTCTCAGGGTGCCGCGGCTCTATAATACAGTCAAAAAGAATATATTTTGAATAAATAAATAAAATAAATATTAAAATACAATATATTGATACAGGAGATACCCCGTAGATATCTGTATTTTCCCTGTATACATATGAAATAAAGGATTGTGGAAAGTCAGTCCTTCACAACTAATGTTTTAACCTAATAAGTAGCTGATCCCTACGTGCCCATGAACTCTGCAGGCTGCCATGTTACATGGGGGTTTCAGGTTCGCCACATATGATCAGTTCGACAACACGAGCCTAGTGTCGATTTAAGAGGAGCATCGCGCCTCCTTGGATAAAAACAACATTAAAATGGATGGTCTGAAAGCTGGTCGGGTGATTGGATAATAACCTTCAGCCGCACCCTCGCTTTGTAGTTGGGCCCTTGTCAAGCTGGCAAGGCCACGTGGAGAAAGGCGTTTTTTGTATGCTCTTTGGCATTATTCGTCGCTTGGTTGATCTGGGGGCTGTGCTAAAATGTCGAGCCACGACGAGACGATATGATCCTCCTGAGGCGAAGCGGCTGAATGAACACGCGTAAATATGTATTCTCATGAGGCCTTCAGCTTTCCACCTCGATAACTCAACGCCTTCGGGCTTGTGTATGTTTTTGTTCTCTTTGTTCTCATAGAGAAGCACATCTCTTCATGCCATAATGTCAACCGACCAGCGCCATGGGGCGGCCGCCCATTCCTCTCAGGAGAGCGTGTTGATGTTGCGCCGCCTCGTGGAAGCGCTCCCCGATGACTACCAGGAAAGATTCAGAGAGTGCACTACCGGCGATAAGGTGCTGGAGAGTCTCAAAGACTATGGAACGGCGTGGAACACTCGCAATCGTCGACTCGGTACCTTCATTCGGGTGATGAAGCCGTTCTTCACCGCCATGGATGTGTTTGTCTCATGCGACCCGATGCATGCTGCGACATTATGGGGCACTCTTCGGGTGGTCATTGCCGTGTGTTAGACTCTACAAATTGATTCGCAACGAATTAAATATCTAACAATATTAGCTTGGAATCACATTCAATGAGTTCTTGGACAAGGTAACTTCTGGCCTTGAAAAGCTGGCAGCCGAAATTGAGTACACAACTAAACTCAATTCCCTCTTTCAAGAGCTGGAACGGAGAAGATACCGAGAGATGGAAGATATAATTAATGAAGAACTTAATAAGAGAATGCAAGAGGGATGGCGTGAAAACGAGCTGAAGGAGAAAAAGGGTGAGATGAGGGAGGAGCTGAGTGTGGCAGCGCGGACAGCGATTCAAGAGGATTTGGAACAACTCGCAAAGTCCTCGCCACGCACTCAGGTATTACTGCAAGATATATTCGAAGAGATTCTTGAATTCTTGATGGGTGTATTCAGAATATTTTACCATCCAGATGGAAGTGAGTATAGTAACGCCGCAAGGACTGAGCATACCATTAAGTGTACTAGGATCGAAAAACGCACTGCGCGTCGTTGCCAAGGCGGTTTGGCAACCGTTCCGATTCGATGAGGCCATATCACGAATGAAAGACCTTAAGGAGCGAATGAATATGGAGATTGTACTGCTAAATCTGAAGTTGTCAAAAGATGCAAAAGATATTGCAGAAGCCAACAAGCTGGAAGCAGCGGCTGAGAGTACTAGGGCAAAGAAGAGAGGCGACAAATTCGACAAGTCTCTGAGCAAACTGGAACAAATGGCCGAAAAGGAAGCAAGATGTACTAAACCCCCATTCGGAAGAGATATTCACCGCCGCCTTCTTGCTAACTTAATGGCAGATACATTTCTCCATCGAGCCCGCGAGTGGCTGGACCCACCCCCCTTTGCAGACAGATACGAAGATGTAGCATCTCAGTGCATGCCAGGAACCACAAGCTGGCTCCATGAACACACGATTTTCCGCGCTTGGCTGCAAGATGACAAAAAGGCTTCCGGAGGAAGCTTATGGGTGCGTGGTACGTAATGTTTAGGTTCAACGCTATGAATTTTTTACAATGCTAACTAGCCAAGGCAATCCTGGCTCAGGAAAGTCGGTTCTAGCAGCATCCACCATCCAGGAGCTGAAAGGGCTCAGGTCGTCAAATCCAGTTTGCTATTTCTTTTTTAACTCAACCCAGGAGATTATCCCCAATACCTCCTCGACGGCCTATCGAGCATTGCTCTCTCAGATTCTACAATACAAGATAAACGATGATCAATTAAGAGAAACACTCGAGTTTGCCATGTATTTTCAGTCTCCCGGTCAAAAGACAGCAAACGAAGAAAGAAATCGATGACCTTATGGAGCTGTGTTTGCACTCGGATGACAGCATTTATCTCGTGCTGGACGGACTCGACGAGTGTGAAAATTCGAGAGAGCTTGTTGAGAAGCTGAGGCTACTTGCAGCTCAACAGACCACCCGGCTGGCTTTATTTTGTAGGCCGACTTTAACATGGCTTTCCAAGAGAATTTCGAGTCTACAAATAATCAGCATCGGTTTATCGAATAAGGACGATATTCAGCGCTATCTTCGACAGTCGTTGAAAGACATGAAGAACGAAGGTCTTCTGGCCAAGTCGCTGGACTACAAAGAGGTTGCCAAAATGTTGGCACGACGGGCTGACGGTATGTTTCTATGGGCTAGATTGATGGTCACTTATCTGAATTCGCCGGCACTCTATCCTGCGCAACGCACGCAAGCAATTAGCGAGATGGACAATCCGGAAGGTTTGGAAGTGATGTATGAGCGAATCCTGCGTCTCATTGAGGGAAGTAACAAGGCCATGCACAGGCTTGCTGGCCAAAGCTTTCTCTGGCTCTCATATGGGAAGCGTCCTCTGATACCCGCGGAGCTTGAGAGCGGCCTCGTCCCATTCGACGCAAAGCCTAATGAGGAGGAGGATTGGAAGTTACCGGAATTTGACGATGTCATTGTGAGGGCTTGCGGAGGACTCGTTGAGCTTAGTCCAAAGTCTATTGAGTTCTTGGGGAACACTTTTCGTCCACTTCGATTTATCCACGCATCGGTAAAGGAATACTTTGCCAATTCTACATCAACATCGAGCAAGGGGTTAATTCCGCCACCTCCAGTTATCGCTCACGCACGGTTGGCGACGATGTGTCTTAAATACCTGACGTATCGCGTCCCATCTCAGCCTCTCTCCGGAAAACTTGGGCATAATTCCGTTCCCAATGATCTTTGGTCAGCCTTTCCGTTCAGCAACTATGCTATGGTCAGGTGGACATCCCACCTGGAGCTCACTATACAGGGTAGCGACAACGGAGAAGCAAAGCCCGAATTGCAGCTTCTATTCTCAGCTTTAGAGCAGTTCTTCGCGCAGCCAAAAGTGCTAATGGCCTATATCGAAGGCTGTTATACCTATGGTGAAGCCCCAAATGCCAAGTCTCTTCGTCTTTGGGGACAAAAGGGCACATTATTCACCTCATCAAATCCAGAAGTCGATATTCGCACGATAACTGTTGAATTCAGCTATTTCCTTGAGAAGCTGGAGAGCAATTGGGGAAGAACTCTACGGGATAACCCTGCCAGTATTTGGGAAGAAGTTACCGCCTTTACACCAAGTCCCCTTCTTCCAAAACATGGCGGTATTTCCGTTCGTTCGTTAGTGCCGACTCCATCTAAAAAGGCTGGGCTGTCTAAAGAGCCAATCAACCGTCTCACGCAAGTGACTTCTGACGGGCTACACCATGCCATTTTAAGTGTTTATACCTCAGAGTATGTCTTGTGCGTTGTTGCGAATTTATCCACTTAACTGATCCATCAATAGGAAATTCGAGCTTCACGATAAGAAGACCCAGGCTGATAAGCTATGCGAAGACAAATCTTTCTCTCATGGATGGGTTGTTCGCTATGATATCAGACGGCTAAGTGATCAGCACATTGTTGCTTCGTTGGAAATACCCCTTGCGGAATTCGATGTGTGGACGCGGCTGTGTGAGACGTTGCTTTGTGGCTCTGTCCAAATTCCCATGTCAGTCAGCCGAGATTCCCGATTTTTTACGGTCATGAAAAATCTCTACCATGTCAAACTTGAAGGGAATAAATTGCGATATACTTCGCACAACCTGCCGATCGAACTTAACACCTTACGCAAGACAGACAGTAACACAGAGCGTGAGTCCCACAGCCGGGGGAAACCCCAAGAAGAATTGACCTACAGAGATTTCTCGCGATATAATACGGATCATCTGAGGCGTGTGTCACTCTATTGGATATATCTTGACGACTATGAGGAGAATTTATGCTATACATCCCAAGAGCGAGCCTCTCCGGCTCATCTCAGAGTGTTCAAGATCAAGGTGTCATCCCTGAACGAACTTCACTTGGACACGACGGAAGTCGCGGAGCGCCTTTTTTGGACCAGAGGCATTAGTACACATTACGAGGATCGCGACAACAAAGAATTTGAGATGTGCTTCCATCCGTTCTTGCCTATCATAGTCTATGCCTCTGCCAAAGGAACGTATGTCTGGAACTTTAACACGAGTAAGGCTAATTTCCATCGTGAGTACCTGCCTAGTTAAATACTAATTACACTAGGTATATCAATAAAAGTTGGCCATGGGGCGAATGAAGTGGCTTTCCTCTCGTGTTCAGAAACAGGCGAATCCTGTATTCTGACACCGAGTGGCCAACGTCCTGAGATCATCCCAATCCAGTCTGCCCTATCGGCTACAGGAATATCTGATGAGGGTCTTCATCCTAAACCCAAGGAGAAGAAAGATAATGAGCAATTGCTTCTCTTGGATGGTTCTGCAGTAGCACCACCGGAGGAAAACAGAATCACAACGAAAGATTGGGCGCTGGCGAATGTGATGTCCGGACAAGGAAAACCATTGACCAGCAGCAACATGATTGTAGGATCTAATGGCATTACAAAGCATGTCTCTGTAGTGAACTCCGGCCTTACAACTAGTCTTCATCTATGGAACGGAGATGGCCGAGATGAATCTATGGTTCTCACACGGCTTCCGAATTCCGAAGGCGCCGACTCAGCGAAAGTTAGTGTTATCAGATCAGTCAAAGAGGACGAACCGATCCAGATTATCGTGGATAAGTCGGCAGATACTTGGAGCAAGATTACTAAGACTGAACCCGCAGCATTTCCGGTGATGGTTGAAAGAGACATTCGAAGCTTTTCTACCCAGACAACCGTTAATGAAAGTGGTCGAAATGAACATGCAGCACTTCCTGGGCTAGTCGAAGGACGTTCCTCCGCTCAAACCACCGACAATGGCAATGTATTAGCTGCGGATACGTATAATGAGATGCCTCATGCTAGGCTTGCCGTATCTTCTATGCAAGACGTAGGAGACGTTCACGGTTCTCCTGGGCGAACTACTACCAACGCGGATGATACATCCTCAATTCAAGCGACGAATGAACATTCTACGAAAAATGTGCGAAGGGACCCGTTGAAGAAGATTTGGGGAAAGAGAAAATGTTTATAATGTGTAATAATTAAAGAGTAGATTCCCAGAGTTCATATCAAAAGCGAATTTAACATGTGATTAAATGGAATGAAGTAAGAAGTCGGCTGGTCTCCTAACAAGCCAGGTATTGTAATCACGGACTCAACGGACGGACGCCATCTCTTGTGGAGCGGCTTGGTCAGCTACACCTAGTCCGACACCATGTGGTTCATTTCCATCCTGCCCTGTACGTCGATCGAGACTTGCAACTTGACTTGTAGATACGAAGTTGTGATGAAGCTTTCCTAAATTGACCTTTCCGAAGAGAACGCAGAAGTCGACGTCTGCGTATTCGACGCCTGTGTAGCTGGTATTTTAACCGTTGATAGTACATCTGTATCACGAGGTTTGCGTGACGAGGGCGTATATTAGATTCGCTGAAGTGTGTATGGAGCTGACGGAATTCATCTAATTCCCCCTCGATCTCTTCATCTAAAGCATCGAGAGAAAATTGGAAGAATAACAACTGGTTTTTTTTAGTGACAATAGCAATGGAGTTCTTACGTGCTTCGAAAATCCCAGGCCGATAATCTGGGGGAAGCCAGAGTACTGGCTCCTGTCGCCTAAAAATCCACGCTTTCTCATATGCACTGAGCTCAAGCGCTGGTATCTCACAGCTGTATCCCAGTAGTAAGTCCAGACGAGGGACAGTGACTGGTCTCCCACTATCCCAAGTCGGTTTTAAAATAGAATAAATCATTGCAGGCTCCAATGGCCATCCTGCCACCCATTCCTCAAGTGTTAAGAGACATACGCCTGTAAATGCATCCCAAATCTTAAAAGTACCCTTGCGTGATAGGGACGACAGTAATGTGCTGCCTGGTGAAAACCCTATCAGCGAAGTCGAATGGAAATCGAGGATGGTATATAAACAACTTTCTGCTGTTAAATCCCAGATCTTAAGCGTTCCATCGTCTGATGCTGAGGCCAGGTGAGTAGCACTTGGAGAAAACACCATTGATCGCACAGTCCCTGTGCAGCCCCGGAGTGTCCACAGGCGTACACCTGTGGCTGGATTCCAAACACTTATAATACTGTTACAGCCTGCTACAGCAACTTGCGTGTCGTCTAGTGAATAAACAATGAGATCGACTTCGTCTGACATCGGAAGCGTTCGAAGACAGGCACCCGTGGCTGGGTCCCAGATCCTGACTAATTTCTCAGTTGATCCTGATGCTAGCCATCTACCATCATGCGAAAATGTCATTGTGAGAATTCGATCGTCCGATGGCGAAGAGCTCCCTGGCAGCTGGGGAGATATACCAGCAGACATATCCCAAACTTTGGCTATGGTGTCACCAAATGCTTTTGACGCTAGCCGCAAACCATCCGGAGAATAGGCGAGAGAATCGACAGAAGTACCTTCATGGCCCCGAAATGTTTGCAGGCATTCACCAGTGGCAACATCCCAAACATTGATATCTGTAATATCTGCTGATGCCAGCCGCATACCATCAGGGGAGAAAGCCATAGCTTTTCCGAACGATAGACGAGGGATAGGATTTTCTCTGAGTGTCAGCATGCATTCACCAGTGACAAGATCCCAAACGCTAGTGACACCTTCCTTCCCATAAAATAGTGCCAGTCGCATACCATCGGGTGATAATGATACCACGTTGACGTTTGTATGGCTTAAATTGGCGTCTACATCTGTAGTTATGCTCTGTATGCATTTGCCGGTCGCAAAGTCCAAAACCCTGAGGGTTGAAGTTCCCTCGACCCACGACAATATCTTGGCACGAAAGTTTCGATCTGTGACAGCTGATGCGCGCGTATCGGTTCCTGGATTCCGTCGTCCAGGTATACCGCCACTGGATGTCGCGTCCAACTGTGCGCAATTCGATGGAAATACAGCTGCTATGAATATTTCCCCAGAGTGACTAGAGTGTGTCTGTAAGACTGTGTTTGTAGCAAGATCGTGAATATTGATGGTTTCCTCGCCCATAATGGCTAGGCGTGCGCCATCTGCTGAAAAGCCCACGCTAAAAGGATAACTTAGATCGCTATCCACTGTCTTGAGGTGAATGCCTGTATTCAGATCCCAAATCTCTATTTTCGTTGAAGTATCGTTGCAAATCTCCCAACGGACCAATGCCAATTGGGTATTGTTTGGTGAGAAGAACACTTTGCCTTGAAGTGTCCGTAAACACGCTCCGGAGGTCAAATCCCAAATCTTGACAGCATGTTGTGTGCTTATCGCTAGCATTGTACTATCCGGCGAAAATACCACTGAAGTAAACAGACATTCCTCACTCTCAAATGTTTGTATGCATGGACTCCAATTTGGCTCCATCTTGGGTTTAGCGATGATCCATTTTGCGCATTGCGTTGCTTCAAACATCTTTCTTGATATACTTTCGCTAGGACTGAAAAGGATGGCTGAAATATAAATTTGCAGAGGAAAGGCCTCAATTGCGGTCCTATGCGCACATACGAATCGATAGACGTCTCTCGTCAGTTCCAGTATTCTTTTCGGTTTTTTCTTTATCTAGAGCATTGTTTAGACAATCTTTTGCAAGAATCCATCCTTCTTAAAGTCGCGGTAAGGTTGACATACCAATACCCCTGACGTTATCATGGGGACAGAATTGAATGGCTGCTGATGATATACATCGTTGTCTGCGTTTTGCGAATCAGGGACCCCGACGGTTTGATCACCATTGTTCCCAACTCTGCAATAATCTGCGATTAGGTTTCGCAGTTTATGAATGGCAATTGCCGCCTGGGGAGCTAATTTTAACAGTGTCATGGCCTCTAACCAATACAGCGACTTTTTAAGAAACGAGTGAAGTATTCCATCATCTTCAAGCCATTCTTGATCTTGAAATTGTGGAGATTGGCTGTAGTAAAATAGATGTTCGACCCAAAACACACAGCAATACTCCTTCGATGCTAAGGGGTTCGGATTCGGTGGAATGATTTCATCCACGTGTTTCCCTGGGGATCTGATATGATAGATATTGCGTCGAAGGGTTCTATCCATTTCATTAAGGCAAATCTCAAACAAGAGTGTTGGTACTCAATGCCTCTAGGGAAAATGCTGGTAGCCCCATTCTGAACCAGATAGTCTTTAACAGATTGGTGGATAATGTATATGGTATCATCCGTAATTGATATGAATGATCCACAGGTCTTAGTCAAGTATTTCATATCACCTGGAAGATATCTAGTCTTAGCGTTGACTAACTGTGAGCTGGCGAGTATATATAATTCATCAACATGAAGCGGCCGCTCGGCGGAAGTAATTGTCGCCAGTAAAACCAGGCAGGCTTCTTTGTCCTTTCCCCATCCTTTCTTCGAACGATTCAATATTTCATCGTAAAGGCTTTCTAGATCATCCGGCATTTCTTTCAAAATACTTTCGATATGCGGACGGCCAGCATCTCTCAGTTGCTGGACGACGAGATTTACCCACAAAAAGGTGCCATTTGCCTTTGTTTTCAGTGAGTTAATAGTTGTATGACGAAGAGCCGCGTCATCTTCAAGTGCCTCAATGTCTCGAGCACAGCGATCGATATATATATCGACAGCCTTGGAGATGTGCTTTGAATTACCTTTTAACTCTAACATCAACCTTTTATGAGATTCGATCGACTTCAAACATCGTTCTATTTCCTTCTCGTTTCGACTAGACACTAACCACTTGATTTTGTCACTCGTTTTAACAATCAACTCGAGGAGTACTTTTCGTGATTCCTGCTGTTGACACTCATCGAGGGCATCAACAATGCAAGTAAAATCTGTCATGCATGGGTCTTCCATAATTGCTGTGAAAATCTTGCAGAGAGAAACCCATGCATTAGGCCCTTCTAAGTGACCTTTTGGTTCCATTTCAGTTTGTTTTCGGATATGTGAAAGAAGCCTTTGATTTCGACGAAGGACCGAGTAAATCAAGCCTTTGACAACAGCAGTAGCTGTATTAATTCTGGTGTCTGTACCTTGGCAGAAGAAGTACGCAAACTTCTCTTGTGACTTGGAATTATTTTCCAATTCGTTGATAATTCCACACACAAGCATTGTTTTGCCTTTTCCGGGGTCACCTTTGATCCAAAAAACACCACTGTTTCTCGTATCCCGCCATGTCTTAAAATCGGGATGCTCTAGGATCCAGCAAAAGGATTCGTATATGAAGGGGCCCTTAGATGCAAGGATTCGTTCTTTGTCATCGATAGGGTTCGTTTTGCTGATTTCTTGGAGGAATATATTATCGGCATTCCGGTCGCCTTCAGAAGTGGTCAGTATGGCCGGGCTAGACATCATCGTTATCGTACAGAGCCTCTACCATTATTGACAATGGTCATATCTCCTAAAATCAACTTTGCATCATTTCCAAAAGAGTTTCCCAAAATCTGTCTCATAGTGGCCATTTTCTATAATGGTTGTAGACGCTTAATGATGTTGATGGGAAGAATATCAGACACCAGCCCGCATGCTCAAAGTGATGGCGAGAGCTCCGTACATTGGGCATATTTGGGCACGTTAGGCACATTTTTACGCATTAAGTAAGCACTAACGAACCAATTAAAGTCCTCTTCTCTTTTACAGATTTTTTAGAAGCTGAAGTAGCATAAAATCACCGGTATTAAATTCTTTTCTACACAACGGCTATGTATGCTCGGTTTGTAGATATATTACTGTATTGACATTAATGATACAGTCGGCATTCGTTGTTGTGTTGTATAATCAACGTATTTCACATCATAGCACGAAGTGCGCGTGCTATGTCTTCTACAATGAATATATTAGCTTTTGAAGAACAATACCGATAAAAAATATTAGTATGGTTTTGGAATTTCCACGACTCAGGGCCGTGTGTTCGTTCATTTGGAAAATAGGTAGTACGGATGTAGAAAGTCTATAAAGAGTAATACTAGAAGGCCGACGCTCAAAGTCGTTATGAAGTAGCTACTAGCTGTGGTGAAGTGACTAATATCCAGTAATAGTATAGATGAAGTGTTCCTAGTCGCTGACCACACAGGAAGGTAAACATGTCCGTCTGTTGCTGCTGATTTTTACTGTTGAATATCTAATCGTTGGTGGTACCTCTCCACATATGCTTCATCATTTCAAGAGCTGCTTGGCCACCAATATCTCCCGTAATAATGCTCGAGTCACTACCCATTGTGTTATGATGGACTGTTGAAGTACCGTTGAACGAAGAAACATAACCAGGCTCAACCCCAATATTGCCAGTAAAAATGTTCAGCCTGCTTGTTGCAGTGTTTTCATACACTGAAGCTCTGCTAAACTCTTTCAATACCTGATTGTTTGGTTTCTGCCAGGCGCGCTCCTTGAATGCTTTTACATCAGACGGCTGAAGAGATATAGCTCCATTGAAGTCTAATGTGATATGTGTTAGTCTCTCTAGGTATAATCAAGATGAAAACAAAAATGTTAGCAGCAAATAGCATACCTCTCTCTTGAACTTTCTGTTGTGCTTGCAGGAAATCCATCAGCGCCAAATTCTTTTGGAGCACTTTCTTCACTCTTTCGTTAATATCGCTGAGGGTATTGAATTGCACAAGATAGCCATCCTCTTGGCTACCTGAAAGACCGACAGCGACCCCCAATATTTGCGAAGAAGCTTGTTGTAACGCCTTATCAAACCGAGTGTGGATCCCTTTTAGCTGCTCATTGAAAGAGGTGGCTTTCAAAATGCTCGGTAATCGGTGGGATGCCACTTTGATAAGCCCGTCAAAAATTAAATCCGATTCTCGGGCAAGAGAAAGAACAGTTTTCACTTCGTTTCGAACGGCGTCTGTTTGGAGTACACTGTTATCTCTAACCAGTGCCAAAACACTCTCAGCGGTTGTGAGTTGCTTCACGACAGTGTCTAAAGCCTTTGGACTTCCTAGAGTTTCCCTTGTACTTCGTGCATGTTTGATCTTATTGAGTGCATCATTGATAAATTCCGTAGTGGTATTCATGGTAGTTGTGATGACAGATGAAACCTGTAGATCATTAGCTGTAAAGTAGCTATAAGGGGAGTAAAGGATTAAAGCTCAGCGCACCATTTTGATTGTAGTTGATATTACTTAATGGCTTTTGGTATTGGGGCTGCCCTTATATTATGATTGACTTGACCGCCTAGGCTATGTAATTGCGTAAATACCTCTATGTACCTACCCATGTAAGATTACAAGACTATGCCGGATTTTCTCTACAGCACCTACAGCATCATTGTTCAGATCGATAAACCTATATGCATATCGTCGCCCGAGATTAGCAACCGAATGAGGCTTGTTATACCAATCTCAGCCTAAAGACAGGGATCCATTATTGGGCTCATGTACGAAGTATTAGCCCGACGTGTTGCTGCCTGGGCGAAAGCCTTGGATATCTCCGGTGGCTGTATGGAGCATATTAGTACATATATGTGTATACCAATGGACCCATATATTGCTGTATCACATGCTGACCTACGCGCACCACACTCTACTTGCCCTAGATAGTGGTAAGATGCTGGTTATAATGACGGTGTACAACAAGCTTGTAGTCTGGAGGTTGCATTTGAGGAAGAGAAGCGATGTTGTCTCCACACCAGTCATTACTCTGTGTTCGGCTGCAAAACTATGTAATAGACACTTCATCTACATGAGCCTTGCGTAGAGCCTCAAGCAGCCAGGCTGAGTTTAGGCATCCATCGGGCCATGAGGATATCCCCACCCGCGGAATTATCATTTGGAGACTGACCTCATAGAACAACGACAATTTGCAGATACGGCCAAGAAATATCCAATGAATGATGCAGTTGTCATCACCGAGATGATGTCAAGCTATGAATCCTGCAAAACGTGGCCCAATCGTAACTACAGCGTTATTGACTTCTATGCCATCATGACATTCTGTTGGGCATCTATGCTAACTTGATGTACTAAGCTAGACAATCCATATTTCATTGGTAGGATGCCTAATTCATTGTAGGATGTCCATTTTCGCACATGAGGCTGAGATTTACCCCGCGAAGACGTAGCCGTTCCGCCGAGATCGTGCGATGCAGTATCTCCGATTGCAATGGCGTGCTGAAATCTGAACGATAAACTCCTCTACATTTGCAGTGGCGTTCATTGAAGATGGATACCTGCCACTTGTAAAACCCAACTATAATCTACAGGCGAATATGGAATATTTGCCCCTGGAGGTATCAATGTAAAGAAAAGTTTCAAGGACGGTAGAAGTACTCACATTAAGCCGAAATTGTTTAGCCAGACGCGCCATTGAGCTGGAGATAATCCAACTGACACGAGAATCCAATAACGGCAAGGCAGACATCATAGGGAGAAATCCACGCTTATATATACATAGAAATTAATAGATCTGAATATTCAGCTCATTAATCAAGCGACCCGCCATCGGTTGTGCTTCGTCAGTTCCCGTGGAGCTATGGCTAACACCGAACAGGCTCACACCGGAGAACATCGTTTCCGAATTTTGGAATAAACAGTGTATTAAAAAGATTCTTCATCCCTAGCCAGCAAATATGGAGATCAGATCGAGGTATTCCACTGCATCCAGGCAGATTATGGACGATGACAAGTCATATGACCCGGAGTTATTATCTCCACCGCAGATATTTTGCCCACTGAGATATAGGATAAATCAGGAAGGTGTTCATTGTGTTTAGCGCCGATGCGATTGAAGAGAGGTCTTTGACATGATTATGGATACTAGAGGTTTTCTTTTGACTGGTACCAAGAAAGGGGAGTTTGTTCAATCCTCATCAAATACTTACCTGTTGAATGTTGGGATGTTATATCCTTTCCACGAATATAAAGCTAACTGATATCATTGCATAAACAGATCGTCAAAGTGATTCATAGTTAGCCACCTGGGTAGGAATTTCACAAGTGACATGGTATGATTTAACATGCCATGAAGTCGGAAGCTCTCCGATAGTTTTCCATACATACATCAAATCTTATTAAATATATAGCATCCTGCACGAGTAGTACAATCAATTTTACCAGTATTCTTCACGATCTAAAGACTGGGGATGCGAGATGATGCAGTAAAAGGTTTGTAGAACCGTGTTTGAATCTAGTTCTTGGTCAAGGGGAAATCTCGCCGAGAACATGTATTCTTAAATTACCATCAACAGAAAATTTCAGTTTAATCGATGAATAGACTTGTGTACGCTGATCGCAGTAGTATATCAAGCTTATATCTTGTTTATGATCAAGAGTTTAATTAAAATATTGCTAATGCGGTGTCTCGGAGGTATTAGTCTATCTCCTGTAAGCATTTGGCTTCTCTGTCCAAGAGTGACATATCAAAATTAGACAGGAGGCACCCTTTGCTCATAAATACATATGCCGTATAAGTAATTATTGTTAATCTATGTCTCTGATTCCGGCCTTGTCCGTGGAATGACACCTCATCTTGCCATGCGGAGTGCGTTCGGCCGTATCCGCGGAATAGCTTATGACGCGCACTTATGCATTGGGTCCGGCCTCATCCGCGGAATCAGCCCTATTTCCTTCAACCTTTTACAGAAATTATGACAAATGTTATAGTGCAATTATGACTTTTCTGAGCATGGAATCGCTACGATAAGCATTAATTAAGTAAGTCGAAATGAAGATCATTTTTTCAAGGGTGAAGCAAGTCTCGACTCTAAGTATATAATATGTAATAGGTATCAAGAACTAAAAACTAGCTCTTTGACCTTAACAGTGTATGACCTAGAGAGGGCTCGAAAGTTTCAGTTTCATTACATACTAGATAAGAATCAGAGCATAGTGTGAACCTGGTTTATTCACTATGAAAATTACGACATTCATCCTTTCCATAGGATGGCCTATTCTCGGTTCAGCTACATCTCCATCAAAGCATCACAACAATGATGATGGCTCGCAGCTCACTAAATTTCTGACCGCTTTGACAGCCAGTCTATCCTCCAGCGCAAACATATCGACTCCTCTCTCTTCAGGCTTCGATTCATCAACGCAAAGGTGGACAGCATTCGCTAACCCCAACATCTCAATTGTTGTGCATCCTGCAACAACAGAAGACGTTGCCACCACGATCAAACTTGCAGATCAATACGAAATCCCCTTTCTAGCAACGAATCACAAGCATGGGACATCAACTGTAATGCAGAAGCTTCAGAACGGAGTGCAGATTGATATATCCGGTTTCGACAGTATTGAATTAAGCCATGATGCCTCAACAGTTTTACTAGGAGGGGGAGTTTATACAGAACAAGTTATCGATTACCTTTTTAAGCGCAATAAGATGACTGGTAAGCTAGACTCGTTCAGTATGGTACATGCTGAAATGTTTCTAATCCTTTTATTTAGCCTCCGGCAGTTGTGGTTGCGTTGGGCTTGTTGGAGCTGCTCTTGGAGGAGGTATTGGGAAGACGCAGGGTGCATTTGGCTTGATGCTTGACAACATAGTTGACGCAGTGATTGTGCTAGCAGATGGTCAGACACTGAATGTTTCTCAAAAATCACATTCTGACTTGCTCTGGGGTCTTCAAGGCGCAGGCCACAATTTTGGAGTCGTTACCCAGCTCACATACAAGGTTCACGATCTTTTCCCTGCAGATGGAAAATGGTACGTGGCGTCTTTATCATTCAGAAACGACAAATTGGAGCAAGTATTTGAACTATATAATCAATATACTGGTCCAGGGAGTGATGCGGGACTTACACTAACGATACAGCTTGGTATAAATCCTGACCTCAGCGCTGTTGAGGTGAGTCAAAGTACACCGTTTCACTATAAGATAAAATTTTGCTAATGCTGAGCTGAGCTGAGTAGCCGTCACTGAATTTGTTAATCAACTACGCTGGCTCAGAAGAACAAGCCGCTCGTTTTGCGAATCCTTTCGTACAGCTTGCCGATATCGCTAATGTCAATGCGTCCGTTCCATATTCTCAAGTTGCCTCAGTTAGTGGCACTGGTGTCGATGGTGCATTCTGCATGAATTCACCACTACGTTATCCACAGCTCCCTATCCAGCTCAACACAACACATATTCCAACAATGCGAACTATTTCCAATTTATTACGTGATGCATTCATTAGCAATCTAGGCTTTTCAGGCATTGTTGCTGTCGAATCATATGGTTGGCAGGCTGTCCAGGCTGTACCGGCAGAGTCAACTGCTTATCCTTGGCGAGGAGACCATCTCTTTGCGTGAGTATTTTCACTAGTTCTCATCATCTGGATAGGAATTTGCGGCTAACAAGCTCTAAGGTTCTTCATTGGTGGCTACCAAAATGCTAGCTTAGACGGAGTTGCCATTCAACTGGGCGAGCAGGTTAGAAAGGCCTTCCTCGACGGCAGCGGTCAAGATGAGCAACATTCATATATAAACTATGCACTCGGAACAGAATCTTTTGCAGAACTTTACGGTTATGATCTATGGCGCCAGAAGCGCTTACAAGATCTCAAAAGTAAATACGATCCGAAGAATAGGTTTTCGTATTACCATCCAATTCCTGTATGATACGGGTGTTGCAGTGCGGGTCGTATGGGCGCGACAATGGACCTACCATTATTTGAGGCCCGACCTTTTAACTAGCAACAGCTCTCTAGATGGTGACAATGTTCTCAGCTCCGGGCCATCAGGATCTCAAGATAATTCAGTCCAGCAAACTGAAGATATATGATTCAATTCTTTACACTCGTTTGGTAGCTAAGGATTCCAGTTTCAAACATAATTCACAATGCGGTTAGATTAGAATCTATAGATTCCTCCACTTGTTATTACTAGCTGCGTGATTACATTGCTCGATGCCGACCTAACTGTTCCGCCATCGTAAACTTGAGGCTTAGAGGTTTCGCCCTTACAAATGGCATCTACATTAATGCCATGGGTCACGAGTTGTTATAGAGGCCTGTATTGGGTGAGATGTTGTAAGTGGAAGAGCATGGTGAATGAGCACTTGAAATAATTTACTCTATTGCGAGTAGAGAGCTTGAAGCAAGCTAATCAAGGAAGTTGTTGTAGTTCTCAAATTACAATTACTGCTTCTGAACATTGAGCAAGATACCTAAGTGGAGCTTAATATGTAATCGATATTTTGACACATTTTTCTTAGGAGATTGTTGTAGCTCGAGGAATATAATTATATACAGTTCTCTCTTACGATGGATTCATGTACTATGATAGCCACATTGCAGCAGCTTATAATAGTAGTACGCGGGAAACAGAGTCACAATGTGAGAATCTTCTATTTAAAAAGATCTACAAAAATACTAATACCTTTCCATTCGGTCCATATGTATACATATGTATGTATGTAGAATCCCTCCTGCTATGCTTTCACTTTGAATCAAAAATTCGTTGTTTGGGCTCGTAGAGTTCTTCTAAATACTCCTGTTCCTCAACTGATAGTTTCCAATCTTTACTTGCAGCCTCGAGATATTCATTAAGCCTTTCGATCGAGTGAGCTCCTACTAGGGGCGCTGTTGTCTTCTCTTTAACCCAGACGAAAGCGACCTGAGCCATTGTCCAGCCTCTCTTCTGCGCAATTTCGTGGACTCTTTGAATTACTTGTCGATCGACATCAGTAATCGCGTAGTTTGGGTCATCCTTTTCTAGAGCTTGTCGTTTTGAGAGAGTGTCGTCATCTGTAGGTGGCAATCTAGCCAATGCTCCCCTGGCGAGTGGGGACCACGGCATAAGTGCAACTCCAGTTTCGCGAGCGAAGAAATTAAGCTCATGGTCGTCCTCACGATTCAGCAAGTTGTAATAAGACTGCATGCTGATGAACTGAGTAAGACCCTTGACAGAAGCAATATGTTGGAGTTGCACAAACTCAACAGCTCGCATCGAAGATGCCCCGATATAGCGAACTTTGCCCAGCTTAACAAGGTCATGCAGGGCAATCATTATCTATGAATTGAAATCAGCCATATAATAAGATGCCTAGATTCTTATCAACGTAGTTTACCTCTTCTTTATCTACACCACGATCCAACCGATGAAGTTGTAGGACATCGATATAGTCCATTTGTAAACGCCTGAGCGAAGCTTCAACCTGGTTAAAGATGGCAGTTCGGGACAAGCCGAAATTATTCTGAAAATCACGGTAGGTCGAAGCGTCTAGACCTCGACCAATGCGTGAACAACCGAACTCCGGTCGATCGTCCGTAAGCATATACGCCTTTGTCATAATAACCACTTGGTGTCGCGGGATATTGTATTCTTTCATAAAGCATCCTAGAATTTTCTCGCTCTCGCCTAGATTGATGTTACTCACAGCTAGGATTTGTAAAGCATCCGACATAATATTCATACCATTTGAATAGACATTGGCAGTGTCAAAGGTTTGGATACCTGCGTCCCAAGCAGCCTTCAAAATAGGCATCGCAGCTTCAGAAGAAATTGCCCAGTCTGCCCACTCTGGCGATCCAAAGCCAGCACAACCGAGAATAAATGGAGGGACTCGCAATCCTGATTTGCCCAAGTTGCGATAAGGTAGTCTAGGGATTGCTTCCAAGGCATTAGGCAGTTTGGAGTATGCCATTTCAGTCTGTCTTTGTCTCTTGTCTTTTGGCGGATTATGATAAAGGTCAAGCTACAGCTGATGGCGAATACAACGCCTTACGAGTATGGACTGGGTTTTTATAATTGCAATTTTGTGTTCTATATTCCCTGTTCTTTTATCTGTTTCGTACCTTACCCATCCGCTGCATGATACCGCACGACATTTCTTCTTTCGTGGATCAGCCTCTTATAATTCGGACGCTACGGATGCACTTGAGAGACGCTACAGATAAGCACTACGGACACGCTACGGACGCAGCACCACTCCATAAAACATCCATTGACCCCACATCCTACTCCGTACCTAGGTACTGGAGTATTTCCATATGGATTACATAATACTGCACGTCTATTTAGTAAACTCAATCGCCGAGTTACAGCAGATGTCGAAAGAAGTGTCCGGAATTTGTTGTTCTGAATTGCTTTCCGCACGTACTCATTCTGCGGTGCAGCGTGGCTAGTACCGTGTACACGCTTTGAATTCGTCCAGAAAAGGGTTTCGTTGCATTGGGGCTGTGACCACCATTGTTTCTAATGGATGAATACAGGTACAGGTACATGTATCAAACAGGCAGCCACAAGGCTGGATGATCAGTCGCCAGATTCCGTCAAGGCATACGACAACATGCATAGCCTCGGATCAAAACATACCTAACCGTGAGCTTCCCCCGCACACATACCCCAGAAGCTGCTTTCTCATAGTTCGTCTTCATTCACTAAGGCGGCGCAATGAACGGCGACGATGACGATAAGAATCAGTCACTCCATGAACTTTGCCAAGGCCATGGAGCTTCTATTATCTCGCAGCTCGTTGATATAGGCATCGAGCGCAATCAGCAAAGACACCTCAAGTTCCGCCCCTTTATCAGCCACCTTTATTGTCTTCGGCCTCAAGGCAAAACGTTGCGCCGCAAGTATATTAATGCCTTTCACGAGCGTCAGTATGTCGCGCTATCCTATACATGGAAGCCTTCAGAGTACGAAGATCCTTATAATGGGCGGTACCACGTTGAGAGCTGGGATCGCAGGCGTCTCGAACCTTCGGCAGTTCGGAATTGTGTTCTTGATCGTGTCCTTGGTTACATGCATTACGCCAAAGTTGAGTTCCTCTGGATCGACGCCAACTGCATCCAGCAAGACACATGCGGCGTTACCGCCTGCACCAGACACCGCCGTTGCACTCGGAAGCGCAATGCTCTACAAGCTATGGACCTCGTCTACCAGCTCAGCGAGCACCCCGTTGCGCTATTAGCCCGTCCCCTGCAGACTGAACCCGAGCTGGACCTCTTAAAACAAATCCTCTTGGGGAACCTCGTCTGCGGCGACCGTAGCTTTCGGCTCTCACAAGCGACTACTGTTCCCAAAGCGAGGAAGGCCTTGTGGCTACTTCGCGAGATTACTCGGGACATTTGGTGGAATCGCGCGTGGACTTTCCAGGAAAATTATCGTGGCGGAGAGCGAATGCAACTCCTGATCCGCCATGATCCATCACTGGAGCGGCAAAAGCTATTCCATCAGATATTTGGTGAAATACCGGGCGAGTTGCGTGTGCTGTCCATCACATTCTCCACGCAGGCGACGCGCCTGTGCCTGGCGCTTCGCAGTCGAGAGGTAGAACTGCCGCCGGATGACGTCTGCCGGATCAACGACGTGCTTCGAGCGGCTGGGAGGTATAAAGAGGTACTACACGAGTCAAGCGCAATGACACCGACAATAATCACCGACATAGAAGCGCGCGGGTTGTTAAAGCCGTGGGACCGGCTCGCTATTCTTGCGAATTGCTGCCAATACCCGGTGCGGTTGGATTGTGAAGCTCTTAGCAAGCAGCGTCATAGCTTAAGTTTGTCGATGATGGTCATGTGTTTACTCAATGGCGAGATTCTCGACAATAGCGACAATAACTTACAGCTGGTGGCCCCGCTAACGACCTCGGAGTTTCTTAAAAGAAACATGTTCGAAGCATTCAACGCGCCCGAAGACGACACGAAGCGGCTAACGTTCAACAAGGGCTGCCGACTGACCGACGTGAAGCTAACAGCGGATGGCATCTTGACAAAGGGGCACTTGTGGAAGTTAAGCCGCGTCATTGACACCTCGACGTTTTTGACGCTACCCTTCATCAACAACCCGAGCGGTCGATTAACACTGAACCAAAGGAAGCGTCTACTAAAGCTGGTTTTCCGCTTGAGTCATCTAAAACACCGCATTCTCGCCGCCCGAATCGACGAGTATCTTGCCGCCGACGCCAACTCTGACACCGAGGAGGATTACACCTCCTTCTCTGAGATGTATCTACACCGTATGGCCGCTGAATTAGCATCAGCGATTAGGGCAGGCCGAAAACTAAGGTTAGGCAGCAGATGGGACCCGATGAGTCGGCCGGAGCCGTACAGGGCAATCTTTGTATGGTCAAATGAAGACGAGGACGAAGACGAAGACGAGGCACATCCTCCGCCGACGTTCGTCTTCACCTCAGCATGGCCTCGTGATTCGGGCTCGAAGACTCACGAAGCTAACGACATCGACCGTCACGTTTCGCTTGAGGTTAGCCTTGAGGAGCCCCTCGACGGCGCTGGTGTCCCGCACCTCCGCGTCCGCAGGTGGCGGCTCGGCATGTGCTTCTTCGACGGATACCCACGCACTGAAGTTATATTTCCTTGGCCACGAGCGCTGCAAGAAATTAAGCCTTAGTATATGGCCCAATAAGCAGTAGAACTATCCGCGTTTACTGGTATCAATCTCACTATTAGGATTAGCCAACATTCTAATACATACATAATAATTCTCACTTCTTCTGCTTTTATATGCTGGCCAGTTGCCAAAGCTGTAGTTCTAAATAGTTGTATTTCACGCGAGATATATGCGTAGACAGTATCCAACTAGATTATGAAGTTGAGTAATGAGTTGAACCTTGAGGACCATCGGTTGAGTTTACAAGCCTAGGTGGCATACCATCATATTTAAAACGCGGCTCGATTTTCGCCCTCTCTCTCCACCCCACATACCTCTAGAGTTGTATTTGTTCACAAAGCCTAAATTGTAAACTGCTATATATCTCAAGTAAACATAGCCCCTGCCTTGATGTGAAGGCTTAATAGTACAATATAGAATTTTCGACATACATTGGTGTTTGGTATTATATTTCCACCCGCACTGTACTACATGTAGCCACAAAGCCCCACAACCAAGTCCGTGCAGACAGAGATTCTAAGGCAAAGGGAATTGGAACACTTTTTCGGATTTCGGTTGTACGGAAGGAAAGCTTAATCCGACATTAGCCATTTTAATGCCCCATCTCTCATCTCATCTTCCTTTCTGCCATATTTCTGTGTACGAAGCCATGACTGAAATTCCACCACTCAATGGCAATTACGCACCACAAGCCTGCACGGCATGTAGGAAGCGAAAAGGCAGATGCGACAAGGCGCTCCCTTGCTGTAATTTCTGTAAAACGTGTGTAAATTTCCTCAGCCTTCTCTGCCGCCATTTCTTTCAGATTCATGTAAAGAATCGATAATTCAGACTAAATGAAAGCAGGAGAAGCCAACTTTGCTATTATCCTGACAAGATTGTTCAGACCACTCTCCGCCAAACAGCATGCTTCCCACCGGCTTTCTTCCTTGACCATGGCCTACCTAGCGCATCTTCTTTCTCCATTCCGCCACCCGACCTTGAGATACCTCCCTATGTATCGGCTGAAGTCGGGAACTTATTGCAGCGAAATTTAATTGCATCTCGTTTCTTTGCCACTATCCATCTATGGATGCCGATTGTCTCAAAGCGGCGGTGGTTCAATACCCTTTTAAGCCCGCTAAGCCTGGATCGTGCCGACGTTGCTCTTCTCTGCATAGCTATGAAGTTGATGTTGTGGTTGCCAACTGCCAACAGTTCAGATCCACATACCACAACCTATGTCGCAGCTCGACAATTTCTATACAGTTGGGAAATATCCAGGGCACTTACTCTTCCAACCCTTCAGGCGGCTGTCCTAATAACCTTATATGAGATTGGCCATGCTATTTATCCTGCGGCCTACCTCTCTATTGGTGTTTGTGTCCAATATGCTGCTGCCTTGGGGCTTGATTGGAGAACAACTTATTGGAAAGAAGGTGATCGAGACTGGGTTGAGTCCGAGGAACGCCGCCGGGTTTGGTGGGCCATTGTCATTTTAGAACGGTATGTATCGCAGATTCAGCTATTATTCTTACCGTTTTTCGTTCATTTCTGCCAGTTCTAATACACTGCATATCCCTCTTTTCATTATTGACTTGCCTATAGATATATCTCATTAGGATACCCACAGCGCCGAGTTATTACCAAAGGGCCTAGTAGAGATGAAAAGCTGCCTATTGATGACATAGCATGGGACAACGAGGTATAGTATTATTCTGTATTAATGTGTGGAATCCCATATCTCATTCTCGACAGATTATGATGCCAAGCTATCCAATGACCGTATCCTCGCCGAGCAATATAAATATGGGTAGATTTGCTCGCCTGTCTCAGGCGACTTATCTCTTAGATCGAGTATTGCAGCAATTACAAGATGATGCGGTTTTCTCTGAATCGCTCGTCGAAGAAGACATTCAACTAGATAAAGCTCTTCATGCGTTGCTGGCTTTTACAGAAAGTGAAAGTAATCGAAGAGAGATACGAATTTGCTCTCAGGCTGCACTCTGCCAAAGGTTCATATTTTACACAACGCTACGTTTATATGAAGCTAATTTTGGTGTTTTTCTTCAGTGCGCTTGCAGTCCTTCACATTCCATGGTTATACTCAAGGTGTGAGGGCGAAGCTGTTGGAAATCGCTCTTCACTAGCTTGGAATGCAATGAACCAGCTGTCCAGTGAATTCTTAAACTATTCAACGAAAACTCTGCATGGGATTGAGCTCCCATTTGACGAAACATCTCCTTTGGCACTTCACTGGGGCTATCAGGCACTCATACACTTTCGCCGATTATCACACAAAGACTCCGGATCAGACGCTCTCATAGCTCAAGAAACCGTTAAAAACGCCCTAAAGCTTGCAAATAGTCGATGGAAGCTGGCAGGTTAGTACCCTTTTTACTAGTTTCAGAAAAAGTGTATTAGCAGATACAAACACTTACTATACATAATAGGAGCGTATTTAGATATCTTCGCAGCTCACGAGTATAGAGAGTGATCAAGGAAAGGAAACGGCAGTTACGGCACCATCTTTTAGTTCACGGTCGGTCATGTTAGCCATACTGGCGTCGCTAACATGCCCATATACGCGGGGCAACAACACGCAAGAGACTATTGGTAGGCAGAGAACGATGTGTCATGCTGGCCACTGCGGAAAGGAGTATATTACATGCCGCGATATCTCATGGATGAGTGTGCAGGGGGAGTTTTCCCTCCTGCAAGTCGCCAGCTACATGCAAGGCCAAACCCAGAGCGGTTTAATTGGCGGTGCTAAACCCGCCAAGCCTTTCATCGAGAGTGCGGGAAGTCTTAATGATGCGATGCTCGAGATATCAAATAATTACACACGCAACCTGCTTGAATCGTTAAGTTGCAGACGGCGATGTACGGGCTCGAGGATGCCAAAACCTTGCGGATGGTTACCTATCTATTCTGTCCATCTTCTTGTGAAACCCAGCGCTACGGATTAACGAGTGTATTTTATTCTAAGGGCTTATATTAATATTCATGGAAAGAAGCGTGGACAAGGTATGGCAACATGGACCTGTCTGCAAATCTTTAGAGAATAAGGCACATGGTCAGCACAGTGCAGTATGTTAATATTGTATATAAATTACGAAAAGAAATCTCAATGGACTTCAAGTGCCTTGAAGTTCCCAAGAACGCCCCCAATATCGATGTCCTAGCCTTCTGTTTAACGTGTAAGACCTTGTCTCAGCGGAGGGCTCACCAAGCTGAGAGCGATTACCATGATGAGAAATGGAGTGTATCACTTGGTTATTTGTATTTCCTGCTTATGGATCACGTTGTTATAATCGATGAGAGACTTTCACATATCCTGAGTTAGTGTATCAACAGCGCTTCCAAGCCGTCTTAGCCCTGAGCGCCGAGTTCGCCAACTTCGACGACGAATCTCATCACCTTGCGATCCGCCGCGGGTGGCGCAGCATCTTGCAAGGAGCCTCCTGACATCTAATCACCTTCGACTGTGTTTATGGTTTTTCACTGTTTTCAGATAGGAGCACTCATCTATTTATTCGGATACATGCCTCTCTTCATTATTCATCAACCAGGGTCATGTCAACCCAGCTGCTTCAGATGGCCTCGCACTAATTGACTTCTAATCATTTTTCTCTGTCCATGGGCTCAGTGCATCCAGAAACCTGGTGTGCGCCGCAGCATCACCTGTTCCCTTCAACACTTGTTGATACTCTTCCGTGCCGAGGCACTTGAAGAAAAGCAAAATACCCGCCCACATAAAATCAGCGTAGCTGACAGTATCGCCCAAAAAGTAAGGCCCTGAAGTCTCGTTCAGCAGCGCCGTTATCTCCCGCGCAAATGGTTCGGCTCTTTCAAAGGCTCCAGGAGAATTCTGTTTCCCGTAGTCATACAACGGCATGCCCACGTCCTCCTGCCGGGTTGTATGAAAGAAGTCGAGGCTCTCCTCGCCTAGGATCTTCTGCGCTACTCCTGGGACGTATATTGGCGTGAGCTCTTCCATGAATTTTATCATGCTATTTCTGAATCTAGCCTGCACTGGCGTGTTCAAAAGCACCTTTGGTTCTGGGTACTTCTCCTCGATGATGTCGGCAATCTTGTATGAGTCCATCACGTAAGAGTCATCAGGCATTTGTATAGCTGGGAGCGTAAATTTGGGTCCTCTTTCATTCGGTGGGACACTAATATTTCCAATTCATTAACAACTTGCTCATTTCTATTGCAATGTACATCCACCTACTGCTGAATAAGTCTCGGGCCAATGTCAGGATATTCGACCTGTCAGTGTTAGAGTCAAAGGCCCAGCCCACATGGCTCTGACTCACCCATTCGGTCTTGTAGTCAAGGCCCTTATAGTTCAAAAGCAACCTGGCTTTTTATGGATTTTAGCATCCATATATCTGACAAGAATTCAATGAGCGTACTTACTCCTCCATATGTTCATCGACCAGCACACCTGTGGTGCTTTAGTTGGGATGTCGAAGAGCGTGTAAGTGCTGGATGACATATTGCTCGTTATTAGAATTGAGTTTTTTGCACAGAAGATATAACAACCAAGTCCCGCGATGGCGCATTAAAGTGAGGCTTATGTTGGCAGAACAAGAGAACAAACAGATGGTCGGTCAACAAACCCCTTGGGAGCATAGCCACAAATCCTTCAATCGATTGGGCCTAGTAGACCCATCGATTTATCATGATCCCCCATTCCCCTAACTGAATACGTCCAAGCTGGATCCAAGCAAGAGTTGCCGCCAGAAATGACCTTCCGATTTAATGGTGCTATTATATGCTTATTTACTGAAATATTCGACCATCTTTTTTTTTTCCTTATGAAATACAGGTAGATTGATGATGCAGATGGGAACAGAAAGCTCATGGATCCGCTGCAATTATAGGTACCTATCAATATTAGCGATCACTCCTAGAGGCACGCCTTTAACTCGACGAGCTGCCTATTGCGGCTCAATCAGCAGCCTACGATCGCCGAAAGTCGATTAAGTAATCACATCGTTATGATCCTGTGTAGAGTGCAATATGGGATTGGATGTCGATTCTTAAATTACATGATGGTCAATAGGCTGCCACTTTGAGAAGCCAATGCGTCTGCAGAGCATCGATTAGTATGGCATTATCCGCTTAAATGGACGGTGTTCTTAAGAGAGACTAATTACCGGATTGTTATCAATTATCGGGCTTCAGGCCTTTATTTGCCGCTGTCTATACATCAATACGTAACCTCAAATTCAAATAAAATTGCTCGAAAGTCGTTGCTCAAAGCATCAAGTCGACAGTCATGGCCGCTGTAGGAGCTGTCCATTTGCCCGCAACAGTGTCTTCCTATACGCCATCGCCTCTTATGTGTTCCAGTGAAGCCACGCATCTCGATGGGATCGAAGAAAATAAAGAAATCAAATAGTTCGAATATATGTGAGATTTGTTAATTCACCTTAAAGAGCTTTGTGCGTCAAGGAAGTTCGGTATAGCATGTATGCATGTGGTCTCATTCGTTTTACCAACTGTTAAATTAATCCCCCAGACGCTCAAAATCCATCCACTTCTAACATTTCAAGATCTCTCTTAAGATTAGTGGTTTTATAAGACTCCCATTCCTTATTTGCGGTCATTTTATAAGATTCCCACAAATTGGATGCGAGTAGGTCGGTTTTGTTTTCCGTGTCTTCTTGATTCAATTCGTCTACCGTGTCGTTGGGCAGCCGTACTCCTTGATCATACTTGAAGAACTTGGTCTTGTCCCATGTCTCCTTGACACGACGAAGCTTCTCAGCGTTGTCGCCAAAATATGCCCTCTCGTACATCTGTCTCGGAAAGTCGCCGTCGGGGAAATTTATAAAAGCGGCTTCGCCGTTAAGCGAGAGTGGCCTCAGTGCCCTCTTAACCTCTGCGTGGAAGGATCTCATGTCTCTTTCCATCCACTTATCCGCCCATTCTACCGTGACATAAGCATGGAAAACAGTTTCACGCCAGAAGAAAGCTGACTCGGTTGGCTTCCTTTCGGTTGCCTTGCCACCGGAATGAATCCAAGTAACGAGGAAGTTGACCTGTTCTCCTGGAAATTGGCTCCGGAATTTTTTCATTAAATTTTGAATTGTGCCAGTAATTTTTTCAATTTTTGCTCTGTCATCGTTTTTAAAACAAAAAGAACTAAAGAGTTCGTATGTCTTGTTTGTTGGATAGGCTCGTTCGGTCTCCTCCAGCCATTGATTCACAAGGGTCTCGTAGAGGAAACGTGTCGATGGTTCAGGCAGTACTCTTCGTTTAAGTTGAGTATTTAGTTCCTCATTTTTTATGTGCTTGTTGATTAGTTTCTCGTAACTGTTTTGGCTACCATCAAAGGCAATAATGAATCGAATGCCATCTTGTTTTTGACTGAGGTCACACATCCAAGTACTATCAATCGTGATGTTGTTAGGCCAGTTGGTCGTGTAGAAATCGTTCATTGTAGAGATGACTTCGTTGGAAAGTCCCGCATTAGAAAGTCCATCGTCGCAAGATCCCTTGTCAGTTATCTCTTTCTTGGGCTTGGGAAACCATTGGTACCTGCCCGCGACCACAGTGCCATATGCATTCTCCAGTTCTTGGACTTCGAGCTTCATCTGGACCAGGACTCCGAAATTGCCGCCACCTCCTCCTTGAAGGGCCCAAAATAGTTCGCCTTCCTTGGAGTTTGGATCGTCAGTCTTCTTCACAGTAACCACTTCTCCTGTTGCCGTTACTACGGTTGCCTCTGTCAATGTGTCGCATCCCATTCCGAAACTCCGAGTAAAGGGCCCAAGACCACCGCCAAGAATGAATCCGCTCACTCCTACAGTTGGGCAACGTCCCCCGTTGATGATATAGCCCTCATGTCCACCATTGATAAGTGTCTGATAAACATGGCCCCACTGGCAGCCAGCGTCCATGGTGACGGTCCTCGATTTTATATTAAGATTGACCTTGTTCATCCTCCTAAGATCCAGCGAGACGCCTTTGAAGGCAGTAGAGTGACCTGCGTATGAATGACCGTTGCATTTGATGGTGAGATTGACCTTTTTGGATGCTGCTTCCTTTACAATGGCCTGAACATGTGCTATCGTCTCAGGTTGAACAACGCAATCGGGTCTTGAGAAGCGAAACAGGCGATTCGACGTGGCAATAGCGCGGTCATACTCTGGCTGTCCAGGTTCAAGGACTGGGACATTCGAAGGTTTGAAGAGTTGTCGGGTTGCCGACCTGAGCAAACACAGGGAAGCCCGCATCTTCAAACAATATAATGTTGAACCCCACTCTTGAGAGAGTGTGTATTAGCATCATAATTAAAAGCTTTTCGTCCTAGAAAGTCACTTCTTTTATACCTTAACCGTTGGTGTTGTAGGGCACCAATCTCAAATCCCCGCGAACGGCAGACGGATCGAGCTGGCGCAAGGGAGCGGGGATTCTCCATCAAACCGAAAAATAGCGTGGTATGATGGATCAGATTTATTCTGTCTATGTACCTCACCAAGACGGTAATTGGTCTATTTGCCAAACAGGATATTTGCTCTTGCATCATATTATTAGCGATTCGATAGTCGCACAGGCAATAATTTCCATCGCACTAAATTGGCTCCGCATATTTTCCTACTCGTCAGCCAGCCCAGCCAGCCACAACACATCTTTCAGCCGGATTAGAACGCCTTTGGTGAATGGTATTCAGCTTTGTTTGGTCAGATATTTTCCCCGCCTGGATAGCGAGTCCAAATATTGGAAGCCTAGTCAGACACATAGATTTAAGCCGCGTATTTAGTGAGCTGCAATGCTGCCCGATATGGCTTCTTTGGTATGATAAATGATACAAAGTGTCCGAAAGCTACCAAGCGTAGGCTGAGAGCACTCTCTGGTTGAGCTTGTACTAGCAAAGCATTCCTGCTATAAGTATGGTACCAAGGCATCAAATTGGCCATTCATCTACATAGTGCGATCTTTCAGAGACGTGTTGCTTAGAAAGTTCGAACGATCATTATGTCGATCTACGAAGATGCCCGAAAGGGCCTTCTTGTTGGGTCTGTTCTTGACGCTTACATCGAGAACAAGCCGAATACTTTAGATGAACAAAGCCCTGATACAGGCTTGACGGCTCTGGCAATAGCCGCAATCGAAGGATTTCCTGACGAAGTTGAGCAGTTACTTAAAAAGGGAGCTGGACCAGACGCCCTCTCTTCGAACCTTGAAACCCCTCTCCTCCTGGCAGCCTGGAAGGGCAAGAAAGAGCGTGCCCGGATCATCCAGCTGCTTCTCAAAAGCATGCCTCCAGGCTCGCTTAATCGCACTTGCAAAGCAGCAGATTTCAACACACCGCTGATGTTCGCAATTAAGAACAAGGATTACGAATCCATCAGGTTGCTGGTACAGGCTGGAGCTGCCAACGACGAAAAAATCACAAATGTTGATGGCTTCACAGTGAAGCAGATAGCTGACGCTGTAGGGGATCGACTAGTGACTCGTTCACTTTTGCCAGATGAAAAGCAAAAGGCGGCATTGCTCGCTGCCAGTGTCACTAGTTTGCTACTCTACATCGTTGCATGGGCAAATAAGACCGTAAATGGATTGGTTACGGAATTATTCGAACTGGACCCCGAAATCAACGAGTCAATTGACAAAGTAGGTGAAGCTGAAATAGCCTGGAGAATTAATATGGAAGCAATTCATTAACTCAAAATAAAGCAAATAACTCAAAACAAGGACTTAACCAGGGAGGAATTTGTCGACAGAGTCGAAGAATGGATGGAAACGCATGGTCCACTGAAGCGATTCTTCCAAGAAAACGATGGCTTTGTTCAAGAGATAACTAAGAAACTTGTAAACCTGGGGAAAGACCCCACCAACAAGCTCCGGAATCAGGATCGGTCACAAACGATCAAGCTGTCCTTATACAAACAGGTCATCTACTGTGGTAAGTCATCCAAAATCCAAAAGCATTATTTGAAGCTCTCACATATTCCCCCCACCTAACTCGCAATCATGCTCGATAGATGACAGCACCACGATGAAACGCGAAGGACGCTGGGAGAGCCAAAAGGAACTGGTCCAGCGTATCGCCAAAATAACCACCATGGTCCTCCCAAGAAATGAAGGGGTTACTTTGCGATTTATTAACCGAAACGTTGAGAACTCTGACAATCTAACTCTTGAACATTTGGGGAATCTTCTGAAAGGCATGGACTGGCAGCCTGGTGGCGACACCGCGATTGGTACAAACCTGCGGTCCAAGATTCTCCAACCACTAGTCTACCGCAAGCTCGAAGATGGGACTCTTGAGAGACCAGTGCTTGTCATTATTATGACCGATGGTATGCCAGAGCGCGAAGATAGAACTGAGCTTGAAAAGGCCATTCTGGAATGCGAAAAGAAGATACAAGAAAGTGGCTACCCTCCCCAAAGTATGTATAACCGGTTCCTCTAGCTTCGTTTTCTTCTTCTTTATAAGTATCATCTATTAACCAAAATATTAGCTGTAAAATTCATGATTGGTCAGGTAGGAACTGCAAAGTCTGCTACAAAATTCCTAGCATCCCTCAGGCAGAATACAGACATTGCCCGAACAACATTAGTAACTTCAGGTATGCTTCCTTGCATTTTAAATTAATACGTTTACTCATACGTTCCAGAGAAACTTGATGATGCATTCAAAGATTATAAAGCAAACGACGGAAAGCTAGATAAATGGGTAAGAGTTCCATGTTGCTTCTGTCTCGTTCATGTTAGTTTTCTCGTGCAATACATGACGCTAACATTTCGCCTCTAGCTAATTGAAACTTTGTTCTCCCCATTTCAGAACTTGACGGGAAACAATCAACACTGAATATACGCAATTTTATACTTGAGTGCAAACATAATGAGAAATATTTACATACTTCTTGCATTCCAACAACTGAATTAACTGCTAGTGATGCCGCTTTCAATCCTTGTATCCTCAGCTACGCAGCGATCTTTAGGCCTTTCCTGTATCTGCTTTTTTTCTACTTCCAAATTGTCTGAGAACTACCACTTTATCTCATTATATACCAAATTCAATTAAATTCCACACCTGGCTACAAGTACACATGTAATTTCATAGTGCCAATAGTTAAACGTTTGCGTTTGCCGTTTCAAGGTGCATAGGCTGAACGGTTTTACAGTCTTGTGTCTTACCACCATCAACATATAGAGTGTTCTCGATTTCGTAATTTGTGTCCGGAATGCTCCAAACCACGAACGCAGCAAGTGGCAATGACAAGATAATGAGCAATGACGATATTAGGACTTCTCCAAGGTACGGGGTCTGAATGATGATATCAGGATTTCTGTACGCCATGCGGCGTTCTATCCCCAGCTATCATTGTGTTAGCAAGCCGGCCCCGGCCCCGGGCAACTGCCGACTGGCATGGCCATTGCTATACCTAAACAATTCTTATATAACGAAGAACTTATAAAGAAAGCATAGCAATGTCTTCGACCTAAGACACTTCGATGCGTTTTTCGAGGCGCAATCTGAGGGGATTGTTACATCTCTTCGTCGAGTTAGGCTTTAAATTATTGTCGGGGCTAAGGAGTAATATTACACTTGTATAAACTGCCAGATGGAGGTGGGCCGTCTACTAGCTTCGGCATCAACCCCAGATTTCTTATCAACTAACCAACCTTCATAGGCGAGCAACCAGGACTCTAAGTGTCCTGCTAATCAATTAACTTATCATTGTTGAACTATTTACATCAAATTGGTCAAGGCAGGATAGACGTTATAGGAATTACAGCTACTACCAACGGGTTGGGTCTCTCCGATTTGTATCAGCTCCCTCTGGGACGCACATTATACATATATACCGACTTCGCTACAAAGGTCTGTAAAAAGATCCGCTGGATGCAACAGTATGAATATGTGGCCGCCAGCCTGTTCCAACATATTCCATGGCGGATGAGTATGATATGAGCAAAAAGTCTCGACATAATACGCTTCAAATCAACCGCCCATTACGTAGTGCCTATGAAGTCCACATCTAGTAGTCACCCTTCCTCATACAGTGTTACGTTGCATAGCAGTGCATTCTGGAGCCTTCAATCTCCTTTTCCACCTGATATTCAGTGTAATGTGCATCCATCATGTTGCAAGTCCGTGATTCAGCCAACACGTTCGGCCCGGCCGTTGCTCAGTCTCATCGTCCGGCCCGATTTTCAGTGAGAAAACCCGGCCCGAAGTCGCTCGGTCCGAGACGTGCCACTCCCCACTCTCCACCCTCCAGGCAGAGCGCACTCCTTGAAGATGGATATAATAAACAGCATCACGCTGCTTTAGAATGAGGGCGTTCTCCTCTGGATTGATGAAAAGTGTAACATCTGATCGCTAGGCAAGCATCTGTCTTAGGGAAATGGCCGCCTCTCCAGTAACTCTGTTAATACTCGGTGCCGGCAACCGTGGCCGTGTAAGTGCACATACTGGTAGATCCATAAGAAGCCTCGTCTATTGGTTTTATTGTGTTATTTTACGTCAAAGATCGGTGAAATAATAACCATCCCACAGGCATACGCCAAGTATGCGCGGGACAACCCCAATCTCGCCAAGGTTATCGCTGTTGCTGAGCCGCGCCCGGAACGTAGGCGGGTTTTCGCTAAGCCTCATCAGTATATCTGCCGCCATATCTTAACTTTCGTTTTGTTTGCTAATTTTTGTATAAGTATCCCGGATGAGATGCAATTCGCTGATTGGAAGGAGCCACTCTCAAGGGGTAAGATTGCCGATGCAGTCATCATCGCTATATTAGTAAGTAATGCCCTATAAGTATTGCTTTGCGGATCAGTCGAATGTCATTATATGTTGGCGTATGAAGTTTAATGTGAGAATATACGTATAGGATAACTTGCATGTCGAAGCTGTCGCGGAATACTCCAAGCAAGGATATCACATCCTCTGCGAGAAACCTATGGCAACAAATGTTGCCGACTGTATCAAGATGTTCCGAGAAATCACCAGCCTACCTATTCCAAAGGTGTTTGGCGTTGCTCACGGTACGCTCTCCATAGCCTCCTTGTTGGCAATAGATAGAATATTAACGGTGGCTAATGTCTGAAGTGCTGCGATATTCGCCCTATAACCAAGCCATTAAGGAAGTTATTGACTCTGGCGCAATCGGCGAGATTATTAATATTCAGCATATTGAGCCAGTAGGAAGTCGACATTTTGTGCACTCATATGTCCGAGGAAACTGGCACAAAGAAGCAGATTCCACTTTTGCTCTTATGGCAAAATGCTGCCAGTAAGTTCTCCATGTCGCCCAGTCCCCAATTTTGCATATTCAAAGGAATTAGCGACATCGATATTCTCTCTTTCTATCTCTCGGGCTTGAAGCCTTTGAAGGTCCATTCGTTTGGGTCTCTTTCGCATTTCAAGAAGTCAAAAAAGCCAATTGAAGCGGGCGATGCAATAAGCTGCCTTGACTGCCCATATGAGTCTCAGTGTGCTTGGAGCGCTAAGAAGATATACTTGGAGACCCTAGGACGAGAAGTGAAGCAGGTAAGTGCATGCTTTATTATGTATTTGGTGGCTATGGGAATTCGGTGACAATTTCCCGGCTCTCAGTGCATCCAGAAGCTAACTGTTTCTAGTATTCGCAAAAGATAGTCGACGCGGAAATACCCGATATTGAGAATGTCACCGCAGTTCTGAAATCAACTGCATATGGAAAATGCGTTTATGAATGCGACAACGATGTAGTTGATCACCAAGTCGTCAACATTGAGTATGAAGGTGGCGTTACTGCTAGCATGACTATGTCAGCCTGTGAGTGTACCAGATACTTCTTATTCATGATTATGAAGGTACTAATCTATAAATGAAGTTACTGAAAGTGAATGTTATCGCGGCACTCGTATTCAAGGAACTAAAGGAGAACTAATCGGAGACATGATAACATTTGTACGAATCCACTTCCGTATTTTGATATGCCAGGCAAATAACTAATCTTGTTGACTCTCTCCTATAGGACGTTTTTGACTTTGCCGACCGCACATCAAAGCATTTTGCTCCAAGGCAGGATGGTGGAAACCATGGTGGTGGGGATAAAGGAATCTCGGAGGCTTTTGTGGCCTCAGTTGCGAACAACAGCCAAGTAGAGCTCAGAGTGACGCCTCAAGAAATATTGGATTCTCATCTTTTAGTTTTTGCAGCCGAAAAATCACGACGAGAGGAACAAGTTATCAATTTCAGTCAGTTTGAAGAGGACTGCATGTTGGGTAAGGATGTTGGATTTTAGACTTGACGCAAAATTGACTGCACAGAGTCCAAATATTTCTCTTAGAGCGTGAGAATAGTTAAACTCTGTATATAGAATTTGGAATGATTATAAGATCATGGCCAGTGGGCTGTTATTGCATTGAAACTGGCAAGACGGGCAAGTCTTTCACCTTGTAGAATTGTTTCCTAAGCTCTTTAGCCATTTCAATTATAATATAATCAACATATTCATCTTCGTATAATTTTCAAAATCCGCCATATCTAGTCTTTTCTTTTGTGCTTTCTCAGGTAATCGATTTTAATCTGCCCTCACCGATCGAAGAATGACACCTTGGGAGCCTACAATTTCTTTTCTCCCAAAGGCAAAGTTTTCACTGTACGATGCATATCAACAAGTACATGAATCTCTGATATTCTTTTTAAAGTATGCTTCCGTATATCCGTTGGTAAAAGAAAACGTAGTTTTGGAAGTGTTACCTCTGGTGGTAAATCTCGTGTCAAACATTGCAACTCTCTCTTGAGCATTCTAAAATGTCATTCAGCTGAACTAATGCAGTGTAATCAAACTTTTAACCTATCTCGGCAATTATATCTGACACCAGACTCACAATCACGTGCCGCTTTTAACCCAAGTGTAATTGGGCGTCGTGTTAGTGCCGAAGCAAACTTGGGAGCTGCAGCCTAAAGGTCGCAGTGACAATGGAGAGCTCGTCAACGCACGATTCGCCTCCACTACAGCGTCAGAATGGCCGACTTCAGGCGTGCGATCCTTGCCGGATCCGCAAGGTCTCTTGCGACCACACACTGCCTGTGTGCGGGCGGTGTATGAGACAGAACCGACGGAAAGAATGCAACTACACCACCAGTGGATCGAGACCGAGGAGGCTCGCCAGACATATGTCAAGATCCTCCTCGACGGCCATCCAAGCTACTGATACCGACCAAACCGTGCCATGTACTTCATCATCTTATACGCCTCTTCCTAGTCTGCCACGTGTTTCCAATTCCTTGACTGCCTGTCAACAGCACATCCGTACTGTTACTGATCCCGGCTCGGGATATCTCGGCTCACTCAGCCACTCCACTGTCTATGAGGAAGCCAGAAATAGACTATCTACGCTTCACAGCCTTCCAGTCTTCTCCCCTCCGCTTAGCGATGAAACAAAGAAAGCCAGCTACAACAGCTCATCCGTACTCCTCTCTTCTTCAATACGAGACAGGTGGCTTACTGTACTCCGCAGCCTGCCACGTCCATCAAGCTGTACCATTAGGCTCCTAACCACGCCAAATAATAGCGGCGGATGGGTCCGGGTTGCTGCTCACCAGATTATCAAGTCGCTGGACACCATATTCGGTGATTCCCTTGGCATTACCCGTACAGATGCACAACTACAGAAAATTGCTGAAGTATTAACCGAGAACACACTCAAGCGCCTTTCTGAGGATAATTCCGATGCCAACAGCTGGATTGAAGGATTTACCAACCACAATCTGCGGTGGGAATCAATAGGACTGTTGTTTATCTTCAGGAAGAATGGTCTTCTTGAGCTTACTTCAGATGGCTCTTATGAGGAAATCTCACTTGACATCTCACGCACCTGTTTAGAACTATGCATTGAGCTGTCGCGGATGTTCTCTAGTGGAAGCAGTTTGCTTCTTTTTCTACTTTCTCGAAAGACCATTATGGAGTCTGGTATCATGGGATATGCAAGTAGGTTCCTACTTCGTCTATTCAAAACCACCTGTCGACCCAACTAACTTATATCAGGTTTATCAGCATGGAGACGACATGCTGATACAGTGGCTCTCCTTACCTTTCTAGGTATATACACCGACCCCCAGCAAGTTACATCTCAACCCAACTTTTGTCAAGAGAATCGAAAACAGCTCGCAGCGTTTATCTTCTTAATGGACCAAACATTTGTCATGTTCACCGGACGGCCGCCTCTTTTAAACTATAGATTTATGTTTATGCCACTACCGTTAGACATTGATGACGGTGATTTCTTCGCTGACGAGGCAGCTGTCACTCGTTCATTTAACGGCCTAGATACGAATGGATGGAATACACATGGCGGCATCTACTCTGTGAGTTTCATTCGTGCGCGTACGATATGTGCCTTTATTCGGGCAGAGCTTGTGGAGGTTGCACTTAGCAAAGCTGCAAATATTTCAACAACTGCATTACTGTAAAGACAGCCACTCGTCTGAATTGTTAGTCTACGCTAACCTACTTGTATAGGGATATTAAGTCCCGTCAGATCCTCGCAATGAAGCAAATTCCCTCGCCACTAATATACAATCCCCAAGAGAGCATTAATCCTAAAATCCCCGCCTACCATATACTGGCTCAGCTCCTTGTCCAATTAGACCACCTTCAAAACATATTTATTCTTGAGAGGCTTTTACAGAGGCAAGACATGTTGGATGAGGGGGACTTGCTTGTTACTAGTTTCGAGATGGTATCTCTGACACTTACATTTTGGTCGCACAAAGACCGTCTAATTGAGGCCCGGAATGACTTTGAATGGCTGGTAAGTCCCGCAATTTGCGTTCCATTGTAACGTACTCGTCACTCATGGGATCAAACAGTTAATTGCTTATGCTGCGCCCGGAGGTGGGATTATGTGCATGGAACTTCTGGAGCCTTCATTCACGGGAACTCATCCTAAGAATGAAAAAATAACTCGAGCAAGCATTATACAGCAACTGAGCATGCTGGTCGCCTTCCTTGATTGGGTGCACCCCCCAGCTCCCAATGCAGATCTTTGCGCCAATTGCAAGGCGGTGATACAGCACGTCCTCGATCATACATTGAACACGACTATTGAGAGTACTTGGCCGCCAGTATCGTTGAATTCTTTGCCTCTGGACTTCAATTTTGAGCTTCTAGATACGTTCAGTTGGGCACGAGGATAGATATATAAAGCATCTGGAGTGATGGCTTCTTGTATACTAAGACTGGATACTAAGGCTTGATGAAATGTTCACAACGCCTCGTTAAAATAGAATCATATCTGTAGACTATCTTAGTCACTTACTTTTGCTACAGACACAGTCTGCTTCTTAGGAAGAGTACCACATAAGAAGCTGCGTCTACTTTGGCATCATGTGCAGATTTACTACCCTGCACTTGATCCAGTTGAGACGGGATTAAAATGAGAGTCTAATTTGCTTGGCTTGATCATCTTTCCACATGTATTAGCGCCAGCCCCGCATTAGCTTCTTTAGAGCGCCCGTAATCTTGATTGCGAAAGACGGTTAAAAGCAATAGGCTGTAATGAAACTACGGACACGTGTATAAGAGTGAGACTTACACCAAAGGGACACAGTATCCACAAACCTCATAAGCTTGTGGTACTACCTTCTTGTGGAGGTTTTGGTTAACTATCTTAAAGCAGATTAAAATGGCGCTGGACAACACTTCATTTGACTTAACCAGTCACCTCAAACAGCTCTATGCTGCCTATCGACACACCAAAGATATAAGCCTGAAAGGCAATTTCTTTTCTCCTACATGCTCCCAGGTGTGCCGGCCAAAGCCATCATTCGCAGCGCGCAATAGAGAGACCATTGTGGGATATCTCCATGCGTCCGCAGACAAAGGCACTAGCCTTTCGTCATCAAGTACTGAAGTAGGAGACAAACCGTCGAAGAAGGGTTACTACACGATTCGACCGCTGCGAGAAGATGAGTTCGAGTTTGGGACTGATGAGCACGTTGCGCCAGCTGGCTTTGCAACAGTAGGTGAGCTGAAGCAAAAGGCAAAAGCCGAGGGGTGGGTGGGCATGAGAGTTGATCTGTGGGATGAAGAGGAGGGAAAAGAGGGTTTCGAAGGGACTCTATTAGTCAAGGTGCAGTATTGGTGGAGGAAAGAGGAAGATGGCTGGATCCAGATTCTGCACGATATCATGTACCTGGGGCCGAGAGATGGGACCGAGGGCAGTGAGGGGGAGGTGCTTGAGTGATGATGAGTTCGCTGTTGTTTTCGACGAGTTGTCCTTTAGACAACACCGAGGCTATCACGTAGTGTTTTGGTGGCTGTCGCTCATAATTCAAAATAGTTCATGCCGATTCAACGAGCCGCCTGGAGCTCAATCGGTGAATCACGATTGGTTAATGACCAAGTCATGTGACTTGCCCGGTTAGCTCAATCGGTAGAGCGTGAGACTCTTATGAGCACACGTTCTGAATACAATCTCAAGGTTGCGGGTTCGACCCCCGCATCGGGCTCTTCCTATATTAAGTCATCGATTGAGATTCGAGGTGGTTTATTTTTTCATTTTTTTTACCGTAAATGTTCTTTCTTTTTTTAATTGTGTCGATGGCATTTGAGTTGTGATGAGTATCTGGCTGGCTGTATACTGTTTACTGGTTGCCGGAATGGCACAGCTAACAGATGCGTTTTGTACACGAGTCAGAATGCCAAGAGAGCTTTTGTAAGAGTCACCTGTCCTTCAACTTCTCTGAAACAACCAGCAATGCTGGGATTTGGAGTTATCATGACTATATACATATATACAAATTGTTTCGTTATTTTCGCGTTTTCAGCGGTCAATCCCAACTCTTTCATGCTCTGCTCATGTAAATGGATTGCACAGCCCACTTCTCAGCGTCACGTCTCTGTTGATCTCAATAACATCCTCCCATGAAATGCAAAAACCCCACATGTGCTGAGTGTTCCTTTCAATCCCACCTCATTCCCAAATCTTGTCTGAAATTACTGGCAAGAAGACCACCATTCACCTTGTGCGACGCACTTGTAAGGGGCAACGCACTGGGTCGGACCCGTGTATCCTTCGCCACCACACTATTATTCAACCGTTAGCTTTCAGATCTGAGGGAACGTTGATAAAGGACGGCAAAAGAATCGTCTTTGCTGCTGAGTGAACTCACCTGGCCCCACTGGGGAACTGTGCCACCTCCTGAGGACGCAGTAGAGGTGGCGGGAGGAGGAGCTTTAGAGGTGCTGCTTGGAGGAGGCGGAGGGGAGCCAGATCCTCCGCATGGGGAGCCTGTAAGAAGAATGCTCTTGGCCTCCTGAGCGTAAGTGCATCCGTTGTTGACATTGGAATCGGAATATCCGGCGTCCCAAAGCATAATACCTCCGAAGGCGGGATTGGACTTTGTGCTGTCGACGATGGAAGCCAGCTGGTCGGGCGTCGCATAGTACTTCGCGCCACCAGCGTTGCCGTTAGCACCCAAAGTAGAAGCGGGAGCACCGATGAAAAGCTTTGCGTTCTTGGAGGGCGTGGTAGAAATAAATGTCACCCAATCGTTGAAGTTGAAAGGGGCATCGCCGGGCAGGCCAAGGGAGCAGGTCGGGTTGTTGTTATAGAACTGGACCCAGAGATAGTCGAACTGCGAGCTGCTGATAATCTCTCCCATGTTGGGCTCGGGAATAGGGCACTGGGGAGCTCCCGTGATGTAGTAGGTATTCTTGGGGTCGCTGGCAAAGCTGGAGCGCAGTGTTGAGATCATGTATTGGTAATACTGGCTGCCAGCGTTCAACTCAATGTCAAAGTCAAAGCCGTTGACAAACACGTTGCCAAAGGGGCGCTGGACAGTGGTGTTTCCAGAGTTGCCATACGCGCTCCACAGGTATTGACCGATGGCTACAGCCTGTGACTGGGATGCTAAAGAGTATGAACTAGCCGCACCACCGAGAGACAGGATAACCTTGATTCCAGCAGCCTGACAAGTCGCGATGGAAGAGGCTAGGCCGTCACATTGCTGGGGGACTCCATTTGTGCCAACATAGCATGAGTTGCCAATGTTACCAGCCGGGAAGTTGCCAGTTGGGCCATAGATGTCCAAGAAAGAAAGGATGACAATGTCAATCCCTGAGCTGGATGTGCAGTAAGTGGACAGATTGTCGTTTTCGTTGTTGGTACCTCCCCAGTAAACAGCGTTCTGGCCACTGGAGGCTTGACGAGCCTTGACGGTGCGTGAGGGAGCGGCAGCGGCCAAGGTCGCAAGACCAAGGCTAACAAGGAGAGAGCTAGAAAGCATCTTGATCGTTTAAATGTGAGGTATAATATATACAATGAATAATAGTTACCAGTATGTAAAGGAATGAATAGGGCACTAGGCCTGTTGATAGACTTGTATTGAAGAAGAGAGCACCTTAGCTGGAGGAAGACAGCTGAGATATACTTCTTGAAACTCTATGGTGGATCACGCGACGGGCCTCCATGTTACAACAAAATGTTCCATCTAGGCGGCCAACATTCGGAATTCAAACACCAAATACAGACAATCACTCCTACCTTGTGAGGAAAGTAGATTCAGGTGATCCTCTATGATATGTTTCACTTAGACCCCCAAAAAGGAGACGACGTTACATGGACACACAGACAAATCGGTGGTGTACATACAGTAGGCGCGCGCTCATGAGACGAGATCAAACAGGCCCACTCTGTTTCCGTTCCTCTATGCCAGATACACGGCTAATTAAGACTTTGGTATAGAAGTGGGAAGGTAAGAGATCTGACATGTGGTCACTGCAGCGAGTTCCGGAGTTATGGATTGGGAAGTGCGTATCAGATGTGTGGATTGTGCCGCGTCTCGGTACTTGGACTAAAAGCGCAAGCTGTGATAGCGCAGGCTTAAATTGATAAAATAGTAGTTTCCTGGTTTGGCAGCTTCGAATAGTAATACTACAATGCTATGAGGGTTGTAATTTATTAATCTGTCTATATACCGTCTTGTTTAGGCAGGTCTATATGCGTCACGGCATCTTCACTCCGAGTAGCCGCCACCAGAGCAGCACTTGATCTTATAAAAGTCATCTGTTACACCTGATAAGGATAAGCCTGTAACACTGGCCCAAATAAACATGAGCCGTGTGTCCTGGCAGCTATTCGATATCTCCGCAATGGCGGCTCGCGTTCCTTATCACAGGATACAACGTTCCTGCGCTAGCACCATGCCAGACTCCACCTAACCAGCGAGGTTATTGTCCAGGGTTCATGCATCTTGCAGCAGAGTTACACCAGAAGAGCTGCTGCTTAACATCTCCCTGCTGTCCTTCAGACCAACCATGAGAGTGAGATGCAAGACACTAAGTGAGTGCGATTGGGTATCTGGTCCTGTCAGGTATGACGCGCATTTATAAGATCGGACTTACAATGCCCTATTCTGGCTCCTGCGATAACCAGAGCCTCATTTCTTGTTCCACGCAGTAATCGGGTTTAATGATGCTCGGGTGCTAAGTCTAGCGACATGTTACATCGGCATAAGCCCTCCGCAGCGCTCAACTCATATGTAATCTCAAATTATAGCAGCATACATGTATATTAAGATATCTTGCCTGTAATAGAAAGTGTAAGAACATGGCCAGATTTACTGCGGATATGTAACAGATGAATGATCAGAAATAGGAAACGCTTAGGCGCTTCATTCTGTTTACGAGACTGGTGGTGCTCTTGGTGCACAGGATTGGATCTTATTCATGCTTGAATAGGCCCGGCGGGATTCGCAGACGAGAAATGTCGATCTGTCTGTTCTGAGAGAAAACTTAGTATAGACCGAAACAAGATCCGCATTTGCATCATCAAATACTCTCCGGTCTTAGAAGCCGTAATTGTTCTGCGATAGCAGTGTCTGAAGGTTTCTGAATAGGTTTGACAGATTGCGTTAACCTAAATCTAGCGAACGACTCACAATGATACTCCTGCCGGTTAATAATACAAAGCGGTTTGCCCCCATGCTTGTAACAACGCTTTGGGGATTCTACCGACAGCTGGGGAGTCGCCAGTTGTAAAGTTTCATGCTAGTCACTGCTTGCCGATGATAACCATTTGTGTAACCGTTTATTTCTGAGTAGTCAGGAAACTAGTAGCCGCTTGGGGTATTATTGGTTGTACCAGGGTCGCAGCCTTAGCCGTCGGCGAGTCGTCATTTGTACAAGTAGCAACTGAGACGCTACTCGGTCGAAATCTAACCTTGTAGAATGGTAGCCACGGCCTTGTGCCTGCACCATGTTCATTTGTAACGTACTGTTGCAAACATAAAGTATATTTTGAGCTATTCTAACCGCAATCTACGTGTTCGGCGTTGTGGAATAAGGAAAACTACGGCAGGTAATTACCTATGTAGGATTCGGGACGTTGGCTCGGTATTGGCTCGATCCGCTCTTCGAGTATGGCGTATAAGTCGCAGTCTCGCAAAGGTGAACGAAGCAAATAAAATCAGCACCGAATATTTGATGCAACTTGAATGCTGATTGAGTTAGTTTAATCGACTTTGATTTTGGGATCTGCTTATGCCGGGTAGGCGCATCTGTTTTATATGCCTCAACTCAGTAGGGCGAATGGATCTGGGCGGCTTACGTAGATGCTAGGCTTACTACAAGCAAGTATGTATTACGGCAGAATCTGAGTGGGCATGGACCATAAATAAGATTCAGTCGATACAATAAGTCTTTCCGAATTGGCTTAGCTACCAAATTGAGAGATATCTGAGGTGTTCTACAAGATCCTTTGTGCTGCCTAATACACGCGTACTGGCGTCGTCGGTAGAAGTATCTAAAATGAAGGATTCTTCGCGTCTACTTGATGACTCAGAATGTAGTAAACCAGTCACACGCATCGGGTGACTCAAGCTAGATTCGCCAGGATTCGCGCACGCACTTACTGAAGAGTCGTTGACCAAAAGGTCCGGGGAACCATCAACTCCGGTCTCCCGATTGGCCAATCAGTATTACTACCTACATGCGAGTCGCAGGTCTTCTCGTCAGACTTTCCAAACCTTGCTTTTCAGGACCGAAGAAGCTGAGTATTAGGCTGCCGGGTGTTGTAAGAACAATAGCAAATATTTCGCAGAGATGGAAAGGAGAAACATTGCTTCTCTCTGCTATTCTCCCTCTACTTCTTCGTCTATGGTTCGATGTTGTGTGGTCTATCCTCTTTACCGTTCTCTTAGCATTTATCTGTAGCCAGAGATTTCTTCCACAATACAATGGCATCGCGTCTTCTTTTGAAGATTGTTGCTTCTTCATCCTCGCCCATAATACGACAAGCTAGACTGTCATCAAGAGTTCAACCACTTTGCCTACACTCTGCACTTTTCTCTAAGCATATTGTGCCTTCACATCTTACACCAGTCTTTCACCATGTCCGATTACAAAGCACCGTTGCAGAGGCACAGGCACCGAAGATGAAGCTTCGCTGGTACTGGAAGCTGATGATGGCCCTGGGAGCCACTGTCGGCGTTACGACTGGCGGTGTCGTTGTTGCAGATAGGTATTATATGGGAGGTATCCTATCACGCAGCTTGCGAGCATATGCGACACTGGCGCAAGTTGGAGTCGACTACAAGATGCACTCGGGCAAGAATCCCAAGGGAGGTCGCGTACCCATTAACGAGCTCCATGATCGGAACGCCAAACGCGTGTGTGACATGATCAAGACCAACGGCGGCATGTTTCTCAAAATTGGCCAGGCAATTGCTGTGCAAGGAGCTGCGCTCCCAGAAGTGTATCAGCGTGAATTCAAAAACATGTTTGATGATGCTTCGCAAGAGTCTTGGAGCGATGTCCAGGATGTCATCCGAGAGGAATTTGGGGCCAGCGTGAGCGAAGTATTCGGTGATGATGTAGAGAGAGAGCCTAGGGCTGCGGCTTCCATAGCGCAAGTCCACTATGCCAGGTTGAGAGATGGGCGAGAGGTTGCAATCAAGGTCCAGAGAAAGAAGCTGGCACAGCAGGCATCATGGGATCTCTGGACGTTCAAGTATACCTCTCCCTCTCGCTCTCTCTTTAAACAGCGTCTTTCGCTGACCATGGCAACAGGGTTTTATGTGACATAATTGGAAGAACAACAGATATTCACATCCAAGGTATTGGTGACTACATCATGAACAACATCATGAAGGAGACGGACTTTGAGAACGAAGCTGCCAACTCGATGCGGATTGCCGAGCTTGTGAAGTCAGACCCCGACCTGAAAACACGGGTATACATTCCTCAGGTCTACACAGAACTTACGTCAAAGCGTGTATTGACCTCTGAATGGATTCATGGCGCCAAACTCTGGGATAGAGATATAATCACCAGTACACACAATCCTTCAGATGAGACATCTCTGGGCATGGGCCTCAAAGCAGCCGATATTATGACCACCGTTATTGACCTCTTTTCATCACAAATGTTCAAATGGGGTTTCGTCCATTGTGATCCACATCCAGGCAACATGTTCGTTCGACGTCTCCCATCCGGCAAGCCGCAGATCGTCCTTATCGACCACGGCCTCTATGTATCGCTCTCAGATGATTTGCGGCGGCAATATGCCCGCTTCTGGAAGTCTCTACTCACTGGTGATAAGAAGGGACTCGATGAAGTATCGGCCGCCTGGGGAATGACGACGGCTGATGCCTGGGCAGATACGTTCATGTCTCGCGAAAAGAAGCCAGAGCCAACCGATGAGACACCTGAGGAGCGATCTCAGAGACTTATTAGCGAGACATCCGCATTTTTCGGTGAAGAAGGTCTATATCCTCGTGAACTCATGTTTCTAGAGCGAAATCTGGCTCTTGTTCAAGGCAGTAATCGCTTCTATGATTCCCCTGTTAATAGGCTTGGCATGATTGGTCGTTCAGCAATGCAAAATCTGCGCGACGACAGCTCAGTGACATTTTTTCAGGCAATGAGCTCTCAATGGACCATGCTTGTTCTTGATGCCGTGTTTTATTTTAGTCGGTGGAAGCAATACATGGGCTGGGGTAAAGGTTTCGAGGACGAGCTGAAGGAGGCAGAGGAGAGAATGGCGCAAGAAATGAAGGATTCAATTTCTGGGCTGTGGGAAATTGACAAAGAGGCAGAGTAAAGCTTTGAAGGGTCATAATTTGCTCTGCGCAACACTGGACGGTCTTTTATAGGACGGCTGCATACACTTTTCTTGTTTGGCATTCAACAGCTGCATACATGTACATTATCTATAGGCAATCTCTTATTCTCTCAGTCAATTTGCATAATTTCACTAAACATTTCCTCCAGCTCATTTCCTTCGCATCTTTGCTTATCTTCGTAAAAACTTTCGTATTTTTCTCCAACCCTTGCGAATTCCCTTTCCGGCGGCCTTTCCCATCCATTTTAATCGTCTAATCGGAGCAGCTCGAAGTTTGGGGATATCAACATCACCCAGTTGACTGGCGGTAATTCCTAGATCTCGATCGACATTCTTTCAACGTATGTCAGCTGGCAGTCATTCCGGAATATCATCATTATACTTTTGAATAGAGGTCTGATCCTGTGTCAACCTCTGTAGGAATTCCCAGACATTGCAAAGCTGTAATGGCAGTGTCGATTAATTTCAAATCAGTGCCTATATATCTTAATTAGCAGCTGGGGTCTCGCAGAAACTTTAATATTCATACCCGGCATTCCCATCAGTGCCACTGCAATTGGCAATATCTCCGTTTCTTCCTTTTTGCTCTTGCTCGTAGCATATTTGCTACTTCTCAAATTATATGAGATTTGGTCAACTGCACATCATTAGGAAAGATCTCGATACGGTGGGGTGGAATCTCACATGGTACAGCAAGAACAGGTGATTCCATAATGGGCCCGAGACTTAGGGCGGCAATGTTCTCTACTGGTGGCCTTCGGAAACTTGAGTTTTGTTAGCTTGCATCCATCACAAACCAAGGGCAGATTACTGGAGATTTCACTCACAAGGGAGTTTTGGTTCTGGTTACTGGTTCTCCGGCCTCAAGAGGCATTACTATGATGGGATTCAGGTGGTTTTCCTTACGCAGTAGTTTCTCGAACCACCCGCGAAATGCGGAAATTTCTTCCAGGGCCTTGACTTTTGCGTCAAGACGAATTTGTTTCCCATCAAGCCTGATTTCATGTTAGATAAACAGAGTCAGAAAGTTGCCTTACAAAGGCCATTCTTACCAGATTTGTTTGTTTGCGTCTCGCGTGCATGAATCACTGAACAACTTCCGGAACTGGGAAGGCAAATTCCCAATGCTCTCGTGTGCATCGTATGCTAGACAAGTAGCGATATGCTATCGAAACATTAAAATTTGCATAGCCAGGTCATGTAAAAAACAAATACTTACCGAATCAAGAAGATTCTGCAAACAGCAAGCGGGGTTTGGACATTTGCGACATTTGGTAGGGTTATCCTTTGTCCATTGTTCTGTGAACTTGAAATCCTTTTTAAAACATACACCGAGTTTATCAGCCATATCCGAGGCAAAACTTTTGGCCTTTTCACTCTGCGCTTTGTCAATCTTTTCCCAAAGTTCGACAGGCCATACGATACAGGAGACTTCCTTAAGGCTATGTTAGCTTCACGATGACAGGTCGTCGGTAGACTCGGCAGTTTGTAGATAAACATACCTCTGGAATCTTTTCAAATGTGTCGAAGCGCAACCAATTTTCGGCTATCTTTTTGCACTTTTCCAAGTCTCTTGCCAAAATTCCAGGAACCTCCCAATGCCTTGAAAATGGTCAGTCAGATGCAAATGAGCGAGAAGGGTGGTTACTTACTGGCCACCAGGCGCAATGCCGTCCCTAGAGATTGCCCTAGTGCTGGGACGTAGGCCAAAACATCCAGACCAGTGAGCGGACTGAGTCATGTTCCCCAATGCTATCAATTCCCGGTCGTTAGTTAAGTCTCATCTCAGATAAACCCAAAGACATCTTCGTTACATACTGTCGGTACTGATAACAGCATCAATACAATCGTAGCTTGTAATAGCCGCAGCACATCCCGGAATTTTGCCCCTACGAGATTTTTTCGGGTCTGCTCTCGGATTCAGTGGTGCTTCGTAGTCGCCATATGCGCCGCTCTCTTCCCATTTCCAAAAAGGGGCCATCTTTGTTTTTCCAAGGATAGCAGCGCCTTTATCGATCAAAATCTGAACACATTCAGCGGTTTTTTTCTGAGGGCCATTTGCATTGTAGAATTCAAGACTGCCAGCGGATGTCTTAATGCCCTTCAAATGAATATTATCTTTAATGAGCATACGTATTCCGGCAAGCGGACCATTCCCAGAAGTTTTGGGATCCCGACTACTGATGTAGATTTGAGACGGCATGATAAATTTGAGGCGGTCGTATTTCTTCTCATGGATATTAGAAAAGACTTGGAACTCCTTTTTGTCCTAGAAACATATTAGCTTGTAATCACCCCATGTTGGGAATACCATTCAATACTTCTGTTTGTGTCAAGGAGACCACGCAAGCCCCATTTATATCTTCGACCATCCTGAACACCGGCCGCACCTCGCTGTCTATAATCGAATAGAAACCATCATAGAAATCGAAGCTTTTATCGATAAAACAATTCTCCATGCCATATTCATCTTTTAACCATGTCTCGGCGTCCGCATTCAAAGACCGATGTTTGCGAGCGGCGCGGCGACTATAAGCGTCGCTGAAAAAGCATGTTTTCAGAAATGCTTTTTCATATACATAATCCTTGCTGTACTCAGCAAGGCATTTTTGAACCCATTCTAAGGTAATTTCGTCTGTGCCTTTTTCGACAGGAAGTACTGTAGCCACATATGGATCTTCTCCGGTAGACGGGAGATCTGACTGCTGCAAGAGTGCAAGTGGATGGTCCGTTAGAATGTATAGTTGTGATTGCACACAGGTTGACGTCTTACCTTTTCAGAACCTTCTGCAAAATATTGAGCTCCAGACAAACTGAACTCGCAGCCGCCATTGTCAAGATGACGAATGCTCTGTATGGCGTCCGACGCTGGGTTACACATTATCGGTGACGGAGAAGTTGTATCTTTCGGAAATGCGTTGTGTGGTAATCGCCTACAAAATAATTCAAAAATTCTGGATTAAAGTATCGGTTCTACCTGTGCAGTATAAGAACGACAGACCAAGGACGACATCCTGTATAAATATCTCAACATGAGGCCTTGAAAGCAGAGAAATACCGCTCTATTCGAAGTTGGAAACAAAGACAATGATTTCGCCATTGGTTCTATTTTTCTTAATGTTCAAAATTTCGTCGTTGATTTCTTTGTGGTTCAAGTTGTGGACAGTGGTCACTGGATTGCTCTCTTAAAACGAAGCAGGGGTAATGCAGAAGTCTTGGCTTTGGAGAGCTTTACCCATTGGTCACAATTCAAGCGCCGAAAGATCAAAGCATTGATACTGAACATTTACGCGCCTTGCTAGCTGGACAGACATTCTTTGTTCTGGATAAAGACAAGCCTATTATTGGACATTATCAGGTGAAGATAATGAACGGGTTTGCTTTGTGCATTACTAGGCAAAGGATGATTTGATGGAACAAGGTCTATAAGCGCCCCTTCCAGATTAAGTGAATCTTGGTGTAATTACTGGATTGGGGGGATTGATGATGTTATGAGATCGAGGGAAACAACAAAGTGCATTGAGTCCAACAACTTCGCCTAATTCGCCTACTTCGCGTCCAGTGCATCGGCGCAGTGCGGGTCTGAGCACGGAGTGAGAACAAATCGCTTGGGCAGGGATCAAGCAATATTGTCGCTTATAATACTCCGAATATCTATTACTTCAGCCCTGCAACGACTCATGCCTGATGTGAATATTGAATATGCATGACTCGGCGGAATATAATTCGAATCCCGAGAGAGGATGTGTCTTCTCACCATGGTAAGCACAGGGACGTGACCTCCTGTCCGGGGTAGTCAGCTGCGCTTGTGTCATCCTCTTTCTAGTATCACCGAGTGCTTGTATGAAACATCTGTGAGAGAGCATTTGATTCTGTGATGTGAAAGAATGAACAACATGAAGCGCGGTTTGGCTTCTTTAAGCAATGAAGCTTGTGCAATTGAGGTGTTGTGAGCAAGTGGGTCGATGATGTGAGCGAGAGAATTGGCACGCAGCGCAGCAACAAAGACTCAAATGGGCTTTTGTCATCGATTTTTCTTCTGATTATAGTATTCAAAAGCCAGTAGTTTACTTGTTCAAAAGCTATCACAGAAACAATGGAGCGGCTTGATGAACGATCAGCTAAGCAATCTGGTGGCAAGGAAAATGCTTTGAGAAGCGGATGAGCAAAAACTTATGCAATGAGGTTCAAAACAACTTTCGAAACTAAATGATGCAATTTATAAACTGAACGCAGCCTTTTTAGATTGAAACAAGCTATTCTCTTAGCATTACATCGTTAAGACTCTTCTGTTCAAACATCACAACAATGGCCCCTGCAACACTTCCTACCAAGTCTTTGGGCCGCAATGGCCCTCTTGTCTCAAGAATAGGCTTTGGAGCCATGGGCCTCAGTTCAATGTACGGATTTGGAGGCACTGACGAAGACCGTTTCAAAGTTCTGGACCGCGCCCATGAATTAGGCAACACTTTTTGGGACACTGCAGATGTCTACGGTGACAACGAGGAATTGCTTGGCAAATGGTTCAAGCACTCCGGAAAGCGGGACGACATCTTTCTTGCTACCAAATGCGGCGCAGTTTTCGATGCCGCTGGAAACGCTTCTATTCGCTCTGATCCGGAGTATGTACGACAAGCGTGTGATAAATCGCTTGGGCTGCTGGGTGTTTCTCACATTGATCTCTTCTACCTCCACCGACTCGATAAGGAGACCCCAGTAGAGCTTACCATCAAGACTCTAGCAGAATTAAAAGAGTTAGTCCATGTCCACCGCTACCGTACTAGACTGACCGGCAACGCTCCATTGCAGCCAGGGGAAAATCCGACATCTCGGACTCTGCGAGGTCTCAGCGGCGACCCTTCGGCGCGCGCATGCCGTCCACCCCATCACGGCCATCCAGGTCGAGTACAGCCCCTTCTCGGTAGACATTGAGAAGCCCCAGATCGATATCCTCAACACGGCAAGAGAACTCGGCATTGCGATTGTGGCTTACAGCCCCCTGGGACGCGGCATGTTGACCGGGCAGATCAAATCACCCGACGACTTTGACGCTGACGACTTCCGAAAGAGTCTCCCGCGATTCTCCAAGGAGAACTTCCCGAAGAATCTTGCATTGGTGGAAAAGATTGGGACCATTGCCGCGAGCAAAGGCGTGACGCCCGGACAATTGACTTTAGCGTGGCTCCTTGCGCAGGGAGCTGACATTTTCCCCATCCCAGGGTAAAGATTTGTCATTCTCGCTCACACATGATGGGAATCATATACGCTAACAATGAGTAGCACTAAGAAGATCAAGTATCTCGAGGAGAATCTAGGAGCCGTGAACGTCGTGCTCAGCAAGGAGGAAGAGGCAGAGATCCGCAAGGCCATTGACGAGACAGAGATCATTGGAGGTCGCTATTCGGATGCGTGAGTCTATCCCTTTCCTAATCATGCCTATTTTGTTTCAACTCTAACACTATTCTTAGGCATTCGGACCATCTATTTGCTGACACCCCGGCACTTGAGGCCAAATGAGGAGGGCGGTTCATCTCTTTACGGATTGCCTCTTATATACAATCGGGACTGGATGAACTAGCTACCCATGTACTCCGTACCTTGTCTTATAAACACTACGCTATAGAATCCCAGAATTCATGTCCCCTGAACTAAATTCTGTATCTGTCGCGTCTTCGTGTGTGGGCCATTTCGGTTCTGCCTGTTCCAACACAGCGGTCTGCAGTCTTACAATGTGGAAAGATGGTCCCTGGAGATCTAGGCAGATTGAGACCAGATTCGAGAATTGTTTCCATTCAAGTCCACGCCATGGATTAAACCCGGCCTGAATCTCCAGTTCCTACCAGGCAACTACTATCTTTGCATTCTAGAAATAGGCATATCTTGATGGTGGGCCACGGTCATTACCGGAGATAGATCGTCGATTCCACTGGTTGACCCATTTGCTCCCTGTTAAACTCCGCTAACCAGGCGGACTTGTCAGAGAGAATCGCGCGCGCGCGCCAATTATTGACTTGTGCCTGTCGTATTATAAGATTCATGGTTGTCTTTTGCATCGGGTTTACCGTAGCTTGGTTCTCCCGTTTTATACGTCCCTTTCCGGCAGCTCTGCTTCTTATTCCGTATTAATACGATTTTATCCCCTTTGTTTGTCAGAGCTACTCTACTGTTTTATTAATATCCTGCCTGGTATCCGGCACTGTCTTGGTTGGTACAAAGTCTAATTTTCCTTACACCAGACACAAAACTCTCATTCAGCTCTGCTTATTCAATCGAAGAGTGGATCGTCTTGAGTCTGTCTATTTAGCGGGCCTAAGACGCAGCTTGCTCACCTCATCAATCCCCTATTGAGACAGGCTCACCACATCAACTTCTGGCAACCCACCATTCAGCTCGATAACTCCTCGGTGGTACACAGATCAATAGCTGCCATCATCAACCCCCCACGCTGTTGCTCTTGAACTATGGTGCTCGTTGATGACGGCACCTACATATCCATAGCAATGGACCACATCGACGCTATGGCAGCAAACAGCGAGCATTCAACTGATGAAATGCAAAATGATGGGAGCAGCAGCGGGTCAAACGGGCGGAAGCGCACTATCCCAAAATCACCAAATCGAGTGCCACAGAAGCTAAAGACGTCCGAAAGAAGACGAATTCAGAACCGCCAAGCACAAAAGACGTACCGTTAGTACAACGAATCCTTCGCGGCTTGGGAGATGCAAGCGACAAGCGATCCGCTAATTATGAGTCGAAGCGAATAGGCGAGAAGCAAAAAAAGAGACTACAGGCTCTAGAATCATTTGCAAAGTCTCAGACGATCGTTGTCCACGATGCGGCAGCTTCATCCACTCCGCCGTCCACCATTGGCCAAGACATGGCTGGCATCCTAGCTGCGGACTCGCCGATTATGGGATTGTCCGGGATGATGCAGCCTCACGATCTCGGCTCAGCTGCTACCGCTGGAATGGGAAGTTTTGTAGGATGCGGCCCGAGCTTCAGTGCCGCTGCTTTGAGCTACCAGACCAGCGGGCCAGCTCCCATGTACAGATATACACCTGGTCTCGATTACCCAGTCGATGGCGCCTTAAATGCCGGTCGATCATTCCGAGAGGATTTGTTTTCCGCATCAACTCCGCTGGTTACTCAATCGGACTCTGAATCAATAACACCGGGCAGCGGATTTAATACACCATCTATGCAGCCAGCGGTTCTACAGTCACAGAACATCAACATCCTAAAGAGCCAATCACAGGCGAGAGATGAAACAGACAGTTTACTTGCTCATTTCCTGTTGCAGGATGATATTACACTGAGTAAAGCTCTGCTTAGGAATATTCGCAAGAACAAAATAACCCTCAAAGACATCCTCAGAAAAGGCCTCCAGTCTCTAGAAAGAGACTCTCAAACCCCTTCAAGCAGTACGAAGATGATTGATGGTTCATTACAAGGGCGTGCGCAATGCAAGCTCATGCAAGGTGAATCAGAAGGCGCGGCTAATTTACCATATTCTAACAATGGATAAATAGTGCAGCTTCCCGATCTTCACGCCAATACTATTCGCGTCACGCAAATGTCGTTTGTAGCAGCGGTTTTATATAATGCAACCATGCTGGGCATATCGGCACCAGAGATGTTTGAGCACGACACCGAGTCTCATTTCTTCGCATCTAGAAGAGCATCAGGCGGGATGGAGGATATCGCGGATCAAGATGCATTTATTAATGTAAAGGACGACTTGAAACCCACCCAGAACCAACTCACACAACGCCACCATCCTTATATTGACACTCTACCCTTTCGAGCTTTTCGAGAGCGACTAATAGCATTAATTCACGCAGAACCTTGTATAATCAACATGGAAGAGCTCTGTCACGATCTACAGAGCGATGGAGTCATTTGCTGGGGATCCAGCGCCGGGGCTGGGACTGGACACTCTGGCGCCCCATGGGATATCCGAAGCTGGGAAGTGCGGCCATGGTTTCTGAAGAAATACTGGATGATCACAGAAGGCACAGAAGGGGAGATGTATCAGCAGGCTAGATGGTGGTGCGAGATGAGGGGAGAGGATGTGCTGACTTTGTGGTGATGCAGAGAATCAAGTTTGTTAGATGTATATTCATCTTGACTGGCTCACACCCCATTTCCGGAACGCAGTCCTTTAATGTTTCTGTTTTGACATGTTGCTACTGATTGCTCATGCTCGTTACAATGGAGCACCCATAGATCATTTTTACTTGAGCTGCGCCATAAAGCGTCGCAGCCACTGCAGTCTTGCCTCGCCGGCCTGTTTCGACACACTTGCTTCCGGAGCATAAAACTCAAACCCGTGCATACCGCCGGCAAACACCATCAACTCAGCCTGTACGCCATGCTCCCACAGCTTGGACGCATATGCGATAACACTGTCTCTGAATGGCTCGGCAGACCCGGCATCGATATACGTAGGAGGAAGATTCGACAAATCGGTTGCTCGACCCGGTGCCTCGAAGATGGAGACGTTGTCGGTCGCACGGCGGTCGCCTAACAGACATGCCCAACTAAACTCATCCGATGCTCCGGAATAAGGTCCATGATGAAGATATTGTTTGTGAGAGAGAGTGGTGGCACGATCGTCTAACATAGGACAGACCAGTATCTGGCCACACAGCTTGGGGAATCCCTTGTCTCTGGCCATTATCGCTGTTGCAGCAGCAAGACCACCGCCAGCAGAGACTCCTCCGATGAACAGCTTATCCGGGTCAAATCCGAATCGATCAGCTTGCTCTGCGAACCAGACGAGGCCTTCCCAGCAGTCTTCAAAGGGAGCGAGTCCAGGGTTCTCCGGGGCCAACCTGTACTTTACAGTAGCGAGGACGCCGTCGATTTCCTTCATCCATGATATAGGTAAGTCGATGCTAAGGTACTCGTCGCCGGTAATTGTGCCTCCGGGATGTATGAAATAGATTGCTGGTCGCTTAGCGGTGGTTGAGGCTCCTTTTGGTTGAATGATGACCAGGTCAATGTCCCCACGAGGTCCAGTGATGGTTACCCGTTCTGTTTCTAGTAAGGGATCAGAGTGTACTCCGTCCTTGGCTGCATTGCAAAATGAATCGGCTGCTCCGCGCAGAGCCACGACTCTGGCGGCAACGTCGGTAGGGAGTTCTGGGAGAGAGCCATCGACCATGCTGGGGGGGAGAGCTTTTATGACTTCGGGGTCAAAGGGAGGCCTGATGGAAGAAGGCATTGTGACGGACTGTGCTATTGCCATACTGTATATCTACTATAAGATCAGTGTCTTTTTCTTCTTATATGAGAGAATGCCTTTTGAGTATGACTTACATCTGATCTGTCAATCTGGGACTCAGCCCTGGTTATATACATATCCTGCTTCACCCATGTTACTCAACGACGGGGGCTGATTGGCATCATGTCGCCAAGCCAGCAGCCAACAGTTATCCGATCGTGTACTCCGTACGGAATACTCAAGAGGACTTCCATGCTCTGGGGATCCCACCATCGTATAAGCTGCCTAGGTTGTAACAGCACCCTGCATGAGACAGGGATCAATTGCTGTAATTGATACGACACCTCCGCCTTTGCATGCAGCGCTGATTCCGAATCAAGAAATTCAATCAACGGCGATTGTCCGTGCGCTGCATGGCATGTGATGAGTTTCTTCGTGTTGCTGCATCATCCGTCATCATTGCCAGCGACTGACTGACTCGCTCTCGCTCTCGTTCCTTCATCGCACTTCCATCGTTACTTTGCTCATGTCAATTCCTATTTCCATTTCCAATTTCCAATTCCACAAAGCGCTGCGTCACCCCGCCATGCCCCCACTAAAAGTGCAGCTCTCGGATAAACCCGCCGATCTTCGGATCGAGATGCTGAAAATCGAAACTCCAGTCATGTAAAAAAAAAAAGTTACTCCCTCACAAGCACGACAAAAATCCCAATTGATTGCGCCCGCCATGTCGATTCGCACTCTTAGAATCGGTAATTCCCCCCCTGAAGCTCTCTCAATGCTTTGTCATCTCCTCTCCTACATCACAAGCATTGAAAGAACCCCTCCAGCTAATCATCCTCTCTTGCAGGGCTCATCCCCGGTGACGGCATCGGCAAGGAAGTCATCCCCGCTGGCCGCCGCATCCTCGAAGCTCTCCCCGCCTCGCTCAAGCTCAAATTCGACTTTGTTGACCTCAAGGCCGGCTTCGAGACCTTTGAGCAGACCGGCTCAGCTCTGCCCGATGCCACCGTCGATGTCCTGCGCAACGAGTGCCAGGGCGCGCTCTTTGGCGCTGTCAGCTCGCCCACCCACGCCGTCAAGGGCTACTCCTCGCCCATTGTCGCTCTCCGAAAGCGTCTCGATCTCTACGCCAACGTCCGCCCCGTCAAGACTGTCATGACCGCTGCCAAGCCCATCGACATGGTCATTGTGCGCGAGAACACCGAGGATCTCTACGTCAAGCAGGAGACGACTCGCGAGACCCCCGAGGGCAAGGTCGCCGAGGCCATCAAGCGCATCTCCGAGAAGGCCTCGTTCCGCATTGCCGCCATGGCTGGTGACATTGCGCTGCGTCGCCAGAAGATCCGCGAGAGCACCCCCAGCATCCACAGCAAGCCCCTCGTCACCATCACCCACAAGTCCAACGTCCTGTCGCAAACCGATGGCCTCTTCCGCACTGCCTCCAAGGCTGCGCTGTCTGACCCCAAGTACTCCTCCGTCTCCGTTGAGGAGCAGATTGTCGACTCCATGGTCTACAAGCTGTTCCGCCAGCCCGAAGCCTACGATGTCATTGTTGCCCCCAACTTGTACGGCGATATCCTCTCTGACGGCGCTGCTGCCCTTGTCGGCAGTCTCGGTCTCGTTCCCAGTGCCAACGTTGGCGAGGGCTTCGCCATTGGTGAGCCTTGCCACGGCAGTGCCCCCGACATCCAGGGCAAGAACATTGCCAACCCCATTGCCACCCTGCGAAGTGCTGCTCTGATGCTCGAGTTCCTTGAGGAGCCCGAGGCTGCTGCCAAGATTTACGCTGCCGTTGACGCCAACTTGGAGGAGGGCAAGCTGCTGAGCCCTGATCTGGGTGGAAAGGCCACCACTGAGGAGGTCGTCGAGGATATCCTGAGACGCCTGTAAATGGTGTCTTGGGTCGGAAGCAATAAAAAACTGGCGTGTTTGGATAGCTCTATGATCTCTCTCTCTGTTAGTATAGTAATATCAGCAGTAAAATGATCCGGGTGAAACTGGATCTAGAGAGCATAGTCAGTTTTGAATAAAGAAACAAAGAACTTTTGAATTCAAGAGATGCTTGATAACTGATCAAGTCAGCTTGGCTACCTAGCCCAAAGCAATCCTTCCGGCCGTCTTCCCATCAAAGCGGCAACAAACCAAATAACTGTGAGATCCAGCGCTCTCAAATGCCCACAACTGACCCAGTTGCCGGATAACCTGAAGAGTAAATATCATGATATGACTGATAAATATCGCCCCGTGAAGCTCATCCCGAGCGCATCTCGAAGCAAATAACTTTTGCCTGTAATCCCAACCGTTCAAAGATAAAAAATGAAAGAAAACTTCCCACGCGCCCGTCCGAAATAATACATCTCAGAAGATTTCCTCAACCGTTAATTACGCCCTTTTTTTCTTCGTCACTCTGGCGGCCTTCCTCTTTTGTTTCTCCTCCTGCTCCTCCTTCCTGCGCAATAATTCTTGCTGAAGCTCAAGTTCGCTCACCTCAGGTGGCGTATGGCCGTCGTCCTGCAATGTATAATCAACATCTGCCGCCTTTTTCACTTGAAGCGTATGAATGCGACTGTCAGTCTCGTCCTCAGTTTTTATAGTGACCAAGTGAGTCTCCTTCGTTTGGCCCATTCTGGTTACCCGTCCAAAAGCCTGTTGCTCGGCAGTCTTGTTCCACCAGGGATCAATGATTATCACCCTGTTTGCCACCGTGAGGTTGAGACACTGACCGCCGCTCTTGAGAGTGGAAACCTAGATAGATAGTGATTCGATTAGACAAACACGATTTTCAGACGCGCGATAGTGCTAAAACATGTAGAGAAGAAAAACTCACCATGACTTTCACATCTGCATTTTGCTTTATCGCTTCCAAGGCTTTGCGCTTCTGTCCACCAGGGAGACCGCCCCAATAATACACAAACCCAATGCCCAAGGTGTCGAGCATATATCCTAGGATCTTGGCAGTTCCAATAAACTGGGTGAAAACTAAGAAAAGTGAAGCAAAAAAAAGTAAGTCCCACTGATTCCATGACGAAACTAGTAGTTTCAGATACATACTGAGAATTTTGTCGTCGGGGGCTTCATGCAGCCAGGTGAGAGCAATTGCCATTGTTGCCGTCAGTCTTGCGCTTGGCACAGTTGGAACATCCTGTAAGAATGTACTGCAAATGAAGAAGCCATTTCGGTCATCGTCTTGACGTATAATAACGTTGTTGCTATCTCTTCCAGGCTCGCGATATCTCTTGTCAAGTGAGTCAAGATTGGTTTGCACAGTCTCGATATCCTCTCCCACTTCAAGTTCTTTGCCGCAGTCTTTGTGAGGACAATTCTGAGAGAATTAAAGAAGCATTAGAAAGGTCGCTTAACAATATAATGGCGGGGAGTCTACTCACATGCATATCACCTTGACGGTTTCCTTTGTTGGCTCTGCGATTCTCTTTGTCGGCTTTGCATAAGCATTTGGTGCAAAAAATATGCCCACACTTTTGAAGTTAGTATGAACCAAATACAGCATCAGAATTCGCTTTCTTTACTCACATCATCTGCGTGAACCGGATCCACGGGTGGTTTTTGGCAGAGAAGACAGTTATTGCCTCTCAATGAGCTCTCGCACCTCGCCAACTTTAGTAACGTCTTCATGTCGAAAGACTTACCAAACATAGCTTCTTCTCTCTGTTCCAACAATTTCAGCCCAGTTTCATATCTCAACATGTCGCAGTCTTTCCCCATCTTCAAACGGATCTGCTGAATGATGGTTTGCTTCGAGGGCAATTTCTCAAGAGCGTCTATCAGCTCTTTCAGGTCCTCTTCTTCAAACGAACGACGGAGAAGCCGCTCAATGCAAAATGGATGAGATATTGCTTGCCGCTTTCTCACTTGGCTGGCGTGACCCAATCTGTGACTCATAGACCGAGATGATACTCCGGCAATTTTGCCAGCTTTGTCTCCCTTTCCTTCGTCTTCGTCTTCCTCCGCATCGTCTAAATTGTCTACTGCCGCTTCCAGCTGGTCTTTTCCAATCGTTCCTTGTTTCAGCCTTTTCGCTGCTTTTTTGTAAAATGATTTCACAGCCCTGAGAAAAGATATTTCAGTACATATACCGTGATACATCATATTTAAAGAACAGGGGAAGCGCTTCAATGCTTGAAGGGCTGGAAAGTTTTGAACATACTCAACAATGACCTGTTCCTCCATGGACAAAGGAACTAGAAGATCAATTTCTTTCTTCTCTGGCAAATTGATAATCTTGTGCCCCATAAATTCATCATTCATTGTCCTAGATCGTCTTAGCTTTTGCAATTGTGCCACCGTCCAAGGAGTACCAAGCTAACCTTCGATACATGATAAGGCTTATTAGTGCCTCAAATCGAGAATTCGATTTACCCTGTCGTTGTCAGTCACCCACTATCTTTACCGTACTCTCTCAGGAGTGCTTACGTAGCTGGTGTACATAGCTTTGAACTCTTTCGAGGTCAATGTCGATTCACACTCTGTGAACTTGAGGTACGGGTACATCTCTGTACCGATCAGTAAGAACATACACCAGCGCAAAAATTGGGACTCTGATACACACCTTCGGAGCTGTTGGCCAGTGGGGTGCCAGATAAAGCCCAGCGATATTTTCCCAATAATGCACAACAGGCTTTAGAAGCTGGCAGAAAAAAGCAAAGTCAGTGGCTGCTTGTCATTTATTCTCACATATGAGCAATTGTAACTTACTACGGCTGTTAACATTCTTGATGGCATGCGCTTCATCAAGAATGATCCTGTACCACTTGATCCCGAATATAGTACCAACACGGGCCTCAAGCTCGCGGCGAAAAGAGACGTCATCGCTACTATACTTTTCTTCCAGCTCCCGGAGGACGCTATTGCTGGGAAACTGAGATATTATTTCGCTGTAGGTCGTGATGCTTGTTGTTATAATCCATTAGAATTTGTAAGTAGTATGTAGGTATGATGAAACTCACACAATGAAAGACCTTTTACATTTGTCCACCAAACCCCCGTAAGTTGGATCATACATGAAGACTTTATCCTTGATGGGTGCTTTGCAGTGTTTCTGTAGTTCTGTCAGTCGAGAAATTTTATCCACTGATCGTACCTCAATCTTCTAACCTGCGCTTCTTCTTCCCACTGCTTCCCAAATGTCTTATTCGACACTACCACGAGTGTGGCCCTGCAAAAATCTCTGGCATGCTCAACATCTGCTTGGTTTCCCACAATGCATGCCAGACTCATGACCGTTTTGCCCATACCCATAGCGTCAGCCAAGAGTCCACCGAATGGTTTCCCTCGAGCAAGCTCTCTCTTCACCATCCAAGCTACAGCTGTGAGTTGGTAGCTTTCTAAGGCAGTCTCCATGCCTTTCAGTTTCCAGCGACCATTCTCAGCCTCAACTCTTTTATAGCCAAACAAGCTTACCGCTTCGCGTAGATCTTGATTCTGCGTATTTTTGCGCCTTGTATCGCAATTTTGGGGTATCTGGGATTTGAGTTGAGCGGCCCTAAGTTGAGCAAACTGCTGAGCGTGAGTGTTTGCCTGGATAGGTTCCATGGGAAGCAGCGAACTGCCATCAGAAATTGAGGAGCTGTCCTTAGCTATCGAGAGGAAAGTGCCATTTGCCGTCTTGAGAGTTTTGCGAGGCTCTGCATCATCTCCAGTGAGCTTCCGCTTGCCAGGGCGTTTTTCTCCAGACTTCTTACTTTCGCGTTGCAACCTTTTGGCGTACTTCTTGTCTTCTTTCTCGTGTAATCGAGCAACGTATTCTCGTGCATTCAAGGCGATTTTTCGTCGCGGCTGTTCGCTCTTATTTTTCTTTACCACCTTGTTTGCTTGCTCGTGTGCATTACCTTTATCTTTCACTGGGGATGAATTCTTTTCATCATCGTCTGTGTCAGCGGATGAATTGCTATTATCTTCATATTCCGAGTCTTCACTCTCCTCTGATGAAGGCTCGTCTGGTGGTTCAGATAGCTCCGACTCTTCAGCCATTACCTGCGGGAGAATACTGGCGACATTCTGCTCAACAATGTCTCCTTCCTCGGCTGGATCTGACGTCGAGATGGCTTTTTCATCTTCAGCAGTATGGGGCGCTTTCTCATTTTGCTCTGGCATCTGTTCCTCCACGAAAAGAGACTCCTCAACTTTGCCTCCCGTAACAACCACCTGGTTTGCTTTGCTGGGCGATTTAGCACATTCGTCTTGCTCTTCGTAGTCAGAGAAGCGGTCGGTACTCCATTGAAATTTGCCATTGGGGCCGCCTAGTCCAGAAAGTTCTGGTTTGGCGCCATTCGGTGCCGGAGATGAGGCTGGTGGAGAAGGATAGCGACTGGAGGGTGGAGGTGGCAGAGGAGATTTAGGAGGCTCCAAAGGAGATTTCAGAGGCTCCAAAGGAGATTTCGGAAGCTCCAGGGTTTTGGGGGGCCCTAGAGATTTTGGAGGCTCTGGAGATTTCGGAGACTCCATGGTGACATGCGTGATTGACTAGGTAGATCTATGATTTGGTTAGTTAAACTATTTCATAACATTCTGAAGTTGAATTATCAGAAGAAGAAAAAAAGAAAATCTCATCTACTTCAACCAAACGCGATGTTCTGGGGTCGGTTCGCCAAAAACAACTTCACTGAGCAACAGCTCGTAGATTCTACGAGCAACTTTCCATATGTACCAAGCCGAGTGGTATAGTGGAAACTAAATGGTTCTAGAAGAAAAAAAAGAAAAATAGAAGTAATGAGAGAAAAGGAAGTGCGATGAGGTTGGGAAGAACAAGTGAAGTTGATGGTCTGCGAGGAGTTGGGATGTAGGCGATGCGCAATGCGTTAGGCGGTGTAGAGAATTCACATGACTTCAACGCAGCCGGTTGCAGGCAGCTGTTCTCTAGAATTCATGTATCTTCCAAATGCCTTTCACCGGTGTTGAAGTTCAAATCAGCAGAACTGGCAGTGTTGGCAGTTGTTGAGCTACTTCGCTTGCGGTGGAACACACTCACAGATCTACGAAAGGGACACTGCACGCGTATACAAAGAGAAACACGAATGCATATACTGTAGAACAAATAAAAAATACATTAATTCCGTAGCTAGCATTATATATATATGTTAATACGATTTGTATAATGCCCACAATGTTTGACAGCATGCACTCAGAAAATTAGCTGCACTCCATGTGTCTTTACAATTTCTTTTGTTAATCTCAAATATCGGCATGCTGCAATTCATTTTGTAGAAGCTGCAATTTGCAATACCGAATTTAGATCCTTTTGGGGTAGATAAGACAGATGTGCATTATAACCTTAAGAGCAAACAATATGTACATGTATTCACGTTTACAACCGCCCAGAATCTACGAAACATCTAGTAAAGGCCCCTATTTGCTCATATATAGCTCTGTATAATATCTCGAGATTCTTTATGGAATTTTGGTTCCAGAAACCATTTTATTTCGATCACAGTCACCATACCCATCAGAAACAAGTGACTGCGTCCAGAGTGACTGCTGCGCTGTGGATGCAGCCTCATGTGCAGAATCATATAATTTAATACAATATCATTCACTTCCATTATGTGCATCTACCCGAGTTATTTACTGTCTATGTGGGCGAAACTGATTGCCCCAGATGCAGGCATTACGGCTACAAGATGCCAGGTTTAAATACCCATTTGTCTACAATGACAATCTAATTCACAGCCGTCAGGCAAGATTCACACCTCTCACACCTTGTACCTCGGTCCTGTAAAGTATTCTACCTCGGGACCTTGTGCCCCGTTCTTCTGAGTATCACAGCTGAGTGAAGCCATACTTGTTATTCCAAGCCGCAATCAATAAAAAGTAAGCCGCCAATCTCGTCAATTTCGTTAATCTCGTCAGTCAGCCGAGTGACATACTTCCCGCTGTGGGGGAAATGGAGGCAGTAGCCCAAAACTAAATCGCTAGATTGCTATTGCAAGACTCATGATCTAACCATTGATGCTTTGGGGGGCGCATACTTGTATGTCAGGTGTGATTTAGGCCGGAACTGCTCACAAACTAAAACAGAATGCCCATGTACAGCCAAGAATACCCACGCGGGGGAGAACAAGCTTAGCAGCTGTTCCCCAGAGTCCGAGTTGCTCCAGTACGCGGAAATTTAAATCCTTCACAGATGTTAGTGCCAATCTGATGATAAGCATTCCCGAGAGAGATACAAGGGATACGTTTCAAAGGGGCAGATCTTTCTATAATGTACTCGTACATGAACAGCCTCTATTGTAGGACTGCATTAAGTGCTTAGAGAGTAGTATTTTGTCGGGCATGGCTTTACTTAAGAGCCCGATGCCGAAACGCGAGGGACTCACAGGACGGAAAGGCGAATGGCCGACATCAGCCATCTAACTCATTCTTGACTCCTTCCTGAATCATACACAGCCCTTAAACAGAGCATTCTTTATGCAAGATAGACCTACTTGACGATAATTCTCCATACATGCGACCGCCGATGCCTCATCTCGCGCTGACTGGCGAAATCCGCGAATGCTACCCTGCACCGGTCTTAAACCAAGCGGCGCGGCAAAATGTAGAGTGTTGCTCCCTTAACGCCCGCTTTGGTAAGAATTACGATAGAATCTTGGTCACCATAGTTATTCAAGACTTTGAAACCTGTGGATATGCCAAACAAGCGCCGGCACTTTGTCAGCGGTATCTGGGTAATGGCGCTCCTGAACAGGACCTTCATATACGAATAAATGCACAAATCGAGTTAATTAGGGGTGGGGATTATACGTTCTCCCGAGTGTGACAGAAAGAGATGTGTCTTATTTTTCGCATTTTCCCGGAGAGCGATGAAGAGAGCGCGAGGCCGATTGTGTCTGTTTAGGAGAGATCATTGCTCAATCAGGAGAGGCTTGGGCCATATGTGAGTTCGACTCTGGAGCAACAGGTTCAATATGAAGCCGAGGAGTCGGAGTAAATGGATGTTGCATTCAAGTACAAAAGGGGTTTCCCTTCTTTCTCTGCATCAGCCACCTAACAGCGATAGTAACTCATCTTTCACTGAGAGAGCTATTTCACTATGAAAGACATCTACTATGTCCTGCTTGCTCCCAGCTATATCTTTGGAGCGTTTGCGGTAGTGGGACTATTTTATGTAAGTTACCACTTGGCTCTATCATAGTTTGGAACTCCGTTAATGCTCCTACAAGCTGCTCCGTTATTACATTCGCGATCCCCTCTCTCAGGTGCCTGGGCCGTGGTATACCAAATGGACCTCGCTCGTAATAAAATACCACTGGCTAAAGGGCAATCGAGCGCGATATCAGCATGAACTGCATCTCAAATATGGTATGACTTGTCTTTGAAGAGCATTCTGATTTGTGCTACCCAATGCATTCAGATATACTAAACCAGGCTTCAACCTCACAGGGCCTCTTGTTCGCCTCACCCCCAACGAAGTGTCCGTCACCAACATCGAAGCCGTCAAGAAAATCTACAACGCCAGAGAGACATACCTCAAAACATCCTGGTATGGCGACTTATCCGTCACAACCGAAAACCTCTTCAACACCACCCGCGTCGAGGTGCATCGAAGACTGCGAAGGCTTCTCTCAAGCTCCATGTCCGAAACATCACTGCAGATGGCTATCCCGCAGGTCCAGTTCAAGATCGACCTTGCGATACAAAGAATGGGCGAGGAAATGGAAAGAAGAGGCGCTGCAGATGTCATCAAATGGTTTCTATTTATGGCAACAGATATCATTGGAGAGCTCTCCTTTGGCGACTCCTTCAGGACGTTGGAGATTGGCGAGAAGAGCGGCTACACAAAGGACCTGGAGAACTTGGGATACCTTGGTGCTGTGCGCTCGGCTTTCCCGACGTTTATCGCAATGGCAAAATACCTACCCATTCCGTTCTTCACACGCCCACTCCAGGCAACGAGGAACATGATTCGTTATTCGGAAGAGTCCATCGCTCGGTACAGGAATCTTCTAGACTCTGACCCAACGAGCGTCAAATGGACTCTGTTTACCAAAGTCTTCAAAGACACCGACAAAGACGCTTTTACACCGGTGGAGCTCAGAGCCAACGCATCGGGGTACATTGTTGCCGGCAGCGACTCCACAGCCGTGACACTGACATACCTTGTCTGGTCCGTTTGTAGCAACCCGAAAGTCAAGGCCACTCTCCTAGAGGAGCTGCAAACCCTCCCGACTGACTTCAATGCGTCCCACCTTCGTGACTTGAGTTACCTGAATCAGGTGATTGACGAGACGCTGCGTTTGTACTCTGGCATTCAATCATCCCTGCCTCGATACGTGCCCGAAGGCGGCGACGACATTGCCGGATACTGGCTGCCTGGAGGCACGAGCATCTGCGCTCAGGCATACAGCATGCACCGCATTGTCAGTGTATTTCCGAATCCGGATGTCTTTGACCCGTCACGATGGGCATCGCCAACAAGGGAGATGAAAGATTCCTTTATGCCCTTTGGCAACGGAGCACGAAGTGGGTTTCTGTGACATCTGAAACGCGAGATTGTATTATTGCTTGCTAACATTATTTCTCTTTGACAGTTTGTATCGGACTACATCTTGCCCGGATTGAGCTGCGCTATGCGACTGCGCGTTTCTTTTTGACGTATCCGGAGGCTAAAGTGTCGACGCTAGAAGGATTCAGCGATGAGGACATGGTTCCAAAGGTGTTCTTTTTTGAAGAGCCAACGGCCAAAAGATGCCTCATTCAGAGATATTGAGTGAAATTGAGCATGTTTCCATGGTGAAGTTATGAGACCGACTGTAGTTGAACGGGGGCGAACCACTGGCTGGTGAGGTTGATGTTTATCTAAACAATTGGTCCTGTTGCTACCTTCCAATAACTTACTTGTGTCGATACCAGAGAAATACCTGAATTATTTAAAAATAGCATCAGTTGGTACTTTCTGGTGGCCCAAGCTGAGGTTGAATCCGTCGATATAATGTAGAGCACAAAGAAGAATACATGCCCGTGAATCCAGGTTGGATCTGCGGAATCAAGCCTTTGTTTCCGTGACATATTCTGTGCTGGAAAAATCCTCTGGCATTGAGTCTTCGCTTCTTATTACATAGAATTGGTTCGTATGAACTTGAAACCGCAAACATGCAATGAAATAAAAGGCGGCCTCTGCCTGGGTGGCGAGAGCCAAAATTCCCAATTTCGACAGTTTTTCACAAAACACACTACTAGTCACAATACACAATGTCTCATATCGAATTTATCTCGAATCCAAATCGCGACCTCGCAAGCGTCCAGCAAAATGGTAAACCGTACTGCATATCGGCAACCGAGTACTCGACATCGTGGTCATGCCAATGGACCGATCCCGAGTTTGGCGTCTTGAACGAAATGGATTTGGAGCTGCTTAAGCATGTGAATTGCTCGTACCTTTCTTCGGGCAAACCTCCAACGATGCTGGCATTGAAACAACACGCACAGTCTCTTACGAATCTCATCAGGAAACTCTGCGTCAGCAATACATTTGGAATAGTCAATGGAAAAGGAGAGCGGCGCCCAGTTTTTGAGAAGAACGAGGCCTTTGACTGGCTGAATAATCTTGACGAACCATACACAAACGACGACGAATTTCACCATATACCACTGTGCGTGCTGGCGAATCACGTTAAAAATGAAGGTGAAGAGACTGGCATCGAATGCCACTGCCCCCTCGAAGCTGCGCGCAACTGGGGACCCCTAGAGCCTGGCGAGAAGGCACCCCGACCATATTTTACGCATCAAAACTTGGTCATGCATGTAAACGAATGCCTCGAAATACTGGATCATGAATACAGTGCAACAGGAGGCCTCATGTCATTGCTTCCGTCTGGAAATGGAGTTGACGGCGAGCAGATGTCGGCTGCAAGGAACACTCTGCTAGGACAGCTGCTTCTCCATCAACAGCACATGGTTGCGCGGATGCACGAGCTCGAAATCCATTACGCAAAAGCTCTCGATACTGTAAGTGGTGAAGCTGTTGTGCCCATGCAGCTCCTTCAGCGCTCGGGAGCGGATGAAAGAAGTGAGCTAGTCCATCAGCAGGGCCGGTTTATCCTTGCTAATGCGGGAGACGACGTCTTTGAAGTTGTGCACCGCCTGATGGACAAAGAGGAGACCGAGATGCAAAGCAAGGAACGGGTGTGGTGGGAGTCTGGAGTCAGCGGCGAGCGACTCTGGTCGGAAACCCTGGGTGGTGAATGGAAATCCCGTGGCCTCGTATCTGTCGATTTGATGACGCGGTTCATTCGGCTCAAGGGCCAAGGAGGGAGGTCAACCATCTTTATAATGCCAGCTATTGAGCATCATCCCGGCACGGCAGAAACGCGCAAGATGGAGAACCGCCCAACGGTGGTATCCGTGGTGGCGCCGTCTTGGCCGGAACGAGCATCACATCTGGAGGAGCGTGTTAATGCTCATATTAAAAGGGTAAAGGAGTTGGAAGATGAAACCCAGGTACTCGAGCGAGACAAGATGGTGCTGGATGCCAGCTTGACTATTGCGCTGTCGGATCTGAACAAGACAAAGGAGGACATCAGGTTCTATGAGGGAACATCTGACGGGGCAGCGATTAGCGAGATTCTTAGCGAGAATGAAGCGATGAAGCGCCAGATGACGAGGCTGAGAGAGTCGCTGCCGAGGACGTATCACCACCTGCTGCGGGACGAAGACTGAATGCGAGTTGGGCAGACAAGCAGGTGGCGTGGCTGGTTTGGTATGCTTTGCGGTGATGGTTTTCAGGTGAGAGAAGATCGATTAGATGATAGTGTACATTAGCGGCTTTAGTGTTGATCTAAATTTCCGAGAATTGATTGTGTTGTTGGTTCAATTCGATTCGTCTGTAGGAGCAGAGTAGGAGGAAATAGCAGCGTCGTTATTGATGGGGGATGGCGATAAGCCAGTGGCCGCTATCGAGGCCAAACTCCCCGCTATGTGCAATCCATCGATTCAACTCACCACAAGCCCATCATCTCCCCAGCATCGCAACGCCATCCACACGACACACTACGCAGAGCCTCCGATCCGTCTTTGTTGGATCTTTGTTGGATCAGAGGACGACTACGACCACTATCCCCAACTCGGCCACCGCAGACAATCGTGCAACGCTCTGCAAGGGCCATGTTCGCCCCTGCATACAGCTCGCGCCTCTCCGCATCATGGCCTCCCCATTCATAAGGCATTGTCTTCTCCAGAGAGCTCCATCGATTCCCCGTGCTGCTCAGCGACGCCTTCACCTGGCCCCGCCGTTTCTGCTCGACGACTACACGCCAAGGTATCTTAGGCTGACCTCTAGAGACGCGGCCAAGAAGCGCTCCAAGGCCTATGCCCACCTCCGCAATTGCAACCTTTGTCCTAGACAATGCGGCGTTAATCGTCACGAGACGACTGGAATGTGCCTCATTGGCGACACGGCCAAAGTCAATGTCATAGCGCCGCATTTTGGTGAAGGTCCGTTCACTGCCCTTCGCCTGAACTCAAAAGACAGCTGAGAACCAAAGGCTGTTGAATAGCATTCAGCACTAAGACGCCTACGGGGGTGGAAAAAGATGTGCTAACGGAAGACTAGAGCCATGTATCCAGGGGCACAATGGGAGTGGCGCGGTATTCATGAGTGGATGCAACATGCGCTGCATCTTCTGCCAGAACTATGACATTGCGCACCAGCGAAACGGCATGGACCTCACCCCGGAAGCGCTGGGCGACTGGTATCTGAAGCTTCAGGAGGTGGGCAATGTCCACAATATTAACATTGTAACTCCCGAGCACGTGGTGCCTCAGGTGGCGTTGAGCATCTTGCATGCGGCGGAGCGTGGGCTAAGAGTGCCTATCATCTACAACACGTCGAGCTACGACTCGCTTGCATCTCTGGAGCTGATGGATGGACTGGTCGACATTTACCTGGCTGATTTCAAAGTATGGGAACCAAGTACATCCAAAAGGCTGCTCAAAGCAGATGACTACGCTGCGACGGCAAGGGAGAGCATCAAGGCCATGCATAAGCAAGTTGGTGACCTGTGCTTTACCGGGGATGGAATTGCGAAAGTAGGAGTCCTAATTAGACATTTGGTTATGCCGGGAAAGGAGGCCGAGGGTGCAGAAATCATGAAGTTCTTGGCATCTGAAGTATCCACCGACTGTTTCGTCAACATCATGGAGCAGTATCATCCAGACGCTCACGTTGGGAAGAAGAGAAGGAGGAGGAGAGTATCGTCTGTGGCTGAAGAGGAACCAAGGCGTCGGAACGAGCCAGCAGAAGAAGACGGCGAGGTTCGATACAGCGACATCAATCGAGCTGTTACAAGTGAAGAGGTTTCGTTGGTGCGCGAAGCGGCTGTGCGGGCTGGCCTTTGGCGTTTCTGCGACCCTCCGAAGCACGACGGTTTCGCTATCTGATGGCGTATACTGCATTTTTCTCGCTTCATCCCATGGCTGCGCTGTGCTTGCAAGATGGCGCCGAGCTCGGTTGTGCATGTGGGTGTCTATGCTTCCATTTTGATTTTCAGTCGCCGTTCAATTACAGCCACAGAGCTAATAGTGTGTAGAGCCCGAGGTGAATCATGGGTACTATTTCAGGCCACAAAGTGCTGGCCTCGATTTCTAGCTGAGCAGCAGTCCCTGTCCGAAAGGCTGGTAAATGGCGGGCGCACAGATCAAAAGATGCCGCGTGGTTAATGGTGTTGGTCCATGCCCAGGCGATCGGAGAAGAGTCAACTTGAACGCCAGGTTGTTGGTGGCGGCATAATACGCATGTCTCAAAGCAACAAACAAGCCCAGAGCCCGAGGTCCGAAGCCACAGCACCGGGTCTTCGGGTTTGGTTGAACTCGCGTGTGAGAACAATAGTCGCACGACCAGTTGTTATGGTCAGCTGTCCAGCTTCTTAGTTCGTCTATCGTTACTCTTTGACTATTGCTTGTTCTTCATAAGCTGGGGATATCTTGCTACAATATTTCATTTGCCAAGGATCTCTACCCCAAAGCACCACAACTCGAAGCTCATGGATTTGGAAACGATTGCAACTCCCGAGAGATCGGCACGAGGACCCCCGAGAGACATCTCTCCCTCATCGTCTCCCTCATCCTGCCGTGCCCTCTCACTCGACTCCCGCTCATCTGTATCAACAAAGCCGTCTTCAAGAGGGACATCTCCTGCTGCTGAAAAGGAAAAAAGCAACGGTACTCGGTGCAGAAGCAGACGCAACCCTTCGCAGTTCACACCACCCTGGGATCTCATGTTCCAACCACGATCCTATGAAGAGATATATGCCGAAGGAGAATATCTCACAGCATCTCTCCATGCGTATTCAGTCAAAGTGATGAATCTAATCCATCAGTATGCCTTGATAGAAGATGTTCTCCAGGCCAAGGACCACATTGGAAAGGAGAGACGAAAGCTTCGAAAACAAATGAGTTTCATCAAAGTAAAGCTGGCTGAGGCATCTCGCCAAGAAAAGGCCATTGTTATGAGGCTGAACGAACTGTACATGGAGCAACTGGGAAGAGATGCTTGGGACCAAATACAGCAACGCAGAACGGTTTACCCGACTTTTCCGTCCGATGCGGCCATGCCATCAGCCTTCCCAGAGACGTCGCTCAGCGCAACATCAAAGGAATTTGTCCCATCTGCCGGCCCACCGGTCCGTGCTCAATTTTCTGCATCAGAAGTGGAGAAGCCTCGGACCCTGGACACCGTGGTTGAGGCTAAAGAAGGTGAAGAGGATGATGACGAGAGCATCAAGCTAGATGATGGCCCTAACGATAATGAAGAAGACGCCGCAATGGAGACAAGGAGCCTCGCCGAGAGTGAAGATTTGTGTAACCATGGGTTGGAGTACACGTACCAAGGCCGCGCAGATACACAGAATTCTCAACTGCGCCCGTCCTATCTCAGAGAGAGGCTGTCTGCATATCCGGAAGAGAATCGAAAGAGCCTTCCAAACCTTTGCTCGCTATGGCCTGGCATCCAAGCCATTGAGTGAAATCAGCAAGACCAAAACAATGGCAAAAGAAAAGAAGCTGGCGAGGGAAAAAAATATTGGTTGAAAGGAGTTTATGCATCTGTTTGTTGTCTGCTTGGCTGGGAATGCATCTATCATGGAATATGGGGGAGATATCATGGCGAATATGAATATGAATGTACATGTACAAACGAATTGACCGGATGATATTAACAATTAATGCTGGGAGGATTGTCTATGTTATAGTCATGCACTGCACTTGTGTTCACTTTTAATTTTATTCCTTCTCTTTCTACGCAAATTCTCCAAACTGGCCGTCGTCAAATCCCAGATTCTTGAGCGACTTCCTCTTTTCTTTGACGTCGGAGGTTTTGGGCGGCGGAGGGAGAGAAAATGAAGCTGCACCAGCCGGGGGAGGCGGGAGCGCGAATGACTGCAGATCAGCAGAGCCCGACGATGTTGATGGGGATTCGTCTGCGTGCTGCGGTCGCCGCCGGCCGAACTTGGTGCCGCCGAGGTTTACTGTGATGGTCTCGCCTTCCTTCAAGCTGTAGTCTTTGGTCTCCGTCTTGGTCTTTGCCTCGGCTGGGTTGTGGCTCTGCTCGGCCTCCCACCCAAGGCTCCGTCTCGCCTCCTGCAGCGACACGGCCAGATCGAAAGCGTCGGATCTCTCTTCAAAGCCAATGCCCAGCACGGCCTTGCGCCCCTGGGGGTCCTTGACAGTGACAGCGAAGAAGCGGCTGCTGTCGACGACGGGCTCGACGGCGCTACGATCGTTGTAGGGCGAGGCGGCAAAGAGCTGGCCAGTGGAGGGATCCTCGAGGACAAGATCGATCTTGAGGCTAGATGCGGCGTCGGGGCTTTCAAAGGACGTTTCGACGACGCGGAGGCGCGCGGTGAAGATGTGACGGGCGGGGTCTTCGGTCCAAGAGGCGGCGGCGTGGCCACGCATCGAGGTCAGGGGCGGGATGTTGTAGACGTGGACGGAGTTTGCGACGAAGAGGATGCGCTGGATGGCGTCGTTGGGGAGGGGCTGGCCGGTGGTTGGGTCGATGGCCTCCATGGTTGGCGATGATTAGATGGAGTCGTTGTGTTGTTGAGAGATGTGAGATGTAAGATAGTGGGAGAATGAATTCAATTGGCGTTGTATGGAAATTGGAAAAAGATGTCAAGACGTGCGATGCTGGCGCTGATGCTGATGCTGATGCTGGTGGTGAAGGATGGAAGCACAACAACGGACGAGAGATCAATGGGCGGTGGGGGATCTCGGCTGGTGCTACATGTAGGTAATCAATGGATGTGTCGATGCTGTGCTGCTGCGCTACGCGATGGAGATGCTCTGGATCTCGACATCTATTGGGCATCTGCCTGGGTGCCCTAGCATCATCAATGGATGATCTGGGCGGATGGAGGGGCTGATTTACAGGGGTCTTTACAGTGGCTGGACACTCTATTCATTCAAGGAGTACAAAGTACTTTACCCCGCCATGTGTGGCTTGTGAGGTACCTCGAGCTTCCGTCTTGTTTTGTATGGCGGGCGGGATCTAAGTGCTAAGCAAAGGTTAGCAGATGGCGGCCAAACTTTGAAATCTCCAAATTTCCTGACTCACATCACCAACCTCAAAATTCAACATCTCGGCATTCATTCCACCACACTCTCCTCTCCCAGATCGCAGATTCATTTCATTTCATTTTTTGGTTGCACTCTCACACATTCAGCGCGTACGCAATGTCAGCATCAGAAGCTGGTGCGTCATCCTCTCCTCGTGCGACAAACACTCCAACATTCCGATACTGACCATCGCATTTCTAGCCGTTGCGCAGCCAGTCTCGACTGAGCTTCCCTTGCGAACCCAGCCCAACGACTCGACCTTTGAGTACGCCCATCTCCCTCTCCATCCAGTCGCGAATCCTCCTCAGCCGATTCTAACGCATATGCAACAGCATCGTCGCCACATACCGAGACCTCCTCGCCTCCGACCCCGACCTCACAAAGCCCGTTGCCGCCATCGAATCCCTCATCGCCCTCCTCAACACCGTCCCCTCAACCACCGTATACGAAACCCTCGACACTGTCAAGACCCATTCCGACCTCCTCAAGGCCTCTGTGGAGAACCCGCTTCCCCTGCAGGCCGGAACAGATCTCTTCCTTCAGTATCTCGTTGCTTCGCTCAAGCAGCAGGACGGCAGCTTCGACGCCGTACGACAGCACCTGTTGCGCAATGGACGCCTGTTTGCGACTAGGGCCATCGCAGCCAGGAATGGCATTGCGGAAGCGGGGTGGAGGTTCGTCCGGGAAGGCAAATGTGTGCTGACGCATGGAGCGTCGCGATCAGTCACCGGGCTGTTGGAGCGAGCGGCCAAGAATAGCGAGGGCAAGTTTAGGGTAGTTTACGTGCGAGACGAGGTGCGCGCCGAGGAGAGCGATCGAGTGGTCAAGGAACTGCGAAGCAAAGGAATTCCCGTCGCGGAGATTCCAGAGGCTGCGGTGGCGCATGTCATGGGCTTGCTGCGACAGGTTCACATGGTGTTTACGGGTGCCGAAGCTGTGACGCAGAACGGCGGCATCATTTCGCGGATTGGGACATATCAGATTGCCAAGCTGGCGGCACAAGCTAAGATTCCGTTTTACGTTGCTGCTGAGACGCACAAGTTTGTGCGCAAGTTTCCTCTGGATCAGAGGGACATTGGCTATAAGCAGGAGGTGTTGGACTTTTCGGCTACGGAGCCAAGCAAGCAGCCCAAGGATGCTGTCGACTATACGGTGAGTATTTCGTCCCCCATCTATTGCATTGTATATTCGTATTGTCACTGTCGAATGCGCTGGACTAATACTGGTGATAGCCCCCGGAACTGATATCGAATCTGGTAACGGAAAACGGCGTTCATCTGCCCGGATATGTATTTGAGCAGCTTCTTGATATATACGGTAGCTTGAACGGCTGAGAGGCGTATAAGAATTGAAGAATTTCAACATTTAGTCACCCGATGTGATACGCAGAGCATGAGCCAGGAATGGGTTCTTCTCTATGCGCAGGTTTCAGTGGACGTATGAATGCGTTTGAACTTTGTTGCGGCATTGACATTGCCCGTATGAACTCGATGGAAGGGTGGGTTTACCAATCAGATATCCAGTGTTTTGGCCTTGTCTGTCGCTACCACCAAGTCAATAGTGGTTGGCAGAAATGTTTCAAAGCTGTTGCTTCAGACCAGTGGCAGAGAATGTACTCGTATCATATGGTATTGCCTCCTGTGGTGTAAAGAGCGGTTGTGCGTACTGCATGTCCAACAGCTTTTCGTTGACAACATTCCAGTCCCCTTGCACACATGTACAGTGAATACCCAAAATTCATCTCTGTCATTACCAGTCAATACTTGTCGGAACCATAGAATTTTTCATTTGCAATGTCGACTGTAGAAACCCTAGATGAATCACTCGCGCGTTTCTTCTCGTGCGCAGGCGCATGCACGACAAGGAATCAATGCGATGCATTTGCCAAAAAAGTTTTTGGAGGGCCAATTATACCAATTGCAAGTCAGGGATTGTTCAGCTACAGCGTCTCGGCAGCAGATGGAACGGTTCTGGTTCAATTCAGAGACGCAACTTCTCCAATTGACACCCAGATGCTGGATATGGTCTTTATGATTCATGCAGATTTCGTCACTAGGTGCAAGTATTGGGGGACGATTGGCTCATCACCGGGTCTGCTCATATATTCGATGGAGATGATCCCTGGTGAGAGCTACTTCAGCATCTCTCTTTCTCTACTGGAAGAGAACTTAGACCACCAATTAGCGACGGTACGCAGCTTAGCGAGGTTCGTCCACATATTCTTTCTGTTGGGAAATGCATCAAACAATACTGAAGCAGAAATTGTTAGATTCTTCGCGCAGTCTTGGGGTAGTGGCAGGTCATCCAAGTTGAGCATGGATCCTACCGTGCTCCAAGACTGCCACTCCAGCTTCAACCATCTGATCAAGAGTCTTCCTGAAAAATTCCACAAAATCGTCAATCATGTACAGCTACACATCCCAGAGCTCTTCTACGGAAAATATCCACTGGTTATAACCCATGGCGACCTGAATGAGATGAACATACTCATTGATCCAGAGACTGGAGAAATTACGGGCATCGTCGACTGGGCTGAAGCTGGTATGCTGCCGTTCGGGTTTGCGCTTTACGCTCTTGATCATTTGCTCGGCTACATGACACCTGACAGATGGATTCCTCATGATAATGCCAAAACTTTAGAAGTTGAATTCTGGAAGTCATTTTGCGCAATGGCTGGGGGCGTGAGTCTATCTGAAATGAAGCTCATCAAGGTCGCGAGGACGGCTGGATTGTTGCTTCGCTATGGGGTGGCATATCAGCCGGGACGCAAAGGAGTGGTAGGAGTTGGAGGCAGTGACGCATTAAAACTGCTTGAAGCATTAATTACTGCTTGTTCGTTGACTGAGATGCCGGATGATGCTCATGCAGATACAGGTGCTATTGAGAAGGCGACTTGAGGTATTCGAATTGAAATGGCGCATAAGACTAAAACCCGCAATTGGCGAATTGCTTACGCATATACTGCAGGAATCAACACAATATTGACACAGTCAGCCTCATTTAAACAGGACAGTCGGGGCCCAAAGGGAATGGTCATTCCTTGAGCGTTGATGATTCACTGGGAAAGCAAGGGAGTAAAGCTTCAGGGTATCCCATGCATACAGCTGTTCAAATCTAAGAATATTCCTTGCCAATGCTGTTACAACAATGCAGTGTCTTGCGCGCCTTCATAGAGAGAACATTTATCTCGATTATTATTGAAAAGTTGCTGCACTCTTACACTCAGCATCCATATTTTGGCGCTCCAGTCACCTTGCTTACTGTAGACCATTTTGGAGAAACACTCGTCGTTCTCCCAAACCCTTGCTGACCACGGCATTGAGTCGAGAGTATGATCAATGGCACTGAAGCTGGCCTACCTTTGTCCAAATCTCGTTACTCGCTCAACAGTACAATCGCCTAGGCAATGACGCCCGACCGATTAGTTTCATCACGACCATGAATTCTGTATGGACAGCAAAAAGCAAGGTTGGGGCTTCTCTCGGTCTGAAACGGAGTGCGCTCGGCCCACAATTGCGGTCTCTCCTCCGCTCCTCAAGAATCCAGATCTAAGATTGCAAACTCCGCAACATCGCATCATTGGGCCTTTGGCGGCTGAGACGCGGCCGCTATTTTGCGAAGACCATTGCGATTTGGACAATAAGCAGTCTGGAGATAGATTTTGCACCTTCAAACTCCACATTCTATTGCAAGAATACACCTATATTTAATCAAGGATTATTTGACTCAATTCGATCTCCGCCATCAGTGCTGTTTTGCTGTTGGTTCTGCTGTATGAATCCTTCACGGACATAAGGACATAACAACAAGACATCATGGTTGTTATGTCAACGCCGCAGATGATCGGTGTTATTCAACTGTACTCAGCTTCGCCGATGGCAATTCCATCGGACTTAGTAGAGAAGGATCAAGATCGTATTATGTTGACATTCTGTCACACTGGATTTTTTTTTTTAACTCCATGTGGTGGTTTGAATGGTTGTTGAGCCGTGTGAAAGTCCACCCTGAGATCTCGGATTATACACGCACTTAACGGCCCGCGTCTTACCTCTCTGGGAAGTACTTCTGCCTCACCTTTGTGGGCGGCAATTGTGTGCTCGTTTACACGTAAAACTCACCAGGAAAGGGTCCTTTAGCGATATTGCTTGATACTGCGTGAGGTTCCTGCATGTGTAGAGATGCGGCGGAGACAAGGATTTGCAGAAAGATAGTATACATATATGTCGGTACACGTAGTAACCTCATAACTGCCTGTATATAAGTATATCGTCGCATCTCTCTCCGACAAGAGTATACAATCAAGCATCACTTCTCAGTCACTGGAAACAATTTGCAGTAAATATAAACAACATCTCTTCACGAACATCCATACTCACTCAGACAAAATGGTCCGCGAATACAACGCCAACACCACAGCTGATGACCTGCTGAAGGATCTTTCATCCGAGATCAAGGGCAAAGTCATTCTCGTCACCGGTGTCTCTCAAGGCACTCTGGGTGGTGTCTTTCTCGAGTACGTCGCAAAGGCTGCTCCTGCTGGACTCATCCTTGCCGGCCGCACCCTGAGCAAGGTCCAACAGTCCGCCGATGCCCTCAAGGCAGCTCACCCTGCCATCGACATCCGCACCCTTCAAATTGACCTCGGCTCCTTCGCTGCGGTCCGTGAGGCTGCTGCCACCGTCAACTCTTGGGAAGATGTTCCTCACATCGATGTCCTGGTGAACAACGCCGGAATCATGGCTGTTCCCTATGGAAAGACCGTCGATGGCTTTGAGCTGCAGTTTGGAAGCAACCACCTGGGCCCATTCCTCTTTACCAACCTCATCATTGACAAGATTCTGGCCGCCAAGGCTCCCCGAGTTGTCAACATTTCCAGCAGCGGCCACAGACTCAACCCAATCCGATTCTTTGACTACAACTTCCGAGTCAGTGCTTCCAACATATATCTTGGTTACCACCTGAACATCTTTTTGCTAACATCCGGTTCTAGGACGGCGAGACATACAACGCCTGGCAAGCATATGGACAATCCAAGACTGCCAACATGCTGATGGCTATTTCCCTGGCTGAGAAGCTTGGATCCCGTGGCCTGACTGCGTTCAGCCTTCAGCCTGGCGCCATCATGACTCACCTTGGTGACCATCTCGACTTTTCCGTCCAAGGACCAGCACTAGGTAAACACTTGCCTTCACCATGATTGCATATCTGTACGTGTACTGACTGGATATAGCCATGGCCGACAGACAGCTCGGAAACTCTGAGGGCTGGGATGATGGTTTCGACTTCAAGCCCATCGAGAGGGGCGTTGCCACTCACATCTACGCTGCATTCGAGCCCAGCCTGAAAGGTATAGTCATGTGGCCTCACCTCTTATTTCAGATTGTATGTGCGCATGGCATACTAACGCATGTGGCAGAGCACAACGGTGTGTACTTGGAGGACTCGCACATCGCCGACCCGGAGGTACAGACTGTCAAGCCTTGGGGCACCAGCAAGGTCGAGGCTGATCGCCTGTGGAAGCTCAGCGAGAAGCTTGTTGGACAGAAGTTTTCATACTAAGCGATATTATGACCATTGTATAGGTGGAAGATGTTGCAACAATGGCCTCAAATTTGATGGCATAGCATAGTAGCATTTCTGCAGCTGAGCTAGGTACATGAGCGTTAGCAGATATTTAAAATAAAAGATTTTCAAGTGAAAAAAAGTCACTCTAGTAAATGAAGACAGTTTCCAGCCGTTTCTGTCCCTTTGTTGAAGCTGCTGAGCTGTAACTAACGTAGCAGCCTTAATAAAATGGCGAACGCCCTATGCACCTGGCTATAGTGGCATCGTAGGAGATGGCGTATTCCCCTGTCAAAGCCAGTAAAGGGCCATCTGAATCAATGAAGCTTTCGAGGACGCCAGCAGTGGTATAGGCGACAAGAGCTTTCATGTCGGCTGTTGGCGACATCTGCATTTCGATGACCTAAATAGGTAGGTCGCCTCTGCGGGCTACGTGGATGGAATTACAGTCGCAGTATTAAAGAATCTCTCAGAAGAAGCTTGAACACTAATCATGTCAAGATCTGGGCAACTTGATCCGTGTGGACCCCTCGCCTGTCAAACGTGCAGTGCCGAGCCACCTTGATACTTACCACGATCTCCCGTGATTAGGAATCTGTTTTTACTAACTCCATGTCCGTTCCGTAGCTCAGGCAACCAGTGGCATGTTCTCCCGTGAAATCTGTGACGCATCGCCAGAGATGAGTCCACTCTCGGCCAACTCGGTTGCAAATCGGGGGCAACTTTTCGCGAGTTGACAGGTACGATAGGCGAGACAGAGCTCCGCCGAGAAAATGCCTATTTCCAAGCTTCGCGCCAGGTCAAATCGGCTCCAGCGCATATGCGCACCTGTTTCTACTTTCAGACATAACTGGACTTCCGGGCGCAGCGGCTTCGCATCCTTGGATATCGTGTGTTGCTTTAGTAATACGAAGGATGCACTATTCTATGACTATGAATGCACTCCGCACTCATGCATGATTCCATTGTCCGAGAGAGAAAGAGAGTGTGGGGGTTCAATATCGCAAAACTGTCACGACGGGAATCAGATGTGATTCTATTGACTGAATCATACAATGGAGGAGCATTTACTCCTTCTGGTCAGCAACTAAAGTTGTTAGATATTAGTCTAATGCAGTAACCAAGCGAAGCTAGTTTCAGCGAAAGCTTACTCCAGCTCCAGCTGCATGTACGGGCATGTATATTACCTATTTGAAGAGGCTTGCGGCGGGGTTGTCCAATGTATGTACATTGAGTCGAAAGCAGAAGCGCGATTTAATGGAGAAGGGGATGGGTAAAGGAAGTATCAGTAAAAAGAAATGCAGAGGCCTTTCATTGTCAATGGTAAATGGATATGCAGATTGGAGGAGCTTCCCGTAGACAGAGAATCATGGCTGCGTCCAACATACATGTACCTGCCGTTTAGTTTGCAATGCTCATTCTTGGACGAAATGGCGTTATCTTACCTTGCGTAAACATATATATAACGACGTTACCCTCTATTGGTTTTACAAAATTTAATAGCTCTAAATCTACCAAGCGCCAGTCTGTGTCCGTCTCAACTCACAGCTGCTCCGAAGATCATCTACAACTCGAAACAACGTATACGTACGCATCGATACCGTCATTCGAACACGCGGGGATTCGCACGGAACAAAGCGGAGCGGCTAAGGCCGGCTGAGATGGGCAAAAAGATGACCATATCCCTTGCCGTTCGCGGTCTTAGCAGCGACGACCACCTCGAGCGTGATTTGCCCGAACATGACACATGATTGTTACGAAATTCCAATAAGACGCAGTTGGTGCTACTTCGTGCCTGCAAGGGACACGTCCCGAGACCTACACAACGGTTACCCGACATGTCCGAACTCCGCAACATTGGCACGATTCACGGTGTCGTAATAGAGAGGCTGTCTGTCTGCACCAAAAGGGCGCACTGTAGCGTGAAAAGAGACTGATGGAAAACTGCTTGATGACGGCTGTAATTCCATCTAGTTCTTATCATTCGGCTCGTCGCCCCTTTGTCACCGTGACAAATCTCATTTCTGCGCAAAGAGAGTTTGAGTGGCATCTCTAGCATCAAGCCAGGCGGAAGTACATGCCACAACTGGCGTTAGCAGCTCCTGCGGCTGAGCAAATGGCCAAAGGGCTCAGGTACCTGTATTCTATTCTTGTTAGCCCTCGACCTAATAGCTCTGGGTTACGTGAGGAGGGCCCATCCCCGTGGAGCCATCGCCAGCTAGCCCCCAATAAAGCCTGCACGTTGGCCTCCAGCCTTGCAAGGGTAGCTCGAGAATAAACCCGACAAAGCTGCAATGATTCCAAACAGTGCGGGCCCCATCACCTTTGCTCTGGCATTCACGCTGTAACTTGTAACATCCATTACATGCAATGGACCCTACTGCTGGATCACCCTGACCATTATCTGGATCAGGCTTGGAGCATCCAGCCATGGCGCCCGGCCGGTGATTGACGGAGCCGGTGTCTTGCATCATGGATGCGTAGCGGACCCTCCTGAAGCTTTCCTCCCTTACTGAAGCTCGAGAGTCATAGGCTTCGGCATGTCGGGGAGGGGAAACGGGCCAGCAACAGGGCATCTTACTGCTACCCCCCCTAACGGGCGTAATGTGGGAGGAGGCTAGAACGTTGCAGCGGCAGTGTACATGCCCAGGACTTGGCTATAGATGCCGGCGTGCAGCATATCCCATGTAGCTACTCGGTAGGCCTGCCCTGTTCTGGCTTTAGGATTCAAGCCATGACGGCGCCTCGACATTACGTAGATCGCGGTTCGACATGTCGCTTGGCGTCTCCTGTGCCTGGATTCGTGAGAGGGAAGAGTAGTATATAGATAGCCTTCGGAATGGTGGTGTCATGGCTTGCCGTCCCCCTCATTCTGCCTTGCTTTTGTATTCATCCATATTCATACTATTTACTTTGAGCTGAACCAAGATTTGATATAACAACGATTAGAGAACGATCCACCAGCATTACCACACGCGTGTTTCATTTCTCCAAATCGTAGTCACAATGCCCGCTGTCAGGGAGTCCGTCCTCCTTGCGCAGCAGCACATCACAGACGACGCGATGGCGCTCAAGACCGTCAATGCCACGGCAAGATCGCTTGACATTATCGATATTCAGAACTCGCGAATCGATATTAACCTCAAGGATGAGATTCTGACCCAGATGAACCCCGAGGAGGGCCCTCGTACACTACCCACACTGCTTCTATACGACGAGAGGGGGCTGCAGTTATTCGAGGATGTATGTCCATGATTTTCCCCCCCAAAGGATCTCCTCTCCCCCCATATCCTGTCATGGAAGCGTGTGGATTTGCAGTTGTGTAACCCAAGCGATGCCAGATTACGTATCTGGACGAGTACTACCTGACCAACTATGAGATCGAGCTCTTGAAGAAGTCAGCGGCCGAAATGGCCAGTAAAATCCCCGAGGGAGCCATTGTGGTGGAGCTGGGCAGCGGGTTAGTCTGCTCTTTTTTTCAGCTCTTGAGTCGTAGTTGGTGTTTGGTGTTGTTAGTTCTAACTTTTGTTGTCTCATCAATAGAAACCTGCGCAAAGTCTGTCTCCTTCTCCAAGCATTTGAAGATGCTAAGAAGAAGATTGACTATTATGCGCTGGATCTGTCTCAGACGGAGCTGGAGCGCACGCTTGCCGAGGCTCCAGCCTTTGAATACGTGAGCTGCCGTGGCTTGCGCGGAACTTATGATGACGGTTGCGAGTGGCTCAAGCAGGAGGCGATTCTGGCTCGCCCAAAGTGCATCCTGCATCTCGGCTCCAGCATTGGTATGAAGATTCCGTAATTTTGTTCTATTTTTTGTGATTGGCTAATGATTTTCATTTTAATTTTTAGGCAACTTTAACCGCGATGAGGCGGCTGATTTCCTCAGATCATTTGCAGAGATTCTGCAGCCCACAGACCTCATGATTGTCGGCGTCGACTCATGTCAGAATCCCGACAAGGTTTAGTAAGTACACACGGATTGTAGCAGAGAAAAATTGAAGGGTGAGCTAACGGAGGAATTACTATAGTCATGCATACAATGGTGAGTTGTCCATAATGTTACTCATGTCAATGATTGACACGCTAACACAAGACTTTAGATAGCAAGGGCATCACACATCAGTAAGACAATCATGACGGTTTACCCGACTCATTCCACGTATATGAAACTAATGACAAATCAATCAGGTTCGTTCTCAATGGACTCACCCATGCAAATGAGATCCTCGGCAACGAAGTCTTCAATGTCGAAGAGTGGAACGTCACTGGCGAGTATGTCTACGACGTCGATGGTGGCCGCCATCAGGCCTTTGTCTCGCCTCTCGAGGTGGCCTCAGTTCTTGGACACATCATCAAGCCTCATGAGCGCATCAAGATTGAGCAGAGCTTGAAGTACTCTGACATTGGTGTCGCCAAGTTGTGGAAGACGGCTGGCTTGGAAGAGGTTACCCGATGGAGCCACAACGGCGAATACGGTATGATTTGAGCTTCTTTCCTTTTTACGATACCCAGCACTAATGAATCCTGTCAAATGTAGGGCTTCACATGCTGAAAAAGGCAAAGATGCCCTTCCCCAGGCTCCCTGAGCTTTACGCGAGCGGCACTCTGCCCACTTGGGCCGATTGGGAGAGTCTCTGGGCGGCGTGGGATACCGTCACCCGAAAGATGCTTCCCGACGAGGAGCTCAACGAAAAGCCCATCAAGCTGCGCAATGCATGCATCTTCTACCTTGGCCACATTCCCGCCTTCTTGGATATCCAGCTGAAGAAGACGACGAAGGCCGGCGGAACAGAGCCTCTCTATTTCCACTCCATCTTTGAGAGAGGCATCGATCCCGACGTCGACAACCCCGAGAACTGCCACGACCACTCAGAAATCCCCGACGAATGGCCTCCTCTGGAGGATATCCTGGCCTACCAGGATCGTGTCCGTGAGAGACTGCAGAAGATGTACTCCAACCCTGACGAATTGGTCGGAGATGTACGCCGCGCTGTCTGGATCGGCTTCGAGCACGAAGTGCTTCATCTTGAGACTCTGCTTTACATGCTGCTGCAGAGCGACAAGACGCTTCCGCCGCCACACACAGTTATCCCAGATTTCCCAAAGATGGCACAGAAGGCATATGCACAGCGCGTGCCTAATCAGTGGTTTGAAATCCCGGAGCAGACGATTACCATTGGAATGGACGATCCTGAGGATGAGCATGACTCAAAGCGCCATTTTGGATGGTAAGAGATGCCATATTCCAGCTTCTTAACTTCTAGCATACATATTCTCTAACACTTGTTGAATGATAGGGATAACGAGAAGCCCGCAAGGCAAGAGAAGGTGCATGCTTTCGAAGCCAAGGCTAGACCCATCACCAACGAAGAAGTAAGCCCAGCGTCACGCATCTTGAGTCACACGCAGACAGAACTAACCGCACGCGCAGTACGCCAAATACCTCTACTCATCTCACATTGAGGCTCTCCCCGCCTCATGGTCCATCATTCCCCCCAACTACCACCACAACACCAATGCTACCACCCCTGGCAAGCCCATCCTTAGTGAGCTTCCCGAGAGCTTCATCCACGACAAGGCCGTGCGCACCGTCTATGGACTGGTGCCCCTGAGATATGCTCTCGATTGGCCTGTCTTCGCCTCGTACGATGAACTTGCTGGGTGTGCCGCTTGGATGGGTGGCAGGATCCCTACGATGGAGGAGGCCAAGAGCATTTATGCGTATGTTGAGAAGCAGAAGGACATTGCCAAGCAAAGCAAGTTGTCCAATAAGGTTCCAGCAGTCAATGGGTAAGCCATGCTTATTTGAATCTCCGAAACTAAGATAACAAATGTGTGCTAATCACCGTTTTCTCTACAGTCACCTTGTCAATGACGGCGTCCAGGAAACTCCCCCATCAGCCACCTCCCCCTCGTCTCTCTTTACCGATCTCAGCACCACCAACACCGGCTTTCTCCACTGGCATCCTGTTCCCGTAACTCCCAAGGGCGGCTCTCTCGCTGGCCAAGGCGACTTTGGCGGCGTCTGGGAGTGGACCAGCACTATCCTGCGTCCGCATGAGGGTTTCCGCCCCATGAGCATCTACCCCGGCTACACGGCTGACTTCTTTGATGAGAAGCACAACGTCGTGCTGGGCGGATCTTGGGCGACCCACCCACGTGTGGCTGGCAGGAAGAGCTTTATCAATTGGTACCAGAGGAACTACCTGTATGCCTGGGTTGGAGCTCGTTTGGTGCGAGATTTGTAAAGAGGGATTCGTGAGTTGGGGGAGACATGTTGACGGTGAGACAGTTGAAGGGAGTGGGAATATTTGGGAATACTATGGACAACCAGATTGACAACTTTGGGATATCTACGGTAGGCAAAGCGATGGAAACACTTGGAAGCAGACAACTGCGGACAGTCTTTACAGGATACAGACATAGTGTCATGAGCTCTGCTCAATCTAGCCCACTCTTTAGAACTTATAACATGACATTCTCTAAGTTTAAATGCCGAGCCGCCTTAGTAAGGCTGTGTGACAAAGCTGAATTAATTTGTCTTGTCCCCCAAAGCTGAACTACGACTCGTGGAAAATAAAAGAACATATGATAATCATGCCGGGATACCCGGTGGGTCTTCATGCCTATACCCATGTATTCATGATCGGTAATTGATGTCTTGTGGACGGAGTAACTAATCGAATAATTCCAGTTCTTATTTAAAGGGGGGGGCTATATAAAGGGTGTGTAGTACTACGCCATTTCCTTGGCTGTGAGAGCTTGTTTGACGGATGTTTTTTGCCGGAGGCATTGTGTCTTTTGTTTAATAACTTGTGTTTGCAGCCAGGCTTACCAAAACGCCCATATATCAAACAAGATGCAGAAAAGAAGGCTTGCGACGCCAACAAAGCTCGAACGCAAAAAACGAGTAAGAAAAAAGAAAAATCAAAGTCAAAAGTAAAGAGTGTGTATCAAGTCTACATCGGCGGCGTGTGAACCACCGAGTCGCGAATCGCCTCATCAACATGCGCCCTCCTAATCCCGGGACACGGCCCCAAGCACACGGCTTTGGACGCCAGACGCATGATCATGCTGTCCAGGTTGATCATGATGTTGATGTGCTCCGGATTGTTGTTCCGCATCGTCATATCTATCGGCAATATTTGCGAGTCTTCAAGCGTCCAGGAAGTCGGCGTAAACATCTTCATGCCCGACGGCACAACCTGGACATCGCGCTGCTGGCCAAAGACTGTAAAGTCGGGGTTTGCGGCAAAGTCGTCGAGCGAGCAGTCTCGCTGCATGTCGGCCGGCATCAACGACGGATCGATGAAGCTTGAACTTAGGCCTTGGTTTGGGTTTGGATTCTGCCGGACTAGACGGACCGGGTTTTGCATGTTGACCTCGTTGAGGTCCATCGTCTGCGTTGCCAGGCCGGCGTCGATGGGAATCGCTAAGTTCAACATGTCAGTGTTTGGAGAGTCTTGCCGGATGAAAATCCCCCGCTGCTCGAGATATTCCTCCACGTCCGACGCCTCCAGCCATTCGCCCTGCAAGTCTGGCAGCGCCGTGGACAGCACCGTCCTCGTTCGGCCAAACTGCAGACGCTGCAGGTTCGGGGGCGCCATCCGCGGCACCAGGGTGTTGGACTGGCCCTCAATCAGCCGCAGCATCTTGGGCAGATGCCGCGTGGCCATGGGGCTGTGTTCGGTATCGAGCACGAGATCCTCGTCTTCAAGGTTGAGGAAGCGCATGGTTCGAGACAGCAAGTTGTCGCGGCGGTCAAACTGCAGCGGCAGCAGCATGGCTGGAAGCAGGCACATGACGGGCGAGCTGGTGAGATTCAGCATGTCTGCGGCGCGGTCAACGCACGCCCGGATCAGACGCTGGGAGATTGTGACGGGCTTGGGCCGCAGACAGTTGCCGGAAGCATCCCGCGCCTCGTGAGAGAGGATGTAGATGGAGTCGTCGTCCTTACCGTGGGAGTCGGTCATTTTGGCCAACAGACGATCGGCCTGGTCCAACGACGGCCACTCATCTGTCTGGGCGCTCCTGGCGATGGCCATGATGTTCATGGCCGTCCTGTTGAGCTGCAGCACAAATTCGGACGGCAGGTCCTTCTCCTTGCCTGATGATAACTCGTGGAAGCGGATAAACTCGTCCAGGGAGCTGTTGAGTGCTTTTTGCAGGACATCAGCCCTGGCTTTTGTCGTAGCGAGCTCATTCTCTTTGCGGCTGCGATAGGACCGCTGAGCGAGTCGCATTCGAGAGCGGCGCTGCGAAAGAGAATCCAGTGTTAGTATTAGTTTTTCTGTCTCTCTCCCCCCCTCTTGTTTTCTCTCTCTTCTCTTGCTCTTTTCCACAACACTTGTTGGCTTACACGAGGAGCACCAACCGAGGAGCGAGGTGAGGCTATTTTGACTGTTTTTTTTCCTGGCCCCTTATCTTGATTTTGTAGAGGGGAAAACAAGGGAATTTGTTGGCTCGCTTGTTGGCTCCTCGTTGGGCCGTAGGCTCGCTTTTGTTCCACTCACCGAGTTATCGTTTGGATCCGCGGGCAGGCTGTCTTTCATACGAGGACGACCGGGCCGTCGCTTCGTAGGAGCCGGCTCTACACATGTATCCGCAATCGTATCCGCCATCTTGCCGCTACTCGTACTCATGATTAATCGTAAGATTCAAAGTGTGTGCCCCTTCAACGGCTTGATTCGACAGCAAGATAGTGGCGATGGATCACTGATTTGTCTTCAATTTGTCACTTTTGGATGATATTGGACGGATGGCCGCCGCTCCTGAAGGTGAGGCCGGAGATGACAAATATTTAAATTGTCGCAGTAAGACAAATTAAATCATGCGAGAGCCGCCCATTTGCGTGTTCCGGGCCTGCCCCACTTCTCCGCTACTCCGCTTGGGCGTTTAGCGGAACGGACCCGGAGCTGAGGCCGGAGTTGAAGCCGGGACGATGGTTTTATGGTGTTTACGGTGATAGTATAATATGTCTCGCGCCTCGAAAGGGGCTTGATTGAACCTGATTAGTAGTGAGAATCGGAAATAGCGGTTTTTGCAGGTCTCGTAACATCGTGTGGGATAGATTCGATGATGCCAGTTGACGGATTTTACAGCGAAGCGAAGTGGTGATGGTTGGGCGTCGTGTGACGGGACAGATTTTCCACCAATATGCTGTGTTAATATCGACGAGAAGTGGTACCAGGTTGAAACAGCCAATTATTGCTTAGAATATCAGCTTCACAAGCTGTCGTCTGTGTTTCCTCATCATCAATTCTGAGTATATAAACTGGCTTGGCCTGACTTTTACCTCACAAATCACTAGTACTAGCTTCATCCCAACAGCTTCATTGTTATCACATCCATCACTATCAAAGCATTCTAACAGTCTCAAATCAGCTTCCTCTTTTTTCAAAATGCCTTCCACGGTCTTCAAGAAGCTGGGCAAGAATGGCCCCGAAATCCCTCCCGTCGGATTTGGGCTCATGGGCATCGGAATCGACTGCTATGGCGCAACTGGGTAAAGAAAAACCAACAGCATCATCGAATTATTTCAGCTAACTGGAGGCATCAGCGACGACGAGGAGCGTTTTGCCGTGCTCGACCACGCTTGGAAGATTGGCTGCACCCACTGGGACACCTCAGATGCCTACGGCGACTCTGAGATTCTCATCGGCAAGTGGCTCAAGCTGCACCCCGAGCGTCGTGCCGATATCTTCTTGGCCACCAAGTTTGGTATTTCTGCTGAGGTTCAGCCTGATGGCACCTACAAGGGAACCGTCAACAGCACCCCTGAATACGCCAAAGTCGCGTGCGAGGCGAGCTTGAAGAGGCTCGGAGTTGACTATATCGATCTGTACTATGCGCACCGAGTGGACGGAAAGACGCCTATTGAGAAGACGGTCCAGGCCATGGTTGATCTCAAGAAGTAAGAAGCCTATTCTCTTATTAACGGCATTCTTTATACTAACTGAGAGGCCATTAGCGAGGGCAAGATCAAGTACCTTGGCTTCTCCGAAATCTCCGGAGACAGTCTCCGTCGAGCATGCGCCGTCCACCACATTGCCGCTGTCCAGATCGAGTATCACGCCTGGGCACTCGAGACGGAGGGTCCCGTGTCCAAGCACCTCCTCAAGGCCTGCCGCGAGCTCGGCGTCGCCACCATCGCATATTCACCCCTCGGCCGCGGAATGCTGACCGGCCAGTACACCAACCTGGCGGATCTGGAAAATACCGACTACAGAAACAGCATCGAGCAGTTCAAGGGTGACAATTTCAAGAAGAACCTGCAGCTCATCAACAAGTTCAAGGAGGTGGCCGAGAAGAAGGGCTGCAGCCTCTCCCAGCTGGCACTTGCCTGGCTGCTTGCCCAGGGCGACGACATCTTCCCGATCCCCGGCACCAAGAAGATTAAGTATCTGGACGACAACTTCGGCGCTCAGAAGGTCAACCTGACTCCGGAAGAGGCCGGTGAGATCCGGCAGCTGGTGGATCAGCTCGGAGTTGCTGGCGACCGGGATGTGGCCTTTAACCAATATGCTGACACGCCTGCTCTGTAGGGGGCCGTCTTATCTACTGTATCAGCATGCGAGGATGACATCATCGGGGTCCGGAACTGAGCCGGGAGTTGTTTTTTGAAGGGCAAGCATGCGGCATTGTTTTTGGATTCTGATATGTGACTGTGTTGAAGTTGAAGTTGAAGTTGATGTTGATGTTTGCGAGATGCAATTACATGTAGATGTACCTACTACGTCTGCAGCGTGACAGGCAGAGTGGATTGACAACGTGACTCTACAGGTACAGGTACTTGTACCTATGCGGTAGCCCGTATCGGCAGCTGTTTGGCTTGTTCTGCGAAATAAATAGAAAATCAACCGCTGCACAGCTTTTTTTTCTCTCGCAATTTCTATATTTAGCCTGCGCTCAGCTGTGAAAAAGCCTCAATCCCGCAGACAGGCGATACTTGCGGGTACTTTGCTGCTGAGATCCGGCTTCGAAAATGCGTCTCTTTTTTTAAATCGTCTCGTCTAACCGCCAGCATCAATCCCGATTCCTACAGGATTGTCTCAGATTGTCTCCATTCTCTTCTCTTCATGTAATATTTTTTTTATCGCCAACCCGGTAGTTATTGGGGGCTGTTGGTTCCTCTTCACGTAGCAATTCAATCCAAATGCAACTTGTCGCGTCGCACGCATTACTATTGATGCCTTGCAGCAGTCCATCGTAAATCATTTCCCCTTTCTCTCCTAACCGCCACAGCTCCCTCTCTCCTTTTTCCTCACCATCCCGAGATCCCAAACCCGCGAATCCCCATCCTTTGGCCATCCTCGGCCTTGCTTATGCGCCAGAAACAGCTCCCGAAAACCCCCCAGAAAGCATCACCAGGGAATGTCACAGCAACTCCGGCTCAGACTCGCATCGCCCCGCACGCGAATCTCGGCCAGCGGCAGCCAAATAGGCTAATTGCCCAACGTCAAAACATGTGTACTTTTTTCTGGTGCCACGTCCTCTGTCCGTGTCCGTACGAAAAGGACTGCGCCATGGCCAGGAATCGGATCGTCTTCTGGGACGGCATGTGGCGCCACAAGACGGCCAAGCAGGCGCCCGTTCCGAACTCCGGGACGACGTGTGAGAAGCGCAAGGAGCGGTTCGGCCAGGACGCCGCGCCCGATTGGAAATGTCCGTCCCGGGACTTGCTGGCGTGGATGGTGGAGTTGACGTATGTCGTGGATACGAAGCCGTGTGCTGAGTGTAGACACAAGTGCAAGGCTCGCTTTGATAAGAGGACCGAGGAGGAAAAGTCGGCTGAGGGGGGAGAGGGGGATATACCACAGTGACTCTAAGGGGTTGGTTCGATATATTATGGACAATGACGACACGAAGCATGATGCCGATATGAGTTTGTTCGAGTACGAGATGATTTCAGCCTGATATTATGACGAGTTGGATGGTAATGGGATGAGAAACGGGCCTGGATAGGGGCGGGTTTTCAAGTGGAGGAAATTGGTACTTGATGGCATACCAGGGCCATCGTGTGTTGCATTTTTGATATTTTCAAAGCATGAAACAAGACTGTCAGTCAAGTTATTCAAATTGAATAGTTTACGAGATACGAGAAACCAAGCATACATACAGTTTTGATACAAATGACACGTTGCAATGTCCTCGCAGGGAGCGCTTGATATCTTTACGCAAACCACGAATGATTTTTAACCAGGCATGGCTTAATCTCTTTCTTCATCATGAAATTTGCATACTACCATTAATATTTCTTTCATTACTACTTCTTTTGATTACTTTCCAGCTACAAGATGTAGTAATTGCAAGAGTAAATGTCAATTTCTGTAGAGCCTATTAGGGTCAACTCTTAGGCTTCCAGACCGTCTGCTAAAAACATTGAACCATGATATACCCTCTTTATATGGCAACACCCCTTCAAGTACTGTCTATATCAAAAAATCATTCAATACACAGCTGGGTCACACAAAATCTATACGGAGATCCCCAATCTACCTCAAGAGCATGCTGCGTTACCCTGCAGCCAGCCATGCGATCCACACTGCAGGGCTGAGCATCTCCAAACCCCCCCAATCCCAGTTCCATCCCAGCATGGCAATGTATTACCAAGACAAACAAACCGTCATCCCATCTCTTGGCCCGGAAATTTCCCCGGATGGCATGATGTACACAGAACTTCCCCGCAGAGACGGACAATTATGCACCAGGCCAATTGCGGGGGGGATTGTGCCGGCCGTGTCGATCTTGGCCTCGCTTGAGATTCATCCGGGGCCCCGATTTTCAAGCTACGACAGCATCCTGCCGGCAAGATCTCCAGAATGTCTGCAGAAACTTCTCCCGGAACGGCAGTTGTTTGCGTTGCTCACAGGGACGTGGAGAAGCATCATCATGCGAGGAAGATCCCCGCAGCGGCAGAGAAATACCCGTCGGCTCGACGTGATGCCATGTATAAAGCAGGCAGTTTTGCAATAATGAGTTGGTCATGGGCAAAGAGCTCCATGCCTTTGGATTGATCGGAGAAATTCATCAATATGAAGGTTGCTGTTGTGGCTGCGTTGGCCATTGGCCAGACCGGTGTGGCCGCGAGGAAGTTTTGGACCTCGAAGCCGGCTGATCCGGGGAATGTGTTGATGACGGGATATACTATTGGTAATGGGAGACAAGGAGGTGAATTGAATTGACTTGGCGGGTGAATGGATATCAGTTCTGGCTAACAAAAAGATACTTAGGTCTACCGTTGGGTATTCCGGGCAATGACTTGCTATGCCTCAACGATGATAGCATCTGGCGTGGTGGCCCGTTTGCAAATTCTGTAAGACACCATGATGACTCTCCGAGTTCACAATACGGTAACTAAGATACCAATCAGAGCTACACTGGAGGCAATCCTTCGTCATCGCTGGCTCACTTCCTGCCCGGGATTCAAGAGGCCATCTTCCAAAATGGAACAGGAGGTATGTTCTCAGCCATAACACTATGTCCAGAGACAGCACTAACCCAAATCATCAGATGAATCTGAACTGTACGGTGGAACAGCAGACTACGGCTCCTATGAAGCCCTTGCGAATCTCACAGTCTCCATCGCGGGAGTGACCAACTACTCAAAGTACAAGAGAACGCTGGATCTTGAAACAGCATTGCACAGTGCCGAGTTTACTGCAAACGGAGCTACCTTTTCGACGTACGTTGCATATCATTTCTATTTAGATCCTTATACTTACTCCTGTTTCCAGTGTGCAGTTCTGCTCCTTTCCTGACCAAGTCTGTGTCTACCACGTCAGCTCCAACAAACCATTACCCCAGATCACATTTGGGCTAGTCGATAATTATCGCACCAACCCGCCTTCCACTGTCAAGTGCTCGTCCAGCGGCATCTGGCTAAGCGGACGAACCGTGGCCAACGATGGCGAGGGCCTCATCGGAATGAAGATTGATGCCCAGGCCCGTGCTCTTCCTTCAGCAGGGTTGAAAGCCATATGCAACAGCCAAGGCCAGACAGTTCTCAGCACAAAGTCTGCAAAGTCTGCCACTATTGTTGTGGCTTCGGGTACAGAGTACGACGCAACCAAGGGCAATGCTGCTCACAACTACTCTTTTCGAGGGGTTGACCCGTACCCTGGCGTTGTAAAGACGATCAACGCCGTGTCTAAGAAGAGTTACAACACAATCCTCCAAAGCCATGTCAAGGATCACGGCGAGTGGTTCAACAAGTTCACTTTAGATCTGCCGGATCCTCATAATTCTGCAGACGTTGACACGATGGAGTTGCTCACAAACTATACGACAGAAAAGGGGGATCCATTCGTCGAAAATCTGCTCATTGAGTATGGGCAATACATGTTCATCGCTTCGTCGCGGCCTGGGTCGCTGCCCCCGAATTTGCAAGGTTCATGGGCTCCGGATGGAAACCCGGCGTGGAGCTCGGATTACCACATCGATGTCAATGTGCAGATGTAAGTAAATTGATTTGCCTCTGCTTTCATCTAGAGATGACTAAAAATTGCACACAGGAACCACTGGCATGTCGAGAAGATGGGCTTGGGCGGCCTGACTGATCCTCTGTGGGACTTTATGACCTACACTTGGGTTCCTCGTGGGACGGAGACGGCAAGCCTATGGTACAACGTGAGCGGCTGGGTTGCCTTTACCAATACCAATATCTTTGGCCATACAGCGTGAGTTATCAAGTAACTATTTCGTTGATTCTTCTTCTAACGTCGAGTAGACAAGAAAACGATGCTACTTGGTCGAATGTTGCACATGACATTGCTTGGATGAGTACGTGTTTAGCAGTTGGTTAATGAGTGATACTGGAGAAGATGCTAATCACTTTTAACAGTGGCGCATGTGTGGGATCGCTACGACTACGGCCGTGACAAGAAATGGTACGCCTCTGTGGGATATCCTCTCATGAAGGGCGTGGCGAGCTTCTGGGTGGACATGATGGTACCAGACGAATACTTCAAGGACGGAACTTTGGTTGCTAACCCTTGCAACTCGCCAGAGCATGGTCCAACAGTAAGTTTGAGTTGTGATCCATCTTGTTGGTTAGACGTAAGGCTGACAAGACCGTGTTAGACCTTTGGGTGTGCTCAGTTCCAACAGGTGGTTTGGGAACTGTTCGACCACATCATCAAAGATTGGGATGCATCCGGTGATACTGATACTGCCTTTTTGAAGCGCGTCAAAGAATCGTACAGTAAACTGGATCCGGGTGTCCATGTTGGAAGCTGGGGCCAGATCCAAGGTGAGTGTTTCAACCCCAACAAAGAAACAGGAGGAGACAGAACTAACTCCCTTTTAGAATGGAAGATGGATATCGATGTCAAAAACGACACGCATCGTCACTTGTCTCACCTATACGGATTCTATCCAGGCTATATCATCTCCAGTGTGTATGCAGACAACAAGACTGTCATGGACGCCGTCGCCACCAGCTTGTACTCTCGCGGAAACGGCACCGAGGACTCCAACACGGGCTGGGAAAAGGTCTGGCGAGGAGCGTGCTGGGGCCAACTCGGTGTCACGGACGAGGCATACAAAGAACTCAAGTACACCATTGACATGAACTTTGCAGCAAACGGACTGTCGGTGTATACGACGGGCAGCTGGCCATACGAAGTGACTCTGCCCTTTCAGATCGACGCCAACTTTGGTCTTTCAGCGAACGCACTGGCCATGCTGTACACGGACCTGCCCAAGAAATGGGGCGACAACAGCATCCAAAAGGTGATTCTTGGCCCGGCGATTCCCAAGGAATGGGCTGGTGGGAGTGTGAAAGGAGGGAGTTTGAGGGGAGGCGGAACGGTGGATTTCAGCTGGGACGACGAGGGAGTTGTGAATAAGGCGGTGGTGCATGGGAGGAGGCTGCCGCTGGTTGTTGTGAATAAGAATGGCAAGGTGCTTGCAAGGCGGTGATGGACAGAATATTTGAATGTTGATGTTTCTTTTGGAAGAAGAAGAAGAATTCACCGAGGTGGAGATATACTATGGATGGATGTTTCAGTCCATCAATCGCTGCAACCCTAAATAAACGCACTGAAAGCCGCTAAAAGATGGCGCCTGTAGAAGCTTAAATTAGCGCAACTGCCCTTGTGCCTGGTGGCGACTGTGGCCAATGAATGACGCATCCCGCATCAGAGGCGTCACCAAACTTGGCGCTTGCGTGGCCAACCAAGAGACGCCGTGATGACGTTTGCATGTGATGGCGCCTGTCTCTGAGAATTAGGGGGGGAATCACCATAAAGCCACTGATGCTTATATTTAATGGATTTGGGTGGCGGCATAAGGGATTCAAGAGTTGTTGCATTTCTCTCTCTTTTTGCAACATTTCGGTGTTCAGTTCAGCATCTGATGCTATAGCGGTTCACCAGCTGCTACTGTGTCTGCTACTGCAAGCTGCAAGCTCTAAAGCACAGCCCCGCCTAATCACCACCTATTGGAACAACCCCGCGTCGTTGCATTGCATCGCAGCGCATCGCATCGCCTGTTGATTAATTAATCCTCGTCCTATCATCACCAGCAAGCCTCTACGCCTTGCTTATTCCCATCTGCTATCTTCATCGTCATCATCATGGCCTCTGGACACAATGTTCGCAGCAGTCCCTCTCCCTCTCTAATCCCAACCCTCAACCTGAACTAACCACCAACCCCTCCAGAATCCAAAGCTGCTCTACTCCGTCGAGGGCATCAAGGCTTACCACATCGCAAATGGCACCGAGCAGTCTCTAACGCCTTCAGGGCCTCAGACCCTATCGCTGCTCATGGTTCCGACGTCGGCTGGCTTTCTCGACACAACTGGCATTGCCAACGGAGAACAAGACTTCTATCTTCACCTGCATCTGCCGCCCGAGCTCGATCTCCCACTCCCCGCGACCACGCAAATCTACCACCAGCCCCCCAGCAGCTACTTGATTCCGCGATGGGATCTCGGCCCCGGCAACGGCGCATTCACACGCCTAGAGTTCCCCGTTGTCGGAAGCAGGCCTGGTTTGCAGGAGGACGTCGATACTTTTGAGACGATTCTTGCGCAGTGCACCGCATTTCTCGAGAGAGCACCTGCTCCTCCTCCGGAAAAGCGCAGGCCTACCGAGCCAAAGCCATCCGACGCTGCCCGAGCAAAGGCAAGAGAAGCTGGCAGAGACGAACCACCCGCTTATAACCCCGCCAACTTTGATCCCGGCGAGGGTTATGTTCAGGGCAGCCATAGCTCGCACGTCGCGGGGCGCATCGTGCTGGTTGACGAAGAGGATGGCAGCGTCATGGGAGAGCTGAGCGATGGCTTTACCGTCGTCGAGGACAGTGCTATTAAGCCCGGATCCAAAGGTAGACACTTCCCACGTCTTGGTTCTTCATTTTCATTAGCTGACATGCCTTGTCCACAGAACCCGTCGAGATCATTCTTCCCGCTGATGGCAGTCACAACATCTCCGTTCAGCCCGCCTACGACTATATTGAAGATGCAATCCACCCGGCATACAGAAAATCAACCATTGTCTCGTCGGCCACAAAAGCCTCACGACTGCTCATCACCACGTCTGACTACGTCGCAAAGGTAATGCAGAATCAAGCCGACAACTTCACCAAAAGCACCAAGCCCGCCGGAAAGCCCATGACATTTGCGCCCACAACCCACGAGCATATACGCCGTATCAACCACTATTCCACAAAGGTCGCCACCTTGTCGGCCCAGACGATTGGTTCAATCAACCATTTTGCTCAGAATTTCGGCGCTAGTATGTCTAACCGTAAGGATGGCCGGGCTCGAGGCTACGATAAAGATGGAAACGTCATCGAGACTTACAAGCCGGGTGTGCTCAACAAGGCCTTGATGGCCTTTAACACGGTCGTCGACGGCGCGGAGCATGCTGGAAAGACTTTGATTTCCGGTACGACGGCGAGCATGTCCACAGTTGTTGGTCATCGATATGGCCCAGAAGCGGGCGAGCTCTCCAGAAGCCTCGGAAGCGGGTTCAAAAACGTTGGACTCGTCTACATTGACGTGACTGGTGTTTCTCGCCGTGCTATTCTCAAGAGCGTCGCCAAGGGCATGGTTGTGGGCAAGGTTAAGGGAGGCGGCCAAATCATTGTCGGCGGCGACAATGGATCCGACGCAGCTCTCGTCTCTGGAGGTAATGGCAATGGCAACGGCAATGGAAACGGTAACGGCAAAGGCAAAGGAAATGGCAACGGCAATGGCAATGGCCAGTCAAGCACAATACACAACACGTACGGCGGCGATATAACCATCCCAGGAAGCAAAGATTGGGACGCAAAAGGAGATGGGAATGGGAAAAAGGCGGCCTGGTGATGTTTGGCGTATATGTTTGCGTACCTATGAGTATGAATGACGCTGTACATTGATACCACTGATATGAGAGATGACCACCCAGTGTATTCCAAACGGAATTTTGTATTTATAATATGATCAAAGTGAATACGATTTATAAAATATTGATACAATCAAGTATTACCACTGCCTACCTGCCCAGTAGTAACATCGTCTTTCATCATCATCAGTATTCGCGACAAACTGCTGTCGACTTGCACCCAAGAAATCCGAATCACGTGCGCACGCGGAAAAGCGATGACGGCACGATTTCTCCAGCAATCAAGATAGCTTCCATCAATCAACCAACGCGTCACAGAGGCGCTTTTCCTCTCTTGCCAACGTTCTCTCCTTCGCCATGCAAAAATCGAGGGACCTCTGGTTTTGAATGAATTTCCTTCAGCTTCAAATTGGGAGACTCACCGCCTGCGATGCCAATTCGCAGCTCGAATGCTTCGTTTGCTCGTCCGCCTTGACCCCACCATCCGCCAACTAAACCGTGTCCCGCGATAGAAAGATTGGCGTCAAAGCAATCAATGTGCCGATTCGAGCTCCTGGGCGTCGTTATCCTTATTGTTCAGCGCATCAGCGACTCGCTCAAAGCTAGAAAAGCCAGTAGGAGGTCCGTTACGCACACGGAATGGTCGACCTCCCAAAGCTCTGACGCCTCCTGACTTCGCAACCCTCAGATCCTCTCGGTCCGAGCCATGCTCCACGAAATCCTCCTCTCTCTCTCGGGGCATCCGTCGCCTCTCCTCCGAGCCGGAACTGCCGACTCGAGCCCGGTGTCCGGCGTCACGCCATCTGAACGCCAGCTACTAGCCTCGGCAGCGCATCTCAGCGACATCCACATCAAGCTCATCAAGTACGCCGGCCAGACCGCCGGCGCTCACCCGTCGCCGATATGTAGAGCCGTAGGCACAGCGATACAGTCGATCCACTTGTCTGCCTTCCAGCGCAAGATATTGGAGGTGGAGGAGAGCATATTGAAGGAGGACCCGGAGCTGGTGGGCGAGTACAATATTGTGCCTCTGACGGCCGTCATGGGAGAATTCACCCAGTGGACAAGGCGCTTCGAATGGCTCTGGGACATTGTTCAGTTTATGATGACCAAGGACGAAAAGGGTCCATGTCGTGGTTCCCAGATCATGAACCGTCTAAGAACCGAGCTGCTGAGCGGCTATCGGGACGTGGAGGAGGCGGCGATGAGCTTAGTCCAGGTGGCAGAGACGGCATGGCTAAAACAGGTGTCGGCTTGGGTTCTTTATGGGAGACTGCCGAACTTGGGAGGCAATGACTTTTTTATTCAAAAGGTGGAGGGGACAGCCGAGGTATGCTTTTAACAGTCTTTTGTTACATTTCCATTATTCTAACATTATACAGTATATCTACGAGCCAGAACTCCTGCCGGGGTTCGTCACGCCAGCTACAGCGACATCAATGCTCTTCATTGGTAAATCATTGAATCACACACGTGTCAGGGCGACGGTCGATTCCGGCATGGGAGGCCTAGATCATCTATCTACGAAGCTACAAGAGCTGGCTAGCCTGTCCTTCCCCGTCAATGGCGCCACATTCGCCAGGACAATCGTTTCTATTCGACTATCACTTTCACAAAACACACTCCAAAAGATCCTACCCACCGCAAAGGTCATCGAGACGCTACAACTACTACGAGAATTCTTCCTACTGGGGAGGGGAGAGTTTGCCATGGCCTTGACTCAGGAGGCGGACGACAGGATCCGAAACCGTTGGCGGAGAGCAGGCAATCTGGCACATGAAAACAGAGACGGGGTGAAGAATGTCACTGTAAAAGACGGAGAAGTTTCTGCCGTTCTAGCAAGGACTTGGGCCGTACTGGTGGCCATGCAGCGGAACCAGGTGGAAGAAGACGAGCTGCTGGAGCTCGCAAGAGATCTACTTCGGCTACACCTCACCAAGGCCAGCCTCACGCCCGTCAATGTCAGTCCGGGCCTGAATGCAGAGGAGGCCAAGCTGCTTGCTTCGTCACCATTTCGAAATCTGCTCTTTTCAACTCCAGCAATCCTATCCATCCAGCTCCCATCCCCTCTCGACATGGTCATCTCACCCTCCGACCTCCAACTCTACTCCTGCATCAACTCTTACCTCCTATCCATGCGTCGAGCTCACATTCGCCTAACCGATCTATGGAAAATCACCTCTCTACGACGACATCATCCTGCTCCTCGTGGAGCAACCGAATACGCCGGCATCCTTCGAGAGCGCTGGTCAGCACGAGGAGCTGCTCTCCGAAGCTCCTGGACAACTGCCAGTGCAGCAATCTTCTTCCTCGGCGAAACAGAAGCATACTTCCAAACAGAAATCGTCGAAGGTCTCTGGGAGGGCTTCCTGACTTGGCTGACGGGAAAAGAAAGACGGCGAGAAGGCGGTCGCTCTGGCGCCGCTACGCCAGCCGCACATTCTGCCAAACACAGCGTAGCAACAATGGACTGGAGGCCCGGCTCCTCCAGCAATGCCGCAAATCCAAACGACGTCTCTAAATTCCTTTCGCGTCCCGCTCCTGATCCGCAAACCCTTACAACCGCTCACTCCTTGTATCTCCGCACCCTCGTCCATCGTCTGCTCCTCACTCAGCCCACCTTCACTAACCTCCTCTACACTCTCCTCAACCACATCGACCATCTCGTCACACATATCCAAAGATTACACTCCATATTCACATCCATCGACCTCGAAACGGACGCCGGCGTGCTCGACTCATCCACCGACCTCAATCGCGAAGAACAGCACACCATGGCGCTCATCCGGGGCGTCGAGGGCAAGATCCAGCGCGGCATAGAAGACGTCATTGCTGCGCTGCGGGCGCTCGAAGGCGACGTCGAGTTTCTCGCGCGGTGGGAGGGACTTGATGGAACGGAGGATGGCCATGAGGAGTATGGTGACGGGGAGAAGTATGTCCCTGTGAGGGTCGGCGGGATTAATCGTCTGTTGATGAAGCTAGACTTTGGTACGTGGATTACCACTCAGGGAGAGTATGTATAGATGAAAGTTTGTGTTAGTGGTTCGGCTGGTGTTATCTTGTTCTTTGTTATGGAGGCGTTATAATAGTTTCATATCAAATTCACGGAGTGGAAGGACGAAGAAAAACAAAAGTCATCTAGATGGAATCAAAATGATTTCATTCTCAATTCATGGGGGCCCAAAGTCAAATGTCCCAGCCCTTCTATCTATGTGTACCTATATATACGTTATATCCGATGCCGTCATATCAAGTCATATCCATATTCCATATCCAAAGCGGCGCAACAATCTCTTTGGCGCTCAAATAGTTGATAAAAAAAGGGTTGTGATTAGAAGTGAAGAAAAAAGAAAAAAAAAGCAAATTCCCAAGCGCCAGCAATGTATATGTGTATGTAATGTATCCCTTATATATCCCTTTCCCATGCAAATATGCAAGTCCAATTTTTGTTTCCTCTCTCTCGCTCGGCTCGTCATGAAGGTTGCGCTTCATGATCCAATTCACATCAAAAATTCAAATTCAAATTCCAAAAAAATGCAGACGCTCGCTGATGTCATGTTTCATAAAAAAAAAAAACCTTTTATCTTTCCGGTCGTTATGATTTGTACAAAGGAAAATGCATGACAAATGAAAGTTTAAAGGAGTGTGAGGTAGAGACTGGACGATGAGGTGTGCGTCCCATCGCTTTTTCTATATTGTTTCGTAATTCGTGTTTCATGATGTTGTGATTGCGTGTTTTCTGTTTATGTGTGTGTGTCGTGTTATTCAAGATTTTCTGGGTCATGTAGAGTGTCTTCTGTTTTTATAGAATTGCGATGTGTCTGTGTCTGTGTTTGTGTTTGTAAGAAATCTGTCGATGTTGTTCGTAATGGCACGCTTTTAATAAGCAAGGACAGTGTGTCCCCTAAGTCGCAATGGGCCAAGCGCATGAGCCTTGTTCAATAGCCCATGAACAATAGCCTTTGTTCGTGGCTGCGGGACCGAAAGTGTGTTATTCTTGCTCACAATGGCGTTGCCGGTAGCGGTGGTGGCGGTGGTAGCCGCTCCAGGGGCCGTCTGGGGCCGGGCTGGCGTGACGGGTCGGGTGTAAGTGCCGGCCTTTTTGGCGGGAGGCCAGCGGCTGAGGATGGAGTCGTCGACAACAGCCATGAGACCGGTGGCGATGATGACACTACAAGCCAGGTTAGAAACAGCAACAAGTATGCAGGAGGAGATCAAACTTACTCGGCAACGTCGGTTAAGGCTTCAATGATAGAGTTGTCGTTAATCCACATGTAACACGGGGGAATCCAGTTGCCCGCAGCCTGGTCGGCTTCGACCTGGTTTGGGGACCGGCCTTCAGGCGTAATAATCGCAACCGGCTCTGTCTCCTTGTCGCGAATCAGATGGAAGGCAGCCTTGCCAATAGCCTTGTCCACAACACGGCGCCAGGCATAGGTGCGTCCCCACCACTGAAAGTCGTATTGCTTGCCTGGGCGGCGCACAATGTCCACACGAGCGTAGTTGCTGAACTCAAGCTTGAGAGTGTTGAGTGGGATGGGTCGTGCTGAAGGGAGCTTGGGCTCGTCCGAGTCGGAGCCGGCCACATCCTCAGAGTAGATGGAGCCACCACAGCCCCAAGAAGTGTTGCTGCCGATCGATGGACGACGGGGATTAGGAGTAGCAGCCATGGCAGCAGCCTTTTCGGCAGAGGCGCCGCTAGATCGGCGGAATGAGGTCTTGACCGAGCGCAGAGCACTGGTGACTGAGCGTGAGAGGGAAGATGAGGAAGAGGTTGTTGCGCGCTCATGGTGGGGGTTGGCGCCCTTGGAGTTGCAAACCTCGCGGCCAGAGTCGCGGCAATATCGTCGCAGAGAGAATTCTCGCTTGGCAAGATCATGCATGCGCAGGTGGAAGAGCTGAATGGCAACGGCACGGCGACGACGTGTCGAGTTATCCGGCACAATGGCGTCAACGCGGAGGTTCATATTACCATCGGCAGTTCGATCGTCATGTCGAATGGTCAGGCGGTCCATTGACGGGAAGAGATGCGCAAACGTCTCGGGATCTGAAGATCGGACTGAGATCTCAGGCACTGGCATGCAGTTGTAAGGAGGCAGCGTAGAAGGAGGGACACCCGATACGGCACAGTTTTCTCCCTCAGCATCCTTCTTGTCATTGTCCGAGTCGTGGTGAGACTCTGAAGACCTGTCTGAGTAGGCAGAGTCATATGTGTAGACGGATGAAGACGAGTCTGAGCCAGTGTCAACGATCGATGGGGGCAGGTCCTCCCAAGTATCGCGCTCCCAAGTATCCCTTGATGAATGGCGAGAGTCATCGTAGTAGGAACCCGACACGTAGCTGGAAGTCTGATCATGCTGACGACTTGATGTATAGTAGCGGCTTGAGGCTGTTGTGGAATTCCTGCTACGAGCCATGCTAGAGGCCGTGGTCCTGCTAGCCCTTGACGCCGCGCGAGCCTGTCGCCTTGTAGGGACGGCCATTGCTGTTGGGTGCTGAGCAATAAAGGGTTTGGGGTAGCTGTTATGGAGAATTGATCAAAGGGGTTATCAAATGTCTGATGGTTGTTGTTGCTGTTGGCGTTGTAGTAGTTGTTGATATGTTATATAGAGGTAGAGGTAGAGGTAGGTAGGTAGGCAGGTGTAGGTGTTAGTGAATTTGGTCTTGTCCTTGGTGAGAGTCGGTGTCGGTTTATATCAAGAGCACAAACTAATGACAAATGCGACGGCGACCCAATCATGCAATTGTGCACATAAGCTGCAAGCTCTATCGAGTTTTCGGAATGTAGACGGCAAGGGACGTCATTAGAGTGCAGAATGCGTGTGTTTAGGTCAAAGGCCAAGTGCTATATCAAGCTATGAAGTCGAGTCTTCCAAGCGTAAGATCATGATCGCACCCGTGGTGTGATATATGTGCAAAGACGAGACCCCCTCCGTTATGTCATCTCACCTTTCGGATGCGCCAGTCACTCGTGCATTCTAGCGCATCTATTAGGCGGCAAGCCACTCTCGACTCTTTACTGTGTTCGGCATGCAGGCCTTGGGCCAAATGAGAGATACAGCAAGGCATGCAAGCCCAGAGGGAACAAAACATGGAGATGTGTTAATGGGACAGGGGGCGTGTGAACCGGGTAGAGTCCCAGGGTGGCTGTGTGTAAGGCGAGTGGCCCAATACCAGCGTGCTGGCAAAATACGGGGGAGTGTGCGCTCCGTCAAGCACCAGCAAGGAGAAGAGCAGAATTTTCACTCCAACAGAGGCTCCCATTCGCCGCGGCCCGTGGGCAACGGGCCCAAGAAAGGGCCTGGGCAGAGAAGGGGGACGCCAGCGCAATGGGCCGCAGCCGCAGAGTCGACAGCCGCGTGTTCAACGCTCTAATGACAGACCCTGGCTCGCGCAGGTCGATGGATCCCCCTCCTCTGTAAGTCGGCCTCTAGGCTTCTCTCTTCGCTCCAGCATCCAATGGCGGCCGTAGCTGCCGCTGCACGATGCAGGAGCTTAGAGCCTTGGGTCTTGGGCCTCAGAGACCTGCAACTCCTGGAAGCCAACTTCCTCAGGGCCGTCCTTGTCCGGACATGGCATGTCTGCATCACAGCCGGAGTCGAAGTGCATGTCTCCCCTCTTACATGCCGTACAAAGAATAGCCCAAGGAGCTGTTTCGGCGCATCGTAAAAAAGACACAGAGAGAGAGAGATGGCCCCCAGTTGGGGTAGTCCATCCCTGTTGCCGCGGCGGCTTGTTTGGACCTCTCAGAACCCACCACCTCGAGATGCGTCCACAGCGTTCTGACACATATGAGATCGATGACACCATAGTGCTCCGCCAGTGTTGGTTGTAGCAGCAGTATCATGTATGCGAGGCGTCAGCAGCGATATGCTATGCCCAGAAATGAAAATTTTATCCATGCTCTTCATTTATTCTGCATTTTTTTATCGTTTATTCCCATGCCGTTTCTGCTCTGGCTTGCTCGCCCGATGTCCCTGTAGCATTGCTGCTTGTCGTTTCCGATAGTGCCCGGTTCGCGAGTGCAGTCGCAGCAATTCCCTGCAACCCCGGTTGGCTTCCCGCTCTGCTACGTGGCGGGCGACGGACCACGATGGAGTTGGAGATGGAGAGGACTTCAGATATCAGCTCGTAACTCTCACCTGTCCCATACGCTAGTCTTGTGCGCAGATGATGAAATTGGTGAGGACTGAGAAAACATAGGAGAAGTTGCAAGACGCTCTCGTCGTTTTCGGCCATGCACTGCGTAAATCTTGGGCTCTCACCGTCGGCCAACCCCATATGGATGCTGAATGGCCATGTGCAACGCCCAAAGACTCATCATCACCAAGAGGCTCGGTGCAGTCATGGTCGCCTTGACAAGGTCCCAGCTGTAAGCCAACAGTCCCCGGCCCTGTCTGAGACACCAGGCTCTACTGGTACAAGTACGGCGCAACAGCACACGAGACAGCGCCAAAGAGTCACACGTCCTTTGCCAGCCTCTCGGTACCGGGAGCGCCGCCTCACTGAAAATAGCACCAGCTGTTGCGTACACATGGTACGAGTCCTTTGTACTGTACGCCACTCTCAGTCTCCATGTCCCCCTCTCTCTCTCGCCCACTCTCTCCCACTCTCGCTCTCGCTCGTGATGACAGAGACCTGTTCCCCTGGACAAAGACAAGACACCTGGTGCTTGGCGCTGGATCTGCCAGTGGGCGCCCAGGTGGCTCCAGAATTGAACAAGTCACCGCCAGAGCGGCGCTCTAAACCTAGGCTGGCTGCTGCCGAAATGCGCTGGCGGGCTGATTGGCTGAGAGCCCAAAGGATAAGAAGCTTGCCGTTGACACATCAGCAATTTGTGGCTGCAGCTAGATGGATTGAGCGACCAGCAAATCCTCATCGGTACGATCGATGGGGCCGCCATGGCTGCCCAACTTGAGGCAAAGACCACTCGCTCGCCTGAGCGTGTCTCTCTCGGAAAATAGCTTGAACATGTGCATTCGTCGTCCCGTGTGGTGTTTGTTGTCGCTTCCCTTGCTCACCCATCGCTTTACTGACACGCACGAGGCCCAACAATGCAGATTTTGATTTGCACTGTGGTCTGGATGGATGCATGCATTTGCGGCTGCATAATAATTCTTCGACCTGACGAGGCAGCGTGTCATTGGTCATTGGCCCAATACCTGCTCGGGAAGATGATGAGAGAATAAAAACGAGAATCCATCAGGGTAGCATTCAGCATTCTGTATCGCGAAATAATCACCAATGGCAATGGGCAATTGGCTTTTCTGCTGCCGGGCAGTCATCAGGCCCTCAGCCTTGCCTATCACAAGCTTGCGAAGAATCTGCGATGCGGCGCCTTTGCTTTTATCCTCTGCCGGCCTCATTCGCCCGTCATTCTGTGCAAGAATCAGTTGATTGAGCTGCACAGGACACAGGAGCCAATGCAGGCATTCCCAATGCTGATTTTCCCCCCTCATTGATTATCGTGCAAGAGCGAAATGTAACGGCATCAAAGGCTCGGATACGTCCAGCTCCAGCTGCCAGCCCGCCGCCACCAGCACCAGCACCAGCAACAGCGACATTATCCAGGTGAATATCCAGTTGGCTCGATAAGAGTCGCAAGTGTTGCATCAATAGCCTGTGGTGCCAGCGTGGTGTGTGTCAGCCACCCATTCGTCAATTTCACGCCACTTGCGAGTCGTGCCGTGGACACGAGCTGGGCCGGCAGTACGATGCGACGGGCTTGGCCTTTGGCCCGGCGGCTTCTTTCAGTAGTTACTCGTAATCCAGGCATTGCCGCTGTGAATGTGAATATTTCAGAGAAGAGGAATTGGCCACCGCGTGACGCCTTCGTAATGGGCATACCGAGGTCTACCTGCCTGCGCTTTGGATTCGATTCACGTCGCGGGCTCTACGGCAAGCTTCTTTTTTTTTTTTGCCTCTCCTCTCCTCTCCTCTCCTCTTTCACCGCGATTTGCCACCAAATGCATCAAGCATCAGCCGTTTCTGATAGAGGACATGTGGGGGACCTGGCGTTGAGAGTCCAACCCCGCATAATTACATGTTGCACTGCAGGGAGGGGGCAGACAGATGACCTCGCGATAATGCCGTCTGTCGAGTGTCGTTTTACTTACTGTATTACTGTATTACCGTACAGCAGAGACGGAGGGCGACACTTTGCTTGACATGTGTACAAGGCCGGCATGCGGATTGATTATCGCGAGATGGAGTGGTAATTAATTGCACGAGAGTACACGGCGAAGTGAGAAGTGAGGAGAGAGGAAGAGCGAAGATGCAGGCGACAGAATCAGGAGATTGAGTAATATGCAGTGCATGGAGTGCGACTTCCAGGTATCAATTCACTGCTGCTGCCATGCCCGACGGTTATCGATAGCCATTTGGGCCTCGGTCAGTGATGTCACTGGGATTTTGGGAGTGCATGATGCTGCACAAAGTACTTGTACATGATATCAGGAGTCGAGAGCAGGGAGACACAAGGAGGCGAGACCTGGAGACAAGTACGAGTACCTCTCACGACGACGGGTGATGATCCATGCAATGGCCCGTCACCGTTAAATTTAGCAATTGCTTCTAGAAGATGGAACCATTCGTCTCACTGTGGATTCATTTACTCGCTGCCTCTCGCCTATGGATTCAACGTTTCCTCGATTACGGAGCACCAACCTCTCGTCTCATACAAGGACGTACAGTACGTACTAGGTGTACAACCTCCGGGAAGCAGCATCGTTGCGGCTCCGAGACGCTGGACCGACCTCAAACACACGCTGCCAGACACAGACGACGCTTTTGACTCGTAGCATGTATGTACTCGTATGTATGTAAGTACTGTATTGTAATACTGGACACACTTCGGATAGCCGCATTGCTTTCCATGTTCCCTCACTGCTGTAATACCTGTATTGCATGCCGTGCTGCTTGTATCACCTTGATCCCGCTCCCTCCTCGTGCTCGTGCTTCATTCTCATGCTTCATCCTCGTGCTCATGCCAATGCGGAGCCTCTCTCACTCTCTTTCTCGTCCTGCATCAACATCCCCAGCACCCAAAACACGCGACAACCCTCCATTGGCCAGCCCGTGAGCCTCTGCAACGCTACTTTCAGGAACCACGCCGCCGTCTCGAGATCCGATTCGCCTCTGCCGCCGGAACAACATTCCCCCTGCCCGCCACCTCCAAACCCCTACACCGTCTAATTGCTTGGCCCATGTCTTTTCCTTTCAACTCCCCGCTATCGGCCGCGATACTCCACGATGCTCCACGATGCTCCACGATTCGGAAACCAGAGGCCCAAGCCATTATCGCGGACCGGATGCTAGTTGGCCTGGACCCCTCTTCGTATCTCCTTCATCCGTTTTGCCGTCGACTTGTCTCTCGCCCGACGCATCTCCATCGCCCAACTTTGTCCTCCAATAGACGCTTCTGCCACTCGAGTCCAGACTCTCTGCTCTCTGCCACTGGTTCTAAGCGACATCTCCGCCCCGGTCCGTCCACGCTGCCCCGAAGATGACGGCCGATACCATCTCCGGGTCCGGGCCCGCATCCGGCTCGCCCCAGCCTCTCCGGCTGCTCATTCTCGAGGCCGACACGCCGCAGCCCATCACAAACGCAAAGTTTGATGGTTACCGTGGAGTCTTCACTGCTCTGTTGACGGCGGCGGCGGAATCCATGGTTCCGCCGCGGCAGCTCTCAGACGTGGCCACCATTACGGCGCACAACATTGTGGAAGACATGCATTCGTACCCGCCGCTGGACGACGTCGACGCCGTTTTAATTACCGGCTCGCGTCACACGGCATATGAGCATGACCCCTGGATCCTCAAGCTGGTGGAGTATGCAAGGCAGGCCATCGACACTGGCCGCATCAGAGTCGTGGGCGTGTGCTTTGGCCACCAAATCATTGGCAGGGCCATGGGTGCGCGTCTCGGCAGGAGTGATAAGGGCTGGGAGGTTGCCGTCACCGAGGTTGACTTGACCGACAAGGGCAAGGCCATTTTTCAGCTTGACAAGATGGTGAGCTCCCATGTCGCTGCTTCAATAGTTTTACAAAATTGCTTGCGCTGACACACATGTTTCCTGCAGCGAATTCACCAGATGCATCGCGATGTCGTTCTAGAATTTCCCAAGGATTCCGTTCCCTTGGGCGGAAATGACATGTGCCCGGTCCAAGCCATGTACAGCCCTGGTCGGTACATCTCCGTCCAAGGCCACCCCGAGTTTACTGGAGAGATCGTATCCGAGGTCCTCACCAACCGACACAAAGCTGGCATCTTTGCAGACGACATGTACGACGAGGCCATGAAGCGTGCGCCCATCCAACACGACGGCGTTGCCATTGCAAAAGCGTTCCTCAACTTTATGAAGAGCGGTTAAGCGCATTGACAAGACACGATAGCTGAGCTGAGGTAGAGGTAGAGGTACACTTATGCAAGCGCTGATTCAACGGCTTCATGTACTCGTATATTCTGGCAATGGGAGTCACGGTCGGCCAATTCTTTTTATGTACAGGTACTCGTTATGCATTTCTACTTTTCATTATAGACGAATCACATTTGCCAAAGTGCGGTGAGCTCTCACCTGCAGTGAGAGTCGACTAAAATCCCATTCATACGTTCACATCCATCCCCGGAATTTTCCATGCGGTGCTTGCCTTGGTTTGCATATTCTAACGCAGAGCCGCAGTAACCTCACACAGAGAGCATTAACTGAAACATGCATGCGCTTTTTCGGGGTTGGAATCCCGCGAATTACGATCGAGATAATGACATGGTGCAGTCCAACTGGGCGATTTGGCATCGGCGACCGATAGTTTGAGATGCTGATCCCTTCAGCGCGCTTTTGATCACACGACAACAGACATTGCTGAATACTGTAATGTGGCAAATTTTGAGTATCGCTTTATGACGAAAGTCAACTGCCGATCAGCCGATCAGAATTGAGCTACACCGCCGCCGCGGCTTCTGACAAGATAGATCTTGATGTTGTAATCACATGCGAATCCTGCACCACCAAGCGACACAGCACACACACTGAACTTGTCCACTTTTATACCACGATTAATAGAGAAATAAAACACTACTGCGCAATATAAAGGATCAAAATCTGGTTATCTTCTTTCCTGGTGATCTATGGACGACTGGCATAGTTGCTATCAGAAGCTATCTGCCAATATGTCTGCTTTATCAACGGCATCCTGATTATTATTTTAAACATTCATGAGGCATAAAGGACCTGGAATTCTGTGTGTGATTTTGATGTCGTTAGAATTCATTGAGAATTCATTAAGAACTCAAACATGTTGAAAGATTTGATCTTGTCCAATTGATTCTAGGGTAAACCATCTGCTCTCAACAGCCCTGCCTGAGATCCCATCATATAGTACTTTTCTGATACACGGTATGTTTGAGAGCATTAACATATTAATTGACGTTTCCCATTGGAAATACTCTCGTTGAGCAAAGAGTATTTTCATGGTGTTATCTGGCTAAGCATATGAAAATGCTCACTGCCAAGGCCAGGCCATTCTGTCGTAGACCGCGTAAATTGTGTATATCTATATATGTGGTCTTGCCTACGACTAAGCACTAGATAACTAAGACCATCCCTAAATACAATACCTACCATAACCAAGTTTGTGTTTAATAGAAGGGTCATATTGCGCCTATTGATAGACAAAAATCTGGCATGATTATACTACAATATATGTTCATACCACTCAGCTGAGGCAATTATGATTATATCATATTAGCATCCTGACAGCTAATGCCAAGGGCTTATTAGCCATTTAGTAATATCATCAAGTCGTTGGCCTATACAGCCTTGATTTTAGGGTATATTTTGCGGACGTCATTTGGCTCTTCGTTCCTCTGCATTCGCATTAGGAACTCTTCCTCTTCTTCCCTTTTCGCTCTTGGTATTGGATGACGTGTCCTGTTATACTACATAACTACAAGATTGCAAGAAATAAAGCATGAATCCCAGCTTCCTTAAATGAATCGCTAGATAAATACAAACACGCCTTGACATTTCGTCTCGTTGCATGCAATCCCTGGCTTGCTGATGACGTGATGAGAAAGTAGACCAAGCCCCTTGTAAATATTTGCAAATGCCAATTCGGCCACTTCCACAAACGTAACTTCTAGGCATTTGTGTTCTTCTCGTAGGCAGCAATAAAGACAGGGGTCTTTCAACTTGCTAGTTCTTTGGACCAGTATGTTTTGACACAGCCACCTTGGCAAGGAATTCTACCCGGCGTAAGCCACTGAAATGAGCAGGTCGATTTCTCTATTGCCAAAAAAATTTGCCACCGATAACCGATAGTGGAGATAATGTTGGTACGAGGAGCCGCTTACAGGTTGTAGGTTTGAACAAATGCAGACATCAAGGTGCTAGTAGATATAACTGGGAGAGGAGTAGACGCGGGTTTTTCTGCCGATGATAGAGGAGACAAGAAACACCTGCAGTTCGATGAACAAATTAGAACGACTACGAGTGAGTGATAGACAGAAATTTGCCGCATCAAGACCAGAAAAGAATAGGTTGAAGCAAGTGGTGCAGAATACGATGCTATTTTGAGGCTAGATCCACGATTCTTCATGTATCTGACAACAAACGGCTAGTCAGCTCGGTCAATTCCGCGAGAGCCGAACCGTAATTAAGCTCTTAACTAAGTGGATAATCAAATAGTTGTTTGCCATTGCCAGGTTGTCATACGTTATTTTTGCCGTTTGCGAATTGCCTTACACACACTTCCACAGGCCAATGCAATGCTAGAGATCTCAGTCACAATCGTAAATACTCACGAAATGCTACTTGTTAGACTTACAAATCAGGAATACCATCCTCAAGGTTGACTCGTACCTGTACCTCACAGTGATAGAGTTATTTCATGCGTTTAATGTCACTCAGCCTTGTCTCCTGCCCTATGCAGACATGGGCTGAGTTGTTTTACCCCTGTGCTTACTAGCCACCCCTGTCTCAGATTCATTGTTTGTCTAGAACCTCAACACACGTGTATGTAGTCCGTTTGCCAAGATTGGACGAATCCCAAAACCGAATGTCGTCTTCTGATGCTTTGACTCTTTTAATTGGTCAAATATCATAGTTCTTTGTGTTCTCTCTTATTGAAGATGTTCTCTCAATTGATAGTATCCTGTAACTTTCCCATGTCTGAATCTTCTCATGCGAGTCATGGCAGGGCTTTTATTCTCCGTTAATATGTAACAAAATATTGACTTCTTCCAGGATCAGCTGATGTAGATCATAATGCCAATTTAAATAAGCGGAGACTCAACTTCTGATTTAGGAAATCTGAATAGGTGAATGGATTCGGAACGAGCCCGCTTTGTGCGAACACCTCTAAGCGCTAGACACCAAAGGAGAAGCTCCAAGATCCCGATCCAGCTATATATCTTCTAAAGGCATGAGGAGGACATCGGCATGGCCGTGCTTGCAAGGCTAATGACGAGATGCTACAGTTACACGTGGCTAGGGTAAAACCGTATTTTCCGTTTGGAATCATACGGGTTGAGAGATATTTGATTATATGGATTATGTACATGGGCCAGGAGACAATGAAACAAGTATATAAAGGACGAGAGCCCGAGTCTATTTCATCAACTCAATTCACCACTCATCTCAAGAAAACAACTCAAGTTCTCTACTAGCCAAAATGCAGTTCTCACTCGCCATCGCCGCCTCTGTGCTGGCTTCCACTGCCTCTGCCGTCATCACTGGCACCAACCAAAACGGCTCCATCTTCATGTTCGGAAACCCAGCTCCCGCTCGCAACCTCCTCTACAACTACGGTGCTTGCGGTCTCAGCACCTACTTCCCTGGCAAGGTCCCCGCCAGCATGCCCCTTGTTGCCATGCCCGCCGGTGTCTTCGACAAGTACGGCTCTGCTCAGCACAACACTCTCTGCGGCAAGATCATTACCATCTCTCGCAACGGCGTTACTCGCCAGGCTGCTATTGCAGACCGCAACCTTAGCGCCGACAACTCCATCGACATGACTCTTGATCTGTGGCAGGCTTTCGGTGGACACGACAACGACGGCAGCCTTATCAGGGGCTTCAGCTGGTCCATTGCCAACTAAATTGGGTTGATGAAAGGGCTTGTGGTTGAGTAGACCACGACTTGTACATATTCTACTCTCTTCTGATGTATATATTTATGATCCTTGAGTCTCCCTTACAGGAGATTCTTGTTTATATATGACCCTGTATGGGTAGGGCAGATGTTTATATATATGAAGGCAAAGCTGAAAATGGTAGTCCATCTAAGCTTTGTATAAATATAGGCTGCCAAAAATGATTTGTTTGCTGGACACTGTGACATGCACTGGTGAAATAACAGATGCCATGCACCCGACGTGATGAAACTAAAGAGGATGTAAGGCGCCTTAGCGCATGAAGATCTATCTACAGGTCAAATGTATCAAAAAATAGCGACATTTTTTGCGAGACTTATGACATTCCAAGCTCAAACTCAGGTGACCCGAAGGGAAACAAGTTCTAAGCATGGGAGTGGTGCATGAGGGTTGATATGTGTGGAAGTCAAACGCGAGATCTGTTCGAAAGCCCATGATATTTCATATAGATTTCACTTTATCTTGATAGTTACTTTGTAAAAAGAATTTATTATAGAAATAGTGTAATGAGTATTGAAGGTATTTTTGTGCATATAAGATTTTAATCTAATATCAAGATCGTTGAGGTTGATGTTCTCACACTTTTCAAATTCAACCACCATAGCAGAGTTCCAGGGCATTTTATTGCACGTACTACTCAGAAATTGTATCTAGAATCGTATTATCTTCTTTTATGTGCCAAGTTTGAGTTCAGTTACAATAATTTCCATTTGCAGGTTGAGCTTGTTGTGCCATCTGGCTCCAGCTGCCCGCTAACAGGTGTTTACCCAGGGCTCCAGATATCGGTTGCTCTCCGATCCAGAGAGTGGTCAAATAGTTACAAATTGTAGAGCACATCAAATTGCCTATCGAATGCTCACCGCCGTCGAATGCCACGGCTTTTATCATCTCTTCTCTTCAATCTCTCCTCTCTCTCCTCTCGCCTCCAACTCTTCGTTTTCTCCAACTCTTCTCTGTTTACTACATCATTCTCCCACTTTCTTTCAAACACGTTGCATTTCTTTCACAGGCTTTCATTCTCAATATCTACTTCTTCTCGCTTGACTTCATCTAGGTTTGCTCTACATAGGCGTTGCCCTACTCTTTCTCGATTCTTAGTTTCTCTCTTCTCTATTTTACTACAACACATCGGTCTTTCGGACACATTTCGATTTCGTCAACTCTCTTTGACAATACTGGAAGGGTTAAGCACTCACCTCGCATCGCCTGGCTTCATCTTACCAATGATCTCAAACTACCTGCCACGCCCAAGGTATCATATCTTTGAACTGTCATGTCAATACCCCTTGACTAATGTATTATTAAAAGCACTAGCTCTTAACCTCCGATATGCCTCAATCAATTTTCCAGATTTTTCCGGCCGCGAGACAGCGTCGCGATAAGAGTTGCATGAGAAACACCGAATCAAAGCTCGAGTCACACAAAACAGCCAAATCCACAGCCGATATGGTAAAGACTGAGAAAACTCAGAATACTGAAAGCGATTCTGCGCCAAATTCGCATCAAGGTATCTTCGCACGCTTCATAAGGCCAGTCCCTAGTGGACCTCCGCAAGAAACGCGAGTCGCCTCCAATAACGACGGCAAACACGGGAACCAAGGGACGACGGCTTCTGAGGTCGCAAAGAGAGTTGCCGAACAAAGCGTCTATTCGAGCGCAAGTCACAATATTCAATATACGCAACCAGAAGGTCATCGCAATAAACCTCGCGTAGTTACATATTCGGACGGATCAGATGCTGCTGTCAAAGCAGAGGGTACTCTACCACAAACAGTCAAAGAGATTCAAGGCAACCTTTCTCAAGAAGGAGACAAGATTGATCGAACCAAGAGTATTGGTCAAACTGGACAGCAGGATGACGGCAACATTGCAATTTCTCAATCATCGACTAGGCAGAACGCTGCAGTTATTCAGCAGGCTCAAGACAAAGATAATTATCCAAGGCAGCTGCCTAACCAGCAGGAACAGAACGTTGCCACAAGCGAGAAGTCATTCTACGATGGAGCCGCAAAAAATGATGCTAGAATGACGAAAGGTGATGGAATGAAAGATGTTAATCAATCTACCAACTCTGCGGATGCTATAGACACTACAGAGCACTTTCACAGGAAGAGTGGAAAGAAGCGCAAGCACAAACGCTCCCGCGAGCGATCCAAATCTTGCGGTCGTTCAAAGTCGCCAAAACGAAGAAGGGTATCGGATACATTTATTCCTGATCATGAACGAGATGATATCAATAGCAGTAGCGATGAACAGTCGGCAAATAGGTTCAATGTCGAACAAGCAAGGGCAAGACTCCCCAAAGGCTGCAGTGTTCGGCATGAAGGCGATGAAGCAGAGGAGTTGAAAGACGGCAAAAAGCTTGTCAAGTCAACGAAGTTCGCAAAAATCATGGTTTCGACCCTGAAAGATCACCAAACTACGTTACTTTCTTGGATGGTGAAGAGGGAGAAAGAAACACCTCGGTTAGCAGATGGAGGAATTATAGGTGATCAAATGGGACTCGGGAAGACTGTCGTCAGCCTTGCATGCATTGGGACCAATAAGTGCAGGAAAGAGGATCTAAAGAAATGCTCAGAGGCAACACTAGTTGTTGTGCCCGCCAAACAACAGGCAATCCAGTGGCGAGACGAGGCGATTGTAAGTGATCAGAATTCTTGGCTGAAAATTTTAAACGGCGTGTCTGCTAACTCATTTTGCCGCAGAAACACTGGAATGGAGATGCGAGCTCTCGCGTAGTCATTTATTCCCCAAATAATGATTACGGACCTAAGCAATATGAGAAGCAATTAATAGTGTGAGTTGCATATTTCAAGGCTGTTTGAGGCTGGTGAGACTGACAAGTTATAGTATTGCAACTTATGCTCAAGTGCGAAATCATCTACCCAGCCGACAGTATATAAATTCTCTAGCAAGCCAATACTCGGACGATTATAATACGTTTGATCGAGAGTTTAGGAAGGAAGCCAAAGATTTGCTCCGTATAAAGTGGTTTAGGGTGATTTTGGATGAGGGTCATGGAGCCACCAAATGGAATGGACGGAGTAAGTATACATGATCGAGTCAACAGAAAAACATCTTTCTCTAACTCAAACAGCTTTACAGTCGTGTTGTGCCATCCAGGCTCAGCACCGATGGGTCTTGAGTGGCACTCCTATTCAAAACACACCAATAGGTGAGGCCAAGAATAATGATAAAGAGTGAGGGAATTGAGTATAATAGAGCTGACGATTCGTTGCTAGAGTACTACTCGTATGCGACTTTTATCTGCTGCCGGTTCATAGGCTCTCGGAGGGTCTTCAGAAATGATTACATTGTCAAGGTAAGAGCATCCAAAAACCAGTATTTGAACACACACTAATACTTTCTGTATAATTCAGAATGCCACAAACGAGTACTTTGATACTATGAACAGTTACCTCATGTATCGGAGGTCAGTATGTCGCGTAGAGCGACAAATAACTAGCTGACAAGAAGTAGACACTCCGATGAAAAGTTCGATATTCCGCCGACAACCCACAGAGAAATTTGTATCGAAGTCTCACGAGAAGAAGTGATAATATGCGAGTACGTATGCGGCTGTTGAGACCAGAGCTACATGTGCTATATGTGAGAGTGTCTACTGACAATTATAGTGCTATAAATAAATTCTTTGACAGGCGTGAAGCAAAACATCAGAAAAAGAAAGAGGAAGCGGGACTGCCCATATTTGAGGACGAAGAAGACTCAGATGGAGTAGAGGACATGAAATCACAAGGAGAAGACTCAGATCCAGAAATCAAAGATCTCCGCACGCGATCCATCCAAACGACAAGACAGTTACGTCTCAGGCAAACTCTATCTCATTTATACTGCCTGGAGAACTTTTTATTGGGGCGCAGCAGTCTCAATGAGGATGAGTTCAAATCTCTGGCTTCGAAGCTCGATTCAATCAGCGAGAAAAAGACGATAATAGAACAACTCGAAGCAAATAAAGATTGGGAAGAGAATCTTGGCCATTACCAAGCTGGTCTTGATATCCTCAAGACTTATGACAAGGCATCTCTGGGTGGGATTTTCGACGTGAGAAAGTTGATGGATTTAGTGCTTCTTCAACGTAGTGATAAAGCGTCCAAGTGTGGCGGCACTGGTTGCGAATCACAAGACCTCTCTCGTTTCAAAGTGGGTATCATCTATTGATCGAAACCCCTCCTTGAACTGGCTAACTGAATTTCTGAATAGTGCGGCCATGTGTACTGCGGTTCATGTTTGGGCCGGTTGATGACGCAGAGGAGCAACTTGTCGGAAGCAGAGCGATTTGGCGTAAGCTCTTCTACTTTCCATTACACGAGAGAGATATACTGATTATGCTTGCACAAACTAAAGCCCCTCAAATGTTCCTTCAATGGCTGTGATGAGGAGCTTCTGCGCGGCCAGCCAGTGATTACCTTGGAAATGATAGCCGCCCAGGCAAACAAAGACAAGGACCATGTGGAGATTGGAAGAGATTCGATTAAAACGACAGTCCAGGCGGGATTAGAGCGTTCGCTATTTTTCGCCGCCAGCTCCATGGGCCCAAGAATTGTTCCTCCTCCAAGCTCGAAACTGACGGCAACGATTGCCGTAGCAATGAGTTGGTTGAAAGAGGCACCCCAAGACAAAATCATCAGTAAGCGTATGAGGATGCCTAGGCAAGATTTATAATAACTAACGCCTTATCAAATCAGTCTTTACCCAATTTATTCCCACACTAAAGATATTGGGATACCTACTCAGCACTCTCGGCGTTAAATTTGTCTACTATTCGGGCACGATGCCGAGGCAGAAGCAGCAGGATGCAATGAACGCGTTCCAAAACGACCCAGAAACGATGATCTTGGTGAGTCTCAATACTTGTTAAATTGATTGCCAGCAACAAAATGACGTGTTTTTTTCTTACCCCTGTGAATTAGCTCTCGACCTTGAAAAGCGGCGGCCAGTCGCACAACCTCACCGTGGCGAACCGCGTCATCATCGTCGACCTTTGGTGGAACAAGACGGCGGAAAAACAGGCCATCGGCCGGGTCGCCCGTATGGGCCAGACGAAGAAAACATATTCAGTGCGTATTGTTACAAAGCACACAATGGATGAACGTGTTATCGAGGTGCAGACGGGTAAGGAAGCGACTATTGCGCGAATGCTTCAAGATGATGGACATGAGCGTACTGAAGTTGATGATAAGCGCCTCAAACAGATATTTGAACCAAAGGATATCGACCAGGCAGATTCGAAGAAGCGGAAAAGAAAGTATGAGTCGTCTGGCTATGGCGCCAGAATGAGCATGTCGCCTCCAGTCGATGAAAGCGAGGAAAACTGGTATTGATCTCGATGGTTTATGGCTTCGAGGTGTTGGCAGATCTGCGGCACGGAGCAAATCACTTTGCTTTTCATTTCATATTTTCGCTTGACTTTTCTTTCTTGGAGCTCATTCCGAGTGGGCATGATATCGGTAACGGCGCTGAACTCGATACTGGGATCCGGAAAACCTGGTGGTTATTTCGTGGGTGGGCTGGACGGCGGCAGTTTTAAGGAGAGAAGAACGGTTCTCATCTGGGAGTTTGGGGCCATGAAACAGACATTGGGTCGAGTTCAAGGCGTTCTTTTTTACAATTTGCTCAATATGCGGCTGGTATAGCGCAACAAGTTACAACTACAATAGCTTTCTACTCATCTAGCTCTCAATACAAAATTTAGCTTCTCTATATGGCGGCGACATCTCGCACCAGGTTGCTGCAACTTTCCATCATCAACAGTAATTCGAAATTCAAGCACATGTAGCAGGTTGCGAATGAATTAACAAGTAATAACATCTTGTATTTGTATTTGTTTCTTAATAGAGAGAATGGGAAATCTGATTTCTCTCTGCACGTATGCTGCGCAAACGATATGGAGCCAGAGAACATTCACATTCTCCTTCTCTACCCAAAAGATGTGCAGGAAATGCGATACTGTTAAATGAATTCCAGTGAATTCGAAGCAAAGTATTAACTCGGTCCATGCATTTATGAGCTTTCTTTGTTGAAGCAACTTATACATTCTCTCCAGCAACTCCGCTATTAAATCCGGTCAAGTTACCCACATACTGTGGCCCTTACCCATCAGTAACTTAGCAATAACGTTCTAAGTGAACTGTGAGTTGATAATCCGTATGGAAATCTTTAGAACTGAGGCCGCAATGACATTTGGCATCATGGGTTTCATCTTTGCCTGAAACTTAGGGCTGCTACCAGATTGACGAGACCGCTTGCCAGCTGCGTGACTCGGCTCCTCAATTCACTTCTGCCTCACTTTCTTCCCATCTTTCGGCTGAATTTTTTTTTCCTGTTTTTTTCCGCCGATAAATTAAGTGCAGGCTATAAAATATCGCGGCACTTCTTCATATCTTCTCTCTTACTCTTTCTCTTCCCTTTCTTGCGCTTCCTGGCATATACGAGGCTCCTCGGATCGATTTCGCTATCGGAAAGATGACTTCTTGGATGAAATCAATGCCTCCCCGGATGGAGATTGCGGACCTAGACATTCAGGAATCCGATCCCAGATATCCTGATGCGGTCAAATGTGTTCAAACATACTGGAAACAAGCAATTCATATGACCTACGATCAACGGAAAAGATATCTAGGATTTCTAGACACTAGAAGTAAGGTTGATTATCTGTCCAAAACTCCGGGAGTGACCTCCCACATTCTGTATACGAGCGCTCGCAATTATCTGGGAGAAATTCCGACAAAAAATATCCGCTGGGCTGACTACTTGTTTCTTACATCACTGTATAAACGTTTGCCCGACGACTATCTCGAAGCTGTAGCGGCACGTTATTCCACCACAACAATTTGGGACTACACTGAGGAGTATCGAGATTATTATCCAGAGCCAACATTATCTTCTCAGGACAGTACCACTGAATCTACGAAAATTAGTGACCCATTAAAGATCGATCTTACTCAAAACGAAGAGATGCCGAATAAGCAGCAAAACATTTCGGTTGGTCATAAGGACAATGGTGTGCCAATCGAATCTATACAAAAACAGAGCGCTACGTCGACTCAGAGGAAAGAACTTCTCTTCGGAACTACAACTGCCATCCAGAAGCAAGATACTGATACTAATAAGAAGAATGACAATGAAACACGAGCCTCGACCAGCCAGCAGCAAGCCAATCCATCTAACCAAAAGCAGACTATCATCCTGCCACGTACAACTAGCGACCAGCAGCAAGATGCTACACCTACACGGAAGAAAGAAAATGAGACACCAAGCTCAGTAAGCCAGAATGAGAATACTACAGCGACAGGGACTCGGTTCCCCCCAGAGGCACTAGCAAGCACAGAGCCTATGGTACCGGAGACATGGAACATTGACAATGTTGTCGGCATCTTATCTCTACAAAACAAAAAGAGACTGTGTCCCGCACCCGAAAGTTCTTCAAAACGCGCCAGGTTGGATGGCGATGAAATATTGGAAAAGGTCAATCAACAAGCTGAAATCATTCAGCAAGCTATGGACAAGCTGCAATGCAACCAAGATATCAAGCTCCAGGAAGTGCGCGAGGCTGTCGAACAGAACAGACAAGCCCTCGAAAGCATGCAGAGTGAATTACGCCAGTTCATGTCTGCGGTGGCATCTACCCTTCGGCACATACAAGAGCGTCTAGATGAGTGATGGCAGCTGCCTGGTCCTTGTGAAGGATACGTATATTGATCCAACGTCACTGGGTGGATCTCGAGATCCTTCAAGTGTTTGGGGGAATACATGTGTGTGTGTTACAGAGTGCCTTTTTTTGGCCACGTATTGCAGGTAAAGACGATAAAGTCTGCTGGCTCTGTTTGCTAGAGGTAACATATCGTGCAGATACGTATAATGGCATACAAGGGAATACTACTTGAAATGGATCCAGTCTAGCTTCCTTATCTAGCTAATGTTTGTGAAATGTTTCCCCCTGAACACCAGATTTTCACCAGATGCCGTTGGTGCATTATCCTGTAGTCACAGCCCCTGTCAGCGTAGTTCGCATGGGGTGCGGAGGGGTGTCATGTGTGATGGGAGATGGGAGAATAGCCCAACATACACAGGGCATCATCTCTTCTCAACTCACCCTCCACACGCTAACTGGGCATCAGGTTCACCACACATCAGAGATACTCCTTTCTTTTCGTGGACAAGGTTTCATTCGCACACTTTGGCTGTCAGGGAAGATTTTCTCAGGTGTGGGGAGCTGGAAAACGAGCTCTCTCTCCAAACCACGACCAACATGCAGACGGCTCGTTTGCTATGACCAACAAACTAGCAACCAACAACCACCTGCAGTGGCACTAACTCCTCTCCAAGCCTCTTGCGTTCTCTCGCATTTTCGAATCGATTTTGGGGCTTTTTATCGCGCTTTTTGTCTATTTCGGTGGCAAAACTAGAGCTTTCTCCGGGGATACACAAAAACGCATCCATCTACTAATACTGCCCCTCAAAATTCCCGTGATGGGTGTAACAGGGGGGAAGTTTAGCAGGACTCGACAACACCAAGCCAAGCCAACATGCAGCCGTTTCGTCATAACATGGGGACACACGTACAAAAAGTCTGATTTCTGATTTCCCGAATCAGAGAGAAGCCGCAGACGGGCACTATCCGAAATGAGAATAAAAGCTGTCCGCCTCGGTCGACTGATGCGTGTCGGGATGCCGCATGAAAAGAATTGGGGCAAGAGCAGCTATTCCCTCTCTTCCTCGACGAGGCGAGAGCTTTTCGGTATTCCGTCCGTCCCGCCTTGACAAACACGGGATTGTACACCAAAACTCCCGTCCGTGCTTCTACAAAGAGACATCACCTTTCCAGGCTGCTGCGAGAAAAGGGGTGACTTGTTTGCTTGGACTTGGTTGCTGGCTTCTCACTCGCGGTCAGGATTTCTGCACAGACATCAATCTCCGTCTGCTGCTCATCTCCAGAGAGTCAAAGACAAGCCAGCAACACCGGTCACAACATCGACAACCAAGAAGCAGGCCAAGCCAGCGAGCGCCATGACAGACCCAATCGCCAACCTGGGCCTCTCGTGCCCAAAGTCAGGCCGCTTCTACATCTGTTATGACCAGCCGACTCGTTTCATAGGCTGCTGTACCATCAATCCATGCACCACCGACGACGGTCTCTGTCCTGACGATGATCTCCTGCCCTCCTCGTTTAGTTCCGACGCCTACCCCAAGATCCTGGCACAGAATTGTCTGGATCCCGGATTCCTCTGGTACACCTGTCGCGACTCCTCGCCACCCTTTCTGGGATGCTGCTCCCAGGATGCGTGTGAACAAACTGGCTGTCCGAGGGATAAAGTCGGGGCGGCAGGTCTGAGCGGCAACAAGCTGCAAGCAGCCCCTTTCCTATCTTCAGACTCCTCGTCAACATCATCAACGAGCAGGACTTCGTCGACAACGCTGAGCACGGCTATAAGCACGACTGCGAGCACAACCAGAAGCGCCACCACCACCGCCACTCAGCCTGCTGCAGTGACACCTCCAGTGCATATCAAGCTCAGCAAAGGTGCCATCGGAGGCATCGTGGTCGGAGCAGTGGCGGGAGGATGCATCTTAGCCCTTGTGGCCGTTTGGGCTCTGAGGCAGCAGAAGAAGAAGAAGAGTCCACCCACCATTACGGCCGCGCACAGCAGCGGCAGCGGCAGAAAGGACGAGTATGGCGAGGACTCGCCGACCGAGTATCAGGACGGGACAAGACACAGGCACACGCTGGGGGCCGGTGCCGCACAGATGGCGCAATCCCTCCATGCTCAGCCTTCGCCGGGCCTCGAGTCGGTCATCTCAGAGCTGCCTGCATCACCGTCGACGCCAGGGAATCGACACATCATCTCCATGGGCAGCTCCGACGGCGTGACGGGCAGAGAGAGCGAGCTGTCCGGCCTTAGCGTTTCAACACAGCAGAACCCGCACCAGAAGCAGCACTCGCCGTTGATACACCAGTCCCTGTTTGAGCTCGAGGACTCGTCGAGCCGTACATTTGTGGGGAGGTAACGAGATATACATTCACGACACGAGATCCGGGCTACGTCCGATGCGGATGGGCCAATGGCCGCTGCATAAAGGCGCATTGAATTTGGTACGACTTTTCTCGTACAACTTATTCCTGCATGCCTGATGCTACGGAATAGCGCGTGGACTCTCGTATACGTGGCAGAGGGGTGTGAGTTGGTTGATCTTGACGGGCTGTGGCTGCGGCTGTTTCGGGATACGAGCAACGGCTTACACCTGATGGCGGAGTTTGAAACTTTTTTTTATTGGTCTTGTTTGCCATCATTCGTGCTTCCATTTCCCTTGGCATTTTCTTTTGCATTGGCTTCCCCAATTCAATTCTTAATCTAATTTCTATTTGGCTGTGTCTTGTCGTGTTGTTTGTGGAAGACTCCATATTTCCGTAGGCAACCTCTAAATTGCAGGTCTCACAGGCCGGGAATGGGCCTCATTCCACGGCAGGCTTGCGCGTACCATGGCCCTCCACGGCCCTTATCATGGCCAATCAGAGGCACATGTCTGACCAGAAACCGTTACGAAACACTGCAGCTTCGGCCAAAAGAAAAAGGACAAAATAAACAAGGAATGAATAAAAAGAAATATGCTTCGAGCCGTTCCGCGCCTCAGTCGCTCCGGTTTGCCCAGCTGTGAAAATTCAATCGCCTTTGACCAGCCCTATTCGCTCGAGAACCAGATCCATCCGCCCAACTTTGCCCTCGGCGGCGGTCATACAAACGTCATGACTCCATACGCGAGTTGGGATGTCCATCTGTCTCCTTGTTTGCCCAAAACGAGACGCCCTCTCGATGGACTAAAGAAAATACATGTACAAAAGGGCCAGGCAAATGTCTGGCCCAAGCCACGGGGAAGCCCGCAGGGTCGGTCCACATGAGGCGCAGCCTGTGCGGATTACGACATGTGAGACAAAGGAAGGCAGCTTATTGTATACAGTGTCTCTGGAGCTGTGCTTTTTTCTTTCCAATTTTTCTTTCTTTCCTTTCCGTGTGTTGTCTCAGTTTTGCCGTTTCTGGGGCGATTCTCGAGGGAAGATCGCCGAGCTGCCCATGTATATACGAGGGGTGTCCCAGTTGGGGAAAATTGCCTAATCAGGACGACGTGTTGCGCATTCCATGACCTAGAGGCAGAGTCATTAGAAGCTCACCATTGCAACCCCCAAACAGAGCAGAAACAATTGCCAATCCCATGCCAAATCCCAGCACCGTGGATTCTCTCCGATCGCCGGCATTGTGTCATTGCCAGCATCTCAAACGCCCGCAGCCGGTGTGCCGAGGATACGTCACCATTACCGTGCCATGTCTCCTCTCCGCGTAACACTCAGCGCCGATCGGTTGCAAGCCACCGGGAATAATCCCTGCAAGAGACATCTGGCTGTCCTTTCATTGTCCTGCCACTTGTGGGAGTGAGGTTTGACACTGCCGAGATGGGTGTTGATGGCTCTGCCTCGACGTACAAGTACCAATCGGTCAGGCAAGGTCAGGTATCCCACTCTCACCTCGTTGTGTAGGGGATCTGCGTGGAGTACCCCGTGTCTAGAGAACGCCCCCTTGCCTACGTCAACACTGTGTGTATGATTTTGTGTGTGTCTCTCTCTCATCGCCCCGTGGATCCCCCAGCTGTGGCTGCTGCATGAATTTTTCTTTTTTTGGACAAGGGAGAGAGACGGAGAGTGAGTTGAGGTGCATAGTCCAGGCCGTTTTAAAGGGCTGGTGCTCTCCCTCTGTTTTGATCCATACATCTCTTGCTCATTCACCCCCTTTGCTCCCGCGGCCCCATATATATATACATACCTATATATATAAATACCACATATAAGTCACCCGTTCGCCAAGTGTCCGCTTGCACTCCTCGTTCTTCTCCCCCTTCCCACCTACACCAGAGGAAGAAAGCAGCATCCAATCGTTCACCATGAAGCCCCAAACTCTCGCTCTTGTTGCCTTTGGCCTCCTGTCTGGAGAGGCCATGGCCCAGACAACAACCAACGGCGGCGGCGTGCCCCCCCTCATCTCGTCCGTGTCTGCTGCCATCTCGTCTGCTATTGCATCTGGCAGCGCCGCTGCTTCCAGCGTTCGCTCCGAAGCCTCTTCCATCGCCAGCAGCCTTCGCTCTGAAGCCTCTTCTATTCGCTCCAGCATCACTGGATCCGAAACCAGCGGCACTGAGACCAGCAGCACTGAGACTGCCACCACTGTGACGACTACAGGCGAGGTCACCACCACCATCAGCACTGTCGAGTCTGCCACTACAGAGCCTGGCACGACCATCCCCGGAACTACCAACAGCCAGACCACCGAGCCTGGCACCACTATTCCACCAAGGACTCGCTCTGCCACCACTCGCGTCACTACCAGAACCGCTGCTACCACTTCTACCTCTACCGGCCTGGCTATTGCTCCTACTGCTGATGCTAAGCTGCTGGCTCCCATCCTCGGTGCTGCCGCTGCCGTCTTGATGCTATAATCACATTGTATCTCTGGAACTCTCCTTTCTATTTCACATTCGTCGGAGGACTTGATGATATGGAATGGAAGTGGGGAGAAGGGGGGCTCGACAATTCTGACTTGAAAAGAAAAAGAGAATTACGCATACATGGACCTACTAATTAATTGTGCTTGTCTGGCCGACACACGACGGCGTTAGTTATTTCTTTTAAATTGACCTTTCAGTATTGTCGCTCTGTGCTTTTCTCTCCTTTTGGCGGGACATTTGGTGGTAATTAATGGTAATAATGGCTGAAGTGAGGTGCTCAAAAGAATTAATGATGCTTGATTTTTGATTTCATCGTTGCAGCACATGAAAGTTTGTATTGATTAGTTGTCGTCTGAGTGCCTAATTGGACAAAATTGCTGCTGAATACGAGCGCGTTTACGGAATGCCATATGCTTGTGATACTGATATTGCCCCTAATAATTGAGCAATTAAATAATTCCGTTTTCACAAGCCATCTCATCTGGAATTCATCAGCCTTCCGGAAGGATCTACGGAGTAGAACGTTGAGCCAATCAGTTGGACGGACAGCTTCGGCCATGGCTGGTTCGGCGATTTGCCGTCTGTGTGGCGGCCGCCTCGAGAGCATATACGTGAGATTGAGGGGAGATTGAGTAATAACGATCTCATTGGGATCGATATAAGAGTGTAAAATAAAATAAACTATACAGTGGCTTTTGGGATTTGATAGAGAGTGAATCGATTATAAGTAGACGTGTTCATGGGCATTGAGATACGGCGTTTGTATGTTGCGCCAGTAGTTGAACTGAGATGCTCATATATCTTAAGTGTTGAGCTTACTCGTCACTCTATTCTTTCTCGCGCAATGAAGGGGTATTCACGCACTACCTAAGATGTGCAGTTTTTCACTTTAATAAGAAATTTCATCTATACTAATTTGTGGCACTTTAGTACCAAAGGTTGTATGATGAGTGAATCCTAAGGCCAGCCCTCTGAAAAGCCACATTGGCTAAGATAAGTCACAAGTATGTCTTCATGTGAATCACTTTGGAAATTCATTATCTGTCTCTGTGTTAATTTTTGTGATACTAGTTGCCATCTCTGATGCTCATGGTTCATCTTCCGGCCAGAGTCAAAGTCCTACCGAAGATAGGATACATGCATATGTGCGGCATCAAGCATTCGGCAGCTTGCCTTGCTATGTGGACATAACAAAGAGCGATAGAACGTCAATTAATTGTAAATAATTGAATTGTAATGAATTTTATGACTCTTTCATCAAGTTAATGCAAGTCAACCTCTGTTTGGCGGTGTCGATGCAGAACCAGCTGTTGAGCACCTGCCACCGCCTTCACCGGCTCTCATCAGGCAACAACTGGCCCATTTCTTTTCTCTCTTCTCTCTCTCTCTCTATTTCAGTTTCCATTCTTTTTTCTCTCGCAAATCTGCACCTTGGATTTCTCCTCTCCTCGACAATTCCCAAGCTTCATCCTGTGATGCTGCCGGAGATGGCTCCCGCTGCAGCTCCAGACGGCGATGGTGCCCAAATTATCGAACCACAGCCTGAAGTGGACGAAAGTGTGATCTCGATACCGACTCTTTCAGTCACGGAAGCTGAAGTAGGAGATGAGGATGAAGAAGCTGAAGAGGACGCTCCCGATGATCCCATTGATCCTGCTCGCCTATCAGCTCCCAGGAAGAAGAAACGAAAGAGCAAGACAACGGCCAGCAGAGGTCCAACTGCATTGCCCAAGTATCGTGGCAATGGATTTGAAGGTAGAGCACTTCATTCTTCACAGTTTTAAAGGTGATTCACCACTGAACAAATGTAGAGTATTTTGCGGACCCTCCCATGACTCCTCAGGAAGCGATGGAAGAGAAACAAGAGATATACTCCCCGTAAGCATCATTCAACAGCATCCTGGACATTTCTTGAAGCTAACAAGAATCTACAGAGATATTTCCTTTGAGAGGTACATCAACAATTTGAATACTTTTTCTCTTCTTGTTCCAGTTCGGCTTCCAGTTCGGCTAACTTGGCATATAGACGAATGCAGTCATGCATTCAGCGATTTCGCTCTCGTCGCCGCATCCAATACCCAAGAACCACCTATTTCGACGACTACCTCTTCCTCGGCGGCGTAGATACGAAACCGGGAGCCTACACTGGACTTGATCCAAAGGAACTCAAGCAACTCACGGCTGCACAACGTCGCGAAGCAACATCCAGAGACGTCATCTACGAAGGCACTGGGGCTGGTGGCCGTTTTTACGACGGCGACGAAACCAAGTGGACTGTCGACTTTGCCGGCGTGGCAGCGGGTTTCCTCTCTCGAGCCATCATCCCGTTGACTGGTCTCCAGACTGGGCCCATGGAAGACGCGATAGATGTGGTTGAGAATTTCCTTCGATACGTCCTCCATCACGACGTCTGTCCCGAGTATGAAGAGAATGTCAAAGAGGCGCTGAAAGTCTGCCTTATGGCCAGAGAAGAATGGCCAATGCTCAACTCTTTGCAAACGGCCCTCCCGGGTCTCTTCAACTTTGCCGCGACTGAGCTGTTCTCGAAGACTGATCCAGACGCCTGGGCTTTTGATCTATTTCAGATTCCTGAAGGATTCGATGCCAAGTCTGTCTTTTATTCAGTCGTTACCATGCTGGAAGACTTTAAAGCGTTTGAACACCTGTTTGGCAAAAGCGTTGAAGTTGTGGATCAATACGAATGTACCCTGGAGATAACAAAAGTCAATCTCCCAGCCAAGGAGTTGATTGAACAGTTCCAGAAGCTTGCCATCACTATAGATGACAACAAAAAGATCCGACTCTTGCCAATGGGTAAAGTCACTCTCAAACCAGCCGTGATTGAGGATGGATGGGTCGAGCCAGACATACAGCATCCCCTGCTAGGCGAAGAGATTGATCTCTATTTCGAGCAAAACATCCTTGCCAACCTCAAGCCGGGTATGAAGATGACGCTGGAAATCTGCGACCTTGGATCAGACGTTCGTTTTGTCAAGCGCATTCGCAAGATTGTGCCCTCATTCTACACGTTTCTTGCGCAGGAGTTGATGATTCACTTCAGGGCTCCTCAAGAGAACGACCGCCCTGCACCATCGGTTCACGATCCTACAGCAGAAGACAACCAGCCAATGGAGGAATAGCATATGGGATATTTCATTTCCACAAGATGATTTAACCAGCTTTATTATCAGTAGCACAGGAAAAATTAGTTCGGGCCATATCAAGGCCACCTGGGCAGATGTAAGAGACCAATGCAGAACCTTTGACCTAATCATGACATGTTTGTGAAATCAACGCTTTGAACAGTACGCAATAAGAAAGAAGATTGGGAAAAGAAAGGAAAGGAAAAGAAAAAAAAAATGTGTGAGAGAGGGCCAAGTTATCTAAACAAAGACCAGCTAAAAGGGCACCACGCCGTCCCTCTACTCTCCATCCACCCGACCTTTGTTTGCAGCATGGTATTTACTGATATCGCCGCCCTGGCATCTGTATCTGCATCTGTATCTGCATCTGTATCTGTCGGCATTGTTTTAACAGCCTGATAGGCTAGTGGCGGCAAATCGCGTCTTCCCATTTAATCCCGTGTCTGGATCTTGTGGTCGCCAGCAACAACCTCGGCGTACGAAGGGGGAACGCCTTGGTTATCAGAGCTGCCCGCTCCAGAATTTACAACCCCGTGCTGTTGTGGCTGGGGAGAAGGGCTGGGCTGTTGCTGAGAGGTGGTGCCGTAGTTCATGCGGCCCTGTTGCTCCTGGGGCTTGGGCTGCTGGCAGTGAGGGCCATGGGGCGACTGGACGTAGACGTATGTGACGCGGCCGCCGCCTTGCTCGTTGGGAATAGCCTCGTACTCGTACGGCGGCTCGGGGTACTTGGCGATGATGTACCAGGCGTGGAGCAGGCCGGGGATGAAGCCGAGGATGCAGAGGAGGATGTTGATGAGGGAGTCGGCGCTACAGATGCCGCACTTGACCCAGACTAGCGACGACGGTTAGCGATTTCCATCACGCCAGGCAGGCAGCAAAGAAAGAAAAAAGAAAAAATATTATCGACGGAGCACAACAGACAGAGACGCAAAACAAAGAGATAGTGGGGTGATGTGACCTACCAGGCAGCGGGGGGAAGAGAATGGCGAGAACACCGAGGAAGATGTCGGCAGAACACATGGTGGCTTTGCTTTAGTAGAATGAAGCTGGCGATGGCACGGTTCGCAGTCTGAAAGATTCAGGGTCTAGAGTTGAATATACGAGTAGACGGCGAGAAGAAGAAATCAAGGGTCTCTTTGTCGTCGCTTTTCTCGCCCTACCAGAAGGGAAGGATAAATGATAAAGAACGCGAAGTGGGCTTGTGACGGATGATGACGCTGCTGGAGCTGGCTTATTGAGAAGGTTGCGTAATGATGGGGCGGAAGCTGGAGGCGTGATTGGCTGGATTTGGGGGGCAAAGGGGATCCGCTGAAGGGAGGGCTGCGTAGGTACTCCAAACAATTTTTTGGGGGGTTTATTGTAGGGTAGCTGTAGGAGAGGGAGATGGTCTTTGGATATGTACCTACTAAGGTAACGAACATTAGTAGAGTTGAATTTATAGGTGAATTTGTTGACGATATACTGATGCCATCACTCTTGCTTAATGAAGAGTAACTAAATACGCTTTTCATCTCCAAAAGTAAAATATCGTGGGATCTGGGAAGCGAGGTGTGTTTGCCTGCAGCTTGGAGGAGTTGAGTCACTGCTCCTACAGCAACACGCACTTGATCCAAATCAAGTCTAGCATCCAAACGGGCTATGCTGCGGCAAAATGCTACCGTACCCTTTGAATACCTATGTAAGTACCTACCTAATATGAATGATGGCATTATTCCATACGAATAGTAAGCATTCTCGTATACGAGTAGATGTTGCTACGTATCAATTCACGATCCAATCAAGATGCTAGTCATCACATCATGCTATGTAGATATATACATACATACATACAGATGCAAGATGCATCTCTACCGTAGCTTTATGCAAACTCCATGCAGTAGAAATCGCATCAATGACATGCTTCCATAAAACTGGGCCCCCCTCTCTCTCGGTCAAGTCCCCCCTCACCGAACATCTCCCGATCTTTAGCCTCGGTCAAGAGGGGGCCTCACCGTGAACTTTTCTACAGTACTAGCAGCCTTGCCGTTTAGCGCGTCTCATGTCCAATCCACCATCTTTCAATCCTGCGCCTTGCAGGACCCCAAACCGCAAACATGGACGATCTTTTGAATCTCGAGCTGCTGTCCCTCGTTTCAAAGGTCACCTCGGAGCTCCAGAACCATGTTGGAATCAGCGACAAGACCCTTGCCGAGTTCCTCATTGCACAGCGTCTCGAGAGCAAGTCCAGCGATGACTTCCGCAAGAGGCTCGACGGGCTCAATGCCGACTTTCCTCCCAGCTTGGTCGACAGCTTAGATCGTCTGGTGGTGGCGATGCACCCCAAGTTCAAAGGCCAGAACGGAGATGCGCATCACGACGAGTCTCACCACCATCGGACCTTTGAGGAGAACGAAAAGGTGTTTAGCGGACTTGCTATGCCCGACAAGAAACCCAGCTACGACGGCGGCGCGGACGCTATCGATGATACACTGGCGCTTTTGGAAGGGCTTGAGGGTAAGGCCAAGAAAGAGAAGGCGTCTAGAAAGAGGAGCAGAAGCCCGGAAGACGAGGCTAGAGAGTCACGATCACGGAGGCATAGATCAAGATCTCGAGATCGGCGGAAGCGGGACAAGCACAGGTCGCGATCACGATCCCAGGACGCCGGCAACGAAGACTGGCGGGATGGATTCCGAGATTCCAGGAAGTCGCGAAATCGACGACGACACGATTACAATGACGACCACGATCAGGACGAGTTCAGCCGCGCTCCTGCACCCGAAGTGGACGACGAGCCCATCATGAACAAGGTCTACCAAGGTCATGTCACCGGAATCAAGGATTTTGGTGCCTTTGTCAACCTGCATCACGTCAAAGGAAAAGTCGACGGATTGGTTCACATTTCTCGCATTGTCTCTGGCCAGCGTGTAACCCACCCTTCGGATCTGCTCTCCAGCGGTCAGCAGGTTTGGGTCAAGGTTGTTAGCATCGAAGGCCACAGGATAGGACTGTCCATGAAAGATGTCGACCAGGAGACCGGCAGAGATTTCGAACCACAGGCGAGGTTGACGACTGGTGCAAATATGGAAGCACTTGGTGGCGGTGGAAGAAATGGATTCGTCGAGGCTGCCCCCGCAATGCCTCGCGATTCATTGGGTCCCCCCAGGCGACAAAAGAAACGAATGACGTCGCCAGAGCGATGGGAAATCAGACAGCTTATTGCATCTGGAGTCGCAAAAGCATCAGACTATCCCGATCTCGAAGAGGATTACAATGCGACGCTGCGTGGAGAGGGCGAGCTGGAGCTGGAAGAAGACGTTGACATTGAAGTTCGAGAAGAGGAGCCGCCCTTTTTGGCTGGTCAGACTAAGCAGTCTTTGGAACTTTCGCCTATCCGAGTCGTCAAGGCCCCTGATGGATCCATGAACAGAGCCGCCATGGCAGGAACAACACTCGCCAAGGAGAGAAAAGAGTTGAAGCAGAAGGAGGCCGAAGAAGCTGCCAAGGAGGAATCGAAAGAAAACCTGTCAAATCAATGGAATGATCCAATGGCCGACCCCGATAAACGCAAGTTTGCCAGCGACCTGAAGAATGCAAGAATGAATACCAGGACGGATGAAGAGCCCGAATGGAAGAGGGCAGTCATACCCAAAGGACAGTCATTGGGCAAGCGTACCAACCTCAGCATCAAGGAGCAGCGAGAATCCCTTCCCGTCTTTGCGTTCCGTTCGCAGCTGATAAAGGCAGTGCGCGAGAACCAGATCTTGATTGTGGTTGGAGAGACTGGCTCGGGAAAGACGACCCAGCTGACCCAGTATCTCGCAGAAGCCGGGTTTGCAGATGACGGCATCATTGGCTGTACCCAGCCCCGTCGTGTCGCTGCTATGTCGGTTGCGAAGCGTGTGGCGGAAGAAGTCGGCTGCAAGCTCGGTGAAGAGGTTGGATACAATGTCCGTTTCGATGATTGCACCAGCCCTGCTACCAGGATCAAGTACATGACGGATGGTATGCTGCAGCGAGAGATTCTCATGGACCCTGACATGATGCGATATTCATGCATCATGCTTGACGAGGCTCACGAGCGAACCATTTCTACCGACGTCTTGTTTGCCCTCTTGAAAAAGGCATTAAAGAGGAGGCCCGACATGAAGGTCATTGTCACTTCAGCCACCCTTGATGCCGACAAATTCTCCGCCTACTTCAACGAGTGTCCCATCTTTACAATCCCGGGCCGAACGTTTCCAGTCGAGATCTTGTATTCTCGCGAGCCCGAATCTGATTATTTGGATGCTGCGCTTGTCACAGTAATGCAAATTCATCTAACAGAACCCAAAGGCGACATTCTCCTATTCTTGACTGGTCAGGAGGAAATCGACACGTCGTGCGAGATTCTGTATGAGAGGATGAAGGCTCTTGGGCCGAGCGTACCGGACTTGCTTATCTTGCCCGTATATGCCCAGCTTCCGAGCGAGATGCAAAGCCGAATTTTCGAACCTGCGCCTCCTGGAAGTCGAAAAGTTGTCATTGCTACAAATATTGCCGAGACATCCATCACCATTGACGAGATTTACTACGTTGTTGACCCTGGCTTTGTCAAGCAAAATGCCTACGATCCCAAGCTCGGCATGGACTCCCTGGTTGTTACGCCCATTTCCCAAGCGCAAGCAAACCAGCGAGCCGGTCGAGCCGGTCGAACCGGCCCTGGAAAATGTTTCCGTCTGTATACCGAGGCTGCCTACCAGTCAGAGATGTTGCCGACAACCATTCCCGAAATTCAGAGACAAAACTTGGCAAACACTATTCTAATGCTCAAGGCAATGGGTATCAACGACCTCTTGCATTTCGACTTTATGGATCCGCCTCCCATCAACACCATGTTGACAGCCTTGGAAGAGTTGTACGCCCTCAGTGCGCTGGACGACGAAGGCCTGCTCACTCGTCTGGGGCGAAAGATGGCAGACTTCCCCATGGAGCCATCACTGGCCAAAGTGCTCATCGCTGCGGTTGACCACAAATGTTCCGACGAGATGCTTAGTATAGTAGCCATGCTCAACCTGCCCAACGTCTTTTATCGTCCCAAAGAAAAGCAGTCGCAGGCCGACCAGAAAAAGTCAAAGTTCCACGACCCTCATGGAGACCACCTGACCCTTCTCAACGTGTACAATGCCTGGAAGCACAGTGGCTATTCTAGCCCCTGGTGCTTTGAGAACTTTATTCAGGCGCGGTCGATGCGGCGTGCCAAGGATGTCCGAGACCAGCTTATGAAGATTATGGATCGCTATAAACATCCGGTTGTGTCTTGTGGACGCGACACACAAAAGGTGCGACAGGCACTCTGCACGGGATTCTTCCGCAACGCAGCGCGCAAGGATCCCCAGGAAGGATACAAGACTCTCACAGAGGGCACACCGGTATACCTTCACCCTAGTTCGGCTCTCTTTGGAAAGCAAGCTGAGTGGATCATCTACCACACGCTCGTGTTGACGACAAAGGAATACATGCACTGCACGACGAGTATCGAGCCGAAATGGCTGGTTGAAGCGGCCCCGACGTTCTTCAAGGTGGCACCGACAGATAGACTGAGCAAGCGGAAGCAAGCTGAAAGAATTCAGCCACTGTATAATAAATTTGCTGGAGAAGACGACTGGAGACTCAGTGCTCAGAAAAGGGGTGGAAGAGGTGGCGGTGGTGGTACATGGGGTTAGAAAATGGGGATACCTGTCGAGTGGAATCATGTGTTTTGGTGGAGGAAGAACTCTTTCTTACGCGGTTTTATATATTATGGGTGCATTGTGTGTTGTTTTGCATGGAGTTTTTCGGGCTGATTATGACGGGAAGAATCCAGAGTTGAAATCACGAGACTAGCGGGTTTCTTGGACAAGGAGGTGGTCTTTGATATATTCTAGAATGCGAATCTAATTCAAGACTGAGATTTCACCAAGGTTTGAAGTAGACTCTACCTCTTTTGCCGTGCTGTTTGTTTTGCCGTTTGTGAAAGATGTTCACGTTGCATATTCGTACAACTAACGGCATATATGACAAGTACTCTGGGACGTGGCCACCTTCTATGCTACTACTATTTGTTTGACAGCTTGTGATTTGTCTCATCTTCGATATCAGCATAACCAACGGCATCTCAGTGTCGAGTCCATGTACTCTTGGACGTTGGCCAGTCGCCAACTGTGGTGAACTGCACTCCATAGAGTCTCGTACGCCCAACACAAGAGATTGTAATTTGCTTTTAGTTGGATCATGTATATTATCAAACTAGCCGTCTCACACCCATCAAACAAGTGCGAATCAGGTCCTCAAACCCATACACGTAGTAAGCAACGGCCTACTCACTCTTGATGACCTGAATCTCAAGCAGTTCCGCAATCTTCTCGCCCGAAAGTCTCTCCTTTCCATTGGCCTCAAGATGCCCCTGAAGCTCCTCCGCACTGAACTTGCCCAGCTTTCCAACCCCGAGACTAAAATGGGTTCCATCCTGAAGCACAATGAACGGCTCACCAATCTCATCAACACTTGTACAATCTGTATAACGCATTAGTATAAAAAAGTCACCAACACACACTGAAAAAGAGCAACTTACTCTGAGCACCGGCCCGCTCCTCAAGCTCCGCACGCGCCATCTTGCGGCAGCGCGGCAAAGGCGAACACGGCTCCATGAAGCGCACCATTTGCACGCCCGTAATCTGCCTCTTCTTGGACGAGCAGCATGAGTTTGCCTTCTTCACGCTACACTCCCCTTTGCCGCAGTTATTCCCTTTGTTCTTTCGGTAAGTCTGGACGTAATCCAGTTCGTTGCCCTTTTCAGTGTAAAACGAGGCGGCGGAACCGGAAGTGAGGCCGTAGCATTTGTGCACTTCCGTGATGTCAAAGTCAACAAAGGTGCCACCGCCGCAGTTTAGCTGGTCGAGGTAGAACTTGGAGTTTCCAGCGTTGACGACGGCGAGCTGGGAGGAGATGAAGAGGAGAGAGAGGGCAGATGCGAGGATAGAAGGCATGATGAATGAATGGCGAGTGGATGGATGTAATTGATGTAATTGATATACTAGGTGATCGTCTTGAAGTTGGAACTGCAGCAATTATCGTGGGCATCATGGTTATACTTATACTTTTTTGTGATTGAATGAGTGATATTGAGCTACTTATTCTGAATGAGTTGTGATCTACTGTAATTTGACATCCAGACTAATAACACAGAACGCCGGTGAGGCTGAACTGCCAAACAACACACAATCCATCATCTTGAAGCCAATTTAAGTGTTATGTGTAAAGGATGTCACGCTAAACTGGTCCATCGCAAACAGCACTCGATAAGCGATATTCTGGCGTTGGATGAGATCCCGTTGAACCCAGATCCGCATATCCTTGCGGAAAGAACAAAACAGAATTATGGCTTCCCATCACCCATGCTGGGATACATGGGATTGAAGAGATGTCTGATTCTCTGCCGCGTTTTCCAGCCCCTGCCGCGAGTGATTCAGGCCAAGTTCTTATATGGGCCGTAATTGCCCAAAAGTAGGCCGTCAAAGCATTATGATGAGACCACTAGAAGAGAACTTCCTTGTTGGTGATGCTGTGTCCGTAAAGAACCAGAAGTAGAAAAAGAGGTTGGTGCCGGATGCTTCCTCGAATGTGGGAGTGAATGTAACGGCACCAACTGACGAACAAAACACGAAAATGACAAATAGCAACGATAAAGTCGAGCCCGTGATATCCATCATCTCGTTATTCATTCCTTCTCTTCCTGCGTCTCTCTCTCTTCTTGCTCTCCGTTCACACAAAGGCCCGCCGAGGCCGCGTCCTGCACAACATCGGAACAGAAACGATCCGGGTTCACACTCTGAAGCCAAAGTCTGAAGCTCAGCTCTCCGTTATGGGACTCGACCATCTGTTCCAAACGGTTGCGTATGGCAGTTATTGTGCCGGCTCTCTCTTTGAGAAATAGAGCCTCACGGGCACCGGCTCGCTTGTCAGCCTTAACACCAAGTACGTCGAGGCACATCTGAGGTAGGAATAGCACAGGTTATGACGCCGGATGAGGTCGTTGTCACGAATGACATCCAGCGCTGTCGACAGAGCCTGAAGCTCGCCACTTAGAGTCACGTATATATTTCTACAACGGCGTAAGCCAAGGTCTCCAATTGCTCTACCAGCTATGTTGTAGGGAGATTCTGGACCGAAATATGCGACCCAAGATGCAAGCCGAGAAACCCTAGCCGTCGCTATTGCCGCCATTCCATGTTTTAGAGCCGCGAGGTCTGGCGCAACCCAACGACTGAGTTTTTTGCTCATATGAGTTATCCCATCTGCAGCGTTGGTCGAAGTCTGTCTCCCAAGGAGACACGGTTGTGGTAATCCTTCCTTGAAGGGTCGTAATACTCCATTTTGTAGCCGTCAGAGGTATTCCTGGCAAGCGAGCCGACACGTTCCTAGTCGTCGGCTTCGCTGGCAGAAGCGGCCGCAATATTGTTGGTACCCATAATGATACGATGATACTCGAATGCGCTGTGCTGTTGTGAATGGGTTGGAAGCGTGCTTTGCTTGCTATTGTGCGTATAAAAATGCATTTGACTTCAAATACAGCATGTAGGTACATCCCTGGTTGAGTACTAAGGTAGTGTGCTATCCGGAGCACACAAGATTCGCCGTTTTGAAGAAGACATAAAGGGAAGCGCATTTACTTTGATAACTACTCAGATATTTGCTATTTTATATATTTTATATATTTTTTGTATTGTTTCAAATAAGCAATAGGCTTAGATACATGCCTACATCTTCTACCACTTGAGTCAATCTGTGACCAAGTTGTTGGGAAAGACAGACGGTGCATCTTGTTCTTGGATTTGAGCGTGATTCACATGAATGAGATAACCATGTATCTACATGCGGCAATTTTGCCAACATAAGTATATAAAGGTGTGTGTTTTGCCCATCATTCCTTGTTTTGAGGCTATTCACCTTTTATCGACAGCGCCTTGATTCGCGCATACACACACTTGGTGTACTCTAAACACGACACATGCATGCGTGTGTTGGTTCGCATCACTCTAGGCAGTCTCCAGATGACAGATAGAACCCCCCTCATGAAATGTCCAATTTCACAAATTTTCTGAACCAACGGGCATGGCTGCCTATCTTGAGGCTGTACACGCATGGGCCTGCAGCATGGCCCAACTAGCTTGTTGAGAATCCCGCAAGCATGGTAGCTAGATCTCGATGTCTGCGGAGTAAAGGTGTGAAGAGCTATTGAAGATTTGGAATGTGACCATGGGGTAGACAGAAGGACCATGGGTTACAACGGTCTAGTAGATATGGCGTGACAGAGTTTGTCTGTATTTCATTTGTGGCTGGATAGATCCCACGCGAACTGGGCAGTGCTGTTGAGTTGAATCCATGTAGGCAAGCGTTGTTTGGAAAATATCTACGTGTGCTGGTATTGTTCATTACAGTCATCAATATGACTAGGTTCAATATCATTCTTAGCATGGATGCTCTGACTGGCGCTGTTGGCGGTTTGAAGTCATGTTGAGTATATTCCACATATACCGTTTCCACTGATTGGCACCCAAGATCTGATTGGGTACGAGTCTGAACACGACTTTGGCATTGATAAGGGTATACCTTGCTCAAGGTGCCTACTACCTACCTACCTGGGGTGCTATATGAACTGAACCGAGACAAAATAACACCGCAGCTGCGTCATAGTTCCATCTCGACATGTCGTAGTGTGAAGCTGCACGCATTTTTAGCGCCTGCACTTGCACGCCAACCGAGTGCCTCTTGTTCGTATCCGTGCCTAATTTTGCTACGGGGTTGAGAGGGCTGAGCAAGCCTCGCGATGCAAGTGTCAGCGGCTACTAGAGTTGGAGAGGCTCAGCCTTTGGAGCCCTGCCTGCTCCCTTGCGGCGGCGGCAGGCTATCGGTGCGTCATTTATAGTGGGAAATAGCAAAAGAGAGCACATGTAATGATGATGGTGATGATGATGGTGTTATTTTGGTCCGGGAACAGCCGTGAATGACAAAGCCCGGAGTGTGTTGTATTGGTCACATCTTCTGACTACATGGACATATATGTGTGAGGTCAGAGCATATGTACATAGATGGGCCGTTGGTGGTGACACTCGTTGTGTCAACTCCATTCTCCATTCCCAGATGACCAGCTCGCTGCTTGTACGCGGTAGGATCAATGCGATTCGGGCGTGGCTGTGGTTCTGGCGCTGACACGTATTGGCATGTAAGTGAAGGGTTTTGACGCAGCATTTGGCACCATGTGGTTGGACATGTCCGTGCTAGAGAGTCACGCGGGAGTGAAAAAAACGGGAGTGAAGACGCTGTGAACGGGAGCTTGACCCGCTGTTGACGCGGGAATATAGCGGTGCAACAGTTCCATGTTGGGTTACCTAGTGCTAGCATTAGCTGTTTCATGTCTGGTCAATTCACTTGGAGGGCAAACATGGCCGGGCACACAGTATGTGAAGGAAGATGTTGGGGGTGAGTGAGGAGAGAGAGGCTGAGAAGATGGATTGATGACAGCCTGTCCGAGTCTACAGCTGAAGTCAGTGACTCTTCAGGGCTCATCCCCCCCTGTAGTGCACTGTAGAGGCAACCTGAGCCTACATCTCGTCAAATCAATCACATCCATCACGTCAAACCACATCCTCACATCCTCGTTCTCGCTCCCCCCCAATTACGTGCATCTGCCCGCGTGGCAATGCGGAATCAATCAATCCATGTGAGAAATCCCAACAGTGCGCCTTACCCAAGATCTCACACGCAGACGCCGCTGCTATTGGCTGGCGCTGAACTGCGCTGAATGTGGCTCAGCTGGCAAGGGGGCGACAAAAGTGATTTGCTTTGGGGGTCAAGACGCCTGCTGCAGCCGCTGCAATGGGCTGCCATGGGCTGGAGAGGGCTGGAGAGGGCGCTAGAGCGTGCAACCCGCAGGCTATGCCGTCCCGGGCCTGGTGGCGGGAGACAGCGCTTGTCGTGGCCTGTGTTGGTGTCCTGTGCGTTGCGAGCGAGCGAGTCGGTCAGAAGCCGCCACTCTTTGTTTGTTCACCTGCAAAGCAGAGCTTCCCGTCCACTCACGAATTCACAGACAGGCCTGCACACAAGGCATTTTCTCTCCTTTGCCCTTTGGCCCTTGCGATTCCGCCCGCCTATAAAACATAAACCCTCGGCCTCTCTCGCCCTGACTCAGCGCCTCTCCCGCCGCTCGACATGGTTGCGCGATTCCTGTGACTGCGGCGGTCCTTGAAACCCGAGTCATCTTGCAGCCTGCAGCCGTGCCCTATTTCGGCGCCAATCACGACCCTTTTTTTCCGTGCACTCTCTATAGCAATACGATATCCTAAAAGACACACTACAACACGGCGAGAAGGAAAAAAGGAAAAAGAAAAAAGAAAGGAGAACTGGATTATCTACACCAGGAAATCTTGGCCATGGGTGGAAAGAAGAGGATTCCCACCCCGGACCAGCTCCGCGACTACAACTACGCCGTTGCCGGACAGTGAGTGATCCCGCGCCTCTGTGATGCGTGCGCGCAAACAAGGAAAAGGGGGGAAGAGACGAAGAAGAAGAGGAGGAGGAAGAGAAAGAGAAAGAAGAAAACTGCCTCATCATGTCCTTGTATGCTAATTCATCCCTCTTGCGCAACTACAGTGCAGGCACCTTGTGCGACGCCGACGGCGAGCTCTTCATCAAGCCGTGCACCCAGACCGAAATCGACTTCTACCAAGCTGTCGAGACCCAAGGCTTCCGTGCCTTTGCCGACATCATGCCCATCTACATGGGCGAGTTGCGGCTGAGCAATCCCGAGGAGGTGCCCCTCGATGATGCGCTCATGGGTGTCATCGCGGGCAACGGCGACTTCAAGACCTCCAAGGAGCAGATCGCCGCGACAATCGCAGAACATGTCGCAAAGGCCACGCCCGATACCGCCTCAGATCAAACCACATGGGTCCCTACTCAGGGCAAGAAAATCAAGACGGACAAGTCAGTGGTGCTGGAAAACGCCTCGTTTGGCTACAAGAAGGCAAACATTCTCGACGTCAAGCTCGGCGTCCGGCTGTGGGCCGACGATGCCCCTGCCGAGAAGAAGAAGCGCTTTGACACAATCACGTCGCAGACGACGCACGGAAATCTGGGCTTCCGCATATCCGGCATGCGAGTGTATCAAGGCTCAGAGGATGAGTCAACGTGGGACGAAGAAGGCTACCAGATCTACGACAAGGATTTTGGACGACTGACAGTCAACGAAGACAACGTCGTTGACGCTTTTCGGAAATTCATCTTCAACAAGGCTGCTGGCGTCGACCAAGATTTGGGCAGAGCTGTGTGTTCCGCGTTTGTCCGAGATTTGCAACGTGTCGAGCAGGTCTTGGCGAGTCACGAGACCCGCATGTACTCGTCGTCTCTGCTCTTCATCTTTGAGGGCGACGGCGATGCCCTCGCCTCTGCTATTGAAAAGAACAACGAAATCATAGAGCGTGATTCTGCCGAGGCATACACCTGCCCACCGGTCTCGCGCACAAACATGAGGCTGGACAACCGAATGGACAGCGGCATCGTCTTGGAAGACGAAGACGACTACGAGGATGTGGATGAGGATGAAGACGAGGATGACCTCCAACTGCCGCAGATCTACACTCTGAAACTCATCGACTTTGCGCACGCAAACTTCACCCCTGGCCTGGGGCCCGACGAGAACATCCTTACTGGAGTCCGGAGTCTTTTGCGGATTTTCAAAGAGCTGGCTGGCGAAGATGACTAGACTCATGCACGATGGCATGGCTTTCTTTTATTGGTCACTCACCCCGTATTTGCACCTGTATATACATGATTGCACCCCATGGGATGGATGATGGGAGGGGCTGCCGGCGTTGTGGGAATTTGATGGCTTCCTCTTGCAAAGAAGAAAAAAACAAGGGTGGACAACATTTATACCTTTTGGAAGGAGAGTCTTTCCTGATACCCCAGAGAAGTCTGAATGACGAGGAGGGAAAAAAGCAAACAGACACAGAGAGACAATACCCAAAACGAGGTGTTTGCGGTGTTACTTTGGATGGAACAAAACGCGAAAGGTAGAGCACGGCTCCGCATGGAGATGGGAGGAGATGTCCATTTCTGCGTATAATGACGATATGACGGCCTGGGCGCAACGGAGGTTTTTTTTTTTGGTTTCTTTGATCTTGTTTGTTTCTACGTTGAGTCTTTTCTCAGCTGGAGTTTTGGGGATGTGGAGTGAAGATGCGGGTTGCATGCATGGACAGGATTATACATGAGATGTTTAGAAAATAGTGTCGTCTATCCACGTACAATACAGACAAACAAGAGACAGCGATAGAAGCTCTCCTATTTTCAGCATTTCGCTCTATTTCTTCGTCTCAACTCCCGCGAAATTATCAAGTATGCCTGATGATCAACTGAGATGCAAGATCTGGGCACCAATGCAGCCCAGCTGGAACCTAGTTTTTAGCGCTATGCTGGAAGACGTCAGCGGGCCGTTGGTGTCCCAATTGACGACCATTCACAGCTCTGTTAGCAGGTACTTTTCGCCGCATAACAATTTGGTGGAATCGAAGTGTATCTTCTATTGCAATAGGCAGGCCCCACATGTCGCACTGGTTCCCGCTCTGCACTTGTCGGTACGTATCGGCAGTATCGATCTCAAGCTTCGAGCTTCAGCTTCAAGCTCAGCAACCGATTCGAGACTCCAACATCTGCCTTGTTCTTTCTTCTTTATGTAGGCGGCCATGTCCATCCCCGGCCTTGGGCAAATCCCGGTACAAGTGCGTCACTCTTTACTCTCTGCGCTGCTGATTTGTTCATCTGATTGGCATCAGCTCTACTGACATTGTCTCAACTCTCTTCCTCTCTCCAGGCGGCCGTTTCCTCGACGCGAACCATTTCCCTCCGCCCAGCTTGGGAATGGCGATTCCAGGTGCCCACAGGCGGTTCCCTCACTGTCAAGGTCCTCTCGGGCACAGCCGAAAAGGACGGCGTCGAGCTTCCGCTGCGCAATGCCTACACCTTCTCTGGCATCAAATCCAAGATCCTGACATGGCACGGCTGCGAGCTGGAGATTGACGGGCGGTGCGACAATGACGCCATTGCCGAGTACTCGAATCCGGTCGCGAATCCAGCGACTTCGCACGTAAACCTCCACGCACGGCTCAACGACATGCGGGTGGATGCCACGAAGCAGCGGCGCGAGGGGCCTAGAGTGCTGGTCGTCGGGCCGCCCAACTCGGGCAAGACGACGCTGACCAAGACGTTGACGAGCTATGCGACGCGCCAGGGATACCAGGTTATAACGGTCAATGCGAATCCAAAGGAGGGCATGCTGAGCCTGTCTGGGACGCTGAGCGCCAGCGTGTTTGCGACTGTCATGGACCCCGAGGCTGTGGACGGCTGGGGCTCGACGCCGACAAGCGGACCGAGTACGATACCCGTCAAGCTACCAATGGTGTTTCACTACGGTAGGGAATCTGCGGAGGATGATGAGGACCTTTACCGCGAGCTCATCGCAAGGCTCGCCGGAGCAGTTAGTAGCCGCTTGAGTGAGGATGACGAGGTCAAGGGGTCGGGGGTTATTGTGGATGGAATAGGAATAAGCGAAGACGGCCAGATTGGCCTGGAGCTGGTTGCGCATATTGTTGACGAGTTTTCAAGTAAGGCCGTCCACCACCAATGGACTCATTGGATCTGGAACTATGAGATTGCTAATATTTGGCATACAGTCAACATTGTGGTGGTCGTTGGATCGCCCAAAATCCACACACAGCTTTCGAGCCGGTTTGCGAGCGAAAAGACAAGTCTTGGAGAGTCAATACAGGTGATTTCCATTGACAAGTCCGATGGCGTGGTGGAGAGGGACGAGGCCTTTCTGGAACACTCGCGCGAGGCTGTGATTAAGGAATACTTTTTTGGAGACGCAAAGAGGACACTGAGCCCTCAGATTCAGCAAGTTGACTTTGATAGCCTGGTCATCTACAAGCTTGCAGACTGTAAGTCACTGTTCCACATCACTTGATATGCAGACCACTGATGATGATTTTATCTACAGATTCACCCGATGAAAAGCACAGCTTGATCGCGGAAGAACCTTCATCTCTCATGCAGCACTGGACTTTTGCAGTCATGAATGCCTCTGTGCGCGATAGCCCGGACGTGGTTCGCGCTGCCAATGTGATGGGGTTTGTCTATGTGGCGGATGTGGATGAGGATAGGCGGAAGATTAAGATTTTGGCACCGGTGAGCGGGAGACTGGGAGACAGACCGCTAGTATGGGGCAAGTGGCCAGAGCCGTACATTAACCTATTGGGATAGAATTGTTTCGAAAGCAAGTCAAAGTTTGTCATGGATATTGCGTGCAAGATGGTGTGACTTGGTGTGACTATTGCCTGTGTTTGACACTTCTTGACAGGTGACTGCCGGACTTGAGGCTTGTGTTTGTGTTGCCTATTCGCTTATGCGAGGGATCAAGGTACGACATCTATCTCGATTTCAAGAGCAGGACGCCGGTGTTTTAGTTGGCTGCGCCTCGCACCCGAAGCACTTATGCTGTCTGAGGCATCAGGTGGCATTGCCAAGTACACCATATGCAGCACCGGCATCACATGTACGCAAGCAACTCCCTCGAACAGGGACTTTTCGACAAAAGACAAACGCAAGGGAGGGGAAGGGGAGCTTAGCATCGGTCTTGCGATTAGATGTGGCCTTTTGGCAAACGAAACGGTGAACGCGCGTCGAGCCAAGAAAGACGGAGGAGAAGAGCCAAGAATCTGATGAGGTGAGGGCATGGGTGAATTGCTCCGGTTGTGCCCGCGTTGGTTATGCTTAATCGATTAGTGGCTTGGTTGTGGCGGAAAGCTGGAGATTTTGGAGTTTCATTGTTTGCTTGCTTGCTTTACACAGTGTTGTTTTCGACCGAGCTACATAGGCCCTACATGTCGATGACGAGGGAGAAGAGGTTTCGCTTTATCAGATTGTACAGTATTGGTGCCGTCGCCCCGTGTGGCTTCTCCGTCTTGCCGCGCCGATGCTGTAGAAATTGCGTATTGCTGTGTCATCCAGCGTATTTGATTTGATGTCGGACTAACACGAAACAAGACAAGGTGTGGATGAGACGTCGAGCACGTGTACCGCCACTTTGGGCAGCGGCCAGTGCGGGCGTGGATACGTAAGATTGACGGGATATCAGAGTAGTGGGAATGGTGTGTCTGCCAAGAGAATTGGCGTAGTTGTTGTTGGATAGAGGAAGTGATTTGTTTAGGAAACGGGGTGCGGGGTTTTGGGAGACATGGGGGGATGAGGATGAGGGTGAGGAATTGTGGTGATGATACTCATGATGCTGGGACATGTGGTGGTTTATGGGCTACCCTGGATGCTCTGGGTGTAGCTGATGGGGGCTCGAGATGGCTCCCCAAGGAAGCAAAATAGAAACAGAACATACTTCAGACGAAAATAACTCAAAATAACATCTATGACGGCTCGTGGATTGGACAAGCAACTAGCACCACCATGGCAACATGGTTATATACAGCCAGATGCACTACAACGACGCCGTGCAGCCACTGACACGCTCCACACGTTGTCGTCGCTGCTGTGCTCCAGCTATATCACGGGGGCGGGGCATACGAAGTCGTTGATGCTGCCGCCCAATTGGCCTGTGTCTGGGGTCACGGACTCGCTAGCCCAAGGGCAGATCCCGGCAAAAGGCTCCTGTTTAGAAGGGATATGACATGATTGCTGGTGTTGGTGCGTGTGTGTTGATTGCCGTTGTGCCGTGGGGTGCAGCAGCACGTGCCCCCATAGGATAGTATTTGGAAAGCTGGGGGGGGGGGGGATTGAGTGGAAAAGTCAATCGACTTGCTGTTGATGTTGATGTTGATATTTAGATGTATTGATTGCTATGAGATGGACTTGTATGATAGTTGTAAATAGCTGCAGCTCTGGTGGTGACTATCAAATCACATGGCTGCCATTATCGATAGGCAGAATCCAGATGTACTCGCACCGCCAAACTCGATAACCCCCATGAAGCTTCTCTCCTCCTCCAAGCCCTTCCCCAGCTCCCTCGTCGCCATGAACTCAATCTCGCATCATCCTCACATAGTGTCTCTTGGCATATCACACACAGCAGCTCCATGCAAACTAGCTCCAAACTGCAGGGTGGGCTGCGGCTTTGTCTCCAAGCGGAAATCGGGTCTCTCATCCCCTCCACACCCTGCATATCGTCTCTTGTATCTATCCGCCGCCTCCGTTTGATAACGGCCTGCTGTCTGCGTTGCTCGGCTGTGATTTGCTGGCTTGTTGATCGGCCGGCCAGGTGCTGTCGGCCACGGCACAGCTCCGTTCCATCATTATAAAGCCGAGTGGGAAGCTACACTCAGTCCGGGATGCCTGCTTCCCCTTCTTCCCTCTACCCTTTGCCTTTCCCAGGCTTCATCTCGCCTTTTTTTTTTTCTTGTATCAAACAAGGTTGTATCTTATAGCTACCTGTATAGTTAGCCAGACGGATCTTGAAGGAACTTGGAATACTTTTTCTCCCTTCCATCCCTTTCTCTTGCTTCATCTCTACCCCTCTCATCATCGTGTCTGCCCCTCCATTCGCCACACCACAAAAGGGCAAGGAGGTCAGCCGGTTGAGTTTTACCCAAACAAGACTATATAAGTACCTTAAATACAAAGACCTCGTGTCTTTTCCCGGCTGGAAACAGCTTCTCGTACCCGTTCGATGGGAGAGACCGTTATTGTCGTCACGAATGGTGCACAAGACGCCAACGCCTCGTCGGACTCGTCGACCCTCTCCAGCAGCCAGGACGACCAGCCTCCTATAGCGGAACCCCCCGACATATTAGCTATAGAGAAGCCGCATTGTCCTCATACTCTATCAGCCCGTCGAGTTGCTGAGCTCCTCAAAACCGACACCGAAGATGGACTAAGTGTCGAGGACGCTGCCGCCCGCTTGGCGCGGGACGGCCCCAACACTATCAAGGGAGCAAAGGGCATCTCCATCTGGGAGATCTTTCTCCAGCAAGTTGCCAATGCCTTGACCGCCGTGCTCATTGCCGTCATGGCACTGTCCTTTGCCATTCACGACTTTGTCGAAGGTGGCGTGGTCCTGGCCGTCATTCTCCTCAATATCATCGTGGGGTATGTTGCAAAAAAAACTGACGCAGAAAGGAAGAGACCAAGCCTACTGCTATAGCCATTATTTTTTCTTTCTACTTCTTTCTTTTCCTCCTCTCCAGACGAAAAACGTCTATATACTCCCCACTCTTCTTCATGTCTTGCTCACACATTATGAAATAAAATTGCAGGTTGATCCAGGACTACCGCGCTGAGCAGACAATCCAGTCGCTATATGCCCTGTCCACTCCCAAATGCAAAGTCATCCGCAATGGTATCAACGATACCGTCAAGGCAGAAACCCTGGTCAAGGGCGATCTGGTCTGGCTTTCCACTGGAGACGTAGTTCCCGCCGATTTACGTCTGGTTCAAGGCATCAATCTCGCAACAGACGAGTCCCACCTCACGGGTGAATCTGTAGCCATCAGCAAGAAGCCCGACGCCATCTTCAATGATCCAGACCTCCCCATGGGTGACCGCACAAATCTGGTCTACACTGGAAGCTCTGTGACTCGAGGCCGGGCGACTGGCATTGTAATATCCACCGGAATGCACACCGAGGTGGGCCAGATTGCCGAGCTGCTGCGTCAAAAGAAGAAGCAGAACACAGGCTCTGGCCCCGTTAGCAGATTCTTCATCAACTGCTACCAGACTGCCAGGAACATTCTTGGCCTAGAAGGGACGCCTCTACAAGTCACGCTAAGCAAGTTTGCTCTCCTGCTCTTCGCCTTGGCCATACTGCTAGCCGTCATTGTCTTTTCCGTTAGTTTGTGGGAAATCGATGACAATGTGTTGCTGTACGGCATCTGCGTGGGTGTCGCCGTTATTCCGGAATCCCTCCTTGCCGTGCTTACCGTCACTATGGCTGTCGCTACCAAGGCAATGGTTAAGGGCCATGTAATCGTTCGACAGATGCCGTCTCTCGAGGCCGTTGGCGGAGTAACCAACATTTGCTCCGACAAGACCGGCACTCTCACCCAGGGACGCATGATTGCTCGCAAAGTGTGGCTTCGAGGCGGTCTCGTTGGACTTATTGAAGGCACCGCCAATCCCTATGATCCAAGCAGCGGCACCGTGTCGTGGTCTGGATCCCTCGTAGGAACTTGCTTCAACGCCTTTCTCGACACTCTGGTTCTCTGCAACAACGCCACCGTTACGGACGGCAAGAAGGAGCTCGAGACTGACTCTAGTAGTGTCACAACGGCCTTTGGGTCAGATGAATGGAAGGCAGTGGGGGAGCCTACGGAGATAGCTCTCAAAGTCTTTGCTCTGCGCTTTGGAAAGAATAGGACTGCCGGCGATGAACTCGTCGCAGAGCACCCCTTTGACTCGTCGTGCAAACTCATGAGTGTTGTCTATGGTAAAGACGTTGATGCAACGTCCCAAGTATACACCAAAGGTGCCGTTGAGGTAGTCGTGCCGAAGCTTGATGAATCTGAAGAGCTGAAGCAGACGATCCACGCCAAGGCGGAGGAGCTCGCTGCTGAAGGCCTCAGAGTGCTCTGCATCGCCAACAGAACCCTGGATAGGGAAAAAGAAGACCCCCACGACCGCGCCCAGGTTGAAAGTGGCCTCCACTTCTTGGGACTCGCCGGCCTGTATGATCCTCCTCGTCCAGAGACGGCTGGTGCAGTATCGCAGTGTCGCCAGGCTGGTATTGCCGTGCACATGGTGACAGGCGATCACATCAAGACGGCAACTGCGATTGCATACGAAGTTGGAATCTTGTCGCATGACATCCCCTTGTCTCCGACAACTGTCATGTCGGCAATCGATTTTGGCAATCTCACAGACGGCCAGATCGATGCCATGGATACCCTTCCGCTCGTCATCGCCCGATGCAGCCCCTTGACCAAAGTCCGGGTCATCAAGGCATTGCACCGCCGAAGGGCGTTTTGCATCATGACTGGCGACGGCGTCAACGATTCGCCCGCTCTGAAGCAGGCTGACGTGGGCATAGCCATGGGCGATAGGGGAAGCGATGTGGCCAAGGAAGCGTCGGACATGGTGCTGACGGATGACAACTTTGCGTCCATCGTGACAGGCATCAAGGAAGGACGCCGTCTCGCAGACAATATCCAAAAGGTAAGCTTGTTGACTATCTCTAAGCCACAAACTTGCACACCGATAGTTGGAGCTAACGTGAACATGCTTCAAGTTCCTCTTGCACCTCCTCACTTCTAATCTTGCCCAGGTTATACTTCTTTTGATTGGGCTGGCCTTTAAAGATGCGGATGGAATCGCCGTGTTTCCGCTGTCTCCGCTTGAGATCCTCTGGGCTAACCTGGTTACCTCATCACCCCTTGCTCTCGGCTTGGGCTTGGAAGAGGCGCAGCCAGACATTCTGCAGCGCCCACCCCGCAGTCTGCGGTCGGGGGTCTTCACCCTGGATCTGATTCGGGACCAGTTCGTGTATGGTACCTGTATGGGATCTCTCTGCCTGGCGGCTTTTATGCTGGTGGCTTATGCGGCTTCCGGGCGGGGCTACCATGACCTGCCTATTGACTGCAATGAGCATGGCCATGACGGATGCGGCCTCGTGTTTCGTGCCAGGGCTACGACGTTTGCTACGCTGAGCTTCTTGCTTCTGATTACTGCTTGGGAGGTGAAGCACTTTCATCGCAGTCTGTTCAACATGGACGAGAGGTGGAAGGGTCCCTTGTCCGTCTTCAAGACGGTCTATCACAATCATTTCTTGTTCTGGTCCGTCATTGCAGGATTCGTTATTACCTTTCCTGTCATTTACATTCCTTATGTCAACAAGGCTGTGTTTAAGCACCAGGCATTAACGTGGGAGTGGGGTGTTGTGTTTGGCTGCGTGGCGGTCTATGTTGTGCTCATTGAAGCCTGGAAGGCCATCAAGCGCCGTTATAGCCTCGGCATCGACAAGCATCCTAACCAGGCAACCGTCTCGCAAGCGTAAGTCTGTGTGTGGCTGAGTCTGAGTCCGAGTCGTGAGTTCCGCAAGGCATACCAGAGGAACAGGGATTATTTCACTCTTTGAAAGTTTGGGTACTATACTATCAGAATGTCTACGGTATAAGTATAAGTATAAGTTATGCAGTATTAGTTTATTCACTCGTTTGGCACAATTTGGAATTTTTTTGAGTTTCGTTTCTCCTGTCAGATATCGCGTAATTTCATTCTAGTAAGTGATGTGTGTGTCTGAGTAGGCTATCTAGTAAAGCAAAGTGTCGTGAACCGTATCTAATGCTAGCGTGGAACGTAAAGTTGGTATATAGTTGGGATAGTTGGTATATGTGAGTGAGTTGAGCCGATGGGCCAGATGCTTTGAATGCGACAGAGAGGTTTGAGAGTGTGTTGGTTGGTTATGTTGGCGTATGGTGTTTAAGCAGTCTTGATGTCGGTTTGGATGACCTTTGGTTGTGTTAGTTTTGGGGGATTGAAGGAGTAAAGGTTGATGAGAGGAGACGTACAAATTTCCAACCGCTGATGCCTTCCCACTTTCCGCGGACGTACATTTCGTAGCTTGAGTAATGATTAGCTTCTTTTGTCCTTGATGCTGTTTGGGGGAGTTGCTTACCATTGCGGATCGCTGATGCGGTCGACGAGGGTTTGGATGTGGGGGTTCTTGTCGAGAGCCTCGGTCCAGTCCCATGGATCGGCGTTTGAGGCTGCCTTGTCCTGTTTTCTTTTTGTTAATGGCTTGTCTATATATGATGTATGTGTCAATTGAGGAGTGTTACCTTGAGCTCATTGGCGGGACCGTTGGGAATGTCCGTGTAGACACGCTTCTTGGACTCGCCCTTGAGGAAGTGGGAGGTTTCGCCTTTCTTGCTGCCGGCGCGGGTGAAGCCTATTGAGAAGCGGGTTAGATTACGGGAAGAGATGTTTTAGAGGGACTAGGGGGACTGACCTCCTGTGAAGGTGACTTCGGGGACGAGCCTGAGTGAAGCATGTTAGTATTGATGAGATGGTTGAAGTGAGAGAGGGGGAGGTATGCTTACTTCATCTTGGCGGTGTATGTGATGGACATGAGCTGTGTGTAGCCGGAACAAGTGACGGTGGTTCTGGAGTAGAGTTAGCTTTGATGGAAGGGGGAATGAAAGAGAGGTTGGGCGTACGCTCGGTTGGCGGGACAGATGACGGGGCAGTCGAAGTCGATGTTGAGGGTGACTTCGTTGCGCTTGGTGTCTACGAAGGTGTCTGTTCCGTTGAAGGCGGCCTGAGAGACGATGAGTTAGTTTTGGAGAGGGCGTTATTTCATGTTGAAGGCATACCTTGATGTTATCGGTGACGACTTGCTCAATGCCGGTGGCGGAGGCGTATCTAATAGGTGAAATGATGACTTAGTTTTGTTTGGTGAGCGAGGGAGGCGGTGACTTACTCGTTCTGAGCGGTAAACATGGCGGCGTTGGTGTGAGTGATTGACTCCGTCTTCGTTTCCTTGATGGCGATGTTGACCTGGGTGCTACACAGGAGGGTTAGAGGTGAAAAATGGTTGTAAGCTCCAGTATACTTACTTCTCGTCCTGGGCTGGCACTGTGAGGGTTTTGACCTGTATGGGTTTTGGTTCAGCATAATTGATCGACGATGGCGGACTAAGGGGGAGTACGGACGGTGAAAGGAGAGAGCTCCTGGATGATGGGCTCGTCGAATACGAAGTCAGAGAACTCTGCTGTCCAGTTGTCGAAGCGGAGACTTGTGCACTGCTTGTTCTGAACGCCAACAGTTAGCCTCCCCCCTGATCAAAAAAACTCCAGGGTATGAATGTTTTTCTCTCTTTTTTTCTCTTCTCTCTTGTCCTTTTTTTCTTTGATTATGATGATGATATGTACATACGCCGTATCCCTTTGGCTTGCTCAAGTTCTTGAGCAGATATGACCTTGAGTTGCCTTCGGGGTGGAGCTCATGCTGGAATTCTGACCCGCTGGATATCCAGGACATGCCGAGGAGACTAGCGATTATATGTGAGTAGGAATCTTATTAACCAAATAATGGCTGAGTACAAAGATTTTTTGCAGAATCTGAGCAACCAAATTATGGCGTAATAAGGAGATTTTTTTGCATACTTGGCTAGGTCAGCGAAGGGGCGGCTTATCCCGTGTATGACTTTGGATTCCAGCTCCGAGGTCGTTGATTCATAGCTGATGCCCTGCGGTGGGAGTTAGTCATGATGAAAGAGGGAAGAAAAAAAAGGGCGACGCTTAGGAATCAGGCGGCGGCGGTGGTTTCGAACCTTTAACTTGAAGACTGCTTGAGCGCGGCTGCAAAAGAATTGTTAGCATCTCGAGTTATTACAGATGTTAGGGTAAACTGAAGGGGAACTCACCGAATGTTCTCGTACAGCGTGTCGGCTTTGCGTTCAAATGTTTCCCAAGTCTTTGTTTTCGCGTCAGCAAATCGTTTCCCCAAATATCATGGAAACTTACCTCGGCCTGTTTAGTCATCTCACCACAAGCCTCTCCAAAGTAGGTCATCTTGGCCTTTCGAACAGCCTCCTCCAGCTTCTCGGGCGTATCCAGCGTAAAGTCGACAACTCCAGAAAGAACCTCGTTGACGCATCGGTTGAGTGCCTGGCGGTTCCACTTGTTGACGAGAGAGTCCAGCAGCAGCAGCTTGGCGATATGGTAGTCGGAGATGCCGCTTGCCAGGGTGTTGCGAGCCTCGGTGACGCGGAGTTTTGCCTCCTCTTGCGAGAGGCTGAGGTGGGCCACGTTGCTCTCAAAGGCTGCCTTGGCTGTGCTTTCGCAGGTGGCAAGGTGGGATGTGATCTTTTCCTTGGACAGGAACCTGGTGACTTGGAGTGTGTCACTCTGGTTCTTGAAGTCGTCGAGTTGGGCCTTGACAACGCGCTCAAGCTCCTTATCAATGTACGACAGGAATTCCTTTAGAACTGTTCGAAAGCGTTAGAAGTTAAGTGGTGAAATGTGGGAAAAGATGGGCTATTCTTACCAGCCTTGTACTTGTCACCGAATGTGCTCTTCTTGGCAGACAGTTGGTTGTCAAACTCATTCAGGTAGTGGTCATAAAGACGAGTGCTCATCGACTTCGCCTTCAAGAAAGTGATGAGCTCACTACGGGTTGCCGTGGTGTCTGTGAGGGCCTTGAACTCTCCCACATCGTCCTTGGGCAGCAGAGACTCGTCCAGCTGCCTCTGGTAAGCCGCAAGGTGTTTTACTAAAGAAAACAAGAAAGTTAGCCGGAATATCGACGAAGAGCGATTCTTAGTGTCTCATTTGCTCTGACTTACCGAGTTCCTGGTCGACATCCTTGGCCATCTCCTGCTCTCGCACGGTAACCTTTGCCTTTACAAGATTCTTGGCATTGTTGACCTTTTCTGCGTAACTCTCCTTGATCGCCTCTGCATTCTCCCACAGATACTCAGTATCGATGGTGTTGTTATAGTTTGACAGATGAGAGCTCTGCTCCTCATCCGCACTCGTCTCCCAGATGGACTCGTCGCCGATCAAAGTCTCCTGGTAGAGCTTCTCAAAGGCGGCGGCAATTTCTGCGGCGCTCGTTGTGTCCAGCTCAACATGCCATGATGTCCAAGCAGTATTGAGGTTCTGCTTGGCAATCGCCGCTGCGGTGAAAAATGCGCGGTCGTAGGTGACGGAGTAGTTTCCCCGAAGAGCCTGCTCGTCGTAGGATGAGATCTTCTTCTTGTAAGCTTCCAGCAAGTCACCGTGAAGCTGGTCCAAGATCTTCTCAGCGGTGTTGGTTGAGATGGATTTGAAGTCGGAGACTGCGTCATTCACGGTGTCTTGTATTGAGCCGATCAGCTCAGTCAGCTCTTTCTCGGCGAATGCCTCAATCTTTTGAAGGTTTGCAGCCAGGACTTCATTTCGCTGGCCCTCCGACTCCTTTGTGAGACTATCACACGTATCCCTAAAATTGTTAATTAACGCCTACAATGTGATGATGGAGCTCTGATTCTTACTTGATGGTCTGTTGTGAGAGATATTTGAGCGAGTTCCGTACATCGTTCATGCATTTATGCGTAATACGGTCGAGTTTCTACATCCAACCCATTTAGCTTATAGATCACGTATAAAGTCAAAATAAAGATTGGCATACCTTGTTGCAATCCTTGGTGCTGATGAGCGCCGGATCCTGGATCAGCTTGTTGCATGCTTCTCTAAAGTCATGGTGTAATTTGATGTGAGATCTGTTAATGGCCTCGTTCTCGGCGGCTCGCCAAATGTCGGGAACGTGGAGCTGGCCGTTTTGCTCGAGCCGGTTGATCGACTTGACAATGCTTGACACGAAATCTGCAGTTGAAGCACCAGACAAGGGAGCTCCGGCGACGAGTCGAGGACTTCGCAGCATCTGAGACAGCTGGGCTCGCAGATTCTTAAAGTCCTTGACGTAGTTGTCATTGAAATCATCGAGAACAAGGAACTCCTTGGACTTGTCGTTGATCTGGCTCTGCACACCCTCCTTGAGAGAGTTGCCGCGAAGCAGATGGACCTGGAACTGTGTAAGCTTTTATTCTCCTCTCGCATCCATCCGGGTCAGAGAAATGGCTCACTGTGACATCCTCAAACTCGGCGGCCAGCTTCTCTCGAATCTTGTTTCTCCTCTTAACCGCCTCGCTTCTGCCAATTTCCTTTTTCAGGATGTTCTTTCTGACATCGTCCACTGGTTTGGTTATTAGTATGAACGGCACGAGATGACTGTGGATCTCATATCAGATAAACTTACCAGAGCCTCCAAGATCATACCTTTTGACGACTGTTAGTCTAACCAAATCTCACGTATGCAGCATGGAATGAAACAGTGAACTCACTTGTTGATGATGATGACTAGCTGACCGAACTTGGGTCCAGTGGTCTTCTTGTCACCACCGAAATTCAGCTTGTTGGCGGCCAGCGTCATCATGGCCAAGCTCGTCAGGATGGTGTCCTTGGCGACGTCTGTAGTGTTGAAAACAATGACTCGAGAGCACAGAATGGCTGGAGTGAAGAGCATGATGCTGTCATCGCTTTAGCATCTACAAGCAACGTAAAAAGAGCGGATGCTACTAACTCGTATAAGTCGCCCTGGTCTCCATGGCCTTCAGTGTCTAGGAAGGCCACCTTTTGCGGGTTTGACAAGGGCACCTCTATGCCGTCATCAAGTCTGGAGAACTCCTTGACGCCCATAATCTTGTTGCCCAGATTTGTGCCTATGCGAGTCATCAAATCAGTAAATGTCAGCGATATGCCGTTTGCTCCTATTTACCTCTTGTCCACGATTCGGCTCCGGGGCTCGTTGAGAACAGCGGCTCTTCCGTGCATCCGGCGAGAAGGTTCATGAGGGTCGATTTGCCACTACGCGTCGGGCCCATGATGCTGATGAGGTTGAGGGCATCATTAATCTGTCGCACATGATTGTTGACATCGTCGTTGCACTGAAGCACGTAGTTGGTAATCTCGTCAGGGTCGACGTCGGTGGCATCATCGAGAGCAACTTTCTCGCTTGCTGTCTTGACACTGACGGCCTTGACGCTGGTGGCCCTGACGCTGGTGGCCTTGACGCTAGGAGCATGAACACTGGTGGCATTCTCACTGACGACAATCTCATCATCAGCGTTCTCACCATCGGCGTTCTCGCCCTCAGCGGCCTCGTCAAGAGCTTCCTCGCTAGAGGGATCCTCACTAGAGGGATCCTCGCTAGGGCTCAATTCACTAATGGGCGCGTCATCCTCCTCCTTCTTGATGCCGCTGTCAATCTCAAGCCATCGCAGCTGGTCGCTGGTCCCGCCAGCAACCAGCTGGAAGCTCTTCTCATCTAGCTGACTGCACGGTTGGCTCTGGTTAGTGCATGCGTCCAGCTTGTTGCAGAGAGGCGAGTTGGAGTTGGTCCATACAGAGAAGGGTCATTGAGCTCCATGGAAGAGCTGTTCATGCGCTCGGTAGAAGTGCTGAAGCGCGCATCACTCTTTGAGAGTCTGTGTGCGAGCTCTACAGGATTGGAATCAGACGGCTGCAATTACGCGGTGAAGGGACAAGGCAAGAGTATCATACTGGCTGATTTGGACCACGACGGCAGGCGCTGAGACAGCGACCTCACTCTCATAACCATGATGGCTGTCTGCTGTCAATGCTCGACGACGGATAATGATGAAAGGCTTCACTTGATAGCCGTCGTTGGCATTGTATAATATAAAATGAAGTTCTCATCAAGCGGTAAAGGGAAAAAAAGGCTGGAAAGCCCCCCAAGCCACTGAAACGGATTAGCTCCCAGACAAGGATATTGTATGGATATGCCGACTTGTGCCAGCTCCAAGTCCACGTCAATGCAAATCCTGGTGTAAGGCCGCGACATGTGATAGGCCGTGTGCAGGGCCGTTGCTCAGTTGGGCTGCCATAACGTCTCTTGCGGTGCCTGACTCTGCTTGCACAAGGCGACCTTGGTGATGCCCCCCTGCTATGAAAGGGGTCCATCTATTCCGTTACACGTATTATTGGGGACATCAGGCGGTCACACACGTGGAGACTCGCTTCACTGACTCGCGTCCCGATTTGTGGTTTAGGGACTGGTGCG